ACAGCGACTACAGCGACTACAGCGACTACAGCGACTACAGCGACTACAGCGACTACAGCGACTACAGCGACTACAGCGACTACAGCGACTACAGCGACAACTCCGACTACAGCGACTACAGCGACTACAGCGACCTCTGCGGCTTCCTCGCAGGCAGCCATCAGCTGTCCTGGCAGCAATGGACAAACCTACACGGCCTCTGACGGCGCTACATACATGATTGAGTGTAGTCAAGACCGATATGGCGGCGACATCAACTACTTCTACAGGAAGACGATGGAGCTGTGCGTCGAGCTCTGCGAGCAAACAGCGAACTGTCGCCAAGTATCGTTCGTCGTTCCGCCATCTGCTGGCGCCGATGGAACCTGCTACCTTAAGTCATCGTCAGGCGCGCCCCAGACCAACACCAACATCTGGGGCGGACGCAAGCTCACCGATGCCACCAGCAGCTCCACCACATCCTCGGCGGCGGCGGCATCCTCAAGCGCTTCTTCCGGCGGCAGTGGCGGCTGGAACGGCTTCCCGGCGTCCTCGGGCGCCATCGCTTGCCCGGGCTCCAACGCGACCGTCTACACGGTGCCCGCGTCGGGCGCGCAGTTCCTGGTCCTCTGCGGCTTCGACAACAACGGCAACAACATGGCCGACAACCCGCGCTGGGCGTCGACGAGCGCCGTGCCCGAGGAGATGGCCAGCCGCTGCGATACGACGAGCGGCTGTAAGTGGGCCACCATCGGCGGGAACGCGGCCTACTTCAAGGATTCGGTCGGTCAGACGTACGCGAATGCGAACGTCATGGGCATTCAGAAGGTTACGGGAAGTGGAGTGACGACTAAGAGGAGGGTGTTGAAGAAGAAGGGGGAATTGCCGAGGATGAGGATTGTGAAGAAGGGGGTTACACGGAACGGTTTAGAGAGGTAGGCCTTTTCTTTCTTTCTCTTATTGCGTGATGTAAAAGCGCTTAGGGAATCGTGTGGGTTGTTTGCTTCGAAGCCGGTTATAATAGCGGCTGGATGAACTCGTCATTATTTGGGCGTTTTTTTGCCGCGAAAGTTGGATTTCGGCGCTTGCGTTGCTGCGAGACGATCCCGGGGGAGGAAACTACGACTAGCTTGAGCACGAGGAGTAGGAAGAGGAGCAAGGTATGTGAGCTGTGAGTTCTGCTTCGAAGCCCTACTGTGGCTGGGCGTACCCACGTTGGGCGTTCTGGGCTCTTTGCCTCAGGCGTTGCCGTGGGATGGTCTGTGAGTGGGATGTGCAGCTTCTTGGCTCTCCTTCTCTCTTTGTGCTGTTCTGGTGAGTAGAGGAGAAAATTTCGGTTTGAGAGTATCTTGGGGGTTTTCCTTATTCCGGTTCTGCTTTGGTTCGAGAGGTGGAAAGGGGGTCCAGGTGGAGGACTTGGATATGACACACTCGCTTATGACTTTGACGGACGAAAAAGGGTGGTAATGGGGGTGAAAACGTTCCTTGCGGAGCTCTCATGGAGTTTGGCGTTATTATTTACACCTGTTGGTAGGTCTAATACACTTGAATCTCTCAGCGAAGTGGAGATTGATGCATTCTGCTCGTTCAGATTACTATGAACGCATGGATACCTAGTAAAGGCTGTCGAAAGAAGCTGTTGCATTGGTCTAAACCCACTGCAGTGATTTAGGATCCACACTCTTACCCAATGGATGGTTGGTTCATGGGCATGACGCAATCTTATCTGGGATAGCACGACAACTTGTCAAAGGGCGTGGTGCTGCGCCGCACGTGAGAACTGCATGCCTTCAGATAATCAACTCCGCTACTTCTCACGAGTCACCAATTTAATTTCCGATTAAAAAAAATAAAACATTTATGGATACTTCCGGAACACGGACATTAGCTGGTATTCCGGCGGCTTCAGCGGACGAGTCAGCAGTGATCATGCAGCTGAACAAGGCGGAGGACCCTCTTTCATGGAACACAGGCAAAAAGTGGCTTTGCACAATTGTGATTGTCGCAATGACAATGACAATCAGTCTTTGCTCAAGCATCCACACTGCGGTGGTGGCTGATGTGGCGCAAAGCTTCGATTGCTCCAGAACGGTGGCCACGCTTGGTGTCTCAACTTTCCTCCTCGGATTTGCAATCGGTCCATTGATTTTCGGCCCTCTGTCCGAGGTTTGGGGCAGGAACCCAATATACCGAGTCGTCCTGTTGCTTTTCGTGGCTTTCACCGTAGGGTGTGCGTTAGCTCCCAACATCGCTTCACTTCTCATCTTCCGTTTCTTTTGTGGCTTTTTCGGGTCGCCTACCGGTTGGTTACATTCCTCAATTGTCGATCCAGATTCTTACATTCCCAGTGACAAACTCGGGTGGAAGCCTGACGGACATGTGGCCTACCAGCCACAGAACAGTCCCGCTGGCATTATTCACTGCGGCCAGTTTCTTGGGACCCGTCATAGCCCCAGTGTTTGGTGGTTACGTAGCTCAATACATCCACTGGAGATGGTAAGAAAAGCATCACCGCTAAGAAATCAATGCTGATGCAGGCTCGGCGCAGGAACTACTGGATCGTTGCCATCGTCGGTGGTGTTTCCTACATCTCGGTGCTTGCTTTGCTGCCTGAGACGTACGCACCAGTCATCCTGAAAAGGAAACAAGCGTACCTCCGAAAAGACCAATCCGAAGAGAATCCTAAGATCGACTACTATGTCACGCTCACCCGCCCTTGGATCATGCTCTTCACCGAGCCCATACTGTTCCTCCTCTCTCTTTACATGGCCTTCTGTTACGGCATCCTGTACCTCGACTTCACGGCCTACCCCATCGTCTTCTCCCAAACCCGCGGCTGGGCACCAGGTCCATCAGGCCTATCATTCCTGGGCATCGGCATCGGCATGGCCCTCGCAACCGCCTCCTCCCCCCTCATCAACCGCGTGCACGCGCACTACGTCACCAAACTCAAACAGAGCAGCACCGCCAACGACAACAACTCCTCCCCACCCGAAGCCCGCTTCCCGCACCTAATCCTCCTCTCCTGGCTCATCCCACTCGGCCTCTTCTGGTTCGCCTGGACGTCTTCACCACGATACCACGCTTTACTACCCATCGCAGCGGGCATCCCCTTCGGCGCCGGCTTCGTGCCGCTCTTCCTGGCCATCACGGCGTACCTGACCGACTGCTACGGACGTCGCTTCGCCGCCAGCGCGCTCGCCGCCAACGCCCTGCTGCGCGGCCTGTTCGGCGCCACGTTTCCGCTGTTCGTCCGCGACGTGTACGAGGCGCTGGGCACCGAGTGGGCGACCAGCGTGCTGGGCTTCGTGGCGCTGGGGATGGCGCCGCTGCCGTGGGTGTTTTTCCGGTGGGGACGGGCGTTGAGGGCGAGGAGTGGGTTTCATCGGCGGGCGGTGGAGGTGGAGGAGGCGGAGGGAGTGTGAAGGTGGAGGAGTATCCGGTAGTTTCTTTTTTTTTATGGCTCTCCCTCCCTGTCTTTCTCTCCCCTTTTTCCCCTCCTTTTCTTTCTTCAGTGATACTTATCGAGAGCAGCAGAAAGCTTGCGACGGTGATGATGCTGATTAGGAGACATGACGACCTTTCCTTCACTATGAGAGATTAGTGAATCAAATTATTCAGTAACTCTGTTTATAGAAGTAGTTATAGAGCTCGTGCACTGTCCGTTGCAGCGGTTTCTTTGATTATATATCTCTGAATTACGAACAACTCACGTTGAGTTGAGCATCTATAGTTCTTTATGCCTTGTGCAGTGTGCACTCAGTGCTCGAATACCAGTTACGTGAGTGCTGAGGGTTAAATCTGAGCTTGCTTGGTGGTGGTAGCAAAGTTTCGTGTCAAGATAGACTGATAGGAGACAGGACCCCTTGAAGGCACTAGAAACCAAATACTTAATTAGCTTTGCGATTAGGACCTAAATACCTAGCATACCTTCGTCCAGACAATTAAGTGATGGTTCTTCGCATCCGAACAGCAACCCACCGCTCTACTTTTTTCAAGGGTCCTTCATCCGACGGCCATGTACTTGACGGAGCTAGGAAGGACTGGCCCTTTCTAGCTTCCCCACCGGGACGAAATTGCCGGATTTCACCGGCAAAAGTCTGGGCAAAGCGCCCAAACTTCCTTTGGCCGTGGTGAGGCGATGGGATTCTGCTCAATCGGGCCGGTCAGCAAAGCCCATTACCCGATGTCGCAAAACGCCAATCAGACAGATTGCCAGATGAATATCCCACCTTCTACACATACTTCCTTCTAATCTCCTATTCCAAGTCCGTGTTGATAAGCACGACAAATCAATAAATCTGGGTGGCGCCATTTTGATCCTACTTGACTTCACCCTACTTTCTCCTGTTGATCCAATCCTTCTAGACGTAAGTAACCCTGTATACAATCGACGCTCTGACGTGCATGAACGATACGCATGCGCCAGTCCGCGACCTGGCTTCAGGCGGAGAAGTCAACGGCCCCGATGCCCGAAATCCCGCCTTTTCCTTCATCGCGGCATTTCCGAGTCTTTCTCTGCAGTCCTCGCAGCAGAGACGACGTTCCCTGTCCACACGCGCGTATGTGCGACACGTCACAGGACTTTCGGGTCTGCCGTCCACTTTTTTTGATAGTACTTCTCGCAAGTTTGAACTTCTACGGCATAGGTCTGGATCGTTGCCGTCGCAGTGACTCCCGTCTAGATTTTCGGGTGGCCCCCCCGATCCACTTGTGGTACATGCTGACACGAAGGGATGTTCCTTTCTTTTTCCCAAGCGTGTGGGAGGCTGTGGTAGTCGAGTCTGCCTTGGCTCACAATGACGCCCTTCTGCTTCACACGGCGCAGCTCGCGCACATGGTTTTCTGCCAACGCCCGTGCTAGCCTGGTGTCACGGAACTAGGACCGAGATGTGACCTCTCCACGCGTAGGTGCGGGTTTGCATGCACATGCGTATGCGTTTGTGCAAGTCTCAAGACTGTGGCCAGCAAACCCTCCCAAGAAACGTCGGACTGCATGCATTCTGACAGCTTTGTCGCACCAACCGCCAAAGAAGCACCAGGTGCACTACAGTTCTATTTCTTGATGCTTCTCGACTCTTGTGTATAGGGTTGTTTCGGATTCTGTCGTGCAACCATGACCACTTCTATTCTTTCCCACTCTTCTCCGTGCGCGGGGACAAAGCAGATCTCATCGTACGTCCAGTCGAACAAGAAGCAGGCATTTACCTTGGTCAACGCCCGTCGGCAAAAGCACCAGCACGTACCACTGCGCCACGCCATCACTCACGCGCACGCAGGTTTGCGCGTGCGTGAGAAGCCCAAACGCCGCTCGCCGACGCTTACCTAGAAGACAAGTCTTTGTCGGTGCTACAGGTGCTAAACAAAGATTTGCTGAGTCAAAGTTGCGTGATCTCTGGATAAGTGTACGGGGCCACTGCGGCCCGAAGGTCAACGCTTTCCAGATAGTCAGTGCTCAGGAAGCCGGCGCGTTCCTGCATGGCTGGCTTTTGAGGCGGTCGAAGGAAGGATCGCAATGGAGCGCGGAATAATAAGCTTAATCCCCGCGTGCCATGTGCCATTCCTCTCGAAACCGTCCGGATATAAGGAGCGAAAGACCGACGCTTACACATGTGGTCGGACAGAAGGCCGGACGGATTGTTGTCAATGGGAAATCAGGGAAGGACGATCCGCTGGGGGACGTGGCTTGAGGATCAGCGGGAGTGGGAGATCTACCTTAGTGCACCAGCATTTGCTGGCGGTTAGGTACCTCTTTGTCACGAGGAGGCCTCAGTGACAGTGCTTTTTCCGCCCCAAGGCGCAGGCTGATCCATGCCATGGCGCGGACATAAGTCGGCAGTACTTGGTGGGCATGTCAGGATGTACGGGCGAGTAGGCGCTACAGTGAAGGCTGAGTTGCAAGCGCTTACGGGCACTGCTGGGATGTGCGATGTAGGTATCCTTCTCTACTGCTGTCGGGGCGCAGTACCTCGAGTTACTAAACAAAGCGTTTCAAGGTTGGGCGCGTTCGGGCGGCGGCAAGCTAGTCGGCGGCCAACAGAAGGCACTAGAGCAAAAATGACAGCTGTTAGCGGCGCCACTGTGCGGCGTATGTACACAGGTCCCCACGAGAATGGGGACTTGGTTTTAGGACAATTTACCGGCCATCCGGTTCGCTGTTTCTAGATCAATCACCTCGCGTGCCTGCTGCTATTTCTGACCCATGGCGTGAGATCTGCAAGCAAGCAGAGAGCAATATCGATCAGCAGCGCGGAGATGGGCCGGGCGAATTGTATGACGTCGCCTCGTTGATTGGCTGTGCCTTCCCGCCGCGGCGCCTTGCTTTTTCCAACGAAGCGCGAAAGCGAGACCACCGACGACGAAAAGCGATCCGTCGACGTGGGCTCTTTGTCGAGTGCACTGTGACAATGACGTCGCGGCTTGAATGCTGCCTGATTTGCCTGTCCAGGCCCAGCCACCAGCGAAAGGGACGACCCGGCATGCCGAATTAGGAAGTCCACTGCCGCCAGCTACCGTCGCGCCGCCTTCAACAGTCTCTTCGACAGCGCTGCTTCACCTCCAGCGCCGCCCCACCTGCGTGCGGCTTTTTGCACCTCGCGGGGGCCACGTGCAAGAGCACAGCAGAAGGCCCGGGCATGGCATGTGCAGAATGCTTGGGAGTTCTATTTCTGGTGGCGCATGTTTGAGAAAAGGCAGTGCGGGAGTTCCCGTTGGCCGGGGAGCGGAGCTTTTCTGGATGAAGCGCAACCCGCCAAGCATGCTGCCTGCGGCGCTGGCTGTAACAGCTTTGTGTGTGGATCAGAGCAAGCAGCAGCAGCACCGCCGCGTCGTTCCTTGTCACCTGCCTGTGCGACGCGCAGCACCGCCAAACAGGCACCAGCAAGCTCCGCCATGCTGCGAGGGGGTTAGGCAGAGGGGAATAATGGCGTGGCGGTGGAGCGGCGGCGCGAGAGGAAGGATCATCAAGCCAGGAGGTGAATCCTTCGAACAACGCCGCACCGACTCGGGCCAATCGAAGTCAGCACCGCCGCAGCAGCTGTGCGGTTCCGCGCTTTTGGTAAGACCCCTCCCCTCGACGATGCGGTGAGAGCGGGCAAAGGGGAAGCGGGCTGCTTGACGTGCAGGGGCTGCGGAACCAGGACACCACCACCTCCATCCATCATTTCGGCTCCACGGCAACCTACCTTCGCGGCCGAGATCAACTGCTTGGCACCTGCGCAAATGGGAAGGAACCAGTGGAACATCCCGAGCCGTCCTGCTGCTCGAGACTTTGGTATTCGCTTATTGCAGACGGGATCGAGTGATGAAACTGCTCCAAAATACGTCACTTTCCAGGGAATCTCAGAGTATAACGTCTAAACATAGATTCAATCAAGCTTTCCTCAAACAATGCCGCGTTCATGCGTACATGCGTACATGCAAACCCCAAAGATGCGCCGTTGTAATATCCCATCAATCGTGAACGCCGACCTGACCAATCCAAACCCCGGCCAGAAAATGCATGTGAGACAGATCTTTCCAAACCGCAGAAAACCAAACCCATTCCCCATTCCGTACAATGCAAGCGCTGAAAGACAAGTACAATGCAAGTAAAACCAAATCCGGGTATCAAGCGAGAGTCTTTTTTTGAAACAACCTTGGAAATGTACAAGGAAGAAAGCGAGCGAACGTGTGAAAAATGGGGTATCTAGAGAAGCAAAAGCCATAGCGAAAGTCTTTTTTCCTTCCCGAAAATGGAGGGGTATAGAGCGAAAGTGAAGAGTTTATACACAAACGTAGCGGGGAGTTTTCTTGCGTTCAGTTGCGTGCAAGTTTGCATCGAGCAAGACTTGTTGTGGCCTTCAAGGCATGTGCATGTAGGGCAGGTAGCCGGTGCTCTCCGGGCTTGCCGTGTACGAGAAAGCGGCGTGCTGGGGCTCATCCTGGGTCGTCATGAAGGGCGTTGCGCTGGGGTCGACTTCGGCCCACTTCCGGGCGCACTGTTTGGCGGTCCACCGGTCTGAGGCTCCAAATTCCATCATCTTTAGTACAATGGTCAGTAAAAAGAGCTAGGGCGCTGGAACGTGGTAGAACACACCTTTGAAGCAATAATCTCGAACTTCTGGTCCCTCCAGTAGTCGTGAGCCATGCGCAGAGCCTTGACGTCGGCATCGGTCCAGACCCGGAGGCGCTCCCTCAGTCTCTTCAGGCGCATTTGCAGGGCAGGAATCTGGTACGTCTTGCCCAGATCCGTCTGGAAGCGGGCGGCGATGTCCTTCCACGGGAGGCTCTCCTCGTCCTTGAGCTTGAGGAGCAGCTTGTCCTCCTCGCCGAGTTCGTGCAGGCCGGTCGAGGAGCTGGACTTGCGGCGCTTGATCGAGGTCTCGGCCATGTCCGAGTCATCCTCGTGGCCACGCTTGGCGGTGGCGGCCAACCGCTGCACGCCGAGCGGGTGAGGAGCGATCAGGGCGTAGGGGCGGTTTGGCTTGGGAGCACGGATCTCGGGGGTAGGGGCGCCGCTGCCATGCGGCGGGCTGGATGCAAGGACTGCGGGCTGGTGGTGGCTGGAGCTGGCGAACATGGTCTCGTCGATGCCCGGGTGCGAGATGCCGAGGGCGTTGGTGCTGGGCGGCCAGGCGAAGTGCTCCGAGGCTCTGCTGCCGCCTGGTGTAACGGGGCTGAACACGCTGGGGCTGCTGTGAGGGCGTGGCGGAATGCTGTCAAAGGGAACGTTGCAGCCGTAGACGTAGTAGTTGTCGGAGCCGCGGAGGAAGTTGTAGCCGTGCGAGGTCTCGAGGTGGGAGGGGATGGAGAGGCGCGGGGGTGCTTGCTCGGGCAACGAGAAGGAAACGGGACCAGAGACGCTGGGGAAGGTCGACGAGTCGGCAGCGGTGGTGGAGTAGGCGAGCATGGGAGTGGGCGCGCCGGTGGACTTTGCGTGCTCGGGAATGGGAGAGAAGCCTGCCGACGATACCGAGGGAGTGACGTAGGGGTTCACGAAGCCATAGTGGGCGTCGTAGGGCGGCTGTGATATCGTCAATTGCGTGCCGGGCAGACGAAAGGCAGGCGGCGGACGTACGTTGACGGGTAGGGTGTACCACTCGTGGGCGGTGGTGTCCATGTCGTCGGCAGCTGGAGGCTGGACCTGGGCAGCAGATACATAAGGCATTGGGGACTCGGAAGCGGACATGGTGAGGTAAGAGCTAGCAGGCGGGAGGAGGTGGTGTCTGACAAAGGAAGCGGGTTGAAGCTGACGGCGGCCGCGACTATTTGTCTGGCAGCCAATCTAGGGCGCGATCTGGAGAGAGTGGAGGCGCGAGTCACGGCGCGCGCAAGATCCAGATCAGGCAGGCTATGCGGGAGGGCTGAGCGCAGGCTGATGGCCCCAGAGCAATCTCAGAGGATTTGCGTGAGGACGGATAAGGCGCACACGCTGGCAGGGACGCCATCGCGGTGTGGCTAGGGCCAGCCAGATTTAGAAGATGGTGGAGCCGCGGCCGTTGCTTGCTCATACCCGGCGCTGCGGCGCGGCGAGGGCGCCTCAGCGGTAGAGACCGTCCGTCCCTGCGCAAGCGATCGCCGCTGGGGTCAAGCGGTGCGAGAGCGAGCACTGTGGAGCGTTGGAATCGAAGGATCGCCATCCCGGCCGGGTGCTGGGTCGCTTGAAACGGGCTCGAGGCTTTGGTCCCGGTCGGCCCATGTGGCAGGGTCGCCGGCATGGGGGCGTTCCAGCACGCCGTCTGCTGGGCCGGCGTGGTGTCGCGATGCTGGGTGATGATGGCAGACGTGCAGTGCCTTCCGGCGGTGAGCTGCCGCCTGCCGCCGCCGCCCGCCGCCGCCTCCTGGCGCTTCAGTCCGGGCGCCGTGCCCAGGTCCTCCAGCGCGCCCGTTTCAAAGGCCCCCGCATCGCGATCCTGCAAACGGCGTCTGCGTCGCCGTGGTCCAAGTCGCTTCTCCACGCCAGAGGTGTGACACGGCGTCGACTAATCTGCCATAATTTGGGGGCCGCCGGACACAGCCCCCCTGGCACGCGCGCCCGATCCGTCAATTGGCCCGCTTCTGCGCCCAAATATAGATCGCGACACCGACTCGTCCCCGGCTTTGGCCCTTTGTCGAGGTTAATGGCGGATAAAAGCTCCCCGAAGGATTCTTACCGCCCAAATTGCAGCTGCGAGTGATGCGCACGCTGCTGCTATCTTTACCACCATCCCCACACCCGCCTACTCTTGACGTCGTGCCGCGAACCTTTAAGACGGCCCAGGCCACTCAGCGCCGCCGGACCTGCTCGCCCGCGCGTGATGATGGCGCAAACAGCACGCGCACGCCCAGCGTCACTGACATCGCCAGAGGCGTGGTTGAAACAAGACAGAGCACGAGGTGCAGCCGCCATGTTTTCTGCATGCACCTGTGCCCCTCACTGGCTTGACGCCGTTGTACGCGCCGCCGAAGACTCGTCGCACCGCGTCATGCACTTGAGCTCAAATACATGACGCGCCTGACATCAGAAAGTTTGACCCCGAGCACGAGGGCGACAAACCACGAACGCATGTCCGTCCGCTTCGCAGACGCAAGGGGCCGCCGGCGGATCTCGGGGCAACCGAATCTTACTCAGATCTTTGATCGTGTCTATTCCTGTGACACACGCACGCTTCTGCTCCAGACCTCATCAAAGCATCGTCTCAGCCGTCAGCAGTGGTTTGACTGCTTCAAGCGATGGCTGACGTCCACTGCCCAGAACGGCAAGCACTCGGAGGAGCGTCCGACTTCCCGAATTTAGCTCCCCTTGCATCCACCCTGCCAACAGCTAGCTTCCGTATACGTCCCCACTCTGATCCTGCGAATGCCCTTTTATTATCATAGATCTGCCTTCCTTCACCTGGGCGCTTCTGCCCTTTTGACGTCAAATCTCCGACTGAGAACAATCCACTGCCCAACACTGATGGCTGCTCGAACTGCCGAAGGATCCTTCGCTACAAACGCCTTCCTAACCAGGTCCTTGGCTTTATTCCAGTCAACAAACCCCAGCCCCTCCACGTTTTCTCGAGAGATCAGTCTCGAGAAGAGCCGGTGTAGAGGGCCGTTCTCGGGGAACAGCGTTGGCGCCGAGTACGGCTAAAGCATACTGCGTTAGTTGCCATCGCTTCCACACGGGCATAGATAAGCCCTGACGCCATTTCAAACACGTTCGATGTAAATGTGACCCCGAGTAAGAAGGCCCCAGGGTAAGATGAAAGGGTAGCAAAATGGCGGCTGTCAATGCACGGTAAGCCCACTTACATGCTTCTTCCTTTGGTACAGCTCGCTTGTGATGAAAGGTTTACTGGCTTCCCGCAGGATCCATTTCTCGATAAACCTCTGCTCCTCCGCATCCCACCTTACTTTGACGCTGGGCGGCAAGCCATTTACATATTCCGTCAAGTGATGGTCCAAGAAAGGTGTTCTCGCTTCCAGACTATGGGCCATTTCCGTGCGGTCGCCCAGGCACGACAAAAAGCTGTTGGCCAGGTGTCCTTTGGACCATACATACATGGCAGAATGTAGAGGATGCCACTTGTTCATGATGAGCTCTCTGGTCCGGCCATCAACGTTATTTGCAACGGTAAGGCGCGGGTCACAAGTACCGTAGACTTCATGAGCCCACGGCTCGTACACATCAAACCCCCATGCTGTCATATACTGTGGTGTTTTGATACCATTCAGCATACGCACCGCAACCGAATCTCCGGTTTTGGCGCTGTCCATGCCAATGGTCCTGTAGTTCCGCTCCGTCAACTCTTCTGTCTCTTCACGGAGCCCATCACGTTCCCGATCCGACAGCGCATTTGCAGGCCATGCAAGGTCTGGCTCCCGAAGGTAGTCGGGGAGGTATGTGGGATAGCCGGCGAAGTTCTCGTCGGAACCTTCGCCTGTCAAGACGACCTTGAAACCCACTTCGCGTGGCACTTCCGAGAGCGCAAACTTGCCGACGTAGTTGAGATCCGCATTGTGGTGTTCGCAATGGTAAGTGGCGTCCTCAAAATAGGCTGCAAGTTCGGCTTCTCCCATGTGCTTTTTATGGAACTTGACCCCCAAAAAGTCAGCGGTGCGATTAGCGATTGCTGCTCCTTGTCAACTTTCTCCCTGCCGAAGCTCAAAAGGGCATCCAAGCTTACATGATTCATCGTAGCCGCTGTCTTCGTCGAAAGCGATACCGAAGCAGCTTACGCGGTCTGTTTCTTTCTCATTCCCAATTTTCTCTCCTCTCTCTTTGACCAGATGCGTCACCATGCCCGCAACCACTGACGAGTCAATACCACCACTGAGGTAGATGCCTACCGGCACATCCGCACGAAGGCGAATCCGGACGGCTTCAAGCAGTCGCTCCCGGACACCCTCTATCATCTCCTGCTCACTTCTAGGGTCTGCAGTTCGCTTGAGCGGAAGTTCAGCGATCACCACACCACACCTCAACAACAACAAGCGGTCAACGTACCTTGTCCGGATACTCAACATCCCAATACATCCTCTCCTGTACATCCTCGAATCCCTGACATGTCAGATAATGCCCCGGTCGCACTTTCCTCACGCCTGTGAACAGGGTCCGCTGGTCGTGGTTCCACCCGGCCTCGAGCAAGCTCTTTACATCCCACTCCGGCGCCCACCCGAACGGCAGCCACGCCTTCGCCTCGGCAGCAATCTCGATCCTCCGACGCTCCCCATCGACGCGCCAGAATAAGGGCTTGATGCCGTAGCGGTCACGCGCAGCGACGAACATCTGGGTGCGGGCGTCGTAGAGGCAGAGCGAGAACTCGCCGCGCAGACGCGAGAGGAAGGATAGGCCGTGCTGCAGGTAAAGCGCGACGACGAGCTCGCAGTCACTGTGGCCGGCGAAGGCGTAGTCCGGCGAGTGCTGGAGGACTGAGGCGCGCAGGGCGTCGTAGTCGTACAGCTCGCCGTTGACGACGGCGTGGACGGTACTGTCGGGTGAGGAGAAGGGCTGTGCGCCGGTAGGGGCGAGGTCGTTGATGGCGAGGCGGACGTGGCCGAGGGCTGCCGGGTAAAAGAATGTAAGCATCCGCGGGAGGTTTTGGATGGATTCTATCCCCAGGTGCGAGATTATGATGTTGGATCTGAGGGAGAAGTACGAACCGACTCTATTGTCTGGGCTGATCCATTGACCCCGCGAGTCTGGGCCGCGGTGTTTGATTGCTTCGAGGCTGGCATAGAGCTCTTGAGATAGCTCGTCTCTATTAATATCAGAGGGATCGCCCTGGTGGACAATGCAACTGATTCCACACATAGCGGCGGAAGGCTCTATAGCAACAGTGTAGAATCACCGTGAGAAAACTGAGTAGCTGGACCGTGTTCGAAGGAAATAAGACTATCGGCACCTAGTAGGTTAGCTAGTCTCTCAATTCGACCAACGGTGACGTAGGTGTGCCTGTTAGTGTATTTGCAATCGGCTTACGGGAAGAGGCACGTCTTTCAGTCATGCATGTCAAGCGCCCATTCTCGTCGAGGAGTTAGAGGATCCAGTGCAAGAACGATTTAACTATATTGATCTTACACTAATACGATATTACTGTCCATTCACTTGACCCGTGTGAAATTTATTCTTCTTTATTATTTTGTAAAAACAGTATATATTTTTTAGAACATATTGAAGACTTTCTTTTTGAAAAAAAAAAAAGAAATGTTTGATATGCTTAGATATGCCTATAGTTAGGCGAAATCATTCATATTTAGAACAATCGGTGGGTCCCACAAAAGAAAGAGCTGGCCTTTAGCATTTAGGGCGGCTGACGTCATGCGGGCAAGATGGTGGGGAAGGCGTGACTTCGCGCCAACCGCCGCGCGCCGCCACGCGTCTCCGTGTCACCTCCGCGCCTCCTCGCTTTCTCACCTGAGCATTTTCATTGCGCGACATGAAGGTCGATGGCGACGGTTACGCAAAAGCCGTCGCGAACCGCGGCTGGACGGCGCTGGCGCCGGGCAGCCGTACAGGAGGTAAACCGGATGGAAGGCGAGTGTGAAGGCAGCAGCGACCTGGAGATCACCGACGTTGTGCGCAAGGAGGTAGACATTGATTCTTACATCCAAAGTAAGCCGCTGTCGGTTATCTGCTCTGCACATATTGCTCACTCAGTGAAAAGATGTCGTCGAGCCACCTAATGATGGCTTTGAGACAACCGACGAGACCGAAGACGAAGACAGAGACGGAGAACAAGGGCAACATGGTCGTGATGAGCCGCGAAAAGTCGAATTTTCGGACGACGAAGATGCAGAGGCCGCGTACAATGCGTTTAAGAACCGGAAAGCTGTAAAAAGGAAACGTGCTGCAGCCATCTCGCGAAAAGCTAAGGCTGTGGCTTCCGGCAATGCTTCCAGCATGGTAGGGCGCCGCGTGCGTCCCCGCATGCCAGGAGGAGATGGAGATAAGCCTGGCCTGAAAAAGAAGCGGACGCTCGAGGACACCACCGACGAGGAAGATGAGCTGATGGACGAGGTTCTCCCCGACTATATCAAAGAAAGAAAATCTAAATTCGAGGATGCTCGAGAGAGGATGGGTGAAGCTGGACTCCTAATACCTCCTGACTTTGATGGAGTCTATTTTTCCGACGATGAACGATTGGAGCACCTCCTCGAGAAGCCATCCTTCCCAGGCAGGAAGCCCCTCCGGAAATACGAGGATATCATCATTCCGACGACTGCAGGAGTAATTCCGGCATCCCATGCTCAATGGCTTCGCGACTATCAAGTCAAAGGAGTCGAGTTCTTGCATGAGAAATTCGTCTATCAACGGGGTGGAATACTTGGCGATGATATGGGCTTGGGTAAGACCATTCAGGTCATTACGTTTCTCACTGCCGCTTTTGGTAAGACGGGGGATGAGCGCGATCAAAAGCGGATGCGAAAGATGCGCCAGAATGACCGGGACTATCCCAGGGCACTCATTATCTGCCCGGGTACTCTCCTGGAAAACTGGAAGTCTGAACTTGACGATTGGGGCTGGTGGCATATTTATACTTACCATGGATCACCTGCTGATAAAGACGCCGCGTTGCGAGCGGCTCGCAAAGGTCGTGCCGAGATCGTACTGACAACTTATACAACATATCGAAATAACAGGAGCGAGGTCAACACTGTTGATTGGGATTGCGTAATCGCGGACGAATGCCACATCATCAAGAGTCGAACGTCTGAGATTACGAAGGCCATGAACGAAATCAATGCTCTTTGCAGAATAGGTCTGACCGGAACAGCAATCCAAAACAACTATTACGAACTATGGACACTGCTTAACTGGACCAATCCTGGTCGATTTGGCGGAGTCGTAACTTGGAAACTTTGCATCAGCGACCCCCTCAAGATGGGTCAAGCTCATGACGCTACGTATCAACAGCTTGCCAAGGCTCGGAAAACAGCAAAGTCTCTGGTCAATAACCTGCTCCCTCAATTCTTTCTACGCCGAATGAAGTCGCTAATCGCCCATGAACTTCCAAAAAAGAGCGATAGAGTTGGTAAGTCAAAGTCCAACCTAAGGTTAAGGCCAATGCTGATAGCTTCACAGTGTTCTGCCCCCTTACGGAATCCCAAGCTGAAGCATATGAGAATTATGTCAATAGTGATCTTGTCGAGTACATTCGGCGGTCTACGGATCCTTGTGACTGCGGATCTGGCGGAAAGCGAGGATGGTGCTGTTACACCGAGATCCCCGGACATGGAAAATGGCAGAACCACGTGTTTCCTTCCATGGCAACTCTACAGAAGCTCACCAATCATTTAGCGCTCATCATTCCAAGCAGTGGCGATGCACCAGAAAGGCAGGCCCGGGACCTTGATGACTTACAAATCACCATGCCTGATCAGTGGAAAGACCTATACCGTCAGCGAGACAACATCACGAACTTTGCAAAGCAGGAGTTCTGTGGCAAATGGAAGATACTGAAGAAGCTTCTCCAGTTCTGGTACTCAAACGGCGACAAAGTCCTGGTTTTCAGCCACAGCGTGCGGCTTCTTCAGATGCTGCGTATGCTCTTCACGAGCACGACAACCTACAATGTCAGCTATCTCGATGGTACGATGAAGTACGAGGACCGCCAGCAAACCGTCAACGACTTCAATGCCGACCCCCGGCAATTTGTATTTCTCATTAGCACAAGAGCGGGCGGCGTAGGTCTAAACATCACTTCGGCAAACAAGGTCGTTGTTTTCGATCCAAATTGGAACCCTGCATACGATCTCCAAGCTCAGGACAGAGCCTACCGAATTGGGCAAACCCGCGATGTTGAGGTTTTCCGTTTGATTAGTGCAGGTACCATCGAGGAGATAGTCTACGCGCGTCAGATCTACAAGCAGCAGCAGGCCAATATCGGTTACAATGCCTCAAACGAGCGGCGTTACTTTCGTGGAGTCCAGGACCAGAAAGAAAAGAAAGGAGAAATCTTTGGACTTGCCAACCTCTTTTCCTACCAAGGCGGCAACATAGTGCTTCGGGACATTGTCAACAAAACCAATGTCGCGGAGTCCAAAGTTGGTGTCACGGTGATTGGCATGGACGGCCACAGCCAAGAGGACGATGACGACTCTCTATCAGATGGCGACCGCGAAGACGCCCTTATGAGCCAAATATCGGACATGATCAAAAGCGGTAACGCTGATGACCTGACAAAGGATCTTAAATCAGCCCCGAAGAAAACAGATGCGGTGCAAGCAATCCTCGCAGGCGCTGGCGTGCAATACATGCACGAAAACTCAGAGGTCATCGGCACGTCGAAAGTAGAAGCACATCTCAGCAAAAGGGCAGCAGAGAACGAGAACGATATTGACTACATTGACAAGCACGTCTTTGCGCCAAGTCAAAGCCAGGTCGACAGAGACGAAAGCGACGTCGACAGTGCTGACGAGGTGCAGATGATCAGGTACAAGTACAGGCCGGCGGAAGACGTGCGAATGCGTCAGTTTTGCACCATGGCAAAGATGTTCGATTTCGATGATGTCACAGAATTTGCATTGGTGGTTGAGGGCTGGACGCAGGAGCAAAGGAGGAACTGCCTGGACAAGTTCTACAGTCTCAGGAGAAGGCAGCTCGGGGCGGGTGGGGATGAAAAGGGGGAGAAGTGAGGGCGAGGTGTCCTTTTTCAGCCGTTGATACCCCTCGATGGCAGAATTTTGATGTTGCAACAGGGCAGCTGGAGAACCGCGGCTACGCTGTTCGCGATCTGCGGAAGCGAACGGCAGCCCCAGGCGCACCAATGACGTTGTTCGCGGCGGGAGTTTCAGACGAAGGCTAGAGCTGCTGTTTGACTTTTCCGGCCACTCCCACGCGGAACAGCAAGACGGGCTCGGCGGGCGGCTCAATCGGGCGGCGGAAGTTGATTGCATCCGGAGAGATAGAGTACATACACGTATATTGTACGCCCTGATGACGCAGATCATCCCCTATCCCGCTGATTCGTATCATGGGGCTCGGGCGGGCCGAGAGCGCTGCTGGGAAAACCGGGCGGCGAAAAACTGTTGGCTTACGTAGCGCGGCTGTCACCCATTCATGGAGCGAAGAAGGGTCTGCTGACGGCGGCACCTGCAGGGCGCGAGTACGAGCGACAACGCGGTACGTGGAGCATGCTAGGCAGCAGATTTTCTTTATCTGGAGTGCTGGTTGGGTGTGGGTTGTCATAAAGATTCGCGGGTGGGCTCCTTAAACCGCGGCCGGCGGCGGGGTATTTTTTGGCCCAACTCGTCATATAGACTCCGTCGCACAGCCTCGCATTTCTGAACCTCCACCCTCCCGCCGACAGCCCTTCCAATCCCCCAAGACCCCACCATGGTGCTTGGCCACGGTCACCGCCGACACTCGCTGTCAAGCAGCCGCTCGTCGACCGAGGAAGGCCGCGACAACTCTACCGTTACCGGCGAAGACGAGACCATCGTCGACTCGGAGCAGAGCAATGGTACGCCGCGCCACCTCTGAGAGCTTTCCGTGCCTCTTCAGAACAAAGACTAACGAGCCGCCTCCTGCTGCAGTTCTCACCCACATCATCTCGCAACTGCGGCCCGGCGCGGATCTCAGCCGGATCACACTCCCAACCTTCATTCTGGAGCCGCGGTCGATGTTAGAACGGATAACCAAGTGCGTTCACGGTTCCCTGCCTCCCGGGGCGCCTAGGAAGAATGAGGAGAACTAACTAGGTCTTTCTGCGCAGCTTTATGGCCCACCCGGAGACCCTGCTCCCTATGCCCGACATCGAGGACCCGACAGAGAGATTTCTATCCGTGGTGAAGTTTTATCTCAGCGGATGGCACATCAAACCGCCGTATGTACGCTCTGCGCAGCCGTTTTGTTTTTTTCGGCGCCTTTGATGCTGATCCTTAGCCAGCGGTGTCAAAAAGCCCCTCAACCCGATCCTCGGCGAGACCTTTACCTGTTATTGGGATTATCCGGACAAGACTAGGGGCTACTACATTTCCGAGCAGACGTCGCATCATCCGCCGAAGTCGAGCTATTTCTTCATGGCTCCCGAGCACCACATCCGCATCGACGGCACCCTCAAACCTCGAAGCAAGTTCCTGGGCAACTCTGCAGCAAGCATGATGGAGGGTCTGGCTGTGATGACTTTCCTCAACCACAACGAGAGATAGTAGGTTTTGTTATAACATGGACAGGTGGGGTGCCATGGCTAATCGCAGGCGCAGCTTCATTACGCAGCCTAATATGTACGCGCGGGGGATTCTGTTCGGAAAGATGAAGTACGAGCTCGGCGACCATAGTTATGTGCGATGCCCAGAACTGGGCTTGGAGGCCGATCTCGAATTCAAGACCAAGGGCTGGGTTGGAGGTACCTACAACGCTATCGGCGGATACATCAGGGACTCCAGGTCCCAAAGGAACCTGTTTGAGCTCTCTGGGCTGTGGACCGGCGAGATGTGGGCTAAGAACCTCGTGGTAGGTGGAAATTTGGCGGCGGAGCTGTGTCAGCTTTCGCATGCACAAGACACACACGGCGCGCTCAGCTAACGTTTTGTCACAGACCGGAAAGAAGCAACTCCTGTTCGATGCAACACACGCGAGAGAGACAATGCCATTGGTCCGTCCTCTAAAGGAGCAAGAAGACCGTGAATCGCAGAAGCTATGGCGGAAGGTTACTACGGCTATCAAGCAGAGAGATCAGGTCGTAGCCACAGAAGAAAAATCAAAGATTGAAGACATGCAGCGCGAAGAAGCGGCAAAGCGCGTGGACGATGGCGTCGACTGGCACCCTCGGTTATTCAGGCCTGTCCAGGGCGGTCCGGGAGGCTCGGAAGAAGGCATGGAGGATCTGGACTACATCATTCGCGCCAAGGTGTAAGTGGAGTGTGGCCCGCAGTCACCCGACCGCATCACCGGGAGGCTCGGACGCGGGAGTCGGACGGAGATATGCTAATTCGCCGCGCGCAGGGACGGAGCCACGCCGGAGGAGCAGACGAAGCAGATACTCAGCATAGCTGCGATACTTCCTGGTCAGACGGTAGAGCGTAGGTTCTCTATACCTGAACGGAAGACCGAGTCCCAGCACCACAACGAGACAGAAGACCTGATCGACTTTGGCCAGCATGACGCGAAACCCCAACCCGGATCCGTCGAACGGAAGGACTCTGACACCAACTCGATCGACGAGTTTGTGGACGCCGAGTCATGAGCGAGCGGCTTGTGATGCATCGTCGTGGTCAGCAAAGATTCCCTTTCCAAGTTTTCAGGTAGACTCATCTCGGCACGGAGGGTGTTCCGGGGCTGAGGAATCCAGCGAGACACAGGTACACTTATTTAACTTTGGTTTCCTATCTGTCTGTTCGCCTGTTTTATACCGACAAGAATCGATTGGCCCTCAACGGTTCAATTTCAAGGGAATTTCGTTTTTTTCCGCGAGTAGTAGCAGAGCGGGTGCAGAGGGATACTTCACGGGGGAAATACTAAAAGAAAGGCGTAATTGATTCGTCAAATTCATCTTCGTCTTGCGCTTGTCTATCCGTCTTGTCATGGCCGAATCCTATCTTATCTATACGCTCTATTTCGCTTCGTCTTGACCATTCTATAACCCGAGCCACAATTCCCGTCTCTTTTAATGCAGAAACTAGCAATAATACCCACTCCTCTCTAGGCCAAATGAAAATTTATATCGTCCAGTGTATCTTCCTGCAAAATGTCTAGTTCTTCTCGCTCTCCTCCGGCGGCAGCGCCATGCCCAGCATGAAAGCCGGCTCCTCGATGTTGTGGTGCTGGTAGCTGAGGACGCCGACGCCGCCGGGCTCGAGCATCATGCTCAGCGGGAACTCCATAGGGTAGCGCAGCCAGCGCTTAGTGAAGGCGCGGAGTAGGTGGCCGTGAGCGACCAGGACGACGTCGGCGGGGGCCTCGCCGTTCATGCACGGCGCCTGCAGGGCGCGGATCTCGGCGATGAGGGCGTCCAGGCGGGCCGTCACCTCGGCGGCGCTCTCGCCGTCCTCGCAGCCGTCGCGCCAGATGTCCCAGGGCCTCTCGGCGTCGAGGTCCTTGGCCTGGCGGCGGGCGCGGATCTCCTTGGTGAGCAGGCCCTCGTAGGCGCCGTAGTCCCACTCGGCGAGGGCGGGCGTCGTCGTGACCTTGGAGGCGGCGCGGAGCGCGTCCTGCGCGGGCGCCGGGAAGAGGAGCTCGAAGGTGCGCTGGGCGCGCGTGCGCGGCGAGATGTAGACGTGGGCGAGCTTCGAGGGGTCGATCAGCTTGCCGGCCCCGACGAGGGCGCGGCCGCTGCCGACGACCTGGAGTTCGCCCTTGGGCGTGAGCGGCAGGTCGGTCACGCCCGTGTAGCGGCCGTTGATTGTCCATTCGGTTTCGCCTGGTAGGAAGGGAGGAAGCGGTTAGTTGGTCGTGTGGCGTGAGGGGTTCAACCAGGCGTTTCGTTTGCTGCTAGGGGAGGAAAGAGTGGGTGTGTGTATAGCATGTTGCGCCTTTAGGGTTGATCGTTTTTGCGGATGGTTTGGTATCGTTCGTTACGAGCATGTCGAAGAGCGTTCGATTGCCGCGATTGCTGGAACAGTGGGGAATGCAAACGTACCATGGCGGGCGAGGTAGACGCGCGGAGTGCCTGCGTCCTTGTCCGACATTGTTTTGCACGGGGTTCCGAGGGGCTGGGTGTTGGGACAATCGGATCTCCCTGGCGGGTGTGGAACGGAGAAACCGACGGGAGAGGTGATGATGATGTGAGGGCTGCTGCGCGCCCCACCGAACAGCTGTGAAAAAAAGTGCCACCGAGTCAAGGGGCCCTCCACCGTTCGGAAGGGGCCCGACAAGGCACGATTGACAGGCACGCCCACGTCAGCGGCTTCATGGCCCGGCTCGCCGTCCCCCATCCTCCCCCGCATTTTGGGCACGTTGCGAATGATTCATGGCACCGTGGCTGATGTCCCCGCAGCTCTAAAAAAAGGATAATCTCATTACCATTGCTTGTTTCCAGTGCGAATAAGAGTGGAACATTGGGATATCTATGAAATCAAGAAATAGACCGCACCATGGCCCGATCGGCCAGCTGCTTGCGTGCCTCCACGGCCAACCTTCTCGGGGCGCGCACCGCGAAGCGCGCTTCCTCGCCGCCATCTGTCCAAGTGTCGTAGATCTCGTCCCTGTACGTTTCAGAGCGCGTGACGGGAACCTTGCCGGCAAGAATGCGCTCGAAGAGCGAGTGAACGGCTTCCAACATCTCCTCGGCCTCGGCCTCCGAGGTGCAGTGTCCGCAGCACAGCTTCACGCGGCGATGCATGCCGGCAAAGTCATGGTTGTAGTAGTTGAGCATGTCGGCCAGCATATACTCGTTCTCACGGCGCACGAAGCGCAGCAGCTTGTCCAGCGAGCCCATGAAATCGACCCAGTCGCCCTCCTTGGGGAAGATGATGGCCATGCCGTAGGGTCCGCGCTCGTAGAACGAGTCGCCGACGTAAAGGAAGCGTTCGTCGTGATCGTACCATGCCAGCTCATCGGGCGTGTGCCCTGGCGTATGCAGCACTGTCACGTCGATCTTCTGGCCGTCGTGCACCAGGGCCTCACCGTCCTTTGCCCAGCGCGACACGCGGTACTTGGGGACCTTGAGCCCGTAGAATTTGCACAGCGAGTGTTCGTCCAGGTGCTGAGTGACGAACGACTCGCAATGGGCCGAGGCAACAATGGTGCATGCAGCGAGCGGCTTGGAGGCAGAGTCGGAGCCTTGCATGGACCGGGCCAGAGCCAGCGACTGCGAGAGGGGGATGGTGGGGAACTGTTCAATGCCGCCAATGTGGTCGTAGTGGCAATGCGTCACCAGCACGATGTACTGGCGCTCGGGATGGCCATACTGGTCGCGCGGATTGAGCGGTCTGTCGGCGTTGGCGGCGACGGGGGATTCCTCGAGAAAGGTGCGCAGCTTGGAGATTTGCACCGAAGAGTCGCGCGGCGAGTTGCACCCCGTGTCGGACAGGATTAGGAGAGGCAGGCGCGGGTGCAACTTGGCGTAGATGAAGGGATGCTCGTTGAGGCTGTCATCTTCTTCGATCAGGAACGTGGTCCGATTCAGACGGGTGGCAGCGAACGAGGTTGACGGCGGCTTGCTGGACATCAGTACAACAAAGGAAACGAAAAGGAGGAAGACATGATGATGATGGCTTATGAGCTCCCCAATATTTCTGCGGTGGTTCTATTTGACCGAGACGCTCGTCTTCCATGACCAGATTGAGCTGCTTGACGCCAATGGCCGACTAAGCGAACGGCTCTGGGGGGAAGGCGGGACGAGGCGGGTTTGGGGGCCAAACGCCGCCGCGCTTTCCACATGGCACAACCTGTCGATCACCCCGTCTCTGCATAGCGACCAACATCCTGGCTGATCCCCATACCGGCGACCGACATGCGACCGAGAGGTGGAGTCCTTCCATCGCTTTCTCGTCCAAGTTTCAACAATGCTCACTGAGGCGATTGCCGTCGCGGCTGGATCTGAATACGGCTCCACGAGACACAAGCTCCACATCTTTGACGTAAGCAAGCCCATCCCGTCTTGTCGTGCTCGGCGCCTGACCTTCGTTCATAAGCGTGGCTTCTACAGAGGGGTGCTGCAGCCGATGGCTAGCGCGAAGAATAGCAGGGCTCCAGAACATAGCGTAACTATGCCCCCAGCTTTGCTTCAGAAAAATAACGTATGTGGGCAGTTGAAGCTATCATCTGGACGTGTATGTAGAATTTTTAATTCGACATTCTCGTCCGGGCGATAGCTTCAACTACCTATGACATGACCAAAAAAACAAATCCACGCTAGCCATCGGCTGCGAGAGGGGACTGTACTATCGGGGATCTCGATGCTTCGCCTTGGTAACATGACCCGATGGCCGTGGCTATTGGCCTCGCAGACCCTGCGGCGCACGGCCGTGTCAGCTCAGCCTTACGCCTCAAGCTAGGAACAACCCCCACCACGCTTCGGACCTTCGCGCTTTACTTTGCAGCGCTATTGCCTCGAAGCCGCTGCCTTCCGTCCGGCCCCCATGCCGGCGCCATCACGACCCCGGGTCAGAGAGCATGTGCCGAGTAACACAGCCGCACGAAGTTTAAAAGGTCTCACCAAGAGCGTAAACAGGACGGCGGTTTTCGCCTTGGCAAGTGCAGTGATCTCGTCCCCCGCATTTTCTACAGGAAAAAAGCAATGAGATCTTCATCGCTTAGCTTGCCCGAACGCCATGGCCATTAGCTTTTCAGCTGAGGATACGAGAATGACTGGATCGCTGTGCGGATCTATTGCTTTTTCCTGCCACCATTCCCGGGCGTTCTGTCAGCCCGCGCCTTTGCACCAATGCTGAATTAGCGCACCATGGCTGCAGCAACCTTTACGCCTCTCTAACTCTACACTGCTCAAGCACTCGTCAAGTGTCGTATTGTTTAACCTAGATTTTGTGAAACACTGACCCATCAACTATATCTCCATCCAAACACGTTGGGGATGGCGAGCTCCATTACGCGGCACAGAGCCCTTGCCATGCACCTGGGTCTCAGCTCCGTGATTATCTGACAGGTGACTCCTTCCCACGGATGTTCCACCGCCAGTCAGTTTTGACACTGCGGCCTCTTGGACAGGGGTGGACCGTATCTCTCAATGGCTAGGCCCGTGTGAAGTCTCGACAGGCAGACGCAAGAGGCTGCCGAATTCCCCTGCCGGCGAAGCTCACTGGTCTTCCTTCAATGCTGTGTGACCGGAAATGCTTGTCAAAGACGCCCGTCATGTCAGCCGGATGCAGCTCTTGAGACAACCAAGACCAGTATTTCTACCGCCGAAGGTTCACTCTTCTGGACAAGTGGGCATTTCGTCCAATACTTTTTCCCTCAATCTTGCTCATCCTCACGCAATGGGTTTCTTCAGGAACTGTTGGGAGATGCTTTTACATCTCCCGTTCTTTGCTCCGTTGGACACTGGCTTTGAGCGGGATGGCTCGCAGCTTCCGCTCTCCTCCGGTCCGAGCGGTGGCGTTGTCATAGCCCCGGAAAATGCTTCGCCTGGCTTCACTTGTTCTTACCCAAACATGGACGGCTGGGAGAGCTGCAATACCCCTGACGACAGAAGCTGTTGGCTAAGAGACGCCAGAGCTAGTCAGCCCTTTTTCTCCCAGTACGACATTCACACAGACTGTATGTTGTGCCCTCGGACTGTGTAGGCCCTCGGAATAGCACATGCTGAACTGCTCACAGACGAGACTGTTTGGCCAACGGGTGTGACCAGAGAGGTAGGGGTTAAGATGATTCACACCTCTGTAATGTTTGCTGATTGCAGCAGTATTGGATCAATGTCAAAGAACAAGTGGTAAGGCTTTCGCAATATTACACTAATCATGTCTTCTGACTCGTGCATGCAGCTCTTCCCCGATGGGTACTCCAAGCCATATGGCAAAGTGGTCAATGATACCTTTCCCGGTCCCCTGATTGAGGCTTGCTGGGGCGACGAAGTTGTCGTACACGTGACGAACTACCTTCAGTTGAATGGCTCTACGTAATTGCGACCACATTCGCGTTCCGTCGGTCATGGCTGACACTAGAGCAGGATCCATTGGCATGGCGTGAGACAGTTGGGCAGTAACGAGATGGATGGAGTAAATGGTCTGTTCTTCTCTACTTGATGTGCGCGAAAAATCTCGTCTAATAGTGACCAGGAATAACGCAATGTCCCATTGCATATGGCGACACGTTCACTTATCGCTTCAAGGTTACACAGTATGGAACCACGTGTGAGTAGCCGCATCCCCACTTTTTGGTACAAGCACTAATAAGTGAAGGGTACCACTCCCACTACTCCCTTCAGTACCCTGACGGAGTATCCGGACCTCTTGTCTTCCACGGCCCCACGTCAGACAATTGGGATGAAGAATGGGAAACCCCCCTCCTTATGACAGATTGGGTCCATGACTCGGCTTTCGCTGTTTTCTCCCAGGAACTGCTCGCGGCCGAAAATTTGACTGCACCTCCCACTGGCGACAGTATTCTACTGAACGGACATGGTCACTTCAATTGCTCCTTGGCAACAGACCAATCCCGATGCGCTCCGGGTTATGGTTCCTACTACACACGAACATTCCAACAAGGTAAAAAGTATCTGATACGTCTGATCAACACCTCAGTTGGGTCGGCGTTTATCTTCAGCATAGACGGACACAAAATGAAGGTCATATCTACGGACTTCGTCCCCATAGAGCCCTACGAGACGAATGCAGTCCTTGTCAATATAGGTATGAATGACTTATCCTGGCCTATGTCTTGAAGACAATCAGATCGCTGACATGGCCCAGGCCAGCGCTATAATATCATTATCGAAGCAAATGCTGCGCCAGGTGACTACTGGATCCGCACTGAGATCCCCGGAGGACAAGGTGGCTGCGGTGGTGCTATCGACGTGCACGGCAACATCACAGGCATTCTTCGATACGACGCCAGCAGCACTGCGCTACCAACATCATCTAGGAACGACTATCCGTCCGACTGCCATGATGAGCCGAAAGAATTACTGCGTCCCGTTCTTCCTTGGACTATTGACCCGCACCCGCAAAATGACGTGCATAATAATACATATGAAGCTGGAATTTCTGAGGTCAGATTCCACAACGCGTTCCGCTGGGATCTGACCGACACTCCTATGTGGCTGGATTTCTCTAACCCCACGATACTGAATCTAGAGAACACAACATGGAATCCAGAATACGCCGTCATCGACTGTTCGTGCCTTATTTCTTTCTTTTTTCCTTCGCCCCGCCCCTCGTCCCTGTTTACCTCTGTTTTTGATTTCTGAGAGAAGTTAAAAAGAAAAGCTTCTGACAAACTCGTAATATACCAGACAACTTTGACCGCGGCTTTGTATATCTCGTCATTACCGCTAATCTAACGCGACTGGGCGAAAACAAAACCGAGATCCCTGCCGGCCATCCCATCCACATGCACGGCCATGATTTCGCTGTACTGGCGCAGGAGAACCGCACGTATGACGAGAGCCGCGACCCGATCGAGACCTTCAATCTGAACAACCCCCCTCGCCGCGATGTCGTGTTCCTGCCTTCCAACGGCTTCGTCGCGTTGGCATTCAAGCCGGATAACCCGGGCATCTGGCTGGTTCATTGTCACATCGCTTGGCATGCTAGTTCCGGTGAGAATTCTCTGTCCTTACCATCCCTTCTTTCTAAATCCAGGATGGAGGCAACATTGCATTACTTTTTGTTGTAGTGTTCAAGAAATGCTCTAGACTGACTTTTTGTGCCTCTTCACGCAGGTCTCGCCTTGCAGATTCTGGAACGGCAGCCGGACATCCTTGACTCCATTGGGACCCTGGAAGCTACGAACCGTACATGTGACGGCTGGGACGCGTACGAGAAAGCTCACCCAATCGACCAAGATGACAGCGGTATCTGAGCCAGAGGCTTCTTTCGGTCCTCATCCCTCCCTACTTTTACCCCCTTTTTATTACCTGGTCTCCCTCTACAACACTTGATTGTGGACCAAGTGTTATCCGGCTGTCTTTTGCGGCAATATATCTGCCTAAGTCTTGCCTATTTCCTGGCACATTCGTTCTGTTGTTCTCTTTTGAACACATTGTTCTCCTGAGACGGGCTATTTCTGTCATGAATGCGGTTCCTCCAACTCTTCAGATCTCAAACCGTCTCTTTCACTCTCGTAGGCTACAAAGACAATACATGGATTTCAAATAATTCATACATACATAGTATAGAGGTCATTCACTGATACTTTTGTTTCCCGCGTCATATATACATTATGCGGGAAGGGCACTCATACCACTCCTTACTCCTCCCCTTCTGGCATCGAGCATCCCTAGAGTGCACGGTGTTCAGATATCAGTTCCCGGCACTCGGCTAAAAGCACTTCAACCACTCCGTCAACGCATCGGTGAAGTACTTTCTGCTAATGGCACCGGGCGCAAACGTGGTCCGGAAGTCATAGCAATGCTGCGCGCCAGGAATGACGTAGCCGAAGATCTCGTCCTCGCTGGTGCTCTCGCCGCAACGCGGGGCGTCCTGGATCATCTTGGGGTGTGGGGCCCAGGACTCGGACGACAGCGGGCTCAGGGTGCGCCAGGGGTCGAACTCGCCGCCGGACCAGTAGACGTTGGAGGGGCGGATGCCCCAGCCGCCCAGGGACTCGTTGGTCTCGTTGTCGCGCGGCCACTCGGGGAGCAGGGTGGTGTTGGCCGTGGGGAACTGGCGGCGGCAGATGTCGGCCTGGTGCTGCAGGCTGTTCCAGCGCGAGACGATCTGGCCGGGGCCCAGGTTGGCCGACTGCAGGAAGCCCCACTGGGTGCAGTACTGCCACGTCCAGCTGACCGAGGACGGGTCCTCGAAGCGCTTCTCCAGGTTGCATTCGGGGGCGGTGGTGTTGCGGGCTGACGAGACGGGGCTCTCGCACTCCGTATCCAGGAACGAGCTCACGGTGGCGGCGAAGTTCGGGTAAGCGGCCCACTGCTTGACGACGAACTCGGGCCCGCGCGAGGGTGCCCAGCCATCGGCGCCCGCGACGGTGCCGTTCGTGCTGGCGTTGCCGCTGGCGCCGTGGTCCGTCTCGAGCCAGTCGCAGAAGGGGCGCAGGCCGTACTCGACGCCGTACGACTGCCAGTACCAGAAGATGGTCGACAGCGCGTCGCCGAAGCCGGCGTTGGAGTTCTTGTCGGCGTTGCGGCCGAGGAAACGCGTCTTGAGCGCCGCGGCGGCGGCGTCGTCTTCCATCAGGTCGTCCATGTAGTTGATGGCGGCGTGGATGTCCTTGGAGCAATTGCCGAAGCCGTAGGCGTTCAGGCCGCGGTAGACGGGCTCGAAGTAGACGGACATGTCGTTCTGCGCCTGTACCGGCGCCGACGACGCGTATGAGGCGAAGATGGTGTCCGGGTAGTGCTGGCGCATGAAGGCGGCACGCATGCCCGGGTAGGAGCCGCCGATGAAGATCCACGGCGTGGTCGAGGGGCTGAAGTCGACATCCGGGAAGTTGGCGCGCGAGAAGTTGGCAGCGAAGGCGGGCACGTCGGCCAGCGCCTGCTCCGAGGTCAGGTAGATGAAATCCTCAGGGTCGGTGTCGAGGCTGATGTTGACCGGGACGGAAGCGCCGTAGTAGCGGTGCTCCCAGACGATGCCGATGCCGCCGAAGGCATCGACGATCTGTTTGAAGAAGGACGTCTCGTTCTTCAGACGGAAGAGCGCGTTCGGCTCGGCATCGGCCTCGCCCGCGTCATAAATGAAGACTGGGTGGCCAGCGCCCTTGTAGCCGGACTCGGCGACCCAGAAGCGGTTCTCAAAAGTGCCTGAATCGTCGCCAAAGTGGTCGAGAGGCAGTGTTACGAACTCCGGGTTGATGACTTCGGTGGTGTTTTTGGCCGCAACGTTCAAAGCAGGAGTGTAGAGTTTTGAGACCTTAATTCCCAGTGGGATGTCCATAGGCGTGCCATCTTTTCATTTTGTCAGTTGTTTCTGTCTGAGCCTGTTTTTCAGGGGTGACGAAAAAGGAAGAAAATGAACCGAGTGCACCAAGCCCACATACCAGGAAACAATCCCCTCTCAGCCATGTCAGCCAGCTGCATCTGCTTGGAGCCGCCGACGATGCCTATGGCGTGAGCATGTTGAAGGTAAGTGCAGGCAAGCACCAAAGGCAAAGCGCGGCGGAAGCTTGACTGGAGCATCATCTTGGCAAGTTACCCAAAACTGCGAAGAGATGGACACCAGGGGAAAAGGGCGCGGCGGTAGCCATGCGTCTTTATAGGCAGGCGATACCGGGCGACAAGGTCAAAGTACGGGCAAAGCGGTGGGGCAACGGTGCTGCGAGTCAATTTGGGGTTCTTGGGTCAAGTGGATCGCTAGGCACGAGATCGCCATCTACATCGTCGACCTGCCAAAAGGGGTTAAGTACGCGACTCGATGATTTCGCGGAATGACCGACAGCCTGTCCGTATGCCTGATGGGCAGAGCACCTGCCTTTTACGCACTGTTTCCACACGAATGAGCACCGCCGTGGAGCCTATGGCGCGTTGGCTGTACATGTTGTGTGGTGCGTGAACAGCTGCATTTGAATCGGGGAAGCTCTTGTGCATCGTGTAACCGCGCTTAACGTCCCACTCGATCGGAACGAACTTTTGAACCGAGAGAAGATAGCGGCCAAGCCGGGGACTGTGCAGGGCTGTTGAAGGAGAAGTTGTGAGGGTGCGGCACAGACTTTGAGGCCTTGCATTGGGGTTGACCCCTGTCCACTATTGATAAGGATTGTGTAGCGTAATGCGGTCGGCCCGTGTGAGTCGGTGAGCGATTGGTGAGAGCTTCCGCGGACGAATATTAGCCACAGTCGAATTACTACTCAGACGAGGTTGGCTTAGTGCTGCTTTAGTGATGTGATGCATCGTGCCGCTTGTGTTCCAATAGCGAACCAGTCCAGCAGTGGCTCGTGTCTCTCCAGGACACAACATAATCCTTCAAGCAGTCATAAGCCTTCTCGTCAACAAGCAGAGTGAGAAGGCCTGCTTCAAATTCAATGCTGGTCTCTGTAACGCATGTTTAGAGTTGAATTGAGAGCAGGCATTTCTTGCATAGGGTGAATTTCATAGCATAGTTGGTAGGTCCAATTAGTTCCAGTCGCTCAGGTCTGCGAAGGGCATGGCGGAGAGAGAAGTGCTAATTTTTTAGTGTTCTGTTAGGTTAGTCCGCTCTCCAGTTGCAACGCGACGCAGTCCAAGTGTAGGACGCCTTTCCAGACGTCTGAGCCTATGCCTGTGACTGGAGCAATACGCCCTGAAATAAGATGGCCCTGAATCGACCAGCTCTCTGGCGTTTTCCCCCTCTTTTTGTTTAAAGTCGATTCCTGATGATGGATTTAACATGTTTGTGGTGCTCTCCACTGGGGTTTGTGTCCAATCAGAAATTATTCCAACCATGCTTGAAGATGACGGAGCAGAAGTGTGGCGAGGACTTGATGAGTGAGGTTTAGGAAGGTGAAGAGAAGGGCCTGGAAAGTAGAGTCGGGTGGCGGGCGGGAAAGCTTGGCGCGTTTGTCAGCACGGACCGCGTCGGCCGCGGCTCTTCAACATCGTGATTCTCCAGCTCAAGCAGCTCTCCACACCTTACATCCTCGCCACAACCTCACAACCTCCGCAATCGCAATCGCGCAACCATGGCCAACTATCTCGCCTCCATTTTCGGTACCGAGCAGGACAAGTATGCTCACCCTCTTGCGCGCACTCGCTCTGTCTAGCTTTCGTGGCGCATGGCTAACGTTTGAACTTTCTAGGGTCAACTGCTCCTTCTACTACAAGATCGGCGCCTGCAGACACGGCGACCGCTGCTCGCGCAAGCATGTCAAGCCCTCGTACTCGCAGACCATCCTCCTTCCCAACCTCTACCAGAACCCGGCCTACGACCCCAAGAACAAGATGAACGCCAGCCAGCTGCAGAACCACTTCGACGCGTTTTACGAGGATTTCTGGTGCGAGATGTGCAAGTATGGCGAGCTGGAGGAGGTCGTCGTGTGCGACAACAATAACGACCGTAAGTCTTCCCCCCGACGGCTGTAAGCTGTGTACTGACGATTATTTGCGCTCAGACCTTATTGGCAACGTCTACGCAAGGTTCAAATACGAAGACAGCGCACAGAAGGCTTGCGACGACCTCAACTCGCGCTGGTACGCCGCCCGCCCCATTTATTGCGAATTGTCGCCCGTCACCGATTTCCGCGAGGCGTGCTGTCGCCTGAACAGCGGCGAGGGCTGCGTGCGCGGCGGCTTCTGCAACTTCATACATCGTAAGGTTCCGAGCCCGGAGCTTGAGCGCGACCTGGAGCTCTCGACGAAGAAGTGGTTGAAGATGAGGGGTAGGGATGAGAGGAGCGTCAGCAGGAGCCCGAGCCCGGAGCCGACCAGGAGGAGGTGGTAAAAGCATTGCTTTGACGTGCAGCGGGGTTTCCGCGCGACACCGAGTTAAGATGGGATGAAAGGGACGCGAAAAGCAGAGACAGCTACATCATTGGATACCCTCTGGCCGTGCGAAGCAGAATTGCTGGACGAATCAGGACGAAAGACTTACGTTTAACGGGTGTGTCCATTGGCAAGCACGTATTTCTGCACTCGAGACTGAGGCTGCTGCTTGGTACGTCCCTTCGTCAGGCTATCTTGGGGGTCAAACCTGCTCATGGTTCTCTAGGGGCAGCTTTCTCATTCAAAAATCATGTATTGGCGTTGGTGGAAACAAGAAGGAGCAAGTTGAGAATTTCCTGATATCCATTGTTGAATCACATAAGTTTTCCATCTAATTTTTTATGTGTTTGAAAGCGCTGCTGAATGAATAATCCTTGGAACTAGGCAATTCGTGGTATCATGTGTGGGCCCAGCCACAGGGACCCCAGTCCTCTCTGTACGCCGTGACCTTTCCCAAACTTGGACCTGCCGTCTCAACCTGCTATTCTCCATCTAGGAGTTCTCCCACCCGTGGCTCTGCCTCACGCTGGCAGGAGCGAAGAGCAAGTTTCATAATCTTGAGAAGCTGCTCGACAGCCCACTCTTGCAACACCCCCTTTCATTCTCCTCGCCGCTCGGCTCAACTTCTGTCATCATCCTGCTGCGGCACAGTCATCTCGTTGAGCCTGTGGAAAACACCAGCGTTATCGAGCCAGACGATTAGCACCGCAAGACCCGCGATGAAGCTCAAGAAGCCAACCCAGAAGCCCCAGCACATGTAGTTTCGGCGTTTCCTCTTGACCCTTTCTCGGTCCAGCCATGATTCGCTGTTGCATGCAGGAGCGGTTAGTCAAATGACGGTTGGGAAAAGGAGAAGAGCAAGGGTTAGACATACGAAGGCTCCAGCTTCGGTCGCGATGACTTTTTGGAGTCTGACGATTGGCCGACTTCTTTCTCCATGCCCGCTTTTGCTTCCTCGTCCATGTGGATGGCGGCGGAGAAGCGCTTCCAGAAGTTGGGATCTCGTACTGTTGCCATGATGACGCAGCAGTGTTTGTTTTGGTTCGCGTGGAGAGCGAGCGTTGCACAGGCGTTTTAAGGAAGGGGTGCCCACGAGAGGATCGTCTGGGGTGGCAACGGACGTTGAGCGGTATGGCCCTGACAGGCAATGTGGCGGGCAGAGATCGGCGCCAGGGTGTTTATGCGATGCGGTTTCGAAACGAGCGTTGCGTGGTGCCTGAGCGATTGGGTGATCGCCCCAGCAATAACGATGCGTGGCGGATGGACGAGGGGCGCGTGTGACACCTGAAGGAAAGCAAACGGCCGGCGATGACGGGCAGCGATGAAGGTAACGAATGACGATAACGAATGAAATCAGAAACGCGGAGAGCAGGAGGTATCAATTCCCCGAGGCCATCGTCATGCACATTCCTGGCGTAGGCGAATGTGAAGCGAGGAATGGAGAAAAGGGAAGAGAGAGAGGAACGGGGATCACAGGTGTTTTGACTGAGCGGGAAGAGATTGGGGGACTCCCAGGGACATTGTCGCACGGTGTAGCAGCTGCAACTGCTGGGATGTTCCAAGTCAATGGGTCACAGCATGGTCGGGGGATCTGGTCTGCTTCAAAACGATGGCGTGCAGCCAATGCGAGCAACGCTGCAGCGAAACACTGAAGGGACCCTAGAGTAGCGGGCGGGTCAATCGCGGAAGTGTGACGGTAGCGGCGCCTCACAGTGCCAATCGGAGGCTATCAGCGGGGGCGCCGTAGGAGATAAAGTATGAGATTGCGGCGATGGCGCCGGGTGGTGGTGCACGCGACAAGCACCGATAGCAAGCGCCCGTCAAGTGGCCCGTTAGCGAGATTGCTCGGCCGCTGTCAAAGTGCACGCCCCGTCTGTTTCGGCATCCCGAGAGGCGTTTCGAAACAGGAAATAGTACTTCGTCAGGCATCATGCGCAGAAGATGAGTGAGCATGGCCGTTTCTATTCTGGTGATGGGGGCCATTGGAGGCGAAGCGGTGGCAGAGGGCTGTAGCATCTAGCGGGCACTAGTTGCCCTACTGGGATGCGGCTTGTGCTGGATTCAGAAGCGGCCCCTTGCCTTGAACCATCTCCGTAATCTCTCGTAAGAATCCCCCACGATGCCTTCGGCGATGCTGCCCTGGTGGCAGGTCAACGTGCCCGACGATCTGCGCACCGACGAGTGCCCCGACTTCCTCCAAGAATGCGGGGAGAAGGACCGTCGCATCATTGGCACGCCCGACTCGCAGTACCGCCCCTATAGCTGGGAGGAGGTCAAGGACATCATCAGTGAGTGCCGCGCTGCCCTCGGGACTGCCGTCCGCGTGTCTGATGGACTGCAGAAACAAACCGCATCGACAAGTTCGTGAGGAAACCCAGCGAGCTGCGCCGCTACCGCCACTACACGTGGGAGCTGGTGCGCAACTATGGATCCATTATGGATTTTGTCCTCAAGGAACGGCTGCAATGGACCGACCTGACGCCCCGAGGCCACCCTTTCACCAATTCCGGTTGGTATTGTACTTCTGCTGCCTAGACTCAGCCCCGAGCTGACGCCGCCAAGACGACATCAAGATCCTGCACAACGACTGGCCCTACGGCGTCGATGAGCGCATCGTCCATCTGGTCGTGTGGACAAAGTTTGAGCTCGAGGATGACCCAGCCACCGACGACCTGACGCCGGAAGCCCGGCAGATGATCGACGACTATGTGGACAAGACGTTTTGCACTCGCGTTAATGCCGAGCGGGTGGGTAACTCGAGTGTTGCGTTGGCAGGGTGGCTTTGCTAACGCGGTACAAGGTCATCTGGTTCAAGAACTGGAAAAGCCTCAAGTCGGTGCACGCCGTCGAGCACTTCCATGTCATGCTGTACAACCCGGACCTTGGCTTCATCGAGGAGATCACCAATGGTGACGTCCCGCTGTCCAAGAAAGCGCCCGCCGTGTAGCTGGCGCTCGGAGATACGGCAGGATGCATACGGCGCCGGAGGCCGCGGACGAGATCTTGCTTCCCGAAGCAACACAGTGGTGCCGATCTCGGAAGTTGTATGAGGAGAATTTGTCGGAATAGACCGCACCGCACACGTAGAACATCATAAAACCTCGCTTATAGAGCCGTGCAGCGGCCCCTGATGCAATCCAAATTTTCTTCTTGGTGGTTGTTGCCTCTTGGGATTGCGTACCCGCACCGGTCAGCTCTTCTGGAAGCTGGTGCCAAGGCGAGCGCGCAGGGTGTGGCCGCAGGCACCCAGGCCCTGCTACTATGTACCGAACGGTGCAGCATGCAGGCCGCTGATCGCTGCCTCTCCGAGCCTCCCAGTCGGGCTACAGCAAAAAAATAAGTGTGGCGCTGTGGCTGGTAGCGTTGCGCACTAAGAGCGGGCGCTGGCTTTCTGCTGAGGACTGGGGTCCCTGCGCAGGCGTCCATGGCTGCGGCCGCGTGGCGGCGTGTGCATTCCCCAGTGTGTTGAGCACAATAGCATCGCAGATGACGGCACTCTTTGTCGCGGCAGACAAGGCTGCGCCCGCGAGCGTGGCACAGCTGCACAGCGCAGTCATTGCGCGTTCCTGAGCTGCCGGCCTCCCCTGCACTCGGGCTGGCCGCAGCGGTGAGGGTCCGCGGCCAATGGGCGCGTTATGGCGAATAATAGTTATGGCTGCCCCCTACCGCCCAAGCTACGCCAGAACCCACATCTTGCAATTTCCATCCAAGCGTACCCAGATGCCGCGAGCTGCCCCGTGTGCCGTGCTTATCACTTTTGCCCGCGTCTCCGCCATCGCTTGAACAGCACATCAGCTGCACGCGCTCCCTCTTTTTCTTTTCTCAGCGTTCAACACCACCGCGACCTGCGAGCCTCTCCTCCGCAACCTGCACGCCGCCTCTGTGCTGTGTGCTGCCGCGAGAGCTTGCGCGCGTCCCCCACTACCCTTCGTTGGCGCCGAAGCTACACCGCCCAACAAACACCACCATGCTGTCGCGTCTTTTCGGCGCGAGCGACTCCTCGAGGTCCCGCCCGACCTGGTACGACCGCCAGGTCTCGCCGCTCCTCCAGGCCGTGTGCCGCCGTGCATGCACCCATCCCATTCACACCATTGTCTTCACCGCGCTCCTCGCCAGTACCACCTATCTCAGCGTCATTGAGAGCAGCCTGTTCAATGGCTCGGCCTCTGCAGGCAGCTCTCTGGGCAAGGCCGACTTCAACACCCTGTTGGCTGGCAGCAAGACGCTGAGGGTTGGTCCCGCCTCTGAGTGGAAGTGGCAGGCGGATGAAGATCGCAACGATGTGGCCCTCGACGAGGTGAGGGCATCCCCGCCCATTCAACCTTTGGCGCACGCTAACAGCTCCGGCAGACCTACGAGAAGCTTGCCCTCCTGACCCTCCTGTTCCCCGAGTCCACCCCCGCCAACGCGCCCCAGACGGCTCCCCTGGGCAACGCCGTCCCCATTCCGCGCAACTCGTCCGCCGAATTGCTCCCCAGCTCCTCCTCTGCCTTCTCCCAGATCTCCCACGATACGTCTCTCGCCTTCTCCATCCCCTACGATGAGGCTTCCGAGTTCCTGGCCGCCATGCAGGAGCTCCCGGCTCCTGCAGGTGCTTCCGAGGCACAGAAGACGGACGACGGCACAGTCGAGGAGAAGAAGTGGATCATGAAGGCCGTCAAGAGCGCCAGCAGCAGCCCCTCTGATTTGCGCCAGTGGGTCATCGAGTCCTGGACCTCTTTTCTGGACCTTTTGAAGGTGAGTGTGGTCGCGCCGGTTACACTGCATATTCTAACGGCTTGTAGAACGCCGAAACGCTCGACATCGTCATCATGGCGCTAGGATACCTCTCCATGCACCTGACGTTTGTGTCGCTCTTCCTTTCGATGAGACGTCTTGGCTCCAACTTCTGGTTGGCCGCGACGGTCCTTTTCCAGTCCGTCTTTGCGTTCCTGTTTGGACTGACTGTCACCACCAAGCTCGGGGTTCCCATCAACATGGTTCTGCTCTCCGAAGGCCTGCCTTTCCTGGTTGTCACCATTGGCTTTGAGAAGCCGATTGTTCTGACCAAGGCCGTGCTTTCTGCCTCCATGGACGCGCGTCGGCGTCACTCGGCTAACGGCGACAACACGCCGTTGACCATTCAGTATGCCGTTCAGACCGCCGTCAAGGAAAAGGGCTTCGACATTGTGCGCGACTACTTTGTTGAGATCTTGATCCTCGTTGCTGGCGCTTTCTCCGGCGTTCAGGGCGGTCTGCGCCAGTTCTGCTTCCTCGCCGCCTGGATCCTCTTCTTCGATTCTCTCCTGCTGCTGACCTTCTTCACTGCCATTCTCACCATCAAGCTTGAGATCAACCGCATCAAGCGCCACGTCGCTCTGCGCAAGGCGCTTGAGGACGATGGTGTGAGCCGCACTGTGGCCGAGAACGTCGCTTCCAACAACGACTGGCCCTCGCTTAGCTCTAACGGCACTGAGGATGGTGGTGCGCACACTGATATTCCCGGCTTTGGCAAGAAGATGAAGGAGACCAGTGTCCCTCGCTTCAAGGTTCTCATGGTCACTGGCTTCATTGTTGTGAACATTCTGAACATTTGTACCATCCCCTTCCGCAGTGGCTACTACAGCTCCAGCGCGTCTTCGGGTCTTGCGAGCATGGTCAATCCGGCTGCCATGGATCCTTTCAAGGTTGCGGGTAATGCTTTGGACACCATTTCGGCTGCGGCAAAGTCGAAGAACACTGCTGCGCTTGTTACCGTCCTTACACCCATCAAGTACGAGCTCGAATACCCCTCAGTTCACTACTCCATCCAGGAGCCTGTCTCCAGCCTTTTCGGTGGAAACTACAAGGACCAGCTGATGGACGGCATGGGTGGTCGCGTCGTTGAGGGTGTTTTGAAGAGCCTCGAGGACCCTGTCCTGAGCAAGTGGATCATTGTTGCTCTGGCTCTTAGCTTGGCTTTCAACGGTTATCTCTTTAACGCTGCCCGCTGGTCTATCAAGGATCACGCCCAACCCAGCAATATCAAGCCTCCGGAGGAGTACGAGGTCATGGACAAAGCTCCCAGCAACGTCAGGCTCGTTGACTCAGGCGCTCCGCTTCGCCCCCTTACCCCCGCGAACCCGCCGGCTCCCGCCAGGAAGGACGACGATTCTGATGATGGACTGGAGATGAAGCCTACCGCCCACCAAGCTGACCCGTCTGGCCCCAAGCGTCCTGTGCATGAACTCGAGCTCCTGTTGAAGGAGAAGAAGGCTCCTTCAATGACTGATGAGGAATTGATCGAGCTTGCTCTTCGTGGCAAGATTCCTGGTTATGCTCTTGAGAAGACCTTGGAGAACAAGGTCCGCGCTGTGAAGATCCGCAGAGCAGTCGTTTCCCGCACCCATGCCACCCGTCAAACATCTTTCCTTCTCGAAAAATCGAAGCTGCCGTATCAGCACTATAACTATGACCTGGTCCACGGCGCTTGCTGTGAAAATGTCATCGGTTACCTTCCCCTTCCTCTCGGTGTTGCCGGTCCCCTCAACATCGACGGCCAGAACTACTTCCTGCCTATGGCTACCACTGAAGGTGTCCTGGTCGCTAGCACAAGCCGGGGCTGCAAGGCCATCAATGCCGGTGGTGGCTGTACCACTGTTCTCACTGGCGACGGTATGACTCGCGGTCCTTGCGTTGGCTTCGAAACCCTGGCCAGGGCTGGTGAGGCCAAGGTCTGGATCGATTCCGAGGAGGGCCAGAAGACCATGAAGGCCGCATTCAACTCCACCAGCCGTTTTGCTCGTCTCCAGACGTTGAAGACGGCGCTGGCTGGAACCTACCTGTACATTCGTTTCAAGACGACCACTGGTGATGCCATGGGTATGAACATGATTTCCAAGGGTGTTGAGCACGCTTTGAGCGTCATGAAGAACGAGGCCGGGTTCGATGATATGGCCATCATTTCCGTTTCCGGAAACTTCTGTACAGACAAGAAGCCCGCTGCTATCAACTGGGTTGACGGGCGTGGCAAGAGTGTGGTGGCGGAGGCTATCATTCCCGCCGAGGTGGTGAAGAACGTCTTGAAGAGCGACGTGAATGCGTTGGTCGAGCTCAACATTGCCAAGAACTTGATTGGATCGGCCATGGCTGGAAGCATTGGTGGTTACAATGCGCACGCTGCGAACATTGTCACTGCTGTCTTCTTGGCGACTGGACAGGATCCGGCTCAGAATGTGGAGAGCAGCAACTGTATTACCGTCATGAAGAAGTAAGTCCGAATCATTGCACCCCAATGGAATCAGTACTAACAGAAAATAGCATGAACGGTAACCTCCACATTTCGGTCTCGATGCCTTCGATTGAGGTTGGTACGATTGGCGGTGGTACTATCCTGGAGCCCCAGAGCGCTATGCTTGATCTGCTCGGCGTCAGGGGAGCCCACCCGACCAGCCCCGGTGACAACGCACGCCAGCTTGCTCGTGTCATCGCTGCTGCTGTTCTCGCCGGTGAGCTCAGTTTGTGCAGTGCGCTTGCTGCGGGCCATCTCGTCAAGGCGCACATGAGCCACAACCGTAGCCAGGCTCCTTCTCGTTCTACTACTCCAGCGCCGATGGGCGTCCAGACGCCAACCACTTTGGCCATGACGACCATCAAGGACAAGGCTGCTGGCCGTCGCTGAGTTGGTCTGTGCTGCCTCAGCCATGGACTCGTGCGTTTGGTTTGCATTCTCGAGCGTTTCTCTTCTCATTAGCGCCACCACCCGCGTTTAGTAATATTTCCGGTGGTACATATATGTAGAGGCGCTAGAAGTCGCCGCTCGACGTTTTTGAGATAGATGCTCGTTCGTTGGTTTACTTCGAAGAAAAGCAGTTGTCTCACTCACACAATTGTACTTGTACATAGCCGGGAGCAGCCCAGCCTTGCCGCCTTTCCAATGGAATATCGAAGCAGCACTGTATATACATATGCAGTTGACCGATGTTATTGTTCTGCGCCGTTGATTGTCTTATTCTTACCATTTGTTCACTTTCTGATTCCATACCGTTGTCATCAATCATACCTCCAGCAATACTGGCGTTGTACTGCTTGGCGAAGCCGTGTTTAGCGTTTTCTAATGCTAAGTGCGGAAATGCCGATTGATCGTCATTGTGGAAGGTTATGCGGGGTATGACGCGCGTAAGGTCATACTCTTAAATCCGAGGCCTTGCGGTAATGAGAGTATACACTAAGCCAAGCCGCCCCCATCCCCGCCGATGTGATAAGAGCCGAGCCACGTTCCGGTACATCCGCTTGCGACCTTGATTGATTTCATTGATATTTAACTCGCAGTCATTCACCACACCGGGAATAATAAAAGGGGAAGCAAAACTCTGTAGAGAACAAACACGAATAAAGAGCAGGGGAGAAAAAAAAGAAGAACGGAGACAAATTCTCTGTCTCATACTCTCTCACAATGACCAAAACCGCCTTCACTACTCCACCATCATCATCATCATTCTCCCCGGCCGAGTACGACGACGACGATGACGACAACGACAACGAACCCGCCATCATCAGAGCCTGGGTCTACACCACCGGCGGCTACCCCTCCTGCGTCCGACAAACCCTCCTCCCGGCCCCCGATATCCAACCCGCCATCGGCGGCGGCGGCATCATCGGCCCAACCACGCTCCTCATCCGCGTCCGCGCCGCCGCCCTCAACCCCGTCGACATCCAGCTCATGAACCTGCCCGTCGTCTGGTCGCTACCCTACCTGTCGGGCGCCGAGAAGGGCATCGGGGCCGACTTCGCCGGCACCGTCGTCGCGGCCGGCAGGGAGGCAGCGGCGGGTGGGTTCGGCGCGGGCGACGAAGTGTTTGGGCTGCACTTCGCGCCGTTTGGTGGCGCGGCGGGGACGCTGAAGGAGGTCATAGCCGTGGACGTGCGGAGCGCCGTGGTGCTAAAGAAGCCGCGGGACTGGACGTGGGCGCAGGCGGCGGCGCTGCCGTTGGTGTGGTTGACGGCGAAGACGTGTGTGGGGAGGTGTGAGGGGTTTGTTGGTGGTGGCGGTAAGGGGACGGGGACGGTAGCGGTTCTGGGAGCGAGTAGCGCAACAGGCATGTATGCGGTTGTGCTCGCGAAGAGGAGGGGATGGCGTGTTGTCGGCACGTGTAGTGCGAGGAACGAGGAGTTTGTAAAGCGGATGGGGGTGGATGTGGTGATTGACTATACGAAGGGGGGCGTTAGGGAGAAGGTTGCGGCGGAGGCGCCTGATGCGATTATAGACTGTGTTGGCGGAACAGAGTGTTTAGATTTGGCAAGGAGATATGTCACGATTGTGGGGGATAAGACAAGCAGGAGCGCAATAGGTGGGTCGTTGACCTATTTGTGGAATCCCAGAATGGTGCTACGGGCACTTCTGGGAAAGCTTGGGTTGAGGAGTGAACTGTACGAATGCGTCAATTTGGAAACGAGAAAGGATTATTTGGAGGAGGCATTACATCTGGACAAGGAAGAGATTGTGGTTGATAGCACCTTCTCATTCGAGCAAGTCAGGGAGGCGCTTGAGAGGATGAATTCGGGGAGGTGTCGTGGTAAAGTAGTGGTGAGCATCGGGCCCTAATTCTTCGATCTTCCAATTTCTTGATCGTCACTAAAGCCCATGCTTAAATGTGAATGAATGACCGAGATAATCGAACCCTTGTCCGAATAGTGCTCAAAGCCATCTGTAACAAATGATTCGTGTTCTTACCTCAAGATCACTGTTCTTGTAATGCATATTGAGAAATATCTTGAGGTTGAACGTCTGGAAAATTTCAAATATCGCTTTCCGCTATTAAATCTTGGATATCGAAGAAAATGCCCTTCCCATTTTTGGACGTGATGGATATGCCTCATCCGTCAAAGCATGCAGAAAACCCTTCTTAACCTCACTGATGCGAATAAGCAAAAAAAAAAAAAAAACAATATCCCGAAAGACGATAAAAACAAAACGAAAGATGCAATCCTAGACGCCTGAATGCAACGGCTAGACCCATATACTCTGTTTCTTGAGCATTCGTTTTAGGAAAAAGAAGTGTAGTCCTTGTATGAGGGAACGCCATGGAAGAGAAATATGCTAAACCGAACACTTTGAACAAGTGTAGTGTCTGGCCTTACCTAAACCGTGGTGGAAACGTAAAGAGTGCTGCACACGTAAAATTACTGTACGACGTCCGCCAATGCTCGATCAGTAATGCGGATGCTTTTGTGTTGTACAAATGCAAGCCTTCGTTCAATGGCACGCCACTAGACATTCCTCGCCTACGTTTGACGTCCATACAACGTAGCACTTAGGTTCGATAGACTCCAAGTCATTCATAGGCCACGTCTCGGCTCAGGCCTGCCTCGTAACCCGAGAATGTCGCGACGAAGGCTATCAGGGACACCCTCCTGTGGCTGCCCGTGGTGCAAATTACCATGGATAGGTGGTGGCGGGCTGCCGGCGCCATCATAGCCGAACGGCCCGTGGTGCATTGCCTGCTTTGCTGGCTGTGCTGCTTGTGTTGATGGGTGATGGGTGGCGGGGGGTGTGTGATGGTGATGAGTCGTCTGCGGAATGTGATGGTGGTGGTGGTGGGTCTGTGCTTGGGCTTGCGCGCCTTGTCCTTGGTGAGGGCCTGGTGCGATAGCTCTAAAGCTGCTTTGTTGCGCTGCTGGTTGAGTGGACGTGTAGCCTTGGAAAGCCGGTTGAGTTGGCGGATACGGACCCTTGTACCCATTGACTGGCAAGCCGTAGCCCTGCGGGTTTTGGGCGGCAGCAGCGGCACTCTGTGCCTCAGCAGCTGCCTGACGCTGCTGATCAGCGAGACGATCTGCTGCTTGGCGGGCCTTGCGTTCTGCCCACCACTGCGTCATGCTGGCACTACGTTTCTCTGACTTCACACCTTTCTTGCGGCCAGAGGCAGTGGTACTACTGCCAGCGCTGGTAGGTGTTTGCGCTGTATGCGTGGTTGAAGCAGGAGTCGAAGTCGGCGCCGATATATGCTGTGCGTGACCATTTGCTTGCGCAGGAGTACCTGGAGCGAGAGGAGCCTGAATGGGCACCCCTGCACCGTAAGGATGTTGAGCTGTTTGTTGAGGGTGGGTTGATATGAATGTAGGATCAGCATTAATGCCAGGCACTGGCGCAGCTGAGACGGGAGGAATGTTTGAGTGCGGGGCATGGCTGTAGCCTTGAACGAAGAAGGGCTGCTGTTGCTGCGGCTGTTGCTGCGGCGGTGCAGTGGTGACAGCGCTGGGAGCGCTGGGGAAAGTCGTCTGTGTGCTGTTCTGCTCATTGTTCGCAGCATTGACGGCGGCTTGGGCAGCAGCAGCTCCTTTCTTACCGCGCGGTCCCTTCTTGATGCCGGCATCCTTGCGCTGAGCGAGATTCTTGCTGCCAGGCGGCCTTCCGCGTCGCTTGCCGGGCCCGCGCGGCTCCGGTGTTCCTTCGTAGGTGTCGTCGTCTTCAGAGGCGCTGGTAGTCATGGCGCTCTCGCCTCTCATTTCGCGAATACGGGGTGGAACAACGGATTGTCTCTTTGTCGCGCTGCCAACCTTACCTCTCTTCCGCGGACCAGGCGGTTCTGGGGTTTCGGAGCCCGCATGGTCACGTTTTCGGGTACGCGATCCAGAATCGGCAGCTCCATCGAATCTCTGAGCTGCACGCCTCTTCCTCTTCCCAACGTCCTCCTCGCTCTGAGCCAGGTCCTCGGTAGTGACATCTCGGGCACGCCTGTGTCGCAACTCGCGACCGCCGACGTAGTCGGTGCCAATGCGTTGACTGAAAGGATCCTGAGTTCCGGGGGGTTTGCGTGCGTCGTAGACATAGCTGTAAATATCGGCTTCTTTTTGGTCATCAAAAACCTTGGGGTCAACAGGCACGCGGCCGCCGTTTACCGGTTTCCTGGGGCCATTGTTTGCGTGTGCGGCGACTCGTTTGTCGATTGCGAGATACTCGTCTTGCCATGCTTTCAAAGCAGCTTGGGTGTTTTCGGCAAGTGCATACAGCACTTCAGACGTTCTTTCAGAGGGCAAGTGCTTAGTAAGAGCAGCGATAAACTTCTGAGGATCGGTCATGTAGTCAAAGCGCTTTCTAAGAATACGGTTGGCATCATCGTCAACTTCTGACTCCGAAGGAGTGCCGGGCGTGTTGGTGAAGGGCGGCGGAAGGTCGTCATCCTCCAGCTCTTCATCCTGATAGATGGGCTTAGGGCGTGGCTCGCGCGGCGGAGAGGGCTGAATGGGCGCCGAGGTGGCAGTGGACCTGTAGGTACCGGTAGTCTCACTGATGAGTTGGTGCGAGGGACTGGCGTCGGGGTCGTCTGGCGAGGGAGAGTCGTCGGCTTGGTCTTGATCAGCTGCTTCACTCGGCTCGCCGGACGGCTCGGCGTTATCCGGGTTGGCGTCCTCGTCAGCATCGGCCACACTGGGCGTCTGCGGACGCGACATGTAGTCTTCTTCGTCAACATCAGCGAGCGACTTGCGCGGACGGGCGCGGCGTTTTCTGGGCGAAGGGTGCTGTTTTTGAATTTTGGCCGGGCGTCCGCGATTGCCTCGCTTCGGGCGCTCGTGGTCGTTGCCATTTTGGGATGGGTCTTCGTTCTGACTGGAGCTCTCGCGCTCGATTTCCTGGAACTGCTCGTAGAGAGACTTGGGGCGCGAGGAGCGGTGGCGCAGCTCGTCCTCGCGCTCCAGGCGGCCAAGGAAATCCTCGGACAAGCCGGAAATGGTCAGGACGGGCTTTGAGTAGAAAGCCACAATGTCGTCGTGGCTGGCGACGAAGATTTGGGAATGCATTGAATTGGTCGAGGACGAACGGGTTAGCTTGCGGGACGTCTTTGATGAGCCGGACGACGAAGTGTCGAGGCTGGAGTCGTGGTGCTGGGGAGCAGGCGTGGCGGATTCCGAGAGTTTGCCCTTGCCGCTACGGGTGCGCATCGTGACAGGCCGCGCCCGATAAACAGTCGGGTCGGGCTGCGGTCGACGACGCAGAGCGCAGAGAGCAGTCGGGGTGGCAATGGCGCAGAACGAGACACGAGAGAGGGTGCAGGTGAATTGATGGTCGTGGTGTCGGACGAGGTTCGGAGGTCAAATTAGACAGTGAGACAAAAGACACAGGAAAGGGGAGCCCCGCAGGCGGGCGTCGCAGCGAGGCCGAGCAGCGCACTGGAAGAAAGCAGCACGGCGACAGAGGAGCAGCTGGCTTGCAGTGAACGGGGCGGGCGGGCCGCGATGGTGGTGTGCAGAGTCTGCGAGGATGCTGGACAATCCTGGCTGTCGAGCATTTCGTGTCGTGGTATCTTTCCTGGGCCTAGCGCTTGCCTAAAACGCCAATCAGCGCCCGCCTCAGGCAGCTGGCCGCGCTTCCCCGGATAACACAGGGATCGCGCCCACGACGCAGTAGCTTGCTGGTGTTGCTCCCGCCCCAGCACCCACCCGCCATCTCCACCGCCCACCATGTCCAAGCCTCTGTCCAAGGAGGAGCTGCTGGCCCAGTTCGACGATCTCGACGGCGACGACCTGCCCTCGGCCCCGCCGCCCCAGCCTGCTGCCCCAAGCGCAGACACCAAGGACGATGACGACCCCGTCGCTGAGCTCGCCGCTCTAGCTGCCGCGAAGCCCCCCAGCAGAGCCGCCACCCCCAAGCTCTCCTCCTCATCCAATGCCAGCAACCGCTCCCCGCGCGTCACCGGCCAGGTCACACCTTCCTCCACTGGCTCCGCCCGCAACAGCGAGGACAAGGGCACCGCCGCCGAGCTCTCCAGGAAGTCGCAGGACGGCACGCGCTCGTACCACCAGGGCGTCACCCCGAGCGAGGAGCAGCCCCAGGAGCAGAAGCAGTCTGGCGGCGGCGGCGGCTGGTGGGGGAGCATCATCAGCACCGCTTCCGCAGCTGCAAAGCAGGCCGAGTCCGCCCTCAAGGAGATTCAGAAGAACGAGGAGGCCCAGAAGTGGGCCGACCAGGTCAAGGGCAATGTTGGTCTTTTGCGCTCTTATGGTGAGTGCCTGTTTGCTCCAGCTCCAATCCAGATGACTGACTATTCGCAACAGGCGACGAACTCCGCTCGCGCGCCGTCCCTACTTTCACACAGCTTCTCCACACGTTAGCGCCTCCCATCTCCCAGCACGAGCGCCTCCTGATCCATATCACCCATGACCTGCACAACTACCCGGCACTCGATCCCATCATCTACGCCACCTTCTCGCGTGTCATGTCGCAAGTTGAAGGCGGCGATCTCATGGTGATCCAGAAGGGCTCTGAAGCCCGACAGGGCCCTGACTCTGGTTTCACTGGTGGTAGCACAGCTGGTTGGACCGACGGACCCTGGTGGCGTGACATCGGCGTCAAGCGTGACCTCGGCGCCGTCAAGGGTCTCGTCGAGGGAACTAAGCTTGCGCGCGTCAGCGCCGAGAGCTATGCTTCCGACTTCTTTGCTAGCAAGGGCGGCGTCGAGGAAGCTGCAAAGGCAGCCAGTGAGGTCCTTTCCGAATCAAACCCCGTGAGGAGCTCCGACATATTCCTCTCAATCCAAGCAATCAGCCACAGTGCCCCCGCCGATCTCTTTGGAGGCTCAACCAACGAGCAGAAAGCGGAGACGGGCGGCGTCGAGGAGCCGGCCGAGGCGGACGATCTCATCACATTTGCATTCTACCTGCACGACCCCATCCACAGCATCACATTTCACAGCTTGTCCCAGAGCTTCCCGCAGAAATGGGCGGACTGGTTGGACGCGTCGCCCGCCCCGGCGTCGGAGGATAGCACGGACCCAGTGGCGACGCTGCCAGTGGAGATCAAGGAGATCATCGAGAGCGGCGGAGTGGACCCGCGTGAGTGGGTCGCTGAGTGGATGGAAGAGGTGATCCAACTAGCTGTTGGAGTTGTTGCTCAGCGATACGTAGCGAGGAGAATGGGCGTCGGCGAGGGCGGAATTGGAAGAGGCAAGGCCCGCCAGAGAGCGGAGGAGAGCGGCGGCGGAGAAGCAGCACGGGCTATTTAAGCATAGGGATATCATGAAAGGAAGTACGAAGGTCATGACGGTTGCTGGGCAGACATGGCATGCACTGTCTTCATGAGGGTTATCTAGGCGCCTGTGGTTTGGTCAGATTCCCATAACTGTTGTATGAGCATTGATTAGATATCAAATACGACAGAAATTGAATGTCCTCGAAGGAACCATATGTTCTTGATCTATCCCGAATGCAGCCCTCGGGTTTCACGCTTCTTGGTATTCCCAAACGCCATACAATGCCCAGGCCAGATGATCACCCCGACGAACGCCTCCCATGCAGTGTTTGATGCGCCCAAACTGAGTATTCGACCTGACACTCTATTTCTTTTCCTTTTCCTTCTTGTCTTTCTTTCCGCCCCTCAGCATTTCCAGGTGCCCGGCCTTCTCAGCAAGTTGCTTCTCAGTCAGAGCAGCCAATCCGGCCGAGTGCTTCTTCAACAGCTTCTTCTGCTGGATGAGTTTCTGCTTCTTCGGGGCGATCTGGCGGCTTCCACGGGGCTTCAGTGCCTGGCTGCCTCTGCCGGGAAACAAAAGTCAGCAAAGCACCGGCGCAGAAACGGCATCGACCTACTTCTTCGCATTGCCGGCGGCGGGCTTCGCCTTCTGCTTGATAGTTCCTTGGGCCATCTTAGGATATGCGACTCGGGCTGGCGGCGAGAGAGGAGACTGGCGGTACGGCAATATTGCTGAGCAAATTGGCGAGGTGAAGCTCGGCGAGACAGGGCCAAAATGTTTCTGCCGCCTGTCGCTCACCGCTCTGTTTTCTTGGCTCGCCGGCATCTGCGGGCAGGCGGGGACGATCAACCCTTCTCCGCCTTTTCGCGAGCCGTGGAACCGCGCCCTCAGTCACGCTCGCATTTACCCGGTGCTCGGGTGAATAGCTCGCGGCACCACGATGAAATGACGACCGGTACAGGCAAAGCTCTGGCGTGTGCCCTCTCCCCCGGACTCCGCATCCGGGGTAAATCCAGCTGCAATTGACTCGCACCATAGTGAGCAGACAAGAAGCCCGGCTCGGCCAAGGCGATCCCTTTGTATTTATCCTGCTCAATATTGCCGGCGTAGCAAAGCGGCGCTGTGCCTGTTCCTGAATCGAAGAGCTGTGGGGGGCCGATGTAGGTCAACGTCACGCGTACTGCATGTCGGCATATATTTACCCTGCCTCCCATAATGTGCTCTCCCCTGGTTGAGCCTCCTTCTCTCCCTCTTGTTTGCCCAACATGTGGCTCCTGATGCGTCTCCTGTCCTTCCTGCTGCTGACCAGGTCCGTCTTTGCCATTGGTCAAAATGCCACCCTTGCTTTCAACGCCTCCACTAGCAGCTATCAGCTTGCGTCCAGGTCTTCGTCCGTGCGCCTCGTTCTTGATGCTGCAGACTGGCCTGGTGTACTGAGAGTCGCCGACGACCTTGCTCTCGACTTTGGACGAGTCACCGGCCTCAATGGTTCGCTTTCGCTTGTCAACAGCGATGCCCCCACCGCAAACGCCTCGGTCATCTTTAATGTCACTGGGAGATCGAGCTGGACAACTGCAACTTCCGCAGCTAACAACAGCAGCTCTGGTGTTATTATTGCCGGAACGCTCGGGAATTCGACTCTCATCCAAAGCCTCATTGATTCTGGCAAGATTGACGTCTCTGCGATTGATGGTCAATGGGAATCCTTCACTTCGCAGCTCGTCGACTCTCCTATGGATGGGGTGTCGAAGGCTCTCGTGATTGCCGGTATGCTACCCTTTGCGATTGTTTGGGCGTGGCTAATGCATGCTCCCAGGAAGTGACAAGCGTGGAACCATTTACGGCCTCTATGACATTTCCGAGCAGATTGGTGTCTCTCCGTGGTATTTTATGGCCGACTCGCCGCCCGCCAGCCACGCCGCCATCTATGCCATGGATACGACGAAAACGCAAGGCCCACCCTCTGTCAAGTACCGTGGTTTTTTCATCAACGATGAAGCCCCCGCCTTGACTGGCTGGATGAACGAACGCTACCCGAAGAGCAAGTACGGCTCGGCCTTCGGCGCCGAGTTCTATGTCATGGTTTTCGAATTGCTGCTCCGCTTGCGTGCGAACTATCTCTGGCCTGCCATGTGGGGATCCATGTTCAACGTCGATGATCCACGCAACCAACCGCTTGCCGACGCATATGGGATCGTAATGGGCACTTCTCACACCGAGCCCATGATGCGTGCTACAAACGAATGGGGCACCTTCGGCAAGGGCCAGTGGCAGTGGAACACCAACAATGCGTCCATCTACCCCTTTTTCGTCGAAGGCGTCGAGCGTGCCAAGCCATATGAGGGCGTGGTGACTATTGGTATGCGCGGTAGCCATGACACGGCCATGAGTGATACTGTCCAGACGTCGATGCTTGAAGACATTGTCGATACTCAGCGGCAAATCTTGACTGACGTCTACGGTAGCGATAGCGCTGTCCCTCAGATGTGGTGCTTGTACAAAGAAGTCCAAGGCTACTACGAAGCTGGAATGAGGGTGCCTGACGATGTCATCTTGTTGTGGGCTGATGATAACTGGGGAAATAACAGGAGGCTACCTGTTGGCAATGAGACCGACAGGCCAGGCGGTGCCGGTGTCTACTACCACTTCGACTATGTGGGTGACCCAAGAAACCACAAGTGGATCAACGCGGTACAGCTTGAGCATACCTGGGAACAGATGCACATGGCGTACGAACGGGGAGCGAAGGAGATGTGGATTGTCAATGTTGGAGACATCAAGCCTTTGGTAAGCGCACCCAAATGTGGCCCAACAGACTTTGCCTAACAAAAACAGGAAATCCCCATCAGCCATTTGTTCGACCTGGCTTACGACATTGACCTCTGGGATGTCAATAGCGTCTCGAAATGGACAGAGCAATTCGCTGCTAGGGAGTTCGGCTCCAGCGTCTCCCAAAGAACCGCCGAGGTCCTCCAAAAGTACGGCACGTTGGTTGCGAAGAGAAAGTACGAGCTCATTGATCCGAGCATTTACAGCCTCATCAATTACGAGGAGGCAGACAACGTGCTAGCCGAGTGGCAGACCCTTGCCAATGACGCTCAAAGCATCTATGACTCTCTACCGGCTAATGCACAACCCGCCTTTTTCCAAATGGTTCTGCATCCCGTTCTGGCCGGCGGTAACGTACATGATCTTCACATCAGTGCCGCAAAGAACCGACTTTACGCGGGACAAGGACGTACAAGCGCGAACGCGTGGGCCCAGAGAGTACTGGACAAATTCAACTTTGACCATGAGCTAACGCAGCGATACAATGAGCTTTTGGGAGGTAAATGGACCCACATGATGGATCAGACGCATTTGGGATATGTCTATTGGCAGCAGCCGATGCGCCAAGTCACCCCACCACTTCAGTATGTCCAATTGTTCGAACGTTCCCTCAGGGGCGACATGGGCGTGTCAGTGGAGGGGAGTAATGCGTCGGTTCCTGGCGACGACCAATACCACAGCCTCTCATCCAATAGTCTTACGCTTCCGCCTATCGACCCTTACAGCTCAGAGCGGTGGATCGATATCTACGCTTCCGGAACAAACGAGTTCTCTTGGAACATATCTGCAGCATCCTGGGTCAAGTTCTCGCAGAGCTCGGGCACTCTTTCACCCACCGGCAATGACACCGACGTGCGTATCTACGTATCCATCGATTGGGCCAACGCCCCCGCCGGCTCCAACACGACCACCATCAAGGTCAGCTCGAGCACCAACTACGGCACGCAATACGGCATGCCGACCGTCATCCTCCCATACAATCACACCGTCGTCCCTTCTTCCTTTACGGCCGGCTTTGTTGAATCCGACAAGCACATCTCCATCGAAGCCGCCCATTACACACGCGTCAGCGGCGCCTCGGACGGATCTGCAGACGCGTACCAAGTCATCCCTTCGTACGGCCGCACCCTCTCCGGCGTCCATCTGGGCGACGTGCTCTCCCCTTCTCTGTCCATCTCCGACGGCGCCCCGGCCCTCGAGTACGACATCTACACCTTCACCTCCCTGGCCGAAAACAACAACAGCCAAACCGCCAACCTGACGCTCTATCTCTCGCCCTCGCTCAACACGAATCCGCAGCGGCCGCTGCGCTACGCCGTCGCCGTCGACGACGACGAGCCGCAGGAGGTTGCGTTCGTGACGGACCAGCCCGAGGGTCAGCTGCCGGTGGACTGGGAGGCTGCCGTCGCGGATGCAGCGTGGATCAGCACCACGGGCAACCACTCGGCGCTGGGCACGGCCGGCGCGCACACGGTCAAGGTGTGGGCGCTTGAGCCGGGAGTCGTCGTGCAGAAGGTAGTGCTGGATTTGGGCGGCGTCAGGGACAGCTACTTGGGCCCGCCTGAGAGCTATAGAGTGCAGTGAATGAGGTCGCATTCATGGTTATAGAGTGGAAGATGTGAAGTGTGATGTGGTGTACTTTTAGTATTTTTTCCCTCCTTGAGCGCATTCGTGCCGCATGAATGGATGGTCATAATTCGTACGTAGTAATTGCAAGGTATCTTGCCGGAAGGTGCATGCTCATTCGAGCATTTAAGCCCATGTGATGACTACAAATTGTAAGGAGCGTGATAGGAAGTCAGCAACGACTATGGAATTTCCTCATGGTCCGGATCTCGGAACGCGCAAAGGTCAGGCCTTGCTGCTTGGTGGGGGGAAATAGCCAACTCAGCAAATCACAGCAGCAGCTGTTTCCGACGCCAACCAGGGAAGAGCCTTGTCTTCGCTGCAAATGGAAGCCTGTAAGACGGAGATGCTTCCTGCTTCTTTGATCGCCTAGAAAACGCTGACCATATTTCAAGCAGGCTAAAGAGCGAAAATGTCGGACAGGTTTCTGCGCCGCACTCAGCCCAGCTGCCACCGGAGAAGTCCGCCACATGACCGCGAAAAATCCGTTACTATTTCTATCGGTCTGCTATTATAACTGGAAGTTTCTATATGGTCTCCGGCCTCGCTCCGGCCATCCAGCTGGCAAACGCAGCTCGGGTGGCAAGCAAACAAGCGAGCAAGCGTCGAGCTGGCAGTCAGTCGACGGTGAGGCGAGCGCACGCAAGGCTCACCGGTGGCCGTGCAGCAAGGTGAGGCGTATACTTTGCCCAAGTATCGAGCGGCACGTTGGGCCGTTTGCGAGGTGGCCAAATGCGGGCGACGCGGCTGGAATGTGCAGAAGAGACCCAGGCTGGGCTTCATCAGGTGCCGGGACATGCATGCGATGACGACAGGCGGCTGCTGACGGGACGAGTGATTGCTCGCTTTCCTCCCGGCTACTTGGTCAGCTCTCGATCGGAGGCACGCGGGATTTGCTGGCGGGAGAGCAGCTGCGGCATGCATGAGCTGCAGCAATCCCGGTCGGTTTCGGCACCGCGTCAAAGCTCCAGCTGCAGCTTCTCTCCCCCCCACCGAAGCTCGATCCCCCTCCACCGTCGAGCTCGTTACCAAATCTGGACAGCTTGCTGGCCTGACATGGCGCCTTCCCAGCTTTCGTTTCTTTCTTTCTCTTTCCCCCCGGCCTTGTCTCACCAGCGGTCTGGTGTCTCTGCAGTCACCCGCCGCGGGGCACCTTCCCACTCGCCTTCTCTTCTCTCCCCTCCTTCCTTCGATTGCCTTTTGCCTCAACTTTCTTCTTTTTTATCCTCCCTACCGTTCGCTCCCCAAGATCCTCATCTTTATTTGTTCTATACACAGGCCTTCACAAGTATTGGCAAAGCACAGGACCTGTCTCCACCCCCAGCTCATCAGGTGTGGGGCTCGTAACTACACCGCTGGCGAGCCTCGCGCCGCTTTGCGCCTCGCGCTGTAGAGCTTGGATTCCTGTGTCGGACCAACTTAAAGCGTTGCCATGCCACTGCGCGCATAAGCTCTCCCATCGGCGCAACGTAAAACGAGATATTTTATCTTCCACAGCGCGCAATCGCTCGACTTGACCAGCTCTGAACGCCAAATAAGACCGCAGAGGCCCTCTGAGAGGAACATCATGGCGCTTTGGAAGAGCAGGACCGTAGAACCGGCTACAGAGATAACAGCGCTGCCGCAACGCATTCGGAGACCAATACCATCCCTCCTCTTCCAATTCCCCCGCAGTTACACTGTCGCCGTCTTGATCACGCTACTACTCCTGAACGTGCTTGAGCATCTCCCCAGGGCGGCGGCACAGGACGTATACGCGCCCTTCTCTGGCGCCATCTATATTGTTGGCGCCGACGGCGTGCAAATTACTCAGGCGTCACCCGCGTACTGTCCGCAGTATGCTGCGCTGAGTTGCAGCGGTATCGGCTATCCAAACTGGTGAGTGATCTATTTGTGAAAATAAGTAATAAGGAAAAGTAGGAAACGAAAACATCATCCCTTCTTTAGCGGTAGGGGATCTTTCGTTGCCAGACGCACTTTCCTGTTACATCCCTCCCTCATCTTCAAAAATGTTAAGCGCACAAGGACTATAGCTGATTGATGAAGGTGTTGCCCCACCGACCACACCTGCCAGTATATCAGCACCTCGAACGTCGTCGGCTGCTGCCCCGCCGGCTCCACCTGCAGCGGCACCGTCAACGCGCAGGCGATTTCGACCGTCACTGTTACCATCATCCAGACGCAGACGCAATATGTTGGTGGAGGCTACGTCCAACCTACTACGACGACCGCTTATGTTGGCGCTGCGGGAAATAACAACAACAATAACAACGATAACAATGACGGTGGCGCCGTGTACGCCGGATACTGCTCGACACTAACCGCTGACGGTCCCGGCTTGCCAACCACGCGCGCCGGCAGCTGTGGGACCATTCTCATAGTCAGTGATGCGTGGAGGGGGGTGCACGTAGGTAGGGGCTGGTACGGGTGGGGAGTGCCGGTTGCGGTGGTTGCGAACGTGTTCCTCGGCGCATGGTTGGCGGGTGCGAGGAGAGTGGGAGCCGGTGTATAGTATGAGGGGCTTGATCGAATAGAAGGAAAGCAATGCACGAAGCTCGTTGAGTTTTTCCACGGGATCCGTGTCAAGAGGTGGGAGGCTGCTGGCGTTATGCGAAATGTCCATGAGGCTTGGGAGGTAATTCTGATGAGATTATGACTTCATGAACAACGCGAAGAAATTCGTGGTAAATACAAGTTAATAGTGGGGAACAAATGCCGTAGACGCTTTCTCATACAGGACAGGTCCATGCTGCTGCTCTGGGTCAGTCTCATTGGTTTCCCATCTTTGCGTCCTCCTCGTCGTTCTTCGGAACGCCGACCATTTTCGGGACGCTGACTGCGTTGAGTCGACGGAAAGCCTGCGCGGAGAAAGGAGAGAGGTCAGTACAGCAACATTCACCTCACAGAGACAAGAAAAGGGTCTTAACAGCGGCCGTCGCCGTACGCACCAACCACGGTGTCGACCACCACGCCCAGCTGGCCGTCCACCAAGCCCAGGCGAAGGCGTAGTTGGCCCACCAGAAGGGGCTGGCCAACTGCCAGACGGTACTCACATTGGCGATGCTGCTGTCGGGCAGGCTGCCGTCCCAGCGGTCCTCGACCTTGGTGATGGTGCCGGCGCTGTCGGTGGCGATGCTGACGACCGAGTTGATGGTCGTCTCTTTCTGGATGCCCTTGACCACGTAGCGCGTCTTCAGCGACATCAGGATGGGGTTGCCCGCCGACGTCACTTCGTGATGCAGCCGCTCGATCTCGCTGAAAGCGGCTTTGAGGCCGTACTGCAGCGGGGAGAGAAGGGAGAGGAAGAGGTTAGTCTTCAAGGCTTGGAAGTGGAAAGCGTTGCTTGTGCTTGTTCCTTTTGTTTCAAGGAGAAAGGGGAGGTGAGAGACAGGAGGAATTTACCCATTGTGGCTCATATTGCTTCCTGCCACGTGCCTGGGTGATGGGATCCTCGAAGACGGCTTCATCGGACCACAGGCGGAGCTTCGGTAGGGATGGCTTGCCGGCAAAGAGGTCGAGAATACTACCGACGATGACCTTCTGTTCGGACGACAACTCGACGCCCGGTGCAGTTTTGATGTCAGTATTTTCGATTTTCAGGTCGTCTTCAAGGAAGATCAGTCAGTATGAGCTGAGATGGTATCCCTTTCTGGGGTTTACGAACTAGTTGCCATGGTGCGAGCTTGCGATATAGGCGCGTATTGCACTCGGATGGGCAGGACAAGGGATCTTGCAAAAGTTCGGAGGGGCCGTTGTACGAATGGGCGCATCGGGCAGGATGGTTGAGTAGACGGTGAAGAGTCAAGGGAGTAAGAGGCGTGACAGAGTTATACTCCCTTTGTGCTGTACGTCAGAGGGGCAGAGCTGATTGCCGAAAATGGATTAGGCCAAAGGAAAGTCGTGACGCAATTCTGCTCTCCGCAGCGGAATTTCCGCACGTATTGAATACAGACTCAAGGGCAGGATCCAAACGGGCGTTTTTGGCGTAAAAAAAATCAAATGTTCATTTGATGGTATCGTCGTGGCTGCTCACTTACTGGCGGGATCAGGCTTTCTCGTGGCCAGCCGTAGCAACAGCCAGGATGTCCTCTTCTAACCCTGGGACATGGACGCATTCAATGCCCTGCTCCTCCAGCTTTGCTCTTCCGACATTTTCTCCGACGAACTTCTCGGGCTCCTTAACGCCGAGGTAAACCTTTCTTATGCCCTTGCCCGCGCTCTTGGTTCGGAGGATGCGGTCGACGCACGGAAGGTTCCCGCTCAGCCTCACTCCGCACGGCTCCATTGTAGTGTAGATGACAGCATGGTCTGGGAGCACCTCGCCTACACGCTCCTCAGAGAGGTTGTGGGCCGAGGCAAACTTTTGCAGGGCGCATTGCTCTGCATGCGTGTTTCCCTCAAGCTCGAGGGTGTAGCCAGTGGCTAAAATGCTCCCGTCGCTCTCGTCGACGAGAACGGCGCCAACACAGAAGTTGGTGGGCTTTGGGGGAGACTTCTTTGCTTCGGCGAGGGCCAATCGCATGTATGCCGAGTAATCGGTCGGCGAGGACGGTTTGATCGACATGATGAGTGGTGAAGAACGACTTTTATTACGATGTTGTAGTGGTTCTGCGGGGGTCAGGCGGTTGAGACGCGTTTTGATGATTACGTCGATCGGACCGCGCGACGCGTCTTCCTCATCTCATCCACAACGCACCGACCGCATCCCCACCACATCCATCCTCACACTTGTCAGCATGCCTAGGAAGCAGAAGAAGCAAACCGAGGATATCGAGGACCTCATAGATGAGGAGCCGCCCAAATCCATCGATCCGTACGATGTTTTGGGCGTTGCTAAAGATGCAACACCCGACCACATCAAGAGCGCATACCGCAAAGCTGCCCTGAAGCATCATCCAGGTCAGTATGCACGCTGCACGAGATGCATCCTTCTAATGATCTGTCAGACAAGGCCGAGGACAAGCAGGCCGCGCACACAAAGTTCCAGGAAATAGCTTTCGCTTACGCTATTCTCTCCGATCCTCGTCGTCGCTCACGCTACGATACCACCGGTCGCACCGAAGAAACCGTCGACCTGGAGGATGACGACTTCAACTGGGTCCAATACTACAAGGAGCAGTTCGAGGGCATAGTGACGGCCGAGGCCATTGAGAAGTTCAAGAACGAGTACAAAGGCGGTGATGAGGAGAGGAATGACCTCATCGATGCCTACAACAAGTTCAAGGGCAATATGAACAAAATCTACGAAGTTGTCATGCTCAGCAACCCGCTCGAGGATGAAGATCGCTTCCGAGATATCCTTGACGCCGCCATCGCAGATGGAACCGTGCCTGCCCTCAAGAAGTACACCGAGGAGTCGGAGAAGAGCCGTCGGGACAGGATTAAGAAGGCAAAGAAAGAGGCCGAAGAAGCTGACGATGCTGCAAAGGAAATGGCGGGCCCCAAAAAGAAGCAGAAGAAGGCACAGGGCGGCGATCTGGGCGACCTCGCAGCTCTGATCCAGCAGCGTCAGAAAGGTCGCTCCGAATCCTTCTTCGACCAGCTAGAGGCAAAGTATGCACCTGATTCCAAAAAGGGCAAGAAGCGAGCCCCGCCGTTGGACGAGCCACCCGAGGAAGCGTTCCAGCGGACGGCTTCTCGGGCCAAGAAGGGCAAGAAATGAGCAGATATCTATCTTCCCGTGAAGAATGGTACCCACTGTTTACCTTAACTTCATTTTCCCTCGCCCTGGGTCGCGAGCCTAGCTTCTGCGTCGCGTGGGAAAGAAGGAGAGACCACGCCGACGGGATGGACCTCGCACTAGCCAAGCATGGGGTGCACAAATATAGACCAAATATACCGGAAAAGGCGACGGCAGCACTCCCCTCCCCTGTGTGTAACAGCAGGCGTCAGAATAGACTGGAACCCCGGCATTCACAACCTTGACCCCCACATTCTTGATTCCTGCCAAGCACATCTGTCTGCAAACGTCATCCCTCCCAGACAGACCGCCATCCAATCGTAAGTGGCGCAGCTACAGACGCATCGACGGCTTGGAAGTGTTGGATTCCCCCCCCCCCCCCCCCCTCGGGAGCGTTTTGAAACGTCCATTTGCTTCTCACGACACTGGATGGCGGAAGCAAGGAGGCACAAGTCTGGCAGTTGGCGTTGTATGACAGAATCCAAGGAATCGTTCGATGCGAGTTGTCGGGGTGCGGATGACTTTCGAGTTGGGTAGGGGCAAAAATTCGAAATTAGCTTTCCATTCCTCATCCTTCGCCCTCTTATATCTCGATGCCATGCAGGACTATCCTCCTCCATCACCCGGAGAAGAGTTTCCATCATGAAAGCGCTCTATTTCGTCTTGGCATCGTTTCAGTTGTCCCTGGCTGCGCCGGCCGTGCCAGCGGAACCTGACGCCGAATGCGCGTGCCCTATGCCTCTATGCCCGCCTAGTCAACCAGAAGTACGCAGCTTGCCTCATGCTTACCCGCGCTTTTCTGACTGTATCCTAGCGCTGTGAGTGCCAGAATGCAGCGATTTCGGCCTGCTGGGACAACCAGCTCAGCGAGGGCAAAGTCTGTCCAGCGCCTGCTCTGAAGGTAAGCCGCAATGTTTCATCTTTCAGCTTGCTCACAATCAACAGGACTGCGGCTCTATCTCCACGTCACTCTCAACTAGCACTCTACCGACATCCCCGGCCCGCCGCGAGCTAGTGGCAGCACCATCAGCAAGTTGTTCATGCGAGCCGGTCTTTTGTGCGCAAATTTGGCCTCAAGTACGTCTGGCAGCCTCACCGGGTTCAGGAAATGGTATTAACGGTGCCAGTCATGCCGCTGCTCCAACAGCGCGAAAGTCAGCTGTTACCAGAGTTGTGGCGGGGTTGCACCAGCACTTCAGAACTGTGGCGACACTCCAGAACAAAGTGCTGTGTTGTATGGTGCATTCGCCCAACCATCGCAAACGGCACCAGTCTTTCCAACGAACCCGGGCCCCGTCTTAGTTTCTTCTTTGCCGGCTGTGGAGTCAATGCTATCATCATCGTCATCAGAGGTCTCGGAATCTACCTTGAGCTTTGAACGACCATCTACAATTCCATCGCCCCCTTCTGAGCCGGAGGAACCTTCATGTCAATGTGAGCCGACGTTCTGCGTCGCATCCTGGCCTGCTGTATGTTCGCCGCTAGCAATTATTGGAATTGGTGGGCTGACAAATTGTCTCAGGGGTGTCACTGTCAGAACAGAGGCGCACTTGACTGTTACGACAAGTGTGGGGGAACGTATCCTACGCTACAGGTATGTTGCACGTTTTCAACGGCACTTTAATAGGTGCACTGACGTAATAATAATAGGACTGCGGCGCTGATCCCAACGCCTTTTCGCCTCCTAGCCTGGAAGATTTGCCCCAGGTTACTCCCGCGGGAATTCCGCCAGATACGGCTGTGACACCACAGGCCGAATGCCAACAATGTCATCCAGTATTCTGTGCTCAAAGCTGGCCTCTTGTGGGTACTTGGGCTCCTGAAAAAGAAAGTTATAGTATTGACTCGACCTAGAGCTGCCTATGCAGTAACCAAGCTGCCAGTGATTGCGCGGCACTGTGTGGCCGGCCTACACCACAATTATTGGTGAGTTTTTGCAATTCAGCTCTTCACTCGCATCCTGACTAGGATACAGGACTGCAATGCAGCTGATCCGGAAACCCTCGACGCGACCCTCCCTGACCTATTCGACATGATCCCCGATCCAAACGACATTCCAATCATCTTCACCAACCTCATCCCAGACCTTCCGGATCCTTTGGAGCTTCCGTTGTACCTGGAGAACCTTCCCGATTACATCAACGACCTCACAGATGACGAACCCTGGTCCGAGACGCATACTTGGTATTCCTTCTTCACGCCCGCAGCGACGTCGCTCATTGACCAGCTCGCTTCGAACATTGCCCCAGCATTCACAGGTCTTCCCGATGCGCCGCTAACATTCCCCAACGAAGAAAGAGCGGCGGCTGCACCAAGCATCAGCGGGGCCGCTGCTGAGAACTACCACGTCTGCGGACATCGTGCTGCAGTACCGTGTCCGACTGGCTACAACTGCGTCAGACGACCCGGTGCGAGCTGCGGTCCGGAGCTCGACTGCGGTGGATACTGCGTCGACGTGCTCAACGGCGTCACTCTTCTGGCCGACGCGGCGACATCGACCCAAAGCGACAACACCACCCCTCTGGAGTTCAGCCAGATCACGGATTTCTATCCCACCAACACCCTCGTCACCTCCAGGAGGGGCAACGTGATGCTTCCGCCCCGCCAAGTGGCCGCCCCGGAATCAGTGGGAACGGAAGAGCCAGCAAGCACGGCGACGAGCGTATTCCCGCCGATCCCTTGCGGCGAGGGCTACCCGCCGTGCGACCCGGGCCTCCAGTGCGTCGACATCTTCGTCAGCGGCATCGGCTTCGCCGAGAAGCGCAGCTACTGCGCCGCCGTGACCCCTGGCGACGTGTCCCCTCCGTCATCCCCGCTCGCCTCCTCCCCGATCGCTTCTCTGGACAGCGACAACGCCCCCAGTCCCACACACTACCCGTGGCCCGACACCGCCTGGCCTGGCCCGATAACGACGCTGTACCCAATGTTCGGCCCGGGCCCCGTCGGCCTCTCCAACTACCACCCCTCCTCCTCCACCGAAGAAGCGTCACCCGCCGCCGCCTCCTCCCCGGCCCTCGCCCCAGTCCCCAACGGCGGCGCCCACCCAAACATCGTCCCCTACCCCATCGTCCCTCCCCCCATCGGCCCCGGCTCCAGCCCAGTAGCATCCAGCCCCCCAGCCTCCACCCCGACCGAGCCAGCCCCTACGACGCTGCAGTGCGGCGGCCCCACCAACGAGACGTGCCCGTCCGGCTTCACGTGCGTGCGCGACCTGGACGCCACCGCTGAGAGCCCGACGGGCGGCTGCGGGCCGGCCTGCGGCGAGCTGGGCGTGTGCATCGTGCCGGAGCGCTGCGGCGGCTTCGCCGGCATCCCGTGCAGCGAGCCCGGGCGCACCTGCGTCGACGATCCGGACGACGGCTGCGACCCCCTGTCCGGCGGCGCGGATTGCATGGGGATCTGTGTCTAAAGAAGGAAGGAAGGAAGGAGGGAGGGAGGAAGGAAGGAAGGGGACGAAGGAACGAAGGAAGGCGGAGAGGAAGGAGGGGGGAGGGGGGAGGAGAAGATAAAGAAGACAGAGCATACTGCCTCTGACTGCTGACCTATCCCGTGCGGCTGATGCAGACTATGATACTGAGTATTGTGTGGGCTATCTTCCTGCCGTTCTAGGGTTCCAGCTGTGGAGGCGTAAGTGATAGGGAAGCCGTAGATGGGACATGCGTGACAAAGGTGCGATGGTCTAGCGTGCATTAGTATAAAGGACAAGTCCGGTAGGTGCGATCAGATTGAACAATTTCGGTTACTTTGCTCTGCTCTCACAAAATGTGACATTGAATACCGTGTAAAGTTATTGATATTGCTACATTAGATTGCACACCAAGGAAAATAAGTCCTAGCTACTTTTCGTGATCCAAACCCCGAAAGGGCCCTGTGGATCAGATGCATGTCAACTGACATGTCTTGCTCAAATAGAACACCTACGATGGTAATATAGTGCCGAAATGCGCAGAAAAAAGGGCGATCCAAGCAAAGGGAAAAAGAGAGTCTCGGAAGAAGCCTCACTAAATAGTATCCCACATGACGCCATCGCTGAAGAAGAAACGCAGTGTCTATGCCACGAGGCAAAATTAGAAAAGAGTGTGCAAGGAAATTGGTAAGGAAAAGTGATCCCGCCGAGGATCAAATGAAAACAGGCGGGAGATGTGGTATCCCGAGAGACGTTACAAAATCAGTAACTGAAAGACATCAAATGCAGAATGCAAAACAAAAGGGAAAGAAATCGTGGTGGTGGTGCGGGCTGCAGCAGGCAGATCCTGCCTCGCTTTCAAGAGTAGAAAGCCCCTCAACATCCTCAATCGTGCAAAAAGCCAATCATCTTGCTGCTAAATGCAATCTCCTGTTTTCGTTCCAACGTGAATTACCGCAACCAAGACCACTTCATAAAAAAATCATCAAGAGAGAAAGGTATACGAAGAAAATCGAGCGGTCGCGAAATCAACCGTAGAATTCACCGCGGGAGCCACCAAGGCTGCTCCACGCAGCAAGGACGTCATCGCAAACGCTGCTCCTCTGAGCAATAGCAGCACTAGACATGGGAGTCACCGAAAGCCTGTCTCCAGCATCACTCCTGGCGCCACTCTTGCTGCTGACGTGGCTCGTGGTGCTGTTCTGCCTGCTCAAACGCTGCTTCGTGGTCGACGAAACCGAGGTGCGCGAGCTGCCCAAAATGTGCGAAGAGCGCGATTTGCGGACTTGGCTGATGACTGCGCCTACGTCAACCTCGGCGTCCCAGTCCCATTCACCCTCACCAGGCCGAGCACGGCTCTTGCTTGACGCCGCCGAAGACACCGAGTGCACATCATCCTGCTGAATCGAAATTCCAGGCTTGGGGAACGCCATGATCGAGGACGTGCGGGGCGGGACAACAAAGTTGGAGGCTGCTGTCTCTCCCGTCGTTTCTGCGCAAGGGGCGGCGATATTGGCTCCAGAGCTAGCAGTGCGCCGGCGGCTGTGGCTACGGGCCCTATCGATACCGTGGGTAGCACGGGCGCCGTCCATGTCTTCGGCGTGCTTGGTAACTACGCGCGCTCTCTCCTTGCCCTTGTGGATCATGGTGAAATCAGACGACGGATGATGGTGGTGGTGGGCATTGTGAATCGAGTCCTGGTCAGTACCGAAACTGGCTTCACTGCCACCGATAGAGCTGCCAGCAACCTTGACGTGAAGGTCGCCGTGGGGGCCGGGACCCGGCGTGACGGGCGAGGGAATCGTGTCAGTGTGCGAGGCAGTGGCGGGGAAATTAGGAGAGTCAGGTGGCGAAGGGAAGACCTCCAGCGGAGAGAAAAGAGCAGGAGACAGCTGAGGGGCTTGCGACATGATTCGCTGCACAGGGCGCGATCGCGGCGAAGAGAAAACCGAGGAGGCGGACGTGATTGAACTCGAAGCAGGTGACCTGAGTAGTGCTTCGTTCGCCGTAGGTGGGGCCCGGTTCTTCTTATCAGACCGTGATTGCGGCACGTAGGTTGCATTAGAAAGCGTTTCCAAAGTCGATGAAGAAGTCTCTGTTTCTGCCGCCGTGGTCTGAGAGTGAAACGACTTCTTAGAATGCCTCCGGTCACTGTCGGCGAGGCTCTGCTTGCTCGAGTATTCCGAAATGGGGCTATCCATCGACATGTAGTGGTGTTCAGCCCTGATGGCCGATCGATAACCATCCGTGAAGCTCTGCTTTGCCATGGCGGCACGTTTCCTACGCATGAGTTCCAAGAGCACCTCCTCTTCTTCAGTGACAGCCATGAGCTTGTGACCCAGATGTCTGGGCTCGCTCTTGGATGTCCTTCCGCTCCTAATGCTACTCGTGTCCTTGTCCTCGAAGGACACATTGCTAATGCTTCCACTGTAGCGTTTCGAATCGCCGTCCAGATCCTCTGGGATTGCAGAAACCTGCCGGGCGTGTCGAGAGCCGCGTCTGCCGGCACTTCGGGAATTGGAATGTCTGGGGAGAAGCAAGTTCGTCTGGCTGGAGGCGGCAGTAGTCGGGGACAGCATGACATCGATAGTGGTACCGGTCCCTGAGGACTGCACACTAGTCCCAGATGCCGTAGTCATGCGTCTTCCGGTGCGGGTTTGACGGGGTCTGATATCGAACGCTTGGGCCCTACCAATCAAGATCTCGCCTTCGGTGTCGGTAGACATGGCAAGACTGTCGCGGATGATTGGCAGACTGGTACCGCTGCTCCTAGGATCACTCTCGTCTTCTGACGAAGAAAGTGACAGAACGCTGTCACCTTTCAGGTCCCTGCTGGATATTTTGCTCGTGTTGGTCCGGCCCGTTTTGTGGCTCGCCAGAGAAGCCTGACTAGGTTGAGCCCGGACATGAGGCTTGTCGGAAGACCGGCTATCCACACCAGTCTGATGATAGTCGGAGCGATAGCGGTAGCTTTGGTGGTCTGCGTGCAGCTCGTTTGAATATCCATGCTTTGAAGCATACGAGCGGTCCGCGGCATAAGCACGGTCGTCGGCTGGATAGGAGGGTTGCTTGGGCGCGGCCTTGTTGTGTGAAGGCTTACGGCCGTGCCGAGGGGGAGACTCTCGTCGTCGGTGATCGTGCTGTGATGGCTGTCGCTGGGGCAAGGATCGAGATTCTTGAGGCCTTGCGCTCGCTCGCACCGGTGGCGTCTCCACCTCCTCCTCTTCCTCCTCTTCGTCGTCGTCACTAATGCCATCGAACCAATGCTGAATGCCTGGCGGGGGTCTTCGCCTGTTGACCTTGGCGTTGTCGAACGGAGCCTTGTAAGCGCGGTCCTTGGCAGCCTGGGCTCTCCCTTCACGAAGGGTGTCGCTGGTCTTGGTGCTCGAGACAGAAGGAGCTCTATTGTGGGACGACGTGGTAGGCGAGGTCAGAGGGCGCGAGAAATGCGTCGAGGTGCTCGACATGGGCATGGGAGAGCTAACGAACTTGGTAGGGGAGAGAAGCTGTTGATCATTGTTGTCTCTGGACTTGGGGGCTTTGGGGAACAGCTTGGACAGATCGAGGCGGGCGGGGATTCTCTTCTTCTTGCCCGACTCAAGGTCGCCGCTACGGATGGACTCGCGCAGACTCTCCTGGTCCAGGCTCTGCGAGGAGTGCAAGGCAGGGTGACCTTTGCGTAACACACCATCGTGGTGGGAGCGCATGGTGGAAGAAGAGCCTCGGGATTGCAACTTCCTGCTGTGCGTGGAACTGGTGACGGAAGCGGAACGGTCCTTGCTGCGGGTGGAGGGTTGATCCTGGTGGAAGCGGGGATTGGGTGGTACGAGGTGGCCGTCGTCATTGTAAAGCGAGCCCTTGCGTTCGTCGGCGAGGGTGAAGCTCATGTAGCTTTTCTTGGTCTCCAGCGACGGAGTGGCCGAATTGTTGCGGGGGACGCCGCTGGCAGACGAGTAGCTCCCTTGGCGGTGGCCCGGCAGGCCGGTGCCCAAGAGACGCTCTGCCTTGGAGGAGGGTTGTTGGTAGTCATAGTCGGGAGCGGCGGCGGGCTCCAAGTGATGGTCCCGCTCGCCGTGGGCGCGGCGGCCGGGCAAGGGGAAGGCGAACTTCGAGGCGCGACCCATTGGGGGAGAGAGCGATGGCAGAATGAAAGCAGAGTGGAAACGAGCGTGTAGATATCAAGTACGGTTCAGGCTCTGGTCGCGTTTCAGCAGGGTGCAGTGCGGCCGTTGCGCGAGTCGGACATACCTGGACTGGACGTGCATTTTCGCAGACCTGCTTCTCGAAGGGTGACACCGGCGGCAGGTCAGGCTCGAACGATGGGAACGGCGCGCATGTCTGTACGATGGGGAGAGATGGACCCCGACCCGAGGACGAGGATGCGACGAGCTTGGACGCAATCTGACGAAGGCGGAAGCTAGTGGGGACAGCAGGTGCAGGAGCAGGTGCAGAAGCTGCTGCTTAACAATGCACAATGCGCTGTCCTGGAGGAGCAGCAGCCGGGGTGGGCGGGCGCGGGCCTGATGCGCGCTGGATCGACGGGCGCAGGGCGGCAGGGCTCGCAGGGCTCGCGGGCGCATTGAAGCAATAGAGCGCTCAAATTGATCAATATAGAGAGCCGAGCAGCCCGCGCCTGGGGCTCAGGGGCACGCAGCCGCGGATCGCCGAGTCCAAGCGCCGCACATGCACTCCCGCCTGCCAGGCCATTCCCTGCGCCGCACCTGCCGTGCCACCTCTGCTGCACTGCGCTCCCACCTCACGAAGCCAGCCGCACACTAGGTCTGCGCCGGCCGTCCCTTGCGTTAGCAGCCAGCCGCGCCCGCTGATTCGCCGTCCGCCCTGTCGGTGTCAGCCTGTGCCGGCGCTGCCGCCAACTGCCATCGCTACCACTCCACGGCCGCTGCGCAGTCGACCGCCAGACGCTCCGGCGCCAAAAGGGCAGCACCAACAGCCCTGTGCGCCTGCTATCGCTGATTCTGAAGATCGCTCCCCGTCGCGCGCCGCCGGACTCCCGCCTGCTGCGCGATCCTCGTATGCGAAATGACGCCGTCGCCAAAGCCACTCCACAAATCCAAATCTTTGGCTCCGGGCCCGTGAGTCGCGAGGGAAGCTCTTCTCGGCAGGCCTCGGCCAGCGAGGCGGCCGCCACAAATGCCATCTCCTGCTCGACCTGCCTACATCAACGGCCGCCGCGTAACCCCTGGAGCTGGCCTGCCGATGCCGCCGGCAGCTGGCTTTCCAGACTGATCATATCACGCCTCCTATGATCTCCGATTGAGTCGATAGTCCCGAGCAGATCGCCTCTGCGCGTAAATCTCATTTTGCTCCGGACAGGGATCATCGCGCTGTCAAAAGCCACTGCCAATGACGACAGAGGACACCGTACGTGCGCCGACTCATCCATCACCACCTCTTCATTGCTTCATGCTCCTTTTCGTCGCTACCCCACAGTCCAATGCCTCGAGCCCCATCGGGTCCGCCCCACGTGCATTCGTGGCTACCTAATCGGGCAACCCTAATCTTGCGTCCCTGGAAAAAGGAAATATCACTGAGATCTGGCACTACACCATGCTCGTTCAATGCCGTCACATGGACACCAACGGAAAAAAACAACGTCCCTCTTGCGGTTGCAACGTCCCTTCCTGAGTCGCCACCACTGGATCCCCGCGCTGCACAGCTTCGTTCATGTTTGTCTCGCCCTCACCGCCCGCCCACCCGTTCCACCATCCCCTGCCCAATGTTCCACGACAGCACGCATACACGCGACTCCGCATGTGCGGCCAAGCGCTCAGCGCACCCGTGCCCGCCACCGCACCATGTGGACATGAAGGCGAGCTCACTCTGGGGCATCCACCTTGGTCGTTCCGCACCCCAACGGCCCTCTTCCCAAAAGCGTCATGATCCTTCTCATCGCCAGCTTCCACGCTTCCCGCTCACAGCTTACGGCTTACCCTCCATACGCACATCATTTCCACGTCTTCATTTTCGTATGCAATGATACCAACACCGCGGTGCTCCACTTATCTTCCCGGCGAGCTGGACTGCCCCGGTCCCCACGGTGATTGTCCTTTGTTGCCAGCGTTCCTATGCATCTACATGCCGCTATAGCGGGTTTCACCGCTACAGTGTCAGGACTCGGCGGCCCTCCACCCCCATGCAGCGCTCCATTCCGTGGAAATTGCCTCCGTCTCTCTAGCATCCGCGAGTGTTTGATATCTCACTGAAGCGAAGGATGGAGCAATGCTGGCCAATCAACCGAGTAAAGTCGACGGGGCATGCAGAACTCCGGTCATTAGCTTCGGACGTTGCTTCCGGTTCCATTGACAAACCCACATTGCACCGCCGTTCTTCGTCCCACCTTCACTCTTCTTCACAACTTGACGATACGCAAGAGCGTTTGTCACTAGCCATCTGCCGGAGTCCCGTGCAAGGAGACCGCCTGTTCATCGCATGCAGACGTGACAAGAGTGCGGTTTGACAGCTGCACTCCATATGTGGCTTGCTGTTCGGCAAGCAGAGGTCGTTTATCGAGGCGGGTACCATGCGTAAGCGTCGCAGTCATCTTCACCCATGATCCCAGATCTTGCGGCTGCAGCGCGGTCTCGGCCAAGAGGGCCGTTTTGGCGAGCTCATGTGGAGAGTGAGCCTTTATCTTTCTTGATAGCCGTGTACTACACCAACACGCCCTCCAACTGCCGCAGTACTGTACCAGCATTTCTTTTTTCTCACACCACGTTCCTCGATGCGGCAGGTCCAGAAATAGCTATAGGCGTTGTAATATCAAAAGGCAAAAAAGCACTGTTTCAGCCAACGAGATCCCAGCTCCCGCTTGCTTATCCGAATTGGGAAAAAACAGACCTACTGACCGGTCGACCGACCAACAGCCGTCCTCCGAACACACAGACCTGCACCCCCGTGCTGATCGCCAGCTTACATAGCCACCTCGCAGACCTCAACAAGCCCCCAGCGCCGCATTTTCTCAAACAACGGTTCCTTTCACGTTTTGCGCGCGCCGCACATGCAGCCAAGTGGACTCTCAACAACCCAGAAAAAGGGAGAAAAGAAAATCAAATTGACAGGACCCTGACGCATTGTTGATCGGCTCGGATTTGCACGTACCCACATTCTCGGGGTTACGTACCTCGAGCTCCTCGGAGTCCAGCTACGGGTTCCTCTATTCTAAACCGTATGCCTTGTTCACGGCGAACGAGAAGGGACTTATGCAATCTCTATCACCGCTAGCGCGCGGAAGCCAAGGGACAGAACTCAAAGTACGAAGTCTTTTGTACGCCTCTACCTTCCTCCTTGACCCGGCCAGCTGGTCCTGTTCTCCTTCGACGGGAGCCCCATTATAGTCAGAACTTTATATGACCTTAGCCGAGCTCACCGGCTATGGAGACCAACGGCAAAGATGGGCAGACACGCTCACCGACATTCCTCAGCAATGCTCACCAGTTGTGACCCTTTTTCCTTCTCCTTTTTTTTTTGTTTCTCTTTGTCATGAATCCCGGTGACTGTGCAGCGCGCAAAGCCGCGGGCCTGCATTCCGAAGGAACATAAAGTTCTCCACATCTCGGGGAAGCTCCCGCCAAAGCTTAGCAGTGCGTACAAAAAAAGATTCAGAAGATATTTTAAAAGGTAAGACCTCCGGTGCCCTGATTTTCCTTTCTCCCGAACCGGGGCGGCTAGCAAGGTGGTTACTTGCAAGTCAAACAAAAGACGATGGCGTGTTTCAGACATGCCAGCGGCTTCCGTCACTGTCCCAAGGCATACCGAGTGCCCACATGCCGAAAGTGATGCCTTATCGGCGACCTTCATAAGCATTTTGTACTCTAGAATTGATTAACCCCACGGAACGCGAGGAACAAGGTTATTAGCGGAGCCACCCATGAGCTCGGGTCATCTAGAGTTTGACCCGTCTCACGCACGGCAACCGAACACCAAAGGCAAATACGAGCGAGAGAGCTGTGTGAGAAAGACTTTCTGAAACAGCCCTTTCGGAGAAGACTTGGTTCTCATCGAGCACCGAGCAACCCGTGACTGAATCCTTACGGACCCATCCGTCCGCGTTCGTCCTTGTTGCCTCTGCCTTCCAGTGCCCGTCCCACACGTTTGAAGTTTGGCGCCCCTCGCGATGGTGAAACGCCCGCACTCTTTCCCCTTTCCTTCTTCGTACGTGGTCCTGCCATGCCGCGCAGCGAGAGACGTCATCCAAGAACCCAATTTGGTAATCGCACACGCACATGGCTACGACGTCAGGGTTAGCGCACGACGGGACGCACCGCTTTTGGGTCTACCTGAAGTACCTGGAAGAGCCTCCGCGCCGAGTCATGGCCCGTATGGAAAAATCGTCGATCATTTTATTTTCCGAGCAGCGCGAGGCACTAACGGAAAGTCCGTTCGTACCCCGTAGCGCGGCACTGGTGGGCAAGGTAGAAGGTTTATCGCATGCTGCCGCTTTCGGGTTCCCGCGACGCCCACCATGACGACCCGGTGAAGTGTATACGCATATGTGGCTTGCATATCGGCAGCATACCGACCCGTTCTCGCGGCCAATATTACTGCCATTTCGCCGCGTTGTTCGGAATGAGTCGCATCAAGGCGTGGAGCTTCTTCTCGTGCGCGCGCTTCACGAGCTCCATGACCGCCGGGCGAGTCTGCAACGAATGGTTCAGCCGGCGCTGGTTCGATCCATACACAACCATGTAGTCGGGAAGCTCGGAATGAGGTGGGAGCTCTGTGCGCGGGGCGAGTTGGCAAAACTACGCGTGGTGAGAGGCGTCAGCGTTGGGGAAGAAGGTAGGGGAATTCAGGAAAACATTACCATTCCTACGGCACTCCCCAAGCCTACTTTTGCATCCGTCCCGATGATCGTGCCCTCGCCTACTAGGGCCGCCTGAACCACCGCGCTGGCCTCGACGACCACGTTCTTGTCCAGCACCACGCCCCTGCCCTGGCCGCCTTCCAGCTCCGGGATTCCAACGGTAGCTTTCTCGTACACAATACACCCCTCGCCGATCACAACAGGGCCATGCAGTGACGTAATCTTGGCGTTTGGATGGATGACCGCGCCAGCAGCGATGGTGATAGCGTGGTGACCTGTCAACACTGCATGGCTGGCGATGATTGCCGATGGGTGGATGGTTGCGGGCGCTTTGGGCAACGACGATGATGCGCGCTTGCTGGTTGCAGATGCCGACGTTCGTGAGGCGCTGGTACGCGAGGACGACAGATGTTGCGAGGATGACATTGCGGAATACGACGGTAATTTGGAGCTCGTTGGTGGTGACGTTGTCGTGTGGGTGTTTTGCTGCGCGAGTCAGGGTGCCACGCGACGTCGCGCAAGCATGTGACATGTAATCCAAATTCGTTGCCGGTTGCTTCCAAATCATGGACGGTCTAAAGCGTGGTAATTTCACTCGAATTTAGCGTGACGCGCTTGGAAAGGACCGCTTAAAGGCTTGACTTGGGTGCCAAATTGTTTTACGAACAAGCACAATGCAGCCTTCTATGGTCCGCACCTGAAACAATCATATTATCTCTTCATGTTCACCCATCCTCTCCACAGAACTGATTGTGTACGTTGCAAATTTCCCAGCAAGATTGTCTCTCAAACGACTTCAAAGCTACGTGATCAAGTAAGAATACCAGATGCTTGATAGAAGGTAGCCACCTAAGCGAACAAGTAAATCTCGATCGTCTTTGGTCTGCAGTCCCGAACCCTTAGTGATCTGCACTCATACCACGTGTGAAGACCATGGGAGATCCATGATTGATGCGTTTAGTCGATCGTCGTGGTTTTGAGCTGTCTTTTGCATTCTCCGTACCTATTTTTCGCTTGGTTGCTTGCCTTACCAGAGTATCACTATCAAGATCCTCGTGCGGCTCTGGTCGAGATCGGTGCTGTGGACCCCTTTCGGGAAGAAGAGAATATCCGCCAGTGGAATCTTCAGGAATCGCAGCTTTGTGGAAGGTTTGCAGTTTTCCAGCTGTGGTATTGTTTAGTATCAAGTCAACAGACGAACTTATTCAATTTTCAAGGCAACTTACTGTAACCACCTCCGTCTTTTTGAGACGCGGCTCTTGTGGGATTTTCCACCTTGGGGTACTCAGGAGACTCGACAACTTCATACTGCACAACTCAGTTAGTTTCAAACCGGACGTCATATCATGTCGTCTTTCCTGCTCACGTAGTCTTCAATATTATAAAGTGGATTGAAGAATTTTTCCATCATTTCCGAATGTTCTGGCGCAATATGGTAGCGAGATCCCTTCGTCTTCTTCAGGGATTTCGTCCTGCTGCCGTCTGATGTGATCACCACCTTCTCAGAAAGAAGCCTCACGAATACATCGGAAGCGGTTTGGAGATCACAGCCTAAAAGCCACGTTAGTTGATCTAATGTAGCAGAAGATTCAACAATACTAACCTCCGAGATCCTTAGCGAACGAAGCATCGTCATGGAACCCATGAGTTTCGATGACGCGGATGGCCCTCCGAAGCAGTGTAAAGCTTTTAAGCTCCCTGAGCCTTCTTCGTTCTGGACCGCCGGCTGGACCGCCGGCTGCAACCTCTTCCAAGCAGCGATAGCACGCGTGTTGACGAGGAATTCGGGGATCTGAAGCGCCTTGAAAGCCGTAGCAAGAGCAATGTTGCCAAGTATTGCACCAGTTACAATAGACCTAGTTCATTCAGATAATTTGGTCTGGAAACGCAATGCAGAAGTCGAACTTACCATATTTTCCTCTTCTTCCTCGTTCCATCCGCATTGACACGATATCTGGTCGGTCTTGTTGCTTTGGTCTTTTCCATCTGCGTCTCTCAGGCGCTTTTTCTTATTGAGCTCTTCGACTTTCGTTTGCTTGAGTTTTGGCCTAATGGGCTCTTGAGTTTTCACATTTGCAACCTCGAATGCTGCACGGTTGTTCTCCTCAAGTTGGGTGTCATGAGCTTGGGATTCTGATTGCTGTCTCTATGAAATAAAATGTTACCACGTGGGGGAGGGAAACCAAGGTCATCTGGTGAGTTCTCAAACTTACCAGCTTCTCCAGCGTCCGCCTTTCTTGCCTGTCTTGACTATTCAGCTCGGCCCGGGCTGCATCCTGCAATACCGTTTGATCGTCTCGGGCCAGCGCAGAAACCCGAGTACTGTTTCGAGAGGATGCGTGGTTCTGTTTCCGATTTTCTGGGCTGTTGCTGATGATTTGACTGTTTCCTTCATGATCCACCCATGAAGGGCTTTGCACTGATATCGTGTCGTGGATTTCCTCCTCCTGCGGTGTTTCTCCAAAAGTACCACCTGGTAAGAATGAACGGGACCGAGGACGGCGTATCTGAGACTGTGCTGGCAAGTTTTGTTGAGCGAGTCCTACCTTGGTCGGTGTCTTCCTATGACTACCAGTGCTGAGTGCTGCTTGGTCTTGAAAAGATGATGTCGATTTCGCAGTCTCATCAGCTACATCAGATGTGGAGGAAACCGACTCAGAATATATCAAATCAGATTCAGGAGGGATGGCGCCATCGCTCTGATTCGACCACTGCATGTGGGAAATGGTCATGTTGACACTGAGAGAATCAGCAACATTGATCTTGCTCGGAGAAACTCTGGACTTACTCGTGAAACCCTCCGTTGTAGCTGTTCAGCTGGTAGGTTTTCTTCTCTAGCTCTTCGTTCCTGGGGAAATTGACGACAGTTGACTTTGGTGCGCAGAAGCCAGGGGCTTGATAGTCGTCTGGACAATCATCTGTGTAGAAGAGCTTTGGTTTGAAAAACCGTTGTTCTGTTCCAAATAAGTTCGTGACCTTAATAGTGACTGCAGTAGCAGATTGAAAAGGACTTACCCGGAAGCTCCGGTAGGTTGCTCACGTATGTGGAAAGACTGCGAACGAATTCTGCAAACCCAATCTTCAAGTTCACAAGGCTAAGGCGTCTTCCATCTGGGCCTGTCATTTCCATGCCACTTACCACACGATTAGTGGATCCGGCGGGACGGTGATAACTGAAATTCAGCGTATGCGTTTCCAAGACATTCTCTTGATGGTCAGGATCCGCGAAGATTTTCAGCTGAAACGAACGGAGGAAGCCTCGCTGGATTGCATCGAAGGCACCATTTTCCTATACCGAGATAAGCAAGGCTGTGAGCCTGAAGTCCAACTAAGTAGGAAACGCCCAAGTGAGGTGAAGCCAGCCACAGCGTATCGGAAAAGAACATACAATGTAGTCCATGAATGCTTGTGTCTTGGCACTATCTCCTCTCTGCAACAAATGTAGGGATTGAGTATGGTTGTTATGCTCTGTTGTCACGTCGCCGGTCTTCCAGTCTTCATATGACCATAGCTCGGAAGAGCTAACATCGAAGTGTGCCAGCTTGAAACATGCGGGGTTTATCAAATCTCTGGGATTAGATCAGCAGATGCGGGCATCACGAATATGGCGGTACGCACCTGAGATGGAGAATTGAAGATATCTGTACGGAAAGCATTAGCGATGCGAATGGAGCTGATGAGTGAGAAGATGGAGTACCGAGGCTAGTAGTAGTGATTGTGTCAGCTCTTGGCTCTGCTGCTGCGTGACAATAGTCGTAGCTTCAGCTGTCTTGGATTGTTGTTGAGTCTGTGTCTGTGAATGGCTCTGTGCTTGTTTCCGTGGCGGTCTTCCGCGCAGTTTCTTGAGCGCTGTGGTTGCTGTGCCCGACTTCTTCGGGGGCATTTCGAGGATTGTGTTGCGCGGTGTTCGGTAAGGCGTGTGGGATGTGAGAGAAAATAGGCACCTGTCGGATACGATCCTCCGCCTCAGCGAGCGTGGAGTTGGATGGCAAGAGGAAAGTATTGTGGGTGGCGAATTTGAACCCAGCGAGGCAAGACATGTCCGTCGCGGAAGGCACGACCAACCCATCGGTTGCGGAAGGCGCGACACCACCGCTGTCCTCGGGCAGCATCTTAATCATGACAAAGGCTGGACCAAGCGGTATAGTTACGCTAGAAACCCGGCAAGAAATCCTACTGCGAAGAAGTCGTGCATCTGCTGGACCGCGTGATATGCAAGTCAGCTTGGGGAATATCGAGATTGTGAGAAAAAAGGAAACTCATGCACCACCACAGTCGTATACCATCAGCATCAAAGCAAAACCGTGCTTTCTCCATTGCACCCCAGTATAGACGTTCCTCGAGCCATGGAAAAGCTGAGCAACCGACATGTGCATTGCAATTGACAGAGAACATGAACGTGAGAAACCTATCCTTTGGCCAGCGTATATCTTGTCTGGTTACCAACTCCTGTTTGTGTGGTTTTCTTTTCGATACTCGTACAGTGACAGGCACAGAATGAGTAGAATTGTGCATTTCCTCTGATCGTGCAGAACCACCGAATTTCACGACGATTTGAAAGGGTCAGCACGTTAACACATCAGAAACAAACAGAATGCTGCTGGCGCACGGGTCCATGACACTACGCCATGATATGTCGTCGGGAGCAGCAGCACGGGACAGAAAGCGGCTGGCCGGTACCTGGTTCCGGCTGGGGGATGAGCGGCTGTGCAGAGGGCGAGGAATGCCTGTGCTTACACACGTAGTCAGCAGCAACGCACGGTACGAAGGGCGCACGTCAAAAGCCGAGCTTTTGTTTTGGCCATCCGATCGCTTCGATTCCCGATCCTTAAGCCATTGGGTCGTCATGCTGATGGCGACGCCTCATCATGCTGCACAACTCCTCTTCACGTCTGCTTTATTCGACGCACGGCATGGATACCAAGACCAGGGCCCACGCTTCCATGGCCAAGTTATTTGCAAATAAAACATCCGCTTTGGCGGACGGGCGGACACGAGTCGTGTTTTCCGAGGTTGTGACGACATCGGCAGGCTGAAGCAGCAGCCATCAAGGCGGCAGATGGATGGCCCTGCTGAAAATTACGTTACCTTCTGCGTGGGCATCCGGATCGCGTCGGCTTCTGCAAGCTCTGCGCCGCGAGTTCGTCGGAGCCGGAGCCTGAGGCTCTACAATAGGGGCCCTCCGATCATGCGAGTGTCGCTAGATGAGGTTCAGTGTGGGGTATGTTGTGATACTCGCGTCGGACAAACTTGCGACCATCTGGGGAAATATTTCCATCTTCGTGCCGTTGTCGAAGCCGGAACGCTGTTGGCTCGGACCCTGAAGCCGCCAACAGTGGCGATCGGGCATTCCGATGGCGACGCGTCGGACGCGTGCAGGAAGAGCTATTGTACACGCAGAAAGGAGATTGGAAACGGGTAATTAGGCATGTGACAAATCGAGCATTCCGCCGAGGTGATACTCTTCATGCTGTGCTACGGGCGAGGACTCCCGCTCGAGGGCGCGGGCGAGAGTCCACCAGTCGCTTCCTCAGCTGGAGGGCGGGGCGGGCAGAGATGCGGAACAATATATGCGTGACGCTCAAAAGCATCGCAGGCGCAAGCGAGCTGGCGGGCGGCGGCCAACACCACTGTTGGCTGGGGAAGCTCGGAGCAGCGGTCTTGCCTGTGTGCCTGCCTGCCTCGCCTGTGCTGTCGCCTCAGCCGGCCCGGCGTCAGATCGCCTTCGCCCTTCCAGCCGCCAACCCCTCTCCGGCCACACTGTGCCGCACACAACATCCGCTCTTCCCCCAAGCGTGCTGGCCTGCTCGACTCTGCATCCTCCCGGACCGCTTGTTTTGGCCGCCATGACCGACTAGACTGACGACACCACCCCAACTTCGCCCCTGCAGACACCAGCCTCACCACGGCCCACTCCCGCACCCACTTGCACGCACTGCGCGCCTGCAAGCCTCGGGGCTGATGATCAGTGCGGCCCTGTCTCACCGCGTCGCCGGCCCCAAGTTTGCTCGCTCTCCTCGCCGTCCGTAGTCCGTGTCACCCTCGCGTTCCGCCTCCCACTCTCCTCCCGCCGTCATGGATGCTGCCTCCACGCTGAGCGGGACGGCCACATCCCAAGACACGTCGGCCTTTTCTTCGTTTGCCTCGACGGCTGCTGTACCGCCGTCCGCCTCGCCATCCGCCAAGCCCTCGAATACCTCGACTGCGCCCACCATGCCTGCCCACCACGAAGTCTCGAAAACCGTGCAGACCCAACTGCTGGATCCCTTCGCCGCCCTTGGCCAGCTCTCGTACGCTCCGACGACCCAGACAACCGTTGTCACAACCACCACCACAACAACGACGTCTTTCCCCCCTTTGATTCTCAACGCCCCTCGCCACCTCCGCGAGCGCGACCCCAAACAATACCCCCTGGCCGCCTCTCCCACGCCGCAGGCAATCAGGGATTTTAGCTTCAGCATCGGAGGGAGGGAGGCTCGCTTCCGTGAGGCAGACGACGCCCAGAGTACTCTTGACGAGGTATGCCCTCAGCTGCTGGCAGAATCACGTTGGCCGTGTCGCACACGGAGCGTGTTGCCTGATCTGACCGTATATGGCTAATTCGGGGTCTCATCAGTATACCCATTACTATGCAGCTTTGCAATCCGCCAACGGCACGCTGTCCGGGGCAGAAGCTTCGGAATCGAAGCTTGACACTCCGAGCCGAGCAACGAAGCGGAAGGCCATCACCGAAGCGCCGGAACCCCCTGCTCGCAACCCCAAGAAACGATCCGCATCGCCCGTGTCCATCGCCGAAGCAGCCGAGCTAGCCAGTTTGTCCCGCCGAAAGAGACCACGTCAGAGTATGCCTCGGTCCGCTGCAGGCTCGGCGGATCTTCCTCCTCTCACCCGCAATAATTCTTCCCAGACAGCAAGGTGCCTCGATACAACCGCACCTGCCACGCCGGACACTGATGCTGGTAGCTCGGGACAGTTGAAGATACCTAAGGTACGGGCAGGGTTAAGGAGACCTGGCTCAAGGGCAGGAACGATTCGGGACCATGCTGCTCAGCGGCTATCGAGCTTGCAGAGCATGTCAGAGGAGTGGCGATCGCAGGCCAGAGATTCAGGATCCCGCTCATCGAACGATGCTTCGGTAGGCGCAAAGGAGTCGTCCGATGCGCGAGACACCCAATCTGCTGGCCTGGGAATCGAGGAAGCGATTACAGGGGTCTCGGCTACACCACCTATTGCCGAAACGGACCTGGAGCCGATTGTGCCTGTCGAGGAGGAAGCGGAAAGACGTCCCAGGACCGCACGTCCTAATTCGCTTCAGAATCTGGCTGCGCAAGACGCTAGCCTTCCCAGCCCCTCTCTTTCTCCGATCACTGCAGCCGCTAATCTAGCTCATCATGCGAACTTCCCAGGCCTACACGGGGTTGAGGACGATGATGACGAGAATGATGTCTCGAGCTTGGACATCGAGCGTGAGAAAGGGGAGGAGAAAGTGGATCCGAAGAGCCTCGAACTGGACCTGAAGCGCCAGAACTCGGCGGAGTCGACATATGCTCTCAAACGCGAGGACAGCGACCAGGAGCTTGTGGGACCGACGATTATGGACATTCCAACCATGGTTGATGCCTTTGATGCCATGCCCGACGACTTAAAGACATACGTTATGTACCAATTTCTTCGACGATGCGCCAAGCCGACTCTACATTTCGTTGCCAACACGGTCAACCCGGCGCTGAAGATTGATTTCCTTGGCCTTCTTCCGTTGGAGCTGAGTTTGAACATTATTTTGCATCTTGATGCGCAAAGCCTGTGCAGAGCAGCACAGGTGTCGAAGAAGTGGCGGCAGGTGATCAACTCGGACGAGAAAGCATGGAAAAACTTGCTGGACAAGGATGGATACGTGCTTCCGGAAGGCGAATTGGAGCGTGCTATAAGAGAAGGCTGGGGTTGGCAGTTCGGGCAGGACAGCTGGGAGCGGGATCTCAGTGGCTCGTCGATGCTGGGGGCTGTATCGGACAGCGAGACCTCTGCCCTGTCATCACCTCAGAATGCGCTGACCATTGCCGGCTCTACACGTCCAAAGCGCAAGGCGTCGAGCAAATACGCAACCAGCAGCAAGAGGCGCCGCGTGAAGGGCCCGAGTGCGTCGCCCCCCAAGTCTCAGCCTCAGACCTCGGGTGTTCTGTCGTCATTCGCCAGCGCACACGGGCCGATTGCTTACGCCAACGCTGCTGCCTTAGCTGTCCCGAACCCCAACATTGGTCTCCCCACCTTGAGAAATCTTCACTTGTTCAAGTCGCTTTACCAACGACACCATCTTATTCGGAAAAGCTGGATGGACGTCGACACGAAGCCGAAGCATATCGCGTTCCGCGCTCATCAGCGGCATGTAGTAACATGTCTGCAGTTCGACACGGACAAGATTCTTACCGGCAGTGACGACACGAACATTAACGTTTATGACACGAAGACTGGTGCGCTCCGCAACCGGCTCAGCGGACATGAAGGAGGTGTCTGGGCTCTGCAATACTGGGGAAATATCCTGGTCTCAGGTTCTACGGACCGATCGGTGCGAGTGTGGGACATCGAGAAAGGCAAGTGCTTGCAAGTATTCCAAGGCCACACCTCGACCGTTCGTTGTCTTGTGATCCTCCAGCCGACCGAGATCGGCAAAGATGCGGAAGGCAAGCCTATCATGATGCCCGAACGCCCGCTCATCATCACCGGCTCCCGTGATTCTAGCCTGCGCGTCTGGAAATTGCCAAATATCGAGGATCCTTCCGTTTTCCAGACCGGTGCGCCGACCAATGATCGTGAAAACCCATACTTCATCCGCGCTCTTACCGGACACCACCACTCAGTCCGCGCCATTGCTGCCCATGGCGATACTTTGGTCAGCGGTTCGTATGACACGAGTGTGCGTGTCTGGAAGATATCTACAGGCGAAGTACTCCACCGTTTGAACGGCCACACGCAAAAGGTTTACAGCGTTGTTTTGGATCATGCTCGTAACCGATGCATTTCTGGTTCCATGGACAACCTTGTGAAGGTGTGGTCGCTCGAAACGGGCGCATGCCTTTTCAACCTCGAAGGCCACACCTCACTCGTTGGATTGCTTGACCTCTCACATGAGCGGTTGGTTTCCGCCGCCGCCGACTCGACGCTTCGCATCTGGGATCCTGAAAATGGCCAGTGCAAGGCGACTCTCACGGCACACACGGGCGCAATTACTTGCTTCCAACACGACGGCCAGAAGGTCATCAGCGGCAGCGACCGGACTTTGAAGATGTGGAACGTAAAGACGGGAGAGTGTGTGAAAGACCTTTTGACAGACTTGAGCGGCGTCTGGCAAGTTAAATTTAACGAGAGGAGATGTGTCGCAGCTGTTCAGAGAAACAGCCTGACATACATTGAGGTAGGTTTTTCTCTACTAACTACTGCGAACTCTAGCTAACTTATGTCAGGTATTGGACTTTGGCGCCTCTCGTGACGGTGCGCCTGAAGATCAGCGCGGTCGCCGCATCGTCGTTGACAGTCGAGGTCGCGAGATCGAGGACGTCGATGAATCAGCTGAGCTTGTTGAGCCTCAAGCATGACGCGCTGCATCAACACTTGGCCTCTTTTTTTCTACTCGCCTACAAGCGCCCTTCCATTCACCAGCATAAATTACTGTGTCGTGTTTTCTTTTACTTCAACTTTATACCCAATACATGGCTATGACTTTTTTCGCACGACTCACGGGAGATCGTGACACCGGCACCTATTTTGTGGAATCAAGAAGACCTTTACTTCAGGTTTTGAACGGCCAACAGTTGGTCCTTGGCGTCGGCAAAGCGCGAGATCCTTTCTTTTTTCTTATTTCCTATTACGAATACACTGAGATGCATGTTTTGTTGCGCGGAGCCTTTGTCTTAGTTTTATTATTTTATTTGTCGGCATTCGGAGTAGATAGGAGGACGGGCTTTTCTCTTACCATCTTCGTTCCGTTCGCTACGGAATGTAGCCAGGAAGATGGTCCATACATACCCACGTTTGAAATCATTAAAAGTTTCTGGGGGTCTCCAAACAGTATCATGCTCTTGAGCTCAACGCTTGTCCCAAAATGAAAATGACGATCAATAAGAATCTAGACGAACCCTTCGTCGATCCATCTCTTCAACCACAACCTCACCATCTCCACATCTACAGGTCTCGCTTCGCGCACGCTCGAGGTCGCAAACTCAACACCCTCGCCATTTTTGCCTCTACTCTCTGTCTCAGCGTCGGAACCCTCCAACCCCGCCCCAGCCATCTCTTGGAAGAAACCGAGGAGCTTCAGTCCTGGGACCTCTCCGGACCGCCCTTCCTCGTCGGCCGCCTTTTCGAGCATCGCCACCCACTCGTGCATGCTAACCGTTTGGAAAGGTTGGGTGGAGGCAGAAGTGGAGGGGGCTGCCGCGGCGAGGGCAGACAGGAAGGTTGACCATGAGATGGTGGACGGGTTGACGAGGTTGTGGACGGTGTAGGTGGAGTGGCTGGCGGCCGATAGAGCGGAGGCGATGCTGGACGCACAGATGTCGACGGGGAGCCAGTTGACGGATGTCGAAGGCAGAGAGGGCAGAGCGTGCAGGTGTTTGAGGCCGGTGGAGATCATGATGGGCCACCTGGTTCATGACGTTAGTCAAAATCGTGCTCTTGAGGGAATCTAAGCGGGTAATGAGAAGTGGGTGGGGAACGAAGCGTACATTTCAGTGCTGTTCCACACGCCGAGCGAAGAGTGACCGCAGAGCTGGCCGACGCGGAAGAGCTTGACCGGCGCTGAGAGGGCGGTTGCGTAGTGTTGGGTTATTTTCTCCACTATTACCGGGTGAGTTTGAATTCGTCCATCATTACTTTGGGACTGACTGACCTATGAATTTGCTCTGTGCATAGCCAGTGCTGAGTGCCATTAGCGGATCGTTGGAGACCGGTGCTTCTGGTATCAGCTGGCCGGCGGCGGCCTGGCCCATACAGGCGGCAACACTGCTCATAAAGGAGAATGTCTTTTGCGTGCCAGTGCGGCAGAACGACAACAGATTCATGGTTCCTGAAACAGCATCAGTCTGAGGGTGAAATGAACATCGTGCTGATCTTAGACTTACCGCGCAAGCAGTCTTCTTCGAACATCTCAACGCGTTGGTTGAAGTCCATCTTCCAAGCATTGTGAATCACCGTTGAAACTTCCTTCAGAAGTCGGTCATATTCGTTGGAAGCCAAACCAAGTTTCTCATCCTTCATGTCGTATGGAACTGCACAGATCTTACTGCTCGTGTAGATCTCTTTCGCGTAGCCTCTTTTCCGCAGCGCTTCCTGGAGTTTTGCCTGCGGATCCTGGCCGCGAATGGCGCAGTACACCCTTTTGACGCTTGGTCTCCGAACGAATTCTTCCAGCAAAGCATTGCCCAGAGCTCCGCTCGCGCCGGTCAGGTAAATGACTTCGCCTTCTGTGTTCTGCGGGACCGGGGACTGAGGTTGGGTAAGTCCAAGGGAGTCAATGACGCCCTTGTACTCCTCGATCTTCGTCATGATCCATGAAAGCCTCTCCTTTTCCGCATCAACAGCCTCCGAGTCTGACTTCGTCGTTGTCAGATAGCCGTGGAGCTTCTTCAACGACGAATACTCAAAGATGAACATGAGCGGGAAGGCGCCGAATCTCTTAACGAGCCTCGACCGGAGCCTTACGGCACACTGAGAATCGAGCCCCAGATGGTAGAAGCTCGTTTCCGGCTCGACGTCCGCAACCTCCTTCCGGCACACTTCAGCCACGCAACTCCTGATGAAGTCGATATCGGACAACGCGCCGTCCGCACCGTCTACAAGCCCGCCATCATCCTGCACGCTGCTGCATCCTTGCAGATGCCGTTCGTACATGGCCTCCACTCGCTCTCCAAAGAGCCTCCACGCCTCCTTCCGCCGCACGTTCCCCTTGGGCGTGACGGGCAAGCTCTCGCCCGGGTCCAGGATCAGCAGCAAAGCGCGGTCGATCTGCGAGTGGCGCGCGGTCTCGTCGTTGCACCTCCGCACCGCCTCCCACACCCTCTCCTCGACGGCAGCAGCATCTAACTGCTGAACCGGAGCGGCCACCTCCACCACTGCCGCAGTACAAGGCTTGCCGCTCCCGAAGACGGCCGCCTTCGCAATGACTCCGGCGCCGCGCTCCTCCAGCGCCGTCTGCAGCGCGGCCGCGTGCGTCTTCTCGCCGTTGTCGTGCACGAGCACGTCGTCGGCGCGGCCGAGCAGCTCGAAGGAGCCGCTCCCCGGCGGGCCGACCTCGACGAACAGGTCGCCGGTGCGGTAGGGGTCGGGCGCGTCGGGGCTGAGCCAGAGCTCGGCGGCCAGCTCGAAGCCCTTGTGCACGACGCACTCGAAGAGACGGTCGCCATCGCCGCCATCGCTGCTGCCGGCATCACCACCACCCAGGGGCTCCATCCGCACGAACGGCGATTCCGGGTACAGGTTGCGCACGCGGTAGCAGTGCGGGTTGTCGCGCGTGTGCGGGATGGTGCGGAAGGGGGGCCCGATCTCGGTCGAGCCGTACGTCGTCTTGACGTTGGCGCCCAGCGCCGTCAGCTTGGCCAGCAGCGTCGGCGAGAGCGGCGCGCCGCCGGGCTGGAGGACCTTGAGCGCTGTGAGCGGCGTGAAGTCGTTGGTCGTCGCCGAGATGTAGGCGTAGAGGTCGTCGATGACGCTGGGCGCGCAGTGCAGGCAGTCGGCCGGACGGCCCAGCGCGGCGAGGGCCTGGAAGGCGGAGAGGATGGCGCTGGGGGCCGGCGGCCAGTTGGCGGGCGGGAGAGTGGTGGGGAGGCCGTTGGGGAGGCCGCTGAGGGCGATGGAGACGCCGGCGATGTGGAATCTTGAAAGGTGTGAACAGAGGACGATGGACCTGGTTAAGACACAAACTTACAGCGGGAAGCAGAGGTACCAGTTTTCCACGACAAAGTCTGGAAATAGCCGGTACATCCTCGCAATGAGGCATAGGCTCCTATTCGTGTGTATGATGGGCTTGGGCAGGCCTGTTGATCCAGATGAGTGGATGATCATGGCCTGAAGTTCCCATTCTTCTTCGGCGAAGAAACCCTCGACGTCTTCTTCTGCTGGACGTTCCAGGCTTTCCAGCTCTTTCAATGTAAGCAGTGAGACGCATGGCAAAGGGACGCCCTCAGCAGAGAGAATGGCCGCGTTGCTTTCGTCAGCGATTATTCCGACGGCATCACAGACTTTCAGCAAATGATCTCGCGCAGTAGGGGCATTCTTGTTGCTCAGTAGCAGGATGCGGATGTGGAGTTTGACAAGTGCGATCTGCGTAACTAGATAGTTGATGGTGTTGCCGGTGCCTAGAAGAGCAATCGTGGGCTGCTGTGAGCGCTCGTTCGCCGCGTCGATCTCGGCCCGCAACTTGACTGAATAGTGCGCAGCTGCAGTGGTGACGAGTTCATGGAACGTGGCCCAGTCAATCGTGTCAAACGACTCCCCGGCCGGATGCAAGAATGCTGCTTGCGATGGCTGGGTGGTTGCGTTGTGCTTAACCAATGCGGCTAGGCTCGTGAGCTCCGGGTTGGCGAACCTGATTGGCGTGAGCATGACAGACCCTCCGTGATGTAGAGATTTAAGCCGCGGACCTCTTGCTGTGCGGGTGACCATGCAAATTCCATAGTTTCTTAATCCTTTCATCAGCTTGGTCTGGGGGAAGAACGCTGGCGTCTGTGATAGAAGGCACGGGCTCTGCCGCAAGATCGGACAATGCAACAGGCGCCATGATGAGATGATGAATGGAAGATACGAGCAAGCGCGTTGAGAGATGAAAACGCGCCTCTATTTACAACCCCGGAATGGCGTCAGGCTGCACTGCCGGCTCGCAATAGAGAAAGTAGCAACTACACCTTGCTCAGAAACACTACTGGCCAACTCGGAATTTGACCGATCGAAACACTAAACAGCATCTCCGCATCTCCATAATCTACGTGTTTGCCCTTCTTTAACAGCTGATACGCAGTTGATAGTTATCTCTCGGCTTATCGCCCGGCTACCCGTGTTGGCGGCAGAAGCGATAGGCCAACCCTTGCCACACCAACGCCAAGTGAGCAGTAGCGGTATCCACGTCCGAGCCCGCCCGGCACTGTACTTGGGTGCTCAGCAAAGAGTCCCGCGATAATGTCGATAAGGCCTAGAGCTTGTAATCAATGGTCAAAAAGTTGCGAATGCCTTGCTCGCTGAATTGCTCTATCCACCCACTGTCACCCCTTCAATTCTCCACCGGAGCGACAGACTGACAGCGAAAATGGGGCTCCGCAAGCGCCTCGAACTGTACTCGGACAACCCTGAGCTTGGATCCGAGGCAGAAGGTCCTGTGTCGAACAAGGATCTTGACCCTGTCCCTCTAGGATCACCAGAACGAACATGGACTTGGCCCAGTCTGCTGGGATTCTGGATTGCTGAGGCCTTTTCCATTTCCATGTATCAAGGTGAGTGACTCGAGGAGAGCCTACGTGAGAATTCAGACAGTCTGACAAAAAAGCAAAACAGTCTCATCAACATCCGTTTCCAAAGGCTTGAATCCAGGTCTCGCCATTGTCGCCGTCCTCATCGGGCACGCCTTGGTATGCATTCCCGCCATGCTGGATGGCTACGTCGGTAGCGTCTTTGGAATCAACTTCCCCGTCTTTACACGCGCCAGCTGGGGCATGCGAGGTTCGTACTTCGCCGTCTTCGTGCGCGGAGTCGTCGCCTGCATCTGGTTTGGAACCCAGTCCTTCCAGGGTGGTCAGTGTCTTCAGATCATGATCTCAGCAATCTGGCCAAGCTTTAACAGCTTTCCCAACCACTTGCCTGAGAGCGCCCATGTCACGAGTGCCGAACTTCTGTGCTTCTTTCTGTTCATCATCGTCCAGCTACCGCTGCTGTGGCTGCATGTATCAAGTCTCCGGTACATGTTCATGGCCAAGACGATTGTGATGCCGATATTTGGCTTGACTCTGTTCATCTGGGCTCTTGTTGCTGGTGAGTACCATCCGTGCCAAATGCTTTGCTTCTGCTAATTTAGCCCTAGCTCACGGCTTCGGTCCTACGTTTTCGAAGCCTACGCACATAAAGGACGGCACGCCGGCCGCTGTCGTCTTCTTACAATGCGTGACAACCGCCATCGGCCCCAAGGCGACGCTGGCGCTCAACATGCCCGACTTTACAAGATACGCCAAATACCCGCGCCAAGTCTTCTGGACACAGGCTGTTGGCCTCATAGTACTCGTCACCATGTGTGGTGTCCTCGGTGCCACAGTGTCGTCTGCGGCTGAGGTCATTTACGGAGAAGTGACGTGGAATCCGCTGGAAGTGGCCGTACTCTGGAACAATCGCGCCGCCCAGTTTTTCGCCGGCCTGTGCTGGGCCTTCGCCGTCATTGGAACAAACATTTCGGCAAACAGCGTCTCCTTCTCGAATGACTTGGCGCTGTGGTTCCCTAAATATATTAACAACCGCCGCGGAGCTTACATATGCGCCATCCTTGGGATATGCGCCGTTCCCTGGAACATTCAGTACAAGTATGCACAACTCCTATAGAGACTCTTCGCATAGCTCTGGCTAACAGCATCGCTCACAGTGCCAAGTCTTTCTCCTCGTTCCTTGGCGGCTACTCGCTATTTCTTGGTGCCATTGCTGGCATTATTTGCGTGGATTTCTGGATTTGCCGTTCGCGTCGCCTCTCGGTCACGTCCCTCTACAATACTCGTGGTACCCATTGGTATACTGGCGGGGTAAACTTTCGTGCTGTGATTGCTTTTGTCTGCGGTATCGCACCAAATATGCCTGGTTTGGCAGCTGCCTGCGGCCAGAGCGGAGTTCCGAAAGGTGCCACGTACCTCTACAGTTTGAGCTGGTTGGTGAGCACTCTTGTTGCAGGCTTTGTCTACTGGGCAGGTTGGAAGATTAAGCCATTCCCAATTGACGAGAAGAGAGAGCTATACATCGAGGGCAGCGAGGCGGAAATATACGCGCCGGAGGAGACCAATTCCGTGACCGGCAAAGCACCGGATGCAAAAATCTCCACGGGACCTGGGGTGTAGGTATTCTATAAGCAAGCAAATATATGTAATGAAACGGCTAGGCCAGATCCAAGACTCGTCTGAGGATTGTAGAAATCTTTTGTCATGGCTGACGCAACAGACTGCATCGCAGTCAAAGTCAAATTTCTCCTCGGCAATCTCCACCGGCAATCTCAGATTAGCGGAGTTTAGTCCGAAGAGCTAGTTACCTAGCTGACCAGCCGGCCGGTTTACGGAAGAGATCCGAGTTGCTCACACGTGGGTATGCACGGGCAAGCGGCAGAAGGGTGGCGAAGAAAGCCCGAAGCCCACCCGAAAATTGGTGAGTCCCGATTAATGTTTTCCATCACTTTGAAACACTGCGGACGAGTGTCAAATTCGGTATGGCCTGAATCATTCAGGGACCTGTTCCTGAACCCCAAAGAGGAAGATGGCAGTATCCACCGTTTGTAGGATCCAGTGCAAGATCGACGACAACCCATGAGACGCACGACCGTGGGTTACCGAGGCACTGTCCGCGGAGGGGCCAGTGACAAGGGGTCGCCCAACAGTATTGCATTGCACAATGCGTAGAACCCAAGCATTAAAATCCGGCAGTGTCATTGGTTTATGAAAGCTGAGGATGCGGCCGGAGACAGCTCCACAAGCTGACTCAATCCAGCGACGTACATGGCATCCAATCGCAGGAGACTGAGGTTCAGCATATTGCAGCTTCTTGATTTGATCCTGAGGAGGCTGCGCCATCTGTTGAGTAGAGCAAGAGATTCCCGAGCATCTGGTTCGGTCAAAGACGAGGCGAAAAGCAACACCATGAAGTTACTGGCGATTGCGAAATTCACACGTGAATCTATCCCTGAATCAGTCGAGTCCTCAACCATCAAGCAAGGGACATACAAGAAGGCCAAAACGCCTCGAGATGGTGTGTTTCCAGTCCTGTGGCGAAGTCATACATCTCGCGCGCCACGCTGATGGCGCCTGTCCGTAATGCAGCTCTTGCTTCCGGAGATGCCTCCGAAATCTGGGGTCTCAGAAGGGCGCGGAATATACTAATCTTAGCTGTAATGTAGGCAAGACGAAGGCTGCCATTGCCATCTAGGTCTTGCGACGCAAGTGTTCGTGAAGGCTGAGCTGCAATGAGCGGACGCGCTTGAGACCACTCCGCAAGAGCTATTCGGAGCGGCTTCGCTGCGTCGAAAGTCGCTTCCAATGATCTGGAAAGATGGCGCGTGGCTCTGAGAGAACTACTCAAGCGTCAAAACTCGATATACGAACCCAGGCTCGAGGAGTGTCCTTACAACAGATTCGACTGTATCTGGGCAACGATCTGCGTGAGAGATACCAAATGTAGGAAGTGTTCACAGAGAACGGATTGAGTGGGAGAATCTGAACTGTCAAAGTCGTCCTGACTCAGGGGCTCAACATCCCAGTCATCCATCTGAATATGCGAACTCCGTCCGAAGTTTAGGCTAAGCCACTTGTCCTGGACGTATACCGCCCATGCAAGACGTCGTCTGAGCCTTCTCTCCCAGTGCGGGATAGACCAGTTCGAAGGATCAATGTTGAGCCCCAGCGTTTGGGCCAGAGCGAATATCTCGGCCATCATGGTCCACTTAAAAGGGGTGTCGGCCACGTGTCGATTTGTTGGTCGCCGCTGCACAAGGAGCAAAAGGGTCTGAACTACGGACAAGGATGGGGTGTGATATTGAGGGAGTGCAGATTGCCAGGCCAGCTGGAACAGATCGTCTGAAGACGGAGGCTTGTAGACCTCAACGCAGAGTCTGTCATCAAAGACACAAAACGGCAGCGCATGACCGTAGATTGCAGCCAATAGGCAAGTGGGAATAGTGCTGGGATCGCAATCCATAGTTCGAACAATGCGCTCGTACGACAGGACTGGAAAGTATGGCTGGACATAGCGGAAGAACCTGCAGAATGAGCTGTGGCGTCCCCAAGATTTCAATGCACGTGGCCACCCGGAGAATGGGGACTATTCCACCCTACTCACAATCTAATGAGCCTCTTCCCCACGGCATCCTCTACCATTCCTGTGACCTCGGCTCGGATAGCGGACACGCTCTTGCCAAAGTCGCCTGGTTGTGCTTTGCTGGCCAGGGAGTTGTCTTGCACCATGAACTGCACCGGCACGCCGTCACTCAATCCCACATTCCTTATGCTCAGCTGCTGGAAGGAACACTGGTCGTTGGTGTCAAAGCGGTAGAGACGCAAGAGATAGGGATCCGCCTCGCCGCTCAGGCCGACGATCTGCGCATTGTGACTGGATCCGGCATCCAGCGATGGGGGCTCATGAGAAGGATCGGGCGCGGAGTCAGAGGCGAGGGGTGGGGCTAGCTCTGGGGGACTCCTGTGCGGTCGCGAGGAATCGGGAGAGGCGGCGACAGGCGAGACGGCGGCGTCGGTGTGGGCGAGGTCAATGTCGGTGTCGTGGTCTGGGTTGCACCTCCTGCGCTTGGCGGGATTCTCGAGGAAAGTGCATGGCCGGCCGTAGCGGCTGCACAGCTCGCACGGCGGGGCGGCGGCGAGCAGACAGGCGGCTCGCTTGTAGCGGCAGAAGTCACAGGGGCGCTTGCTCCGGCTCTTGTAGGGGCGAGCGCGGTCGTCGGACTGCTGGTCGGCCATGAAGGGCCAGCATGGCGCGGGGCAGATGGGCGATGGTGTTGGTTCAGTGGTGGACTGGATATTACCGGCGGCGATAAGAAGGCACGGCCCCCGGACGCGGCCATGACTCGCAGCCGACCAGCACGGCCAGCAAGCGGCCAGCGAACGTGGGGAGCAGCCGGCGCCGAACAGCCGTTCAGGCACAAGGATGCTCCCGTACACACTCCGGCCTGCTTGCCGCCGCAGTTGCGCACTCCGCCGCCTGAGTCGCGGTCATCAGCACAGTCGGCCCGCGCAGCAGTGCAATGCAGGGCCTGCCGGTTGCACAAACTGCTGCGAGAGAAGGGGGGACGCTTCCGGGGACTGCGAGACATGTGCTCGCAACGTCTGCTAGGTAACGTTAGCACATTTCGGCGGCGGCCCGTGGCGCGCTGGCGCCGCCACGCTGACGTTGCCCGCCTCGGCAGTTTGACGAGCACCGATGCGAGAAATCTGCTCCGGCGAGGCTCGATCGGGGGCGGCTTCGAGACTGCGTCGTTGCCGGCCGGGGGGTCGTTCGCCGGCCCACCGCCAACGGCCTAACGCCCGGCTGAGCACACACTGAAGAAGACTAAACCGCCGACCTTTGCGCAACTGCCTGCTCCTCTGCGCCACCCCGAATCCTTCCTGAGCCTCTCTGCAACCCTCTTGATGCACGCAGAGCAGCCAGCGCCATGTCTGCCGTATATCCGGAGGCGGCCAGAGAACGGGACCTGCACAGGTGCGTGACGTTTTGATCAACACCTGGGGCAGCCGATCAACGCTAATGATGCCCATACAGGTACTACCAGCCCTGGCTCGATGCCCAGAGCCTCGTAAATGTCAACAACCAGGGCGCCAGCCTCGCCCTCACCTACAAGGGCTTTCGCGCCCAGCCCTCGCGCGACAAGGCCCTCACGGCCTTCGCCCAGCTGGCTGCCCTGCGCCTGGGCGTGCGCCGCGCCATGGTGTCTCTCGTTGACGCGCAACAGCAGTACATTCTTGCCGAAGCCACCAAGACCCTCTCGCTAATTGACGACCTCCGCCATGGCCCCGGCGACAGCATCTGGCTCGGCCAGACCGTCATTGCGCGACACGACGGCGTTGAAGAGAACCTCTTCGGCTCGAGGTACACTGCCACAGACGAAGACGGAAGCACCTACACCGGCGAGGGTCTCGTCATCCCCGACCTGCGCTTCGACGACCGCTTCAAGGATCGCGACTACGTCAAGTCCGAACCCGCCGTCCGTTTCTACGCAGGAGTTCCTATCAGAACCAAGGCTGGCCACCGCATTGGCGCATATTCCGTGTCCGACGAGAATCCTCGCCCTGGTCTGACCGTCGACGAGTTCAAGTTCATGCAGGACGTGGCCACCACTGTGATGGAACATTTGGAAATGGCAAAGGACAGGGATGATAGGAATAAGGGAGAGAGAATGGTGCGAGGGCTGGCCGACTTCATCGAGGGTGTGACGATAGAACCGGACAGTCCTGAACCGGCGCACCTCAGCCCGACAACTGCATCGAATCCGTCCGACGAGATCTTTGGAAGCAGCTCCATAATGCGCACCCCCTCATTCCGTAGCCACTCGTCCACGCTGAAGAGGCAGACTGAGAACTCGCGCATTGAGGACAAGGAATTCCCCAAGCCTGTTCGCGGTCCGTCGTTCTCCTCGTCGACCTTGCCAGCGAGCATGGCGAAACCCGACAGAGCTGAGCCCGAGGATGACGTTGGTAACGTTTTCTACCGAGCAGCGAACATAATTCGTGCAAGTACATCGGCAGATGGTGTCGTTTTCTTCACGACTTTCTCGAGCGACATCCAAACTTCTCCAAACGACCCTCCTAGTGGCCTTGCCGACCCAAGTGATGATTCGCAGACCTCTGATAGTGGACCGCCTTCAAGCTCAGGTGATCAAAGGCTTCCTCGGAGGTCTAGAAAGTCGCCTGGGTCTGTCTCAAGCATATCCAAGGAAACCGTCGCTGCCATGGAAGGAGAGCAGAACGCCCGTTTGGACAAGATTTGCGAAGTAGTGGGGCTGTCTTTAGATCCCTATACCATGAGGGAAGAACCACTCACCGAGAAAAGTTTCAATTTCTCAGAACGCAGCATGGAACGTTACATCAAAAGATTTCCCCACGGCAAATTCTTCAGCTTCACAGACCAAGGAGCAGGTATCTCGTCAGATGAAAAATCAGACCCTGAGCACATGCAGGCAAGCCGTGGCGCAGGCTCAACTGCAGAGTACCCTAAAAAGACGAAAAAGAAAGAGAAGCTGATCCCTACCGAGCTGCTGAAAGTTTTGCCCGGCATTAGAAGCTTGATTTTCCTGCCCATGTGGGATCCGACCGTCGAACGATGGGTTGCCGGCGCTTTCATCTGGACGTCAACGGCTGGCCGTTTGATGAGCCCGGACAATGAGTTGCCTTACCTGAAGGCATTTGGCAACAGCATCATGAGCGAAGTTGCTAGAGTCAATGCACAAAGGGCAGACCGGGCAAAGACGACATTTATTGCCTCGATCAGCCACGAACTGCGCTCACCCCTTCATGGAATTCTAGGAAGTGTTGAGTTCTTGCACGAAACTGCAAGCACAACATATCAGGCATCGCTTTTCACGTCCATTGAAATCTGCGGCAAGACTTTGCTGGACACTATCGATCACGTCCTCGACTATGCCAAAATCAACAAGCTGGGGAGAACTCATAAGAGGAAAAAGCACGAAACTCGCCATAAGCACATCCCTAATGGAACCGACAACTCAGTCATGGGGGTTACCACCGAATTCGACCTTAGTGCGCTTGTCGAGGAAGTGGTTGAGGCCGTTTGTGCTGGAGATGCGTTCAAGAAGGCCCATGCCGGAGCATTCCATGATTCAGGCCCAGCAATCAAAGCATTTCGCTCGACGTCTGACGCGTTTGTCAAAGACTCTGTGGACGTCACGCCAACCAGCGAAGGCAGAGTTACGATTCTCCTCAACGTGCATCCTACTGGCGGGTGGAACGTCAAGACGCAGCCTGGAGCTTTGCGGCGGATCGTCATGAACCTCTTAGGAAATGCCCTCAAATATACCACTTCTGGACACGTCACTGTGAACTTGTCAGCATCAAGGAGTATCGATCCGACGCGACTTGAAGCTCATCTCCGCATTGTGGACACCGGGATTGGAATGTCTGTCGAATACCAAAGGACACGCCTATTCTCGCCATTTTCCCAGGAGGATCCTTTCGCCGTTGGCACCGGATTGGGACTCAGCATCGTTCGACAGATCATAGATTCGCTTGGCGGAACGATAGACGTGAAAAGCACCAAAAATGTCGGCACTGAAGTGGACGTCTTTCTCACATTGCCCCTATCAGGGCATCAAGCAAAGGATCCGGAGAGCACTATCATGCCTGCCACCATTTCGACGAGAGGTATGAGCACCTGTCTTCTCATCCCTGAGGTCTCTAGGCACCTAGACCCTACTGGAGACGACAATCGCCTTATCGCCTCCTTCCGAGATACCTGCTATAACTGGTTTGAGATGGATGTCATTGAATCTACGACGATGCAAGGCATTGATGCAGACATATATTTTGTGACCGAACCGTCTTTGGTGGATAAATTGTTCGAGTTTCATGCAAGCAAGAGTGGCACCGCGCCTCTGGTGATAGTGTGCAGGAATCCGAGCGAGGAAATTGCATTGAAGGCCAGAGAAGATCATCGACTGCAGGCCCTTGGGCGGCATGTTAATGTAGTTTCACAACCGTAAGTTTTCACCCCCTGTCATAGACTGGCGTGATGGGCTTGGAGCTGACAGGTGCCAGATGTGGTCCACGCAAACTTGCAAGGATAATAATGGGTTGCTTAAAGCACATCGAAGACGCGAGGTCTAAACCGCCAGTCGGCCGAGCGATCTCAGCGCCAGCAGTTCTACATGACCAAGAGGCCAGCTACCAATCTGACGAGTCACCTCCCGTACCTCATCGCAACTTGGCGATTCGCAGTATGAGTGGGAGCGAGGAAGATTCCGGTCTTGAGGTCCCAGAAAGATCACTTCTGAGAGATGCTATCACCACTTCTTCTGCCAGCTCCGCTACCGCTATCGCACCGACTCCGTCTGAAAACGCGCTCAACCGCGACCCTAGTTCGATTGAGAATCCGCATCTGCGGATCCTTGTCGTCGATGATAACCCCATCAACTTGCAGCTCTTGGTCATGTTCATGAAGAAGCATAAATTTGCCTATACCGAGGCTACAAACGGCCTCGAGGCATTTGAACGTTACAAGGATGCCACGACAACAATCAAATCCCCTTCGTACAACCCTTCAAGTACGCGCAAGAGCTTCGACTTCGTTCTCATGGATATCTCGATGCCTGTCATGGATGGCCTTGCAAGCACTCGAGAGATTCGGAGATATGAGCATGAGAAAGGAGTTATGCCAGCCAAAATTGTGGCATTGACTGGTCTGGCGTCTGCTCAAGCTCAGGAAGAGGCAATGGGCAGTGGTATCGATGACTACCTTCCTAAGCCGGTCAAATTTGCCGAGCTCAAAAAATTGGTCGAGAAGAAGAGAGCAAAATTATTGAGTGGAGAGACATGATGTTGAGAGTTGCCGTTAACTTGAAAATTATTCACCCTCATATTCTTACAGGGTCTGTTCTAGATTTCTCACTTACATAAAACGAAGGGAAGCTGACAAGCCAGCTGCCGGGTCGTATCTGCGTCCTGGGTGCTGCTGATTGCCTCCTTGCGTCTTTTTCATCTTTACCATTCTGATGTTTTCATTTTATCGGCATGGTTTTGGGAACTATCTTTAATTGCGGTGTCTTTGCGTGGCGATTTCTATGACGCTTGTGGCCTTTGCATAATGGCTATTTCTTCTCTTGACTGTCTCCTTGGGTGCGAGCCAAGTCAATCTGTCCCCACATCCTTATCCCACTCTTTTCCTGTGGTTCGGGTGTGTGACATGCAAGTCGCCGCATATTATTTCCTTTCTCTGCCGAGGAGTTTCTTGTTAATCTGTTACTCATTTAATGTTTCTGGGAGTTTTTCCGGCTTTGGATTATCACAATCGGTCGATGGTGGAAGTCCAGCATGAGGTGATGAGAACGATGATGACGGCGGTGGTGATATTTTGGAAGACGTCATGAAGGGGGATCAGACCAGAATGCATAGCTTAGACAACAGACTGCGCGCGTTTAGATCTCAAACACCGTCCCATCCATTCCCAGTCATGGGATTCGATTGGCGGCAAATTGAAAATTGCTTAGCGGGGCCAGGTCCGTCTTGAGACCTGACCTTTCCATATCTCTGTCCTCTGCTCTTGATTTTGTTGTTTCATTGACGGTGCTGGTTTGGCACCATTGGTGTGGTTGTGCACCAAGACGATCCAGCTGAGGAAGTTCTCGTATGTCTTAACATGCGGTCGTCCCTCCGGTCCCTGGAAACGAGACCCGCTGGAGCTGATTCCGAAGGCTGTGGCGATGCAGTTAGATCACTCTGCTTTCGGACACAAGTAATACTTGCAGTGTCACCCGTTGTTGGCATTGGATTCCATTTCCTATTGCATTGCACGCTAATATCCGCTACTGAACGCCTATATAAAATCGAGTCAAGGCGGTGGAAAGGAAAAGGCCGGTATTGGATATTTTAAACATTCCTCAGGGTCGTCAAGGTTGTCTTGAAGTATTCAACGTGAAACCACACATAATTCGGCTTAATAGAGTAAGAAGTGTCCAGGCCTTTTAAGCCAATTCTCGACTACGACTCGGAATAAGTCTGGCCACTTTTGTACCAGATTCGCAATGACTTTATAGAGGATGCTGTTATTGACGTTATGTACGACTACGGCGAATACTGCCACTGCTAGAAGCAAGCAGTGCTCGGTACTAAATCACGAGCCATCTTCACAGCTTTACAACACAAACAACAGCAAGAGGCAGAAGTTCCGAAATGTCTATCTAGACTCATGAACCTACAGAAGACTTCTCTTGTCTTAGCCATATCATTCTTTCTTAACCACATGGACTTTCCCATCAAAGCCCAAAATCACAATTCTCAATCTAAATCGAAGCCCTACTAATCCAACGCCGGTGCCGTTCTCCCCCCTTCCATGGCCACCCTGACCTTCCCACCGGGCCTAAACTCATTGACCCACTCGTCCCGCGGCTTGCTCAGGGTGCTCTTCCCGCGCTTCAGAAAGTCGCCGAAGCCCTTCTCGCCGACGACGCCGCCGTTGTCCCTGTCCCACACGACCTTGCCCCGCAGGATCGTGTAGCGGGGCCAGTTGGAGAAGCGCATGCCCTCGAAGGGCGTGTAGTCGATGTCGTGGTGCAGCATGGCGTTCGTCAGCGCGAACGGCTCCATCGTCGTGGACGACTCGGAGCCCTTCGCGGCGGCACCGGCACCGCCCATGGCCGAACCGCTCGGCACCTGCGAAGGGGTGGGGTACCAGATGACCAGATCGGCGTCGAATCCGGGAGCGATGGCGCCTTTGCGGTCGCCCAGGCCGTACAGCTTGGCCGGATTCGCGGCCGTCAGCTCGACGAACTTGGGGGGCGAGACGCGGCCCGTCAGCACGCCGCCCTCGAAGAGGGTTGGCATGCGTGTCTCGAGGCCTGGAAGGCCGTTGGGCACCTTGTCGTAGTGCATGGAGCCGTCGGTTGGGGAGAGGCCGAGCTTCTTGCCGCAGGGGTGGTCGTACTTGGAGGGCGCGTGGTCCGAGGAGAAGGTGGTGAAGGTGCCGTTGACCAGGCCGGCCCACATGGCGTCCAGGTCCATGCGGTCGGCACGCAGCGGCGGGCTGCAGATGTGCTTCGCGCCGGAGAAGGGGTCGTCGTCGTGGGACTTCAGTGCGTCCGAGGTGAGGTAAAGGTAGTGCGGGCACGTCTCTGCGTGGATGGGCAGCAGGCGTGTCTGGGCGGCGCGGACGTGTGACGCGGCGGTGCGGCTGGACATGTGCACGATCAGGATGGGGATGTCGATGAGCTCCGAGAGGGCGATGATGCGGTAGGTAGCCTCGTCCTCGGCGATTGACGGCCGGCTGACAGCGTGGTAATAAGGGGCAGTGAGGTTCTGCTCGGCCAGGCGGTCGGTGATCCAGGATATCATGTCGCTGTTCTCAGCGTGCACCATGGTCGTCATGCCCAGTGCACGCGTGCTCATCATGATGTCGAGGATCTCGCGGTCGCCTAGCTTCAAGGGCTCGTAAGTCATGTAAATCTTGACCGAGCTGATGCCGTCTTTGACCAGGACAGGCAGTTCCTCGTCCACGATCTTCTTGGTTGGATTGGTGAGAATGAGATGGAATCCGTAGTCGCAATAGGACTGGCCACGTGCCCTGTTGTGGTATTCGTCCACGACAGGGTAAAGGGACTCATCCTTGCGGCTCTGAGAGGCAAATGCCAGGACGGTCGTGGTGCCACCCGCAATGGCTGAACGGGATCCGGTCTCGAAATTGTCACCAGTGGGAGAATTGTCCTGGTGAAGATGCACGTGCGAGTCGACGCCTCCCGGAGTCACGAATGCACCCTGGGCATCGATGATGGAAGCGGCGGAGAACAGAGAGGTCAGGCTCTGTCCGAGAAGTAGAATCTTGCCATCCCGGATGGCAATCTCTTGCTGAGGGAGGACATCTGAAGCCGTGACCTGGCAGGCGAGTCAGATTTAACTCGAGATGACTTGGGAGTCTTCAGCTACCCACCACAGTAGCGTTCACAATGAGGAGGTCGATGTCAACCTTTGCAATCATCTTTGGCTGGTGGGCAAGATTTGGGCTGCCTGTAGCAGCTGATGCAGGGGAGCGGACACATGTTAGTATAGACAGCGACAGCGCAGCGCCCGATGGTCGCGCCGGGGAGCGTGTCTGAATGCATGGTGTTGGTCGTAACGAGTGGTGGAGCGGGCAGGCGCGATAAGCAGATAGGCCATGCTATCGCTCGGGCAAGCGTCGCCCTGGCCGAAGGCTGCCCGGCATCACCAACCGCACCCCTCAAACGTGCCTTATCGGCTATCATGGACCGCGCCGCTGGGTCGATCCCGAGACTGAAACTAGTGATCGACGCTGCCCGGCGCGGGGTCGTCGGCTGGTTCGTGATAGCTCCACGACTGTGTCCATTCCCGCGCCTATCGTGAGCCACCTACTTGCCGCCGTGTTGTCTTCTGCCACGAGTTACCGAGAAGACCCGCTGAAAAAAAGTTGCAGAAGCCGCTACCTATATGTCTTAGAGAGCCCTGCATCTATCGTCAATTCACGCGCAACTGACCAACACCATCACCATGCCTCGCGTAATCCGCCTTGCCGCGGCCCAGATGGGCGCCACCCACTACAAGGACTCGCGGTCCAAAACCCTCGACCGCATGCTCGCCCTGCTGGACTCAGCAGCGGCCAAAGGTGCCAAGTCGGTGCTCTTCCCGGAGACGGCGTTCACCACCTTCTTTCCACGTCACCTGATCACCGACCCGGTCGAGTTGGACTCCTTCTTCGAGCATGGCGACATCACCACGCAGGCGCAGACAAAGCCGCTGTTTGACCGGGCGCGCGAACTGGGCGTCGACGTGGCCGTAGGCTTCGCCGAGAAGACGGACGAGGGCGAGACGTTCAATGCCTGCATCTACTACCACGCCCAGACAGGCTCGGTGCTGTCCAAATACAGAAAGGTCCATCTGCCCGGTGACTTCGAGCCCTTCGCCGATCCCGAAGCCACGAACCAGCTGGAGAAGCGCTACTTCAAGCCGGGCGACCTTGGCTTCAACGCCTTCCGCGTGCCGGGCCTGGTCGAATCGCCCCCGGAGCGCGGCGACCCCATTTTCGGCATGATGATCTGCAACGACCGCCGCTGGGCCGAGAGCTGGCGGGTGCTGGGTCTGCAGGGCGTCGAGGTCGTGTACTGCGGCTACAACACGGCCGGCTTCGCGCCGCACCTGTGGGGGTCGGACAAGGCCATGGACCCGGAGGAGGCCCGCCGCAAGGCCCTGTTCCACCACAAGCTCGTCATGCAGGCCCACAGCTACACCAACGCCTGCTTCTCCGTCAGCGCCGCCCGCTGCGGCCTGGACGACGGCCGCTACGACTTGATCGGCGGCAGCTGCATCACCGGTCCCGAAGGCGAGCTGCTGGCCGAGGCGACGACCCCAGACCAAGACGAAGTCATCATCGCCGACTGTGATCTCGATGCCTGCCGGCCGGGCAAGGAGCGGACATTCGACTTCGACCGCCACCGCCGCGTTGAGCACTATGCTCGCATCACCAACCAAACCGGCGTCGTCGAGCCTCCCAAGCTCTCTGGCGAGCCAAATGGCGTTACAACAAACGGCACCTCCACTGACAAGAAGATCCGCATCCTCCTCGTCAACCCCAACAGCACCAAATCCATGACCGACGCCTGCGTAGCCATGTGCCAGACCCAGCTACCCCCCGACGTCACCGTAACGGGCTTCACCTCGCCGCGGCCCGCGCCGTCCGCCGTCGAGGGCAACTTCGACAACGTCATGTCGTCGGCAGCAGCCGCCCGCGCCGTGCTGCCGCTCGCCGCCACGCACGACGCCGTGCTGGTCGCGTGCTACTCGGACCACGCGCTGATCCGCATGCTGCGCGAGGAGCTACCACATCAACCCGTCGTCGGCATCATGGAGTCGTCGCTGTACTTCGCCGCGCGCGCCCTCGGCGGCCGCTTCGGCGTCGTCGCCGTCAGCCCGCGCTCGCGCGTCATGCACGAGGACGCCGTGCGCCACTACGGCCTCGACGGCTTCTGCGCCGGCGTCGCCAGCTGCGACCTCACCGTGCTCGACCTGCACGAGAAGAGCCAGGACGAGGTCGTCGCCCGCATGTGCGAGGTCGCGAGGGACCTGGTGGCCAGGGGCGCCGACGTCTTGACGCTGGGCTGCGCCGGCATGACGCCCCTCAAGGCCGCCGTCGAGGAGGCCGTGGGCGAGGATGTGCAGGTCATCGATGGCGTCTTGGCCGGCGTGCAGCACTTGTCCGGCCTGGTCCGCATGGGCGGGAGGACGGCCAAGAGCGGCGTGTACCGGAGCTCGGCGGCTGGACGGAAAGCAAGAGGCCAGGACTGGATATGAGAGAGACTGGGATGCGGGACGGGATGAGGCCGAGATGTTCAGAAAAAGCATTCAGCTTGGATTCTGCTATATACCACATACTATAGCGTAAGATTTACTGGGTAGGTTTAACCTATATGTGACATTTGTAAGCCCAATATTATAGACAACGCCCTCGCGCCCCCAATTATGGATTACTTTCATAGCTGATGATTGGGTATATCATATCGTGCTCAGATACAACGTGATGCCATAAACAACGTAAATCACTGAAGGGATGCAAAGACAACACTGAGAAGGAGACCGGTGCACAGCCACTTGCCATATCCGCCCTGGAACTGGGCACCAGCCCCAGAAGTTGAGGAAGACGCTGCTGCGCTCGCGCTCGCGCTCGCGCTCGAGGATGCAGAAGAGCCTCCCGAGCTTGCCGCGCCGGACGTAGCCGAAGCGGACGTCTCGGCCGGGCCGGTCGAGGTTCTCGTCCCGGAGACTTCGCTCACCGACACGAAGGTTCCGGAGGCCAAGCTCGCATCCGACGACGATGCGGCGGTTCCGTTGGCGGCGGTGGCCGTCGGGGTCGTGGTCAGCACCGGGGTCATGGGCTCGGTCGGCAGGACGATGCTGGCCGTCTCCGTCGCCGCAGCAGAGATCAAGCTGCTCCAGAAGGACGGATCATACGTGGTGGTGCTCACCGACGAAGATGCCGGAGCGTCCGTGTTCTCTTGCGCATTTCGCTTCTTGAGGTTGCTGCTGTCACCGTCTTTCACCGCGAAGCGATCCGCCCAATCCAGATCTCCGACGAAGCCTTCACCATCCCAACACTCAAGCTGGACATAGACATCCTTATCTTCCTTCGGCCCGCCGAACACGCACGTGTAGAAGTCGCTCGATTGGTAATCGCTGACGAGAAGGCGGTCAGGCTTGACGTTGCAGTAAGCAGCGCAGGAAGAGGGCCCTTCGGAAGTGAGGTGTACGGTCGTGAAGTTAACGACCGGACTGTCGCAACATTCCGCGAAGAGCGGAGCAGCGCGGGATCCGTAAGGGGGCGTGATGCAGGTGAAAGATTGGGGATCGAAGCTGGTGGGAGGGTAAGGCAGAGGTTCGTGAAGAGCTGGGTTTACGCCACAGTCGGGCGGGGGTGAGGCGGCCGTTGGGTGTGGCTGGGATAGCTTGGCTGGGTACTGGTCCATGATGGCGGGTGCAACTCCAGAGAACTGGTTCTTGGGGCCCGAATGTGTACGACCTTTCCGTGAGTTTTTATGGTGGAGAGAGGAGTGAGGAGCTCGTGAAGCTGTGCCAGGCAGCTATAATAACAACTAGAGCTAGGCTAAAAGAGGAAGGTCACAAGTGACGTCACGCTATGGATACGAGCCAGTTGCAGCTGCGAATGAACAACACCAATCACGGTGCCAAGACAAACTCATCCAGTGCGATCATGCCATCAAATACTCTTGTTACAGATATCCCTGTGGGCCCATCCTTGGCTGGGCAGTTGACGACAAATGACGCCATTCGCCCGCCTCTTCACGTCGCTGTCTTGGCTCACGACCGCCATATGGATTCTGTATCAGTATCCATGCAGTGCTGACGTCGACACCGCCAAAGAACAGATACAACATCATGTTGAGAGCAATGCAGTATCCACGACTACGTTGTAATACTATCTCTAAACCTACGCAATAACCAGCGAATGCAATCAAAATCAATGGGGGGTATAAAGCTGTCGTCCATGTCCCATGCCGACCGTCTGAGTCCGAGTCTCGTCAGAACAATGCGCAACCTCATCATTTTCTGCCCTTCCCTTTCCTCCGCTTCCCCCTTTCCTCTGGGGTAGCGCCAACCTCGACCCTTCCTTCTCTGACCTCATCCTCGTTCAGCCCCCCTTCAGCGCCTTCTTCACCCAACTCTCTGAGCTTCTCTTGCCCGGAGATGAAGAAGCTCAAATCCCGATTCTGCTCCTCGAGATCCCTCTTCTCCGCCTCGAGGGCCTTGTTCCTCTCTTCCACCTCGGCGAACTTGGCATCGAGGTGTTTGATTCGCTGCATCAGCGCCCCGCTGACGCTCTTCTCCTCCTGAAACTGCTTCGTCATCGAGCGCGCCAGCTCATCAGATTTCGTCGCACGTGTCGTTAGGCGCTGGACGTCCTTCTCCAACGAAGCAATAGTAGCCTTCGCGTCCTTGTGCTGCGTCTGCAACTCACGAAGCTGCTGCGCGATGGCCGTCGCCGCCGCGGCCGCCTCCTCGGCCGCAGCCGATGCTTTGGCAGCCTTGTCGACCGCGCGTTCGACTTGTTCCTCGAAATACAGTCGCTGGCTGTCGAGCTGGCTGGTCAGCAGGTACGCGTACTCGGCGCCCATGTTGTCCAGCTTCTCGCGCGGCACCGTGTCGGCGCCCATGCCCGTCATACTGTTGTTAGGATGCTGCGAATTAGCGTGCGCGGCGGGCAGGTCGACGAGCTTGCCGTCGGCCTTGTTCTGGATGAGCCGGTGCACGTAGCCATCGCCAGCGTAGTCCCACACATGCTGCGTTGCGATGTCCATGGCATAGCTGTGGCTCGTGGCCTCGTAGTGCTGGAAGGCGTGGGCGGAATCGTACCGCCCGCAGCCGATGTTGCCGCAGATCAAGCATATCCAGAGGTTCGACGACGTGCCGCACACCGAGCACTCGTTCTCGGGGCCCTCACCGTCAGACGCATATCCGCGGGCGATCAGGGAGTCATTTTGCGTGTACCGGCAAACGGGGCATCCACTGCCGCGCCATTTTTCCAGGCACGCGCAGTGGAAGACGTGCTGACAGAGGATCGTCAGGAGTCCAGTAGTCTCGTCCATGCGTTCCAAGCACACAGGGCATGTAGGTAGCTCCACCAGCGATGAGGTAGGTGGCGGGAGAGGCTTTGTGCTCAATGACGCTAGTGAGCCAGAGTCAACTGCAGATGAAGAACCCGCGGGGATGGGTGCCGATGGGGTCGGTCTAGCGGAAGGGGTGAAGGGGTCATTGTTCATGTTAGGGAAGCTTGAAGGGTCGTTGTCTCCTCCAGATGGTTGGAACTCAATTGATTTGACAAAGACAACATGACAGTTCTCAGGCTGTGGACTCGATGTTAGTTCGATGGGTGCCAGGCCCGGGACACGCAGAGTCAAACGTACCTCCATGCTATTGAACAGCTTTCCGTTCCACTCCTTCCGCCATAGCCTAGCCTTCTTAGCTTCCCTGAACTTCATCAAAACCATGTACTTATTGGCGCGACCCGTTCTAATCAGCCTGAAGTGACTGACGTCTTCTCTCGTCTGCTCTCCGACATAGCCCAGAAAATCAGACGGCGTCATGTACGATGGCACTGCCAGAATGCACAAGGTAGTGCAATCCTCTTCGTTGAAGGTCTGCTTCTCGCCATCGTTTCCCACCCCGCCACCGTCCGAGCCAGCGCTCGAAGCCGTGTCATCGTAGAGACCAGGCGTCTCCTGGGCATCGCGGTACAGGTGCACCACCCCCCACCCCACCTCTGTGTTCTTCGGGTCGGCCGGGATGAATTTGCCTTTGGTTGCCAGGCCAGAGCCTGCCGCGCGCGCAGTATTGCCCACGGACTTGCCGCGAGCTCCAGCGTCGTCCTTCGGAGCGGCCCGCGCTTCCTCCATGTCGATGCTCTGGATCGACACGCGGTCGAAGCGCCAGTCCTTCGTCGCTGTTGCCGCAGTGCTGCCCGCGGGCTTCTTTGGGGGGAGGTAAAGCGCCTCGCTACCGGGGGCGCTGCTGTCGAGATGGCTGTTCCTGCGTTCGCTGTACGAGGGCCTCTGCGTCACGGCTGGCCGGTTGTTGCTGAGGTCGACGCTGTAGGCCGTCTTGCTGCGGCGTACGTTCTTGCGCGAGCGGGGCGGCGACGCCCAGGAGGAAATGCGGTGCACAGGGAGGTCGCTGGCGAATATATCGGTGCCAGGCGGCGGAACGAAGAGCGGTTCAACGTCTGCAACGGCGGCGTGGGGTTTTGGCGGGTGAGGGTACAATTCAAAGGCCAGGTGGTAAAAGTAAGAGGGCGGCATCAGGCCGGGTAGAAGGTCGTGTATGCAGGATCGAGCATTATCGGGCAAGGAAGCTTGCGGCTGGGTGTTGAGAAATTGTTGCTTCTGCGTTTGTTCTGGAAGGCCGCGGCTTCTCGGAGCTTCGACCAGTTGCGTGTGCCAAGACTACGCCCCGCCGCTTCCAAAGTAGCTTTGCAAACACTACTGTTTTTTTCAGGGTTTGAAATTTATTTCTGCTATATATCGATTCCCTTCCGTCTATAGTACCTGCTGCAGAAGTAAGATGTGGTAAGAGATGCTTGGGATTGCCTAAGCTCTCCAGGTACCAGGAGGCGATGAAACAGACCGTTACGAAAAGAAAGCAAAAGTAGACAGGTCGTGGTTGTGTAGCAGACAAATGGCTCTCTCCAGTTGAGTGTGAGACGAGATCACGGGCAGTTTAGTTACTCCGGTCAAGCATCATTTAAAATTTCTAGAGACATGTTGCTCATAATGGCATCCGCCGATCTCTCTCCGCCGTGACGATCAACATTCTTGAAAATGTAGTGACTCCCTACAGACCAGACAACATCCTTAATTGGATAACAAGGGCCGTTTGTGGTGAGCTCAAGCATCTAGTTCCATATGTGGCTGTTCCAGGTAATCCATGAAGTCTCCACCAACCGTTGCCTCCTTCCCAGTCAGCCTGGACATGAAAATCCCCCTCGCCGAATCGCTTGTGTTTTCGCACGTGTCGCTCTTGATGCATACATTTCGATCACAGCAGGTGCCCACTGCGCAGATTTCGCGGGCCGAGCAATCTGAGTTGGAGTCGCAGCCACGCAGGCCCCCGCATGCAATATTCCCATCAAGGCAGAAGCCGGTCCCGTCAACCGCACTGCCACAGATACACGTACTATCGCCTTCCAAGCAGGAGCTGAACTTCCCACATGAGGACCCCGTGCAACTCGCGGTGCTGCAAACCCCGTTCTGGCACGCTCCGCTGGAACACTGGTACCGGTTCAGTATTATCGACGAGGATTCGTTGAGAAGGAACATACTTTGTGCCCGCATTTACCGCAATTTTTCGCATCTGTTTGGAGATTCACACACCCATTTCCTGCATCAGGACAAACGTCTGGCGTTGGCGGAGCGCACGTCTGCTTCGTCGGAGTCGACGTGGGACAGATTGTTCGACCCTCGACCGCTGTACAAGTCACTGTAGCCGTTGTTGTGGTGACATTCAATGTAGAAGTCCTTATCCGGGCCGCCGATCTCCGTGACGAGGTGGAAGTCTCAGAGTCGCCCCATGATAACGTAACCAACGTGAAGTCGATGGAAGTCGTAGACGCTGGACCAGAGGAGTTGAAGGTACTGGAACGTTGCCAGTCGGCGGTGGTCTTTCTATTAGGATGTTGGCTAGTGGCGTGTTTGGTCCTTGGAAAGGATGATGTTGAGGAGTTAGGCCGGATTAGGGATGGAGTGATTGTGGATGCCGACATTCTAGAAGCTGGGGTGTGGAAATTACTACTGTTCCCATGCAGGGGAGTAACAGTGACAGTCTTGGTGGTAGTCTGCTTCAGTAATTAGCCCAGCATGCTATGCCTCGCTTTGGGCGTATCAATTTCACCATGGCTTTCTCTGTTATTGTGGCTGGCGGGAAACCGGCACAAGAGCATACTTCCGCGTACCTCTCGACGTCGCATGGCCACGCGTACCATGGTACAGACTTTCCGGGAAGCTCATCCTGCCTCTTGTCGAGAGAGGCGCTGGCATTTGGAAATGATGTGATGGTTGTTGTCAAAGTCCTCTTCAACTTAGCCGTGGAACAGGTTGGGTTGTGCATTCAACTCACACCACGCCGCCCATAGTGATGGTATCGGTCATGAAACTAGAACAGTCCGAAGGTCGCACATCCGAGACGATGGAATAGGCGCTGGTCCCGGTGACAGCCTGGGCACAATTGTCGACGTCTCCGCACCGTTTCATCCGCACCTGTCTCCCATGAAGTGCACCAAAGGCGAAGTGAGCGAACCATAGCAAGGAAGTCACCGAAGCAACCATCATGCCACCGAAACACAGCTTGTCAGTTGAACGAATAGAGTTGAAGGGAGAGACTGTCCCCAGACTCCGATCCCGCTATCACAAGTCATTTTATATCCCAGAGACCCTGCAGTCTCATTAGCGGGAGCAGACCTTACAGAGTGATGATGTTGCGCAAATGATTCCATTCACAGACATCTATGTTGCTGGGCGTTGCTTGCAATGGTCTGGATGGTGGAGCTAACGCGTGTAGAGCCTCCTGACAGGAATCACGTACCTTGCAGGGGCCATCTCCACGACTTTGAGAAGGGATGGGGCGAACATGGCTTTCAGGGTGTCAGCGGGACCTTTTCCAGTCGCAAAACGCTGAGAAACTCTTTCTCTCTACGTAAACCTTAAGAGAAGACACCAGAGGTTCCTTACGGCATCAACGCTGACGAGAACTGCCAGCAATTGGGGCCTGGAATTCCACTCGTGACGCCATCTTATTGCAATAACCTTCAAAGCATGTTTTATTACGTGGTACGATGGCCAACCCATGCAGTCACCACAGACTAGGGAAACGTGCGGTTCGCTGCGTGGGGTGATCTTCTTCATGACAGGAAAAGTTCAGCTCAAGAGTTCCCGGCCCTCGTTGTCCCCTCCTTGCTGAGCATGGCTTGGCGAGGTGGTTTCTAGCAGAATCCTTCTGTGTTACATCTCTACCTTTTCCCCCCGCAAATTTCTCACGCAGAATCCGAAACGAAACACATTGGCGGCCATCCAACGGTGTAACACGAGTAGTGTGTAACTTGTCACTGCAACAAGTGAATCCGATGTCATTGGCAAGCAGAACTTTGTTGCACGAATTCAGAAGGTTGAGACAAGACTTTGCATGCGTGCCTTGCAGCTGTATGCAGGCACCATGTAGACGGTAACGCACTCCATTCGCTTATCTGAGATGACCTGGATTCTGATTAGTGGACAGCGGGGATGACTGTTCGGAAGCCTATTCGCTGAAAGGATTGAGGCGCCCGCAGAGCTCGCTCATATTTCTAGATAGTTGCACTTCCTTGCTTATAGCAGCACTAGTGGATAGCTTTGGATGGGGTGGTAGCGTCCTTCATGGTGGACGAAGATCCGTCTTATATCATGCTGCAACAGGGACAGGTGCGCCCGATTTTCTGAGGTGAGTAAGCACCTCGGACGGCGCGGACAATAAAAACCTCCAGCATGAGATTTCTTGCCGCCGAGTCAATCTGCGCTTGTCGTCGGATCTTGACGGAAAACATGTCGGATGCTCCGGAAGCCGAAGAACTGTGGATCCAGGTCACGCAGGAGGCAAGAAGCTTGCAAACAGAGCCCCTTGCACAATTGCGTAGATCATCATCAATCGAACAATGGACTTGCACGTATGCTTTGACGCGAAAGCAATCTTAAGTGGATCGCTCACGTAGTCCATACCAGAAGCGATCCCAAGATACCATATAGGGTATCCTGATGATATGCGATTGACGATCTGGACATGGAAGTTTGTCGCGGCTAGCATTGCAAGGGCGAGCTGGGGGATGCCGAAGGCCACTAGAAGGTGAGGCGTTTCGGTTCGTAGGGAAACCTGCTCGGTCGAGAGCAGCTCGGCCGTTCCGGAACGAACGGAGAATCTGCTTGGAAATCAATCGTCAATCGCTAAATGAAAACCTGGCAGCGAGGATATTTTAAGTTTCTAAACATACCGACGAATGACTCGAAGAGCAGAGCATGCCATAATCCATAGAGTAGGGGCAGCTAGCAGAAATAGCGGAATATTGGATAGCGTCCAATAACGCAAGAAGCCCACGTTCCTTTATGTTGTTAGGAAAGGATATGTATAAGGAAACCAACCTACCAATAATGATGTTGTACCCAAGTATAAATGCTAGGTGGTAACTTTGCACACCACGGCCTGGCATGGTCCTGGTCTGCGTGAGCCGAAGTTTGTTGGGTCGAATGCGCGGCAGACCTACCAAGGTACAGTATTGCTGATACGCCACCAACTGAGGGATGATTAAGCCGCTAGCAACCATAAATCCCGCCAGAATGGCGCCGGTGAGCCTCACAAACGTGTCAACAATCGCGCGGTTCGGGCCAAGGAGCCCAGGCAGAGACCGGAAAACATCATAGAGCAGAATGAGGCCACTGAGTAAACCGTTGGTGCGCACCATTGTGGCAAGGCCAAAACAGAGTCCTGAAGCAAGTATGCAGAGGAAATACGCAGCATGTCCATTGAGCCGCACGCGAGCGTAGGCGTAGCACAGCATTCCTGAGAAATTCAGCAGCGAGAATAGCGCCTCTCCGTAAGGCGCGCTGAGAAACAGGCCGGCGGGAGAAAGCACGTGGAGGGTGGCAGTCAAAAACGCGGTCTTGCGCAGAGTTGGGCCAGGGAACAGCAGGGTAGCCAGCTGGTACAGCACCAACACTGAAAGCAGGTGTGAGACATTAGAAAGGATAACGCCAGACCAGGCAAGCGTGGCCAAATGATCACCCGCAAGAGGTAGAACTGGCAGTGAGTAAGCATCCTTCCGGACGGAACAGGCAAAGAGAGCGAGCAGGCATACTCTTGGCGGTGTTGGCCATCAGGTGGCTGAAGGCCCAGCTGAAAGCCCATTCCTGCTCGTGCTGGTAGCCACGTTCGGCGGCGGCGGTGAAATAAATGGCATCCCAACGGACAAGCTTGCTGACGAGGCGCTCGCCGGGCGTCGCAGACCACGGCACCGAAGTGGTCACCAGCGCGGAGGCAGCAGCATCCTGGCCCAGCAGAAGCGTCGTCGACGTGTCATAGCCAGGGCCAGGGCTGGCGAAGGCCGTAAGCAGCAGGAGCGCCTTCCAGGCCGCGAAAACGATTACGAGCGCGCTGAACGGACGATCGAGCGGGCGACTGTAAACGTCCGAACGAGCCATTTTCCGGGCGGTGGGACAGGGAGGAGGTGGCACTTGGTCGTCACGCGGAGGGGCGTCATAGGGGGAGCTTCTATGAGCTTGGAGGAGCGGGACGGCGCGGGTCCGAGGCAGCGCAACCTGGGAGCGCGAGCCACAGCGCCGGCGGTTTCGCGTACGTTCTGGGGGAAGGGGCGCTGTTCTGCGGCGCACGTGACGGATCCTGGACAGATATTTTGGGCGCAACACTCCGTGCGCAGCGAGTGCAAGGTGCCGCGTTTCCGTGGTCCGATCGAGCCAATGCGTCAGATCCCTCCGCTGGCGGCGAGAGGCGTCTGCGGCTCCACCAGGCCCGCAAGTCGTGGCTGGCAGGCAGCGACAACCACGCTGGCGAGCTCACCGCCGGGAGCTGCAGCAGGCGCTGGAGCGTGGGCTGGAGTGGTCGCTGTCCGGGTCGGCCGACAGCGCGCTCGCAAGCAGCGCCGCCGTTGGAAGGCCGGTGGGCCGCAGGACGGGCCTTGTGCGCGGGCGGGAGAGGCAAGCTCCGAAAGGCCGTGGCCGAATCGAATGGATGAGCAAGCGCGCGCGCGCAGGCTCCCGCAGGGCGAAGTTTACGCCGCCTAGGCTGATGAGGCGGACCGGAACCACTTGGAGTCCGAGTGAAGCATCAGTGCTGCGAAAGCCGCAATGAAAGACGCTTCCGCCGTCTCCGCGGTACAAAGGCAGGCTACACAAAGGCTGGTTCCGCAGGCCGCCGTCCGCACGCCTGTTTGCCGCCCGCCCCTCCACCTCACCCTCACCTCCTCCAATCCTGCTGCCTTCTCTCGACTCTCCACCCGCCGAGCCACGCATGGTAGGGTGGCTCAGCCGACACCGCAACCCCTGCGCCCACGCCTCGCAACCGACCGGACCCCTGCGCTCCTCGTGCATGATCTGCGCGAGCCGTCATTGCAGTCCTGCCGCAGCTGTCGACTGCTGCTCCCCGCCCGTCTCGACTGTGTCGAAACAAATTCCAGTACGAGATTTAGCATAGCCTCCCTGGGACGCAAAGTCGCTTCTGCAACTCCTGCTCCTCCTGCCCGGTACGCCGACTCCACAATTTGGCCCTCCTCGGACGGACGCGCCAACACTGGGATGATTTCCCCCGCGACTATTCGTCTACCTGGCTGAGCACCATGTTCCTGTCCATGCTGACCGCGGACGCTGCCGCACAGCATGGCCACGAGTTCTCCGCCCCGCGCACGCCCTCTCCCCTTCATCCCACCTCTCCTCCCCCTCGTTCTCCATTGAACGTCCTCTCCTCGACCGTCCGCCAGCAGAGACCGCAGGTCACCCCGCTCCCCGCCAGGAAAAGCATTAGCGTCGACGGCCGACCCTCGCATGCCTCGTCCAGGAAGTCCATCATGTTCGCCCTACCCCCGGAGAGCAGCGCGTCGTCGTCACGTCCGCCTTCGATCCGTAGCACCACCACCACCTCGACCGACGACCGCTCGCGCAAGCGACCTGCGCGTCCCAAGACGAACTACGCTCTCGCCCACCCGCCTCCACGTGTAGGCCCGTTGCACCTCCGCCCCAAGGTCCTCCTTCAGCTACACCAGTCCTCGGCGAACTCGAGGCCAAAGCCCGCTTTCGAGGCCGTTCCTTCAACCACCTTCGCCCCCAGGCTAAAACGTAAGTTCCGTAGAGTATTCAAGCATAGGGACAGGCTGGGTCCAGACGATGTGGTGGTTGTGAGGGCTGGGGACTACGGTGGTGCAGACGACCATAGCGATTCCGATGAGGACCTGGATGCTCGTGAAGTCATTGGCGTTGTCTGTTTCAACATCAGAGACGAGCGGACGGAGATTTGTATGGACGATGACACTGTGTGGGAGGCGACCTTCATGCAGAACGGCGGTTACGAGTTTGTCGCTACCGACGAGCACGGCCTGCAGTCCAAGGCAAGATGGGTACCCAAGGCTCAAGGAAAACGGAAATCTGCCAATGGTTCGCAACTTGATAATGCTGCTGAGGATCGAAAGTTCACCTTCAGCACCATCAGCCCGGATCGCCGGCGGCATCCTGTTATTGCCACCATGACAAAAGCTGGCATTGATGTCTGGGATCAGTACTCGATACCGCCTCAGACCAATGTCGCCTCTCCACTTTCGCCTACTTTCAGCGATGCAGCGGCATCTCAGAGCTTGACCGACAGCTCTGAGCCTCGCCCTCTGCTGACTACGGATGAAACTCTGAGGAAATTCATCCTGGTCAGTGCCATCTGGGTCGCATTTCGAGAGAAATGGTCGACTGTCTTCCGTTATCAAAAGCCGGGCCGCGATCGGGACAGTGTGCCGGCGTCACCCCTGTGCGGCTCACCAATCATGCCTTGTGCTCCTATACGTACCGTCAGCATGGCCAGCATGAATGGCAGCATGTCGAGGTCTAGCTCTCCCGGTATCCCGGACAACCAAAGCGAAAAACACCACAGCCTGAGGAGCGTTTCCAGGATGTTGTTGCACCGGAACAGCGCGCTGGCAGCGCTCAATGGCGAATACAATGCATCCGACTCGACACCTCCGTCCACTGCCAAAACCTCGAGCAGCACTCGCTCTCGTCGCGCAAACTCCACCGGAACCGCCTTCATGCAGCGTGCATCCAGTAAAAGGAACCCGAAACGACACAGCAGTGGCCCGAAAGGGATGTCAGGATCGGCCGGGCAAGACATGTATAGGATCAACACGGACGAAGATACCGACCGTCCCCATCGATTCACCGTTACCGAAGCTGCCCACATCATGCTCCCGATGATCGAAGACCGCACTCCCAAGAACTCGGGAGAATACGCTTCATCTTTGGCATCCAGCAACGATGATGAACCAACGCCGCGCCAAGCGTCAAAGGAGAGGGATCTGAGGCCGCAGCGAGCAACCCTACAAGTTCCGCCGACGTACTTGCAGGCGAATCATTCGACTTCTGGTCGTAGCGATGGTGCAGTTGAAGCCCCTACACGAGATCTTGATCTTACACGGAGCAAGAGCACGAAAGAAAGGCCGAAGCCGCGTCAATCTGTCTTGCCCGTAGCGCAGTCTCGGTATTATGTGAATGGAAACGAAGACGGATACACCAGTGAAGTGAAACTCCCTCTGGAAACTGGAAGGGCATATGACGAGGAGAGGGGAAGCAAGCAGAAGAAGAGAATGAGCGTCAGGGGCTTCTTTCAAAGAATTAAGAGCAAGCGAGGAAAGAATTGAGAAGCATATGAAGAGGAGGGCGGTACTTTCACGCGCGTCAACAGCGTTCTTGGGGGCGTCATTCTTTCAGAAGCTGCATGCGGTTTCTTCTGGCGCGGAATTTTGACTTTTTTTTTTTGGAAAAGCGGCGCAACAAATGGAGCTAGATTCGGGCGTGGAGTTCTTTCTTGTTTTTGGGGGAGTAGTGGGAGGCACTCACTGTACAATTTTTCCCAGACATATCTCTCTGCTTTTTTTTTTCTCTTTTCACCCTCGTCTGGCGTTTTATGGTTTGGTGTTTTACGGGGGTCCTAGGCGTCTCTTCTCAACAATGAAAATACCCCGCGCCTCTGGGCGAACCCTGTATTTCATACTTGCAACCATTCTTCTCAAGCATTCATACGCCGGCTTGCCAACAGCGGCCTGGTTATCTTTCGGCGGGTTGGACAGGGTCGACTTGGGAGGGGTTCATCGGTGTCGTATAGAAGGTCTGGGACATTGTGGTTTATCAATAAAGCACTGGTTCGTGCGTACGTGCAATACGGGAAGGTTGATCCACTGATGTGCATGTCGGTGCTCTTAGAAGACTTGCGGTGAGCCTCCATGACTCTTCATGGTGGTGAAAGGGATAAAACAAGAAGTAAAAAAAAGTCAAAGATAGACAGGCGTAGGTGAAGACCAGATAATCATGGTCTGATGCCAGCGGGTCCAATTCGAAGGGAGCGGTGGGACGCTCAGTCTCGCAGTTGTCAACGCTCAGGACAAATGGCTTACACGCAGAAAATTTGCACTCTGCGGTTGGGGAAGCGCCGCCCAAAAATACTTGACGGAAACCCGCATTGCTGGCTGCTGTGCATCGTCAGCTAAATAAAGCGGGCGTTACCGTTTCATGGTGGCATAGTAGCATTTTTTGCGGGGGCAGCAGGACCGTCAATGCGTGCTGCTGTCCGAAGCTTAAAAAGAAAAAGCATGGGTACTCTCTGCAAGGGAAAAGTCCGGTACGGACATATTAATAAAAAGGTGATGCGGGCGCTTACTGATGCTGCGCCCGCTTCTGGATTCCGCGGTCCCCACCACGCGGGTTGCCGGCGGATGCGCGCAGCGAAGAGCTACTGCTTTGTTTCAAACGATGTTTCCTGCCTCAGGACAGGCGTCTGGCGGCTGGTGGCCAGGAACAGGGCGCGTTTCGGCTGGGATTGCGATTCTAGAAGCGCGGGTGCGTAGCAAGCGTTCCAGAATAGAAGTCCACAGGGGGGATGAAGCGGCATATTGAAGAGCCGGCCAGCAGATCGCATGGCTGGATTTAGAGTCCAGCAATGAGCGGTGGACGAATGAGAAGTGAGGAAAGGTGCGTGAGTAAGCGCCCGGGAGCGCCAAACGCTGCCCTGCAGGTGCAGTGGGCGGCTATCTATAACGGTCCCCGGAAGGCACCACCCGTCTGCACGCAATTCTAGGCCTCCCGCGCGGCGGCCGGCCCAAGCGACGGGCGCGACGCTGGCGATATTCTGGGAGGTGGCTTGTCCTCAACAAAGCAGAGTGTTTGCCATCGACCCATAGTCGGCCGGGCGGCGGCAGCGCGCGAGCCCGAGGAGCGGAGTGACAGACGCACGGAGTTCTGGAGAAGAGCGGTGGACATGCGACCAACTGGCTTTGGCTGCGCCGCAGGCGGGGGAACGCACGAAGGGATTGCGGCGCGGGCTGCTACGCGGTCGATTGCGTGCACAGGTGTGGCTTGCAGCTGGAAATGAGCTTCTGCAGGCTCGGCGATGATGTAGTTGTGTCGGTCAACGAGCTGAATCAAGGCGTGGCAAACTGGGCAACGATTCAGCATCTCGTGTCGCAGGCCGGCGCAGCTCGACCTTACGTGCGTGGCGACGACGACGGATAGGGCTGCGGCTTACAGAGCTCTCAGATAGGGAAGCTGGCCGGAAGCATGCAGGCAGTGCAGGGTGGAAAGAGCTGGCGACGGGCGCCGCTCGGCCGGGGGCAAGTCATGCGAAGGCGCATCGGCATGGGGAACGCTGTGAACGCCCTGGAACCACTTTTTTCGAGGCCCTGAACCTGGCTGAATGGAGGGGAGGATCTGCGTCATGGCAGAGCATGTCTTGGGCACTGCCACACCGCGCGCCGCGGCCCGCCAGCAGCCGGCGCGGACGAGGCTCTCAGAGGGAGCCAGGCAAGGACGACGGTCCTGTCCGCATGCGGCGGGTGGTGGAATCCGAATTTCAATCGGCTGGTGCGAGGGAATGCTCGCGTGGGCAGACAGGCTGTCGCCCCGCACTGCGCCAATCAAGAGCTAGCTGGGCCCTCTCTCAGCCACTACCACTTGAGTTCTGTACGTGGCCGCCGCTCAAAGGCATTTTCGGCCGATCAGAGGAGGCTGGGGATTGCTCGGACCCCACCACCACGCTATACACTTCGTAACCAAGGAGACGGATGGCGACCCAAAGCCCACTGCCCGCGCGGCGCCCTGCGCCTGCGCAGACTTATACGCTGCGATGCCGCGTGCGAGCTGCACGCTGAGCACTTGATCCTGCCCTCTCACCACTCGCCCGCACGTGTACCTCTCAGGCATCCATTTGTGCCATCCGCAACACCACCACTACCACGACCGACACCCTCACCTAGCCCGCACGCCGGCAGACCTAGCGCCGCAGCGTGCAGCAACGGCCAAGCCCCAGTGCAAGTCAGCCGTGCCGAGCGACAGGCCGACAGCGACCATCATCCGACACACCTCCTGGCTTGGACGGCCCTTTGTCCGCCCGGCAGCGCGCAGAGACCTTGCATGCGCTGAGCGGGCACATTCGCGAAACAGCACGGCAGACTCGGTCGAGAGCTCTGCAAACGGAGACGGTGGACTGGCTGCGCGCCTACGCTGCTTGAAACACGGGCCTCCTGAAACAGCGCGACAGCCTGTCACTTTATTCGATCTGCCGCCCACCTGCCTTTGGCGCCGCCCAGGGCTGCTGCGCGTGTAGACGCCTCTCAGCCAATCATTGGACCCACCCCAGGATCCCACCCGTACCGCTGCCCATTCCCAGCGACACGCGCGACCTCTCGCACATAAGTACTCGAGCGTGCCGTCGCTGCAACAGAACTCAGCACTCGCCAACCAACACTTCCTTCCATTTTTTTGTTCGTTTCTTCCCTCACTTCCCCGCAGACTCCGCCTGGTTGTTGGAGCTCCGCCCCGCTGCATCCTTCTTTTCCTCAGCCTCAGCCCTCGGCGAAATCAACCCTGCAGTCTGCCAACGCCTGCCGCTGCGCCTTTCCGCTTCGGGTTTCCTTCCATCTTTGAGCTAATCATACGAATCGCTTTCTGCCGGTCGGGGAGCCTTGCGAACTAATTGCATCTATTCCGTCGTTGCATCTTCTCTCACTTCGCCTCACCGCCTCGAGGTCTTAATCTAATATCCCCGTCCACCCGCTATTGTCCACCGCGCAATAGCCACTTCCCACCTACCCGGGGATCACCACCAGACAATAGGATTGTCCACCCTATTCAGTGTCGAGAACAATAGCCTATTGTTCCACGGCCCTACATCAAAACCTCGCCGTCCGACAAGATCCATCCTCCTGCAACAGTCGTTCAAGATGGTTTCCTACTCCGCCACCCCCGAGCAGAATGCCGCTGCCCTCGACTACTTCATCCAGCTCCCCGTCTCCAAGGAGATGATCGCCTACCTGGCACGCAAGGCATCCGAGGTCATTCGCTGCGAGACTCCCCAGCAGCAAAGCAACGTCAACAAGAACCTCCCGCCCACGCCTCCCTCCACTCCTCCCCAAGGCCACGCCCAGCCCTTCGGCCGGGACCCCGCGCTGCCCTCGGTCGAGGCCTTCATCATGTCGCTCGTTGACCGGTCACATGTCGGTGTCGCCACCCTCATGAGCTCCCTTGTCTACCTGGCGAGGCTCAAGGCGCGCCTTCCTCCTGTCGCCAAGGGCATGCGCTGCACTGTCCACCGCATCTTCCTGGCCTCCCTCATCCTCGCCGCCAAGAACCTCAACGACTCCTCTCCCAAGAACAAGCACTGGGCCCGCTACAGCACCGTCCGCGGCTACGAGCACTTCGGCTTTTCGCTCACCGAGGTCAACCTGATGGAGAAGCAGCTCCTCTTCCTTCTCGACTGGGACCTCCGCATCACCCAGGATGATCTGTACTTCCACCTGGAGCCTTTCCTCGCCCCCATCCGGGACTACCAGGTCCGCCAGGCCGAGCGCGCCCAGCACCTCAAGAAGATCAAGCAGCTTCGCGAGATCCAGACGTACTACCAGGAGCTTGGCCACTCCGTCTCCCTCGAGTACTGCGCCCACCAGCTCAAGAACGGCACCATCGCGCCGCCTACCGAGCTCAGCAACCCTTACTCGAGGTACCGCCTCGACAGCCGCCCCTCTACCAGCAGCACGTCTGGCTCCTCGTCCCGCATGCCATCGCTCTCGCCACCTCAGCGTTCCGGGTCGGCTGCTTCGTCGCACTCCGATCTGTCCAGCACCGAGTCGACGCCCAGCTCCATCTACCACTCGGAGATGCCGTCGGTCCACCGTTACGACAGCATGACCGGTGCAGCGGTTGTGCACATGCCGCAGGCGCCGCCCAAGGCGTACAAGGCCATGTACCACTCGCAGCTTCCTCTTCCGATGGAGCAGCAGCTCGTGGATGGCGAGAAGCCGTCCAAGAAGCCCAAGACCAGTGGCGGCTTCTTCGCCCGCTTTCTGGGCAACGCCGGCGTCCGGGTGTAAATTCAACGATTTACCATTTTTTGGATAACAGCTTTTGCTCACGGGTGCTTCCCACTGTTGGGAGCGTAGACTATCATTTTTCCATTTCCTTTCTCTTGGATTGCAATTCTTAGAGCGAGCATGAGCGGAGCACAGTCACGTACAAGCGATGAAGGGGCCGAAGAGAGAAGTGAACGACAAACGAAGGAACGAAACGATGTGGATGACAGCGACACGACTTGATTGAGTCTTCTGGCGGTTTTTTCCCTTCAACCCACAACCCCTGTCGCACATACCACTGGTTGGTTGTGCTTTTCTTTGCATTCAGCTGCATTGGGATGGCGTTCACAGACCGAGCCAAGATGGCTACGGTGGGATTGGTGTTGAAAATTTTGGATCTAATTTTTCTTTTACTCTTGCATCATCTAGAGGCAAGCAATGGGCTGCATGGCACGGTTTGGGTATTCACGAGAGGATTGGATAGTTACAACAAGACACGGCTTTAGTTGGCTGCTGTCGACAGCATCACGATGCTGAAGATCGATAAAGAAACCAATAGAGGAAGACTCTTCCCTTCAATTCGCTTCTCGTGACATTCTGCGCGCGTGCTGCATGAAAAGGGGGGCACAGCATGTCAGCCGAGGCACACATCCTTGAGGTTGGCGTTCTCAGGTATGTGGCTGACAGCCCACGCAACAGCCTGACGGGCTAACAGCCACTCGATTGACCCACCCTAGGCTTAGGCTCTTCACAAGATTTCGCCCGGCGCAAGGGTGTAGCCTATGACCATTGCGGCACACACGCCTTCGCGGAGGGTCTGAGACCGACAGCGCCATGCAGGTGCGGAGGGCTAAGAAAACTCTTTCCGCGCAACGGCATAGCCACTCCGCTCCATTTCTTTGTTCGCCCTGCCCTTTGCTCGGCTCCATTGTACCCAGCCCGATCTGCGGGTTTTGGGAGTCATCACGACCTCAATCCATCCTGAACGGATCGGCACGCAGCGCCCAGCCCCCCGGCAAACCTACCGGTCAGAGTCTTTCATGCGCATCCTTGCACGCGCAGCGAGCGGTAGCAGTAGCGTAGCACCGGGTGCACACACGCAGACACGCACACACCCCTATCTAATTTTTGCCCAGCATGTGGTGCAACCTCCATTTCTTCTCAGCCCCTCCTTTATTCCCGCGCCTTACTACCACCCTACAGACTAAATTTAGGAAGGGGATGCCTGTCAATCGACTTTATCCAACCTCTTGTTTTTCGAGGTTGCACACCGAATGTTGCCCGTGGTCATGTACGAAAGCGTGCAAGCGGAAAGGTGCGGGAAGGAAGGGTCTCGGAGGAGGGGGAAATAATAAGAGTTGGGTTGCACGGAAAGGATCCAAGCCACAGTGGTGTGGGAGGCGACGAGTAACAAGAAACAGATTAAGCCTTGTCACGCTTGGCAGCGGCAACGGCAGTTGTTGTCATCAGCGCCCACGTATGTGCACAGCAATAAGGCGCCGGGAAGCATGGGCTACAATGTCAACCCAACGTGCGCACGGGCTTTGAGTATAACAAACCGGTTTTCGCTGGTGGATTTTCCTCTTCGCTGGCATGCATGGCGTGGATGACAAGAAAAATGACGCCGGCGTCCACAGAAATGCTTGAAGGCAAAAGGCGGTCAGGTTGGTGGCATGCGATGTGGCGGCCTGAACCGTGACAGAAGCTGGTGCAGCGTTGTCCCTTGTGAGAGAACTGACGATCGATCAGTACAATGCCGCATTCCGGGAATCCTTCAGGGAAGAAAAAGTCGCCGTGCATGGACGTTTCCGGCCGTGGCGGCCAGCTGAGAGCTCTCTTTCGGCCCACGACCCGCCGGTTCGTCAATAATGCAGGTTCAACAAGCACGCATGATTGATTCCCCGCGCGGCTACGGAGACCACGGCTCTGTGCTGACTGGCGCGCGCGTGTCCGGTCTTTCGGCGATCACCTCGTCCCCGCTCGTTGGTGTTGGGTGATGATGATGAGGATGAAGCGGTCTCGCGTTGGCGTTGGCTGGCGTCGTGCTGGCTCGTTTGAGAACCAAGCGCGCGCATGGAGCGGATCTTGAATGGACGTCCTGTGGTACGCCCGGACTGTGGGGGAAAGGATCCAGAAGGAATCCAGATGGGAGGCTGTGCAAGCCACGTCCTGGTGGTTGATATGCTGCCTCAGGCAGAAATTCAGGGTCCATCTCGTCCGGCCCAAGTTCGGACGGAAGCATCGATGTCCCAAAAGGGAAAGTGGGATGCGGCCACCATTTTCCCCCCTTCGCACCTTCGATTTCTTCGCAATGGTGTGAGAGGTCAGACTGCTTGAAGACCGCGATTAGAAGCAATGCAGAGAATGGGCGCTCCTTATGCAAGGCCTGACTGTGCTACCCCAGTAGTGCTTGCCGTCAGCTCTGCATGTCTCAATGCCTCCGCATCATATCACACCATGGTTTAATGACTGGTGATTGTGTTGATTCTGCAAGGACGGCTACTCAGCTTACATGCTGGCCTGAAAAGCTGTCTTGGGATCGAGGTACACTATCACCGCATATCAAGATGTGCAATGCTAGCGCCTGAGTCACAAAAATGGGCAACCACTTCGGCAATCCGCGACGTTCCCGCCCCTCCAAGCACGTAACGCCTGCCCCGCATCTGACATCTTACCACGTCGCACACACAACGCAAGCAACATTCTCACCTCACCCGTGAGACTCTTATATGGTCGCCTTAGCTGAAACTCTGTTAGACTCTAGAAGGAGCTTTGGTTTGGCCTAAGCCAACATCCTTGTGCGTGCGTAGCTTGGCTTTGCTACCCACGGTCTAGTGCAGTAAGTTTATTTTTTTTCTGTCGCATCAACATGACAAATCTTGGTATATGTGTGCGACCAGCCAAAAATCTCGGTTGTAATGGGAAAGACCGCAATAGACCTCTACAATCCCAAGCAAATGGAAGATTCCATCTGGTGGATTCTCGTGCTTGATGTATTCTTACCGGAGAGGCCATTAAGGGCAGCTGTTCCTGACCTCATTTTTTATATTACTATGGATCATACTTGCGACAGATGATCCATTGGCGATTAAAACAACCTACGCTGGCTTCACTTGACAATTTGTTTTGGCGTGTTTGTTTATCCAAATTTATGAATAGTCTGTTCAAGGCTTCCGCTGACCTTACGGATTAAGATCCTCTCATTCTCTCCACAGGCTCGGCCTATTTCTTCCAAGATGGTGGACCCAAGCGGCTTCAGCGTTCGACCGCCAAAAAGTTCCGAGGAGATCAAGTCCCTCTGGTGGCCGTCAATGCAATCACTTGGATGGGTAGGTGTTTCTTCTTCCCACGACGAATTCACATTCCACTTTCAAAAAAAAAAAAAAAAAAGAAAAAAGCACCCTTCTCCCCATGACTTTTACGGCGAAATGCTAACTCTTCTCCCCTCCTAGAACCGCTCCGACAAAGACCACCCAACGCACTGGCAATCCTCGCGCGGCAAGTACATCGTCCTAACCCACAAGGAGCCCTCGTCATCCGAAGAGGAAGAGAAGGCGGTCGGCATCATCCTCCCCATCACCTACCCCAACAAGACCGGCTGGGTCGGCTTCTTCGTCGTCAACGAGGCGTACCGCGGCACGGGCGGCGGAGGCAGCCTCCTCTTCCAGGCGGCGCTCGACGAGTTCGCGCGCCAGGGCGCCGAGCGCGTCGGCCTGGACGGCGTGCTGCAGCAGGTGGGCACGTACGGCCGGCGCGGGTTCGTCGAAAAGGGCCGCGTGAAGCTGATGGTGATGAAGAAGGTGAAGGAGCTCGAGGTTCCTTCTTCCGCGGGAGCAGAGAAGGGGGACGGTGATGATACGCCTCTGATTAAGGCGCTGAGGGACGTGCAGCCGGCGGCGCTGGTGGCGGCCGACGAGAAGGCGACGGGCTTGCGCCGCACGCACCTGTGGACGAAGGAGCTGCTCGTCGAGCGCGAGGACGCGTGGGGCTTCGCCGCGGTCAAGGAGGGAGGAGGAGGTGGAGAGGTCACGGGCTTCGTGCTCGTCCGCTCCTGCGAGCATGGCTACCGCGTGGGCCCGCTCTACGCTCCCAACCGCGACTTGGCTAGCACGCTCCTGCTCCGGGCTATGCAGACCATCAAGGGCTTCGGCGCCGCCGCGGCTGAGAAGTCGCTGGTCGCCGAGGCGTGGGGCGAGAACCCGGTGGCCGTCGAGACGTTCGAGGGCTTGGGTTGGGAGTACAGCGGGATGGATTACGCGCGCATGTGGCTGAATGGAGAGGAGACGGAGGCTCAGAAGAAGGGAGGAGTGGCGGAGAGGGAGGTATTTGCTTGGTTCGACGCCGGTGAGGGTTAAACGTGAGAATTGTAGATAGAATTAGATGGTAAGGGGCTCTTTACCATCCGGAGAAGATACGCCTTTAAATGGTAGCACTCCTTTAGAGGAAATACTAGTCATTCTAAAGTTGTTTGTGCCATCAGGATTGACATCAGAAGCATTACTCCGTTATTGAGGTCCTAGAATTAGACAGTGTACACATGCATACGCAGCGTAATTAGGCCGTATTCCTGCCAATTCCAGCCTTATATCTTGCCAATGCTCTTTCCCTACAGGTCTTGTGATCCACCATCGGTTTCGGGTATCCATTCTTCTTCGCTATGTCCTCTGCACCTCTGCCGTAGGGATCATGGATGGCCTTTCCCTTCACATCCTTCAACTCCGGGATCCATTTCCTAATGTACTCACCATCTGGATCAAACTTTTCGCTCTGCAGCAGAGGATTGAAGATACGGAAGTACGGCTGGGGATCGACGCCAACAGAGGCAGAGAAACCCCAACCACCGTTGTTGCTGGCAAAGTCGCCGTCGATGAGGTGCTCCATGAAGTAGCGCTCACCCATGCGCCAGTCGATAAGCAGATCTTTAGAAAGAAAGGAGGCGACGATCATGCGGCAGCGGTTGTGCATGTAGGCCATCTGGTTCATCTGGCGCATGGCGGCGTCGATAATGGGAAAGCCAGTGCGACCGCCATACCAGGCAGCGAACTGCTCGTCGTTATACTCCCACTCGACGTTGGTGTATTCGTACTTGAAAGGCTTGAACATGCTATATCAAGATCAGTATGTGGTGACTGAGGTTCGGTGCGTGGAGCAACTCACCAGATGTACGGCCAATGCGACAGCACATGCTTATAGAAATCCCTCCAGGCGACCTCACTGATCCAGCCCGCTATCCCAGCATTTCCCCCGTCTAGCTTCTTCGTCGTATTTGCATCCTTGGCCAGTCGCACGCTTGTTCGGGCTGCTAGTGTGCCGGCTGAGTGATGCACGCTGACCATAGCAGTGCTGCCTGCAGCAGGGAGGTTGCGGGTGTCCTTGTACTTGGTGACTTTCTGCTTCAAAAACTTCTCCAGCCGTTCTCGTGCTTCGTGCTCACCTGCCGGCCACAGGGAGGCCAGCCGTTTTTTCGTCTCCGAATCTAGACGCTTGTTCTCCGGTGCCTCGGGTATATTGGAAGCAAAGATATCCTTGAACTTCTCGCGAGCGTCTTTGGGGTTCTTCTCCGGCTTGGGATGCTCATCGAGAAGTTCAGGGTGCTTGTGGACATGAGAGAGCCATGCGCGGAACCAGGGGCTATAGACGGCGTACTGCTTGCCTTGGCCAGTCTGGAGCGCGCCTGGCGGGACAATGACGTCGTCATGCACGACAGTGAAGTCAATGCCGGCGTCCAGGCATTTCTTAGTCAACCGCGCCTCGCGCCGCAGTTCGTCAACCTCGTACTCCATGTTGCAAAAGAGGTGTTTTGCGCCCCACGCGTTACACTTGTCAATCAGGTAGGGTATCACTTTTTTACGCTCCTCGACCGTCTCCACCAGCAACGGGATATCCAGCTCCGCTAGGTCCTGCTTCAGCACAGCCAGAGTCCGCAACTCGAAATCAATCCGCGGCGTGCCGGTGAAGTGGGCCTGGTAGTCCTGGGGCGATACAACGAAGACGCAGATGAGTGGGACACCGCCGTCCTTCGCCTTCTTCGCCGCCAGGCTTAGTCCTTTGTTATCGGACATGCGCAGATCCCGCTTGAACCAGTGGACGACGGCGTTGCCAATAGCGATCTTGGAGCGCTGTTCCTTGGTCTCGGCCATGGTCTTCTCGAGCACTTCGATTGGCCGCGGGATCTCGTTGTTGTTGTATTGCTCGCATCGCTCATTGGACATTTCGGCCGGATAAAAATCCCGCTGCACGATCCCGAAGCGCTCTTCAACGCGCGAGTGGTCGAATTGCTTGGTTGGCTTGGATTCTGCTGAAGGACTGCTGGTGGAACGTTTGGCGGCTTTGCGAGCGGGCTGCGATTCGGCAGAGCGCTTGTTGGATGCGTTTCCCGTCGAGTCTGAATACCCGGTCGAAGCGGGCGCTGCCTTCCGTTTTGCGGCCATGTTGGCCGGATTGGATGAATGTAGCGACCGAACGTTCAATGGGTTTCTCGCGCAAAGAAATGCGCGTGTGAAGGGGAGCATGGAAGAGGGACAAAGCAACGCGCTTCCACAGGCATGGTCGTCTCAGCCGCGGCACCGGCCCTTTTTGTTCAATTGAGCCAAGAGCAATGGCACGCATGGCGCATCTGATCTGGGGTAGTGAGATGCGATCTGTGGGCGAGATCGAAGCCAGATCTATCGGGCGGGCCCGTGCTCTCTGACATCATTGGCGATGCGCCGAGGAAACTTCAAGTACTGAGATGCAATGCAATAATCTATCGTTTTACGTTACAGTCAAGAGCAGCATCTAGTCTAGCTGTGACACCACCGGGGCTCTTTGCCTGACTGAATGATATCGATGGAGTTTGATTTTATCCTGCATCGACGTAGAGCTGGAAAAGGAATGACGTTGCTTCGGGCTAAACCCCTTGACCCACGGATCCAGGAACTTAGACTGTACCAGACACCCAGATGCGGACACCCGAATGGTAGGGTGTTGGCTTGTCTGCGCGACTATACAAACGTGCCGCATCAGGTTGTCCGCTCGACTCTTGATACTTCAACCAAGCTAATTGCAAGTAAATAAAGAAACCATATCCCTCTACACTAGCTATTTGTTTTCGGATCCCGCCATCCAAATTTCAGCCGCTTCAATTGATGAACAGCGTATTTTGCGGCCGAACATATGAAGCGAATACTGCATGTCATCCATGGTCATGTGACGTCTATCATAATACTCTGAGACATCCATCCAACGACATCTGCACGCGAGATTTTATATCCACTCTTTCTCAGCTTCTGAACTGTAATATGCGATTTTGCTCCCACTTCTCCCCACCCCACCCCACTATCGCATCGGCTCACGCCTACACTCCCGATCAGCCAACACCATGTTTGGGAGCATCCGCCAGATGATCAACCAGATCTGATTGGCGAAGGAGCTGCATCAAGAAGGTCCGTCCGCGGGCGGGACGGCTCCCGACCGTTGCATCCTACCCGAAGAATGCGCCGCCAAGCCAGGATCCCCGCTCTTGTAACAGCAGTTAACCTGAGAAGATCTCCCAGCAGCCATCGTCCCAGGACAAAGCACGCAGTTTGATCTACTCCTACCGGCCAATTGATTCACGACCACTTCGTTCTTACCGGTTTGTCAACACCAAGAGTTCTGGCTCCGCAGCAATGGCGTCCCAAGACTTTGTCAAGCCCTGGAAGCTTCCCCGCCAGAAGACGTACATCTTCACCAACTCCAACCTGATCGATCCCGTGGAAGGCACGGTCTTGCCAAACATGACAGTCAAGATCTCGAGCGGGCTGATCGAATCAGTCTCGTCCGAGTCGCCTTCTTCGAGCGCCGACTTCACCGTCGACCTCGGCGGCAAATACATCTGCCCGGGTCTGATCGACGCCCACGTTCACGTTGTCGCCACGCCAGGCGAGAAAGATCTGGCAAAGTGCGTCGCAATGGACTCGGCCGTCTCCATGACGCGGCAGCCCTTCGTCGTCAAGCAGATGCTCTCTCGCGGCTTCACGACGGCGCGCGACTGCGGCGGAGCGGGCCTGGCGCTCAAAGAAGCCATCCGCGACGGCGTCTTTCCCGGACCGCGCCTGTTCATCGCCAACCACGCCCTCTCGCAGACGGGCGGCCATGCCGACTTTCGCGGCGCCCACGACCACACGCAGTGCTGCGGCGGGCTCGTCAACGGGCTGGGCGTGCTCTGCGACGGCGTGCCCGAGTGCATCAAGGCGGCGCGCGAGCAGCTGCGGACCGGGGCCGACTTCATCAAGATCATGGGCGGCGGCGGCGTGGCGTCGCCCACCGACGCCCTCGAGAACACGCAGTTCACGGCCGACGAGGTGCGCGCCATCGCAGAGGTCGCGCGCAGCTACAACACGTGGGTGACGGCGCATGCCTACACGCCGCAGGCCATCCGCCACGCCGTCGCCAACGGCGTCACGGGCATCGAGCACGGCAACTTCATCGACGAGGCCACGGCCGAGTACATGGCCGACAAGGGAGTGTATCTGACTCCGACGCTGATCGCTTACGACGCCATGGCCCGCCGCGAAGGCTTCCTGCCCCCGGAAAGCCATGTGAAAAACGAGGAGGTGTTGGCTCAGGGCTTGCGGGCGCTTGAGATTGCGTCCAAGGCGGGCGTCACCATGTGCTACGGCTCGGACTTGTTGGGCCCGCTGGGGATTGAGCAGGCAAAGGAGTTTGGGTTGAGGGCGAAGGCGCTAAGCGCTAAGCAGGTGCTGCAGAGCGCGACGATCAATCCGGCAAAGATGCTGAGGCAGGACGGCTTTCTGGGCCAGCTGAAGGAGGGATTCGCGGCCGACATGTTGATTCTCAATGCGAATCCGCTGGACGATATTGAGGTGTTCGATAGGCCGGAGAGGCACCTTCTGGCAGTCATCAAGGACGGGCGAGTGTATTCAAGCCGGTGGTCGAAGCTGGCCGAAGATGTAACGGCCCCCGAAGCCTTGATCGAGTAATGGGTGGCAAGCAGTAAATCGCAATTGGAGCACCGTGCCCGCACACCCCGCACTTACTGGGTATTGCCGGTGTCGCTAAAAGACTGTCTCAGTCAGCTGCTCGTGGGGAGCCTGCCGGCTGGCGCGTCTTGTTCACATTTTTCAGCGGTGTACTGGCTAGCTCCGGGAGTTGCTGGGGTGCGGGTTCCGGCGGACAGGAGGTTGGTGTGGCAATGATGCGCGTGTAACGAGCATCAAGCAAGCTTCGACAAGGCTGCATCGAGATGTGAGGTCGGGAGGGACGGCGCGAAGCCGGGACCGGGCATGGATGGGCCAATGGCCACATGATGGCCATCTCCGACGGCCGGAGCGAGTCAGCGGCTGACATCCCCGCCGCTGTGAGGCGCTGCCGGCCGCAGTTGCTCAAAGCTGCTCCGCGCCCCAGCAGGATCCACTTTCCTCGCTCTTGCGTGCTTGCAGCTTGCATTTTGCGCCCGAGGAAAAGATAGACAGGGCCCGCTGCACTGATCTCCCCAAATGATTCAATCAGGCCGCCGCCTTCCTCCTCTCTGACTTCGCCCTTTCGTTACTCTCGCGCTGCGCGCGCCCAACCACCATGGCCGAGCACAAGCTGCCCTGGCGCCAGTTCGTCATTCTCTGTGCGCCCACCCCCTCGCTCCTTGCAAGCCCACGCCACTGATGCGCCCTCACAGCACTATGCCGCTTTGCCGAGCCCATCGCGCTCACGAGCGTGTTTCCCTACCTGCCTGAGATGATTGAGTCCTTTGGCGTGCCCAAGAACGAGATCGCGAAATGGGCCGGCGCCGCTTCCGCCATCTTCAGCCTGGGCCAGTGCCTGACGAGCATATTTTGGGGGAGGGCCTCGGACACGTATGGGCGCAAGAAGATCATCCTGCTGGGTCTGTTCAACACCATGGTCACCAGCTTGGTGTGGGGCTTCTCCACCTCGCTGCCCATGGCCTTGGTCGCCAGGGCCATCCAGGGCGCCGGCAACGGCAACGTCGGCATCTTGCGCACAATGGTCGCAGAGCTGTGCCCGTGGAAAGTGCGTACGGCTCCATCACGAAATCAGCTCGTCGCTCACAACCTTGGTCTAGGAACTGCAACCGAGAGCGTTCAGTATCATGCCTTTGGTCTACAACATCGGGAGCGTCTTCGGCCCGGTACGCGACGACCCCTGCACCCCGCAAATCGTCTTACCTACTGACATTTCTCAATCAGGCAATTGGTGGAGCGCTGTCGAACCCTCTTGGCGTTGATGTCACGAAACCTCGCGGTGACTCGTTCTTCGAGAAATATCCCTTTGCCCTTCCGAACATTGTCGGCGCTCTGCTCTTCCTCACCGGCATCATTACCGGCATTCTTTTTCTTCATGTGAGTCGATTCGCGCCCCTCTGCTACTAAACTGACGCTTTGTCAAGGAAACGCTAGAAAGCAAGAAAGACGAAACAGACTATGGTTTGGTACTGGGCGAAAAGCTCAATTCTGCCGTCTCCAATCAAATCGTGCGGGCGAAGAACGTGTGGCACAAAGCCAAGGGCGAAGAGACGGAGCCACTTCTCAAGCACGTCGATTCCACGACCAATCAGGACGATGACCAAACGAATGGCGATACGCGCAAGCCGACGGAGCAGAGCCCCGTCACGGTCCGTGAAGTACTTTCGGTGCAATCCGTGACCAATTTGGTCATATATACTGTCTTGGCCATGCATTCCATCGGTTATGACCAGGTGCATATCACTCCTCTCAATACGCTGCGACCTTGCTAATGTTTCCCTAGCTCCTTCCTGTCTTTATGCACCATCCCGCTCACCCCTCTGATGGTTCATCGTACAGCCCGGCCAACCCGCTCAAGTTCTCCAACGGCTTCGGCATCAAGTCGAAGAACATCGGCGCCATGTTCACTTTGTATGGTGCGCTCTGCTTCCTCTACCAACTCTTCTTCTTCCCGCCGCTCGCCCGGCGTTACGGTGTCCTGCGCTGCTTCCGCGTTGTCTCGCTCATCTTCCCTGTCGTCTTCCTGATCACCCCTTTCACCGCGCTGCTCCCAGACCAGACGTCGCAACAGGTTGTCATGTTCGTGATCATGATGATCAAGGGTTGCTGCACAACATTCGCATTCCCCTGCAGCACCATTCTTCTGACCAACAGCGCTCGCTCGCTCCGCGTGCTTGGGACGCTCAACGGCATCGCAACGTCCGTATCTGCAATAGGTAGAGCTGCCGGACCGGCTGTCGGTGGTAGTCTCTTCACTCTCGGCGTCAAGCACGGCTACGTCATCGCCCCATTCTGGATGTTCACTGCTATTTCCATAGTCGGCGCCGTGCCAGCCTTTTTCCTCGTCGAGGGTAAAGGGTTTGGCCCGGATGACGAGGACGAGGATGAGACGTCGGGAGACGATGAGAGCATCCCAGCCAAGGGCGGCTCTTCGTCGAGACGACCTTCTAGAGCAGGGGCGGATGGCGATGAGGAGAACAATGACCGCGTCGGAGAGCTGCTCAGCCGCACCACGACGTACTCTTCGATCGCATCTGCAGCAATCAGCGATACGGACGACGAGGCGATTGGCAGTCCAATCAGCTCGAGCTTGCCAGCCGAGGCGCCTCATCGGCCGTCACATCCCAGCAGAACGCCGTCGGGACGAGTGCAAACGGTAAGGAGGAGGACGAGTGTGCCCATCGGTATGAGCGGGACTGGCTTGAGGAGGTACAGCTCGAATCTGGGTGTAACTAGGGATGGATACGGAACAGGGCAGAGTTGGGGTGGTTGATTTCCTACAATCCTTTCTTCTCTTGAAAATTGTCATGTAATGGATTATTCTTGGAGGGCGTGTAGATACCTAGATTGCGGGAAGGAAAGCTGGCGTTAATAATTCGAAGAATTGAAATTGATCTAGCCAATTGAATAGCATAACAAAAGATTGTCGTTAATGGCTAATTGTGCGGACTGCGAGCTTGACAGGCAAAGGAAAGTGATGCTTGTTCCAGTACCTGCTACAAGGCTTGTCCTGTGAGCCTGGCTCGATCGGTGGCTACGTTGAAACGCAAGACGGGGCGAAGCGGACTTGATCCAGCTAATGGCCAACTATCAGATGCTCGTCTGGTCATCTGAAAGCATCGGGTCCTCGCATCAGCAATCATATAGGACGTGCTCGATCATGTATGTTCTCTCAGCCAGAGCTGACCGGCGGGATCAGCGCGACCTCGTCGCCCTCATTGATTGTCAGACCGGCATCGCCATCTTCCAGGTCGATGTACTGCAAGTTCACAGTCACGGCACAGCTGTCCAGCACCGCCACCGTCATGCCCGGATACGCGCGCTCTAGCACGCCAAACAGCTGTGACGCGGGGAGCGGGGCTGCGAAGTGCTCGTGATTCTTCTTCGTGTACGTCGACGCGGCAGCGAAATAGAGCAGCTTGAAGTGCCCGGCCGGCGGGTTGACGGACGCCATTGCGCTTCTTCTACGATGGGAGTCTGATACGCGTGTCAGTACGGTTGTGTTGATGGGAGAGACGCGAAAAGTTCGGGGTGGGGTTGAGCGATCAGAAAGTGAAGAAAATGGTCCGCAGAGGTGGCTGCGTGGTAGCAGACCTCGGATAATACATGCTATTTTTGTATCTCTTCATGCATAAATGCATCAAGTGCAGGGGAGAGCAGAATATACGTACCTGATGCCTAGGGCGATGGGAGAGCGGGGGGCGGTGGATGAGAAGAAGTGGGAGGTGTAAGCTGGCGCGCGGGTTTTGTGCGTGGGCCGTCGGGAGGCAGGGATGGCACGGACGCCTGACGGCCGTCGCAACGCTTCGTCGCGACTTTTAGTCCAGCAATTGCGTCTCTATCCTCCACCACCTGCCTCCCTCGTTTGCTCGGCATGCCGTCGCTAGCTACCCTCGCTAGGCGCTCGCAGGCCCTGCGCACCGCTGATTTCTCCAATCTATGCTGGACTTGTCTTCTCGCCCAGCGCCGACAGCTCTCCAATGTCTCGCCGCTACCACAGACTTCACTACGCTCCTCTTCTCGTAAAGTGCGATACAAGTTCGTTGACGCACCGCCGAAACCATGCAGAGAGACTGGCCAGCTGTCGCAAGCCGCCGAAACTCCTCTAGAAGAAGCACCAAGAATAATCCAAGATTACCACAAAGATGAAGAGCGATTGCTCGCCCAGTTGGTTGATCAGCACCGCCGGCAGGCGACTGAACAGCAAGACGCGATAGACCGCATTGCCCGCTCGAGCTCACAAAATGTGCCAGCGTCCAAGCGATCCTTTCACACTTCGAGCAGAGTGAGCATTCGCCACCCGCAGTCTTCAATTGAATCTAACAAGCTTGTAGCTCAGACAAGAAGTCGCCGCCACGCCCATTGTTACTCCACAGCAGGCTGCTGCTATAATGCCGAGACGACCCTCCGATATGACCACAATAGAGTACCTGAGACGATGGCAGGAACAGTACGGTACACCAAACAAAGAGCTGCTCGACGAACTGGGCATTGAAGCCTATTCCACCGGGCTCACGGAGAACATGAATCGGCTAGGCTCGCCCAACGATCTCCGCGATATCAAACTGCGCGACGAAGATGAAGATAGCCGCAGCACCGCTGCTTTTCTTGATCCGGAAGATACAATAGATGAGGATCTCGTCGACCGTATGTTGAAAGTCGGCGACCTTGTTGAGATCAGGTATGTTTGACTGCATTTATCCTGCTCGAGGTGGGCCCGCTGACGATCAAGTAGTTTCCTTGGAGATCGTGAGCCCATAATTGCCGTCTTCATCGCACAGTACGGTCAGCAAGGCCAGTTCTACAGCATGCAGGGGAAATGGTTCCACCGCACTGCCAAGCAGATCCTGTTCTCTGTGTCCAGTTTCATCGACCCCAAGGAGCTCGAGCCCATCATTCGCTTCCTACCGAAAGGCGAGGTTTCAGAGGAACTCCTGGACACTATGCAGACATTGGACGTCAACGCTCCTCGTGAAATAGCTGCCCCTGTATTGAAGCGCCTCAAAGACTTTACCGACGAAGCAGACGCTGCCTACCGTCGGAACGCTTCAATCTTGGATCGTGCTCACGAGATTCTAGCTCATCCGACGGACCTTCGATTCGGTACTCTGCAAAAGATTACCGAGAACTTACTCAAAATCAAGAACCCCCCAATTACGATAAAGTACGCCGTTCGGAAAGCTCTACTCCGACAAAACCTTGCGTTCCAGCTCGATAGGCGCAGCCACAGACAGACCGGGGTTTTTCAGATCATGCCAGTCGAGCTCAAAACACGAACTGAGTTGGCAGTGGAATGGATCCGGCAGTTCCAGGATGAGTTCGCTCGCCGTGCGACTCAAAAGGCAGAACCTGGGCACGCCCCACAGTTCCTGAACAGGACCGACGAGAAGAAAAAGGAGACTGAAGGAGCCGCGAATGTCCGAAGGTTCGTACAAAAATGTAGGAAGCTCATAGACCAGAGCCGCAGCATGCGTGACTTCACTCCACATGGTCGCGTCGGCATCAGCAAAGTTCGCAACGAGATTACCACATCCACAAACGCCATGCAGGACTTCCACTCTCTTGAATTTACTGAGGCTGACGCTGTCCTTATTCGATTCATCGAATCATGGTGCATCTCGAACATAACCCATGCCAGCACGCGCGTAGGCGCCCTTCCACCAGTGGTTCTGCGTGCTCTGGATAGATACAAGGACGAAGAGTTGGACCCTCGGGCCGGATTCACGTTTCTTCAAGAAATAGGCGTGATCCCCCCTCATGAGAACAGGACCAAATTCGACCCTCACCTCCTGCTACCCACAGCTTCGCACTCAAGGCAGCTAGAGGAGATGTATACCGCTCTGGTCAAGATGGGCGAGGGCCGCAGGAGCGTAAAACTTCGAGATTGGATGGAAGATTATCGAGTGGACTGGGGTGCCTTGCCCGTGTTCTGCATCGATTCGGCCACCGCCGAGGAGATCGATGACGGCGTCTCTATAGAGAACATCGCCGATTCCGAGGATTGCTGGGTCCACGTCCACATTGCCAATCCGACGGCTTTCCTTCCCAAGGAACACTTGATAGCAAAGATGGCCGCGCACTTGACCGAGAGCATCTACATGCCCGAACGAACCTACTCGATGTTGCCGAAATGGGTGTCTGACGAGCGTCTAAGCTTGGGCAAAGACCGCCCTTGTCTGACAATCAGCACAAGGCTCAACGCGAAAGGCGAAGTTGTGGACGACAAGATCCAATCGGGATTCATCCGCAATTTTGTCCCTATCACTCCCCAAACACTGCATCGCGTCGTAGACGAAAGTGGCGCAAAAGCTGCCGAGGCAAACCCAGACAAGATCCTTGTCGTCGGAGGAACCGTTCCGTCGCTGCCGCAGAGGAAGATGACGGAGGCCCATGAATTGTCTGATTCTGAAAAGGAGGATCTCCGCAAGCTCCACAAACTGGCCCTGGCCCGCCAGGCACGCAGAACCGAAGCCGGCGGTATCTTTTGGAACCAGAATTATCCTGATATGAGTGTCTACCACGACCACAGCAACGCGGGCCTTCCATGGTCTCATCCTTCTCGCCGTGTGGCTCGCTTTACCGAAGGAGACCCCGTCATCCAGATGGTGGCGACGCCGACAGAGTCTTGGTTCCAGCCAGGAGGAACAGGCTCGGATCTGATGGTGCGCGAAATGATGCTTCTTGCGGGCGAGGTTGGTGCGCTGTGGTGCCATAAACGCAAAATCCCAACCATCTACCGCGGCACTATGGCGCGCCCAGACATGATATCGATCCACGAGTACCGAGAAAAGTACATTCTTCCCACGCTCGACGAGAGCGGCAACCCGCCTGCCAAGATTGCCTTCAACTACCTCCCGCATGCCGGCTCGTCCGTCACCTCGATGCGGCGGCTGCCGCACCAGGTGCTCGGTGTCAAGCAGTACACAAAACTGACGTCGCCGCTGCGCCGCTACGGCGACATGCTCATGCACTGGCAGATTGAGTCGGCGCTGCGGCGCGAGGCCAAGATAGGGGGCAGCTTGGCCGACAGCCCGCGCGCCGACTACGACGCCAGCTTCCTGGCCTTCAAGCGCAGTGACGTCAAAGCCATCATGAACCGGCTGGCGCCGCGCGAGCGCCTCATCTCCAAGACGAAGCGCGCGTCGCAGTCCTTCTGGCTCTCGCAGCTCTTCTTCCGCGCCTTCTACTACGGCGAGGCCAAGCTGCCCGACACGTTCGAGGTCATCGTCTACTCCATTGGCGCCGACTCGTACGAACGCGTCGCCGTCCTCTGGCAGGACATGAGCTTCGATCTCGACATGGACTACCCAAAGGTCGAGCAGGCGCAGGTCGGCGACCGCTGGGAGGTCCGCATCGTCGCGATCGACACGTACAACCGTCGTGTCAGGGCGGAGCCGCTGCGCTTGATCAGCAGGGAGGTCCTGCCGGACTGGATCGACTTCTGATCGAGGCGGCGACGAAGCACATGTTGGAGTACGGAGATGTAAAGAAGTTAACTGTAGGATCATGTCTAAAGGGTATATACTATTTGTAGATCGTTGTTAAGCCAAATCAGTCAAAACGTTGAGGCCACGGAAAGAAAAAAAAAACGAAAAAGATAAACCGATGTCTCATGATCTGATAGCGCTAGGTCGTGAATGACTAGCCCAACAAAAAAAAAATTCTCCTCTCTAATCTGTCTCTACCAAACTCTGATGAGCAAGGGGGAAAAACAAGCATATTGTGGAAAGATGATGTACTTATGAAATGATGCCCAGATCGAGTGTATATTCTGCCCCTAGCGAAACCCTATAGCTTGGCAGAAATGAAGCCAAAAAGCTACAGGCCAATACTGCAATTCTGTCTTCAATATATATCAATGATTTGAAGAAGTTCCACATCTATGTTCCAAACGCCACGCTTGATAATGCACAAAACGCCATGGAGTGAACGGTCATGGATCTGATAAGATAGGGGTAGTAGTTGACGAGGAAGGGAAATCTTGGGTATGAGGTAATTCTTGAGGGGAAAAAAAAACGTTAAGAGCCGCCAAGCACGAAACCGCCCTGGTGAGTAGGACAAGAACCGTCTCCTTTCGTGTCCCACCACTGCCGGATGCACGCCTGTTTGCCCCGATATGTCAGTACTTTTCTATGAGAGTATTCAAAAATTAGAAAGATAGTGGAAATATCTCACCCTATGGAATTTGCAAAAGCATTCCAGCCGCCCCATCTCGTCGCCTTCTTTGAAGTCCTCAAAGCATATAATGCACTCCTGCGGACTGCCATCATCGTCGATACAGTCTTTCTCCGTAGCTCTGTATCGCAACATTCCTTGCGTGTGTCTCCGCCTTCGTGAGCCCTCGGCCACGGGAGGAGTAGGGGTGCCACGTGAATCGCTTGCATGTGCGGCATTTGCTGATATTGCAGCATCTATAGCAGCAGAGGGTGTGGAGGTGCGTGACTGGCTGGATGGGCCGGCAAAGTTGGCGGAAATGCATTCTTCGACGTGCTGTTCTCTGGCAATAGTGCTACCGTCTGGGCCTTTTGGCGGCAGTTCCTCGTGACAAACAGGACACTCGTCTTCTTCGGGAATCTGCCGGCGCGGAGGAGGGCCTGGATGCCGCATTGAAGGGGGATAGGGTGGAGTGGTTGTATCAACTACCCTGTAACGCGAAGGTTGGGGCGAGTTGGAAGATGCACTTGGAGATCGGCTTGGACGCATGTGGTGCGCGAAATGCGAAATTGCCGAAGATGGGTTCGATTGATATGGAGGAAATGGAATCTCTCCGCTCGAGTTATTGGGCGGTGGCGGTGGAGGAAAGAGATCCGAGATGGACGTGCGATTCTGAAAGCTCACTCGGGAGTTTCGGAATGGGTCAGTAGAACGCTGGCTGACATCACTGAGAGTTGGTCGGTGGTGTGAGTATTGCCGTTGTCCGTATGCTTGGGAACTATCGTAAGTCATGTTCCTCGCTCTGCCGGAATGCTGGAGTGGTGAGAATCGTTGCTGGGTAAAATGATCCTGGAAGCCGCTCGGATCAAAGCTAGGGAACTGCGATGAGGCATGTCGCGGAGGAGGGCTCAGATTTGGGTCGGGGACACACTGAAGTACATGTTAGCACTAATATAGCTTTGTTGCAAAGAGTTGGGCTGCGCACGGGGTTGCAAACGCGAACTTCTTCTCCGCCTCCTAAAGCTGGATTGAAGTAAAGATCGAACCGTGAGCCTGAGCCGTCATCGTCACCGTTCAAATCACTGAGGCCAGCTCTGGAAAGCCTTAGCTCATCCGGGGCGCGCACGATGTACTGGCGTGGGATGGTGATGCGATGGGGGGAACAATTGGCGCAGACTACACGGCCACACTTTCTGTGGGACATTAGTTGAGGAAAACGGACGTAACAATGCGTGTGTGGACAATTACATACCGGCAATGGTGTTTCCTGTACCAGAAACTGAACTGTGTGCCACAAACAGGACAATGCGAGACGTCAGAATCAGGTTGCCATGGCGGAATCATGATATCGCTGTCGCGTCTCTCAATACTGCCAGAGCTCCCATTAGGGCTGAGGGTAAGATCGATAGCAGTGGCCTGAGAAGAGCCTTCTCCAGACGCAGATCGATAGCCGCCCCGCCTCTCAGGGCTCTCAGGTGCCGTGAGACGCCTCTTCCTATCAGTCGTGGAAGAATCGCTATACTGGCTCACGTTGACCGAGGCATCGTTGCTCTCAGCCTGGGGCCCAGCATTGCCCTCGGAGCCATATTCCTGCAGAAATACGTTTGTATCCGGAAGCGCAGCGGTTGATGGGGTGGCGCTGTCGCTGTAGCCACGATGCAGAGAAGAGGGGTTCGCCGGGGGAGCTGCGGAATCGTCGGCGGAGGAGAGCGAGGCGTTGGGGATGGCGGATGTGCTAGTGGAGTGTGACGGCGGCGGCGGAACGGGGCTGTCCATGAACGCAGGCTTGCTCGTCGACGAGCAGGGAACAGGCTGAGTGCGGCGATTATGGGTGTTGCCACGAGAGTTCCATCCCAGAGCTCCGCTGGCGTTGGTCGGGCGGGCAGAGGTGCGGAGGCGCGGCGTGCCGGGACAAGAGCAAGGGGCGCACGGCGGAGAAACAGCGCGGGGTCGGAGCTAGCAACTCGCGTGGGCAGTTGCAAGGTACAGCTGCGGTAAGGGCTGGCGGCGGAGCAGCGGGTGGTGGACCAGCGTAGTCATGCGAGCCGATAAGGCAGCTCTTATCGCCCAGGAGCAAGTCGTGGCCGCTCCCCGCCTTGCAATCGACGGCACCCCTGCAGCATCGGCCTCTACTACACAGTACTGCATGAATTACGTGTGTTTGTTTCTTGTCGCTACTAGTAATGATTACATCCCGTATGCAGTTGTACCCTCCGCAACTCCTGTCGCTATGTCCTGTCCCGCCGCCCAAATTTTTTACATCTCGCTCCGCTTGCTGCAAAATAAAAGGTGATTCTCAGAAAAATACACAGAGAATGGGAACTACTCTTCACTGCGCCTGCTGCTCCGGCTGCCCAGCGGCGTGTGCACAAATTCAGCTGCACTCCCCAAGTGTGTCGAGTCATTGAGCCCTGGCTGGATGTGTTCCGATGTCTTGTGCTGATGCACGTATCCAGTGCTCAGTGGCCGTTCCGCATCTGACGCGCTTCTTGCCATTACCCCTCCAGCTGCTGCGCCTTGAGAGCCGTCGCCACGGATGCTTGACGCCGCTGACCGCTCTGGCGAAGGAGACGGCTCTGACGATCCGAAAGGAAGGCGCGGTACTGATTCGTTCGTCGTCGGTCGTAGGTAATCACCTGCCGCCTGCCCTTGCTCGATTGTTGATAGCCGCGACCCTTCTTTGAGAAACGTGCCTTCATGGCCCGAGTTGCGCTTGGAGCTCTTCCGCGGGATGCTCGGTGCCCTTCCTAGCGATCCCACCTTTGAGACCTTTGAGCTGGCCTTGGATCCAACCCGGCTCGGCAGCTCGATCCCCCCTCCCGTCTCGATGGGCCCTAGCGAGGGAGGCACTTCCGACACTCTTTGCCTTCCTGAGTCAAGTGAATCTCCGTCGTCAATGAGCTGGTCGTCCTCACTGCTATCGTCCGAATCACGCGAATCTCTCGAGTCGCGTCGGGCCATCTCTATCCCATCCTCTCCTGAACTATCCGTTGTGGCTGACCCCCGTCGCGCCCCGGCTTGCGTATCGGGATTGTCGCGATACGGTTCGTGATGAGCTTCAGGCGAGTGTTCGTCGTCCTCTTCGAGTGCTAACAATTGCGGTGCTCTTGTGCTCCGAACAACTTCGAACCCCTTGCCCTTCTCTTTGCGCTTGCCACCGAACAGACCCTTCAACCATCCGCCCGCTGACGATACTGGTCCCATAGGATCCGCAGGGCCCGTCTTGAGCTTTCGGGTAGGTACGCCTTCAGCCAAAGGTGGCCCCCGAGTCACACCGTAATAAAAGTCGGATTCCCTTACGGCGTAGTCTGTCCGAGGTCTCCGTGGTCCCAGAATGTCAGGGTCTGAATCATCCCTATGAGTTCGCAAGTAGGCGGGGGTGAGGCTTCCTCGGTTCGGAGAGAAAGATGTCAAATCGCCTGCCTCTGCATGGTCCGCGGGATCGTCGTAAGGTTTGTTAGCCCAGTCAGCGCTGCTCCCTGACTGCCGGCTGCGCGCGCCCGGAACGTATGCCTCGGGCGTTGCCCTCTTCGTCCTTGGCGGCCGGTAATACGGATCCTGGGCGTCCAATCCGCGCGAGCCCAAGGTCGGTCTACGCGAGCCTGCTGATGCGCTCCCGCTTGGCAGGAATGTGTATGGAGTTGCAGAACCGCCGGGCGTGCCTGGTTCCGGACTTGTGCCGCCGTAATTGCTCATCTCTCCACCAGAGCTGAAGTGATCAAAACCGCCACTCATCCGGCTGTCCATTCCAGGGTGGCGGCTGAGAAGCACGGCAGAGCTAGCGGACAAACTGCGTGAACGACTTCCTAGCTTGGACTCTCTGTCTGCTGCGAGCATAGCTGCGTTGGAATTGATACTGCTTCCCTGTTGACGACGGTGAGAGCGACGTGACAGTTGCCTCTTGCCAAAGACCTTGGTGAGTCCTCCTCTGGCATCGCCGGCTCCGGCCAATCTAGCTGTGACTTCGATGATTGTCTGGATCGAGTTCAAGAAGAACCCAAATACCAGAACAATGGCATGTAGAAAAAGGTTAATGTATCCTATCCATCCCTTTGAATCTTCCGACACACCAAGATTCGGCACGAAAGCCACGCTTAAGAGTGTCGTGATGAGCCTGACTACCGAGAAGAACGTGTGATATGCGTTCATAGATGTCGGGGCCTGGAACGGACGGAATGCATGGAGCGTCAGGATGTAGATGACTTCGCAGATGGCCAGAATAATGATCTGAGCAATCCCGGAAGGTTGGATAGCACCGATCGCTACACCGCGGATGAAAGCCAGCAAGACCGGTATAAAAGCGAAGGGCGCCGCATCATCGGAATATGTGTTGTAGAGAGGGCCGTACGTTAAAACAGTCGGGAGGTCGTCGAAAAGATGTGCACGTGGTTTGGTCGTGAAGATTAGTCGAAAAATCCACGCTGCAAGTCCCATCACCGCGGCCAAGAGAATGACAGCCATCGCAACAACAGACGCAGGCGATTCATCCGCAACAACCAACTGGAAAAACGAGATGGCAATGATCGGTAAGAGGAAGAAGTTGAAGGTCATGCGCACCACCACACCTGTGGAGAAGGGGAGATTTTTGCTGCGCAAATCCTCTTCTTGAATATTCGACAAGAAGCGATAGGCCCAGCGGAGCATAAAACATAGTTGACACGCCAGCACTGCTCCGACTGTGATCCCTACGTACCAGATGGCCATGTTGGCCCAAATGTCCTGGTCCTTCGCGATACCGATCAATTCCGCTAGTCTGGACAGGCCGTAAGTCCCATTAACCACATACATCCCATCTACGAGGCTGTTGTAGCTGAGGTCTCCTGGTGTTACCAGACTCGCGTTGAAGAGAAGCGTCGACCAGCTGGCCTTGCTGACAACCGGCTGGTAGTATCCCGGATAGTTTAAATTGAGGCTTCCAGCGAGGACGATGAATTGAATGTACGCTAAGCAGTCTCCGAATCCAGGGGTCACTAGACGCAGCAGGTCCTCATCGCGGCCGTAGTTACTCGTCCATCTGAATGGATCAGACGAGCCCCAGGGGCTGAATATGGCGGCAAAAACCGTGGCAGCCCCAACCATAATCAGGATGGCAGCCGGCAAGTAGCGAAGTGCGTTGGAAATGGTGCTGCCAAGGTCTGGAGTGATATTGGCCGAAACACAAGCTAGATCTGGTGCATCCTTGTCTCCAGACTGCACGCGTACAGTCGTGGCTAAAGTAGTGAAGGCATATGTGCTGAAGAAGTCGTGAGCCACAGTAAAAGCGGGTAGGTCATATGGATCCGACCGGTCCGCGTCGAAGGAGGGGCCAATGGGACAGGAAGCGTTGACCACGGCGTCACAAAAGCGAGCAGGCTGGGCCTGCCAAGGGGTATACGTCACGACCTGAGACTTGGCGAAAAGGGTCGAATATTTATTGTTGGAAGTGCTGAGATCGACAATTTTGCCAAAGGTTTCGTTGGGGTTGTTCCAGTATGTCTCGTTGTTCCAAGCTGGGAGGGTGCCTTGTGTCGCCTGACCCGAAACATTTCCGTAGATTGTGATGTTGAGGTTGTGGGTGTCGCTCGAGGTGTTGAAGCGGGCGCTGAAGAAGTAGGGCGTGAATTGGAGTTGTTTCGGAGTGTTGTGTATGATGCCAGGGTCGAGGCAGTTCTCGAAGCGGATAAAGGCGGCGCTGGCAGTCGACAGGAACACGACAAGCACCAGCATGAGGGACACGGCGGCCGGGGGTCTCGATAGCAGCATCTTCCGTCGCGGGCGGTGGCATGTGGTCCATGGCGCAGGGCCGCGTGGCCGGGGAAGCTCCATGGCAGCGGAGGTCGAGCCTACGCGGAGTCGGGCGACCTCATGGTGTGTTTGCGACGGTGAAGCGAGGGGAGCTTCCATCCAAGTGCAGCGCAGCTGGCGGACGTCGACGTCAGCCGTAGTGGCTGCGCAGATCAGACGGCCGGCGATTTGGCGGAGGCAGCAAAGATGCTTGTCAAGACGAAACACCGAGAGGAGCAGGGGCGGCGTCGGGCGGAGGAGCCGCGGCCAAGGGCCTGGTCAAGACTTAGCGACGCGGCGGGCGAAGTGAGCATGCCACAGCGAGCGGTGGCGAGGTGGTGCTACTGGCCGAGGGGCGCGGTCGTGGGCGTGGGCGTGGTCGAGGGCGCGTCGGGCGGGCGAGCGAGCGAGCGGAGGGCGAGGCGGCGGCTCAGCGAGCGTGAGGAGAAGCTAGGCCAGGCGGGCGGGCGGGCAGGCAGCGTCATAAGTCGCGATCCCGGGGGACGAGGGGTGGCAGCAGTAATAACGGACTGTTGCTCCGTGTCGGCAGGGCAGCGCCATTCGCCCACGCTGATCTCGTGCTAGCGCGTCGTGCAGTGGCAGTGCACCCGCTGCTATTTTGGTGTCTCTGCCCTGATTGATGCACACTTGAGACGCTCCGCACCACAACATTCTGCAGCCTTCCCGCTCCAGGACGAGTCCGCCCGCCCGCTGATTGGCACGTTCTCCCGCTGCTGATGGCCCTCGGGAGCTTACGACCCTGCCGGCCCGGCTCGATAGCACGCTTCTCTATATTCCTTGCGCCGCTGATCCGACTCCACCGTCGTCAACAATGCGACCACTTGTCGGTGACCCATTTGCCCACCAGCGCGACGTCCCTGCCCTCCGCCCGTCAATGCCAGAAATTATGGACAGCCTGACGTGTGCTACCGAGAACCGAACCGCAGTTACGAAGCGATACGGCCGCTGGCGCGCCTCGTACCGCCGGCTCTGTGGCTGAAAAACCGTGACCGCTGTGTGCTTGGCTCCCCACGCTCCCGCCGACCCTGAACCGTTGAAGCCATTGCTCCCTCTGTTCCCATCTTCTGCCAGCGCCCTTCTCCACACGATTCAGATACACGCAGATCTCCGCTGGCGAGGCTAGCCGCATTGCGTAAACGCGGTCGAAGCTCACCCTGCGGCGAGCCCGCGGTGGAGCTGCAATCATTGCATCCGTCTTCGCTTGTCGCAGACTGTCTGTATAGGATCCGCACGGTCCTTCGACCGAGTCAACTTTCCACAGATCGTATCTGACCACGGCTTGTGCCCCGGGATCCAGATAGTAGCAAAGGTAGACTCCCCGGCGGACTGGCCAAATGCATAGGTGTTAATAATGACAGGAGCAGGACATCCGTCGGGCTGATCATTCACCGTGCAGTGCGCAGAACGCATCCACCACTTGGTGATCACCAGTGTTGGAATCTTCTGGCTGATCACGGGCCGACCGTTTCCGAGTACAATAGGAGCAAAAATAGAGTCCCCTGAAGCCTCCGAATCCCGATGATGTTGTCGTGTACGAGAGGCAAGAACAGGCGGGCGTAACCGTTTGCAGACAGGAGGGATGCATTCTGCGCCAAGATAGCGCACCGGGAAAGCGGCACCAATGGGTGCACGCGACGTGCAACGTCCGGCACGAGGATGACCTACGCAGAGGTGACGCGCTGGAGGAAGGAAAGCACGTGAGTGGCGCTTACTCAGGACGGCGAGCTTGGCCCAAAGAGGGCTGGGCTTGGCGCGGCAGTCGGGGAGTGAAAACGCCGACAACGTCGCTCGCCGACGGACCGTCACCAGTCTACAGGCAAACATGTCAGAGCCGCCGCGCATAGATCCCGCCCTCGAGTTTGGCGGCCAGCAGCCTGAGCGCTCCGACCAGGACTTCAAGCAGCGGTTTCAGGGTCTGCAGGACTCTTTTTACGCCCACAACGCCTTCTACGGGCCCTACCCGCCGCCGGCACAGACTGCGTCGCAGACGCCCGCCGACTCCGCCGATGCTGCTCTCCAAGCCATCGCGACCGCTGCTCAGGATCGCCGTCCCTCAACTCCAAGCTCTGCATCAGTCGGCGCTGCTGATCCCAATGCTCAGAGGTGCGCCCAACTCCTTCTATTTTGCCAAAATTTCCCCGTCGCTCGCCAATCCACCACCGACGCCTTGTGCAACTGGCGCATGCGCGTCGTGCTTCCGCATCTTACCTTGTACCCAAGACAACGTTGAGCGCTCTAACAAACCTGCAGTGCCCAGACAAAGCTCGGTCCAGATGGCAAGCGCCTGCGCGCGTGCGACCACTGCCGCGCCTTGAAGGTATAAGGCTGGCTTCACGCTCTCCTGCACAGACTAACACCGCTAGGTGCGCTGCGATCCGCAAGAGGAGAATGGCCTCATTTCAGAGGCAAGTCCGTGCAAACGTTGTCTCAAGTCGAAAAAGGTTTGCGTGACGACCGCGCCTACGAAAAAGCGCACCAAAAAGGCCGACACTCGCGTTGCCGAGCTCGAAAAAAAGGTGAACGAACTGACCGCTCGTTTGGGCGACGATGCTGTCGCATCCTATGCGTATGCGAGCCACCCACCGCTCCCTGATGGTGCTCACGGTGTCGATTTTGCGGACTCGACTCGGCCCGAGAAGCGCCGCCGGACTAACGACCAGCATGACGCCCTGGTAAGTTCCGCTACATCTGAGAGAGAGGAGCCGTTTGATTCATGGCGGTACAGATGTCCAATGAAGCACGGCGAGAAATCATGTACGACGAACACGCTGAAATCGCAGCTGCCGCCCATCAAAGGGTTGAAAATCGCCTGCCGCAGTCGGACTACTCGTACATATCTTACGAGGTCGACAGGTGCATCAGTCCAGATGTCGCCGAGCGTATTGTGAGCCGCTACACCAATGCTTTAATGCCAGCCTTTCCAGCCGTACCGCTGCCGCAGGAAACAACGGCTCAGCATCTCCGGGAAGAAAAGCCGCTGTTGTTTTTGTCAGTGTTGAGCGCTGCCTCTTTTGGCTGCGACCCGCTCGTTCCAGCAGAGACTCAGCGATATCTCGCAGACCTTCTGCAAAGCTGGTTTGCGGAGCTTATCTGGCGTCGGCAAGAAAAGTCACTCGAAATCGTCCAGTCCCTGCTTGTATGCGTGCTCTGGTATCGTCCCCCCGTGGTATACGAGCGCCATGCGTTCTACATGATGACCAACGCTGCCATAACCATGGTTCTGGAGCTGGGCCTTGGGAAGAGAGCTGGCAAGGCCAAAGCAAAACTGGGTCTTGGCCCTTTCCGCAGATGTCTCCCGAATGCAGGAGGGATAGATGCCAGAAGATCATTCATGGTAAGTTGCCTGCCGTTGACATGTTCTTCAAGGCTTGCTGACGTTTTTTTCCCTCTAAGGTCTGCTACTACTTAGGAACCAAGTGAGTCGTAAATTTATCGGGAAGCACACACACTGCGTACTAACGATTTATCACAGCATTGCCATGGTACTTCGCAGACCCATGCTCCTTCGTTGGAACCAATACATGGATGAGTGCATCTCTGAACTCGAGTCATCACCCGACGCACTCCCATCAGACAAGGTGCTTTGCTACCATATCAAATTGGCAGCCATCGCGGAAGACGTTGCCTCGCAATTTTCTATGGATGATCCCGCTACCAGCGCCAATTTCTCCGAGAAATACAACGAAATCGCTCTGAGGAACTACGACACGAAGCTTGAGTTGCTTCGGCCTCAAAGACCATCTAACGCTAATCAGAGTATGTTTTAGTAGTTGTGCTGCCTTAGCAATGGTTACTGACGTGCAATTTAACAGCTGTTCTGAAGTTCTCAGAAAGTGTTGTCGGTCTCTATACCCATGAAGTTGCCATGCATCATAATCAGAACATGGACGATGCCTTGGAAGAGGGACGTCAAAAGGCTTTGGGTGCGGTCCAGACGAGCTCACTCAAAGAATGCGTGAAGTCCTGCCATGGAATCCTCGATAGCTTCCTCTCGCTTGATTTTGACGCATTTTATGCGTTGCCGCTTATGTTCTGTAAGTCCATGTCCGGATCCATGCAGTTTCTCAACTGACTAAGAAATCAAGCCGTGCGGTGCGTGTATTCCACTGTCTGCCTTACGAAACTTTGGGCAGACGCAACATTTCCAGGCGATCTGGGTAGCGTGATCACACCTGACTCGCTTCGTCTGGAGCACTACTTCGACAACCTTATCCAGCGCTTCCAAACCACCGAAGAGCGTGATCCGCAATCGCCACACACCAAATTCCCGCGTATTCTTCTGCGTCTTCGGGAGAAGTTCAACCGGATGAAGAACGGTGAGACATGTGCGGATGTCTTCTCTGGACAGCCTCCAGCTTCCGCCAGTGGCCCTTCAGCACCGGCTGCGACAACCTCGACGGCAAACGGCGCACATGAACAGACGCGGCACACATTTCCAGCTAACGGGAATAACGTTGCCACAACACAAACTCCGCTGCATCTCCTCTCAGAAGTTGCCCAGCAGGCCCAAGCGCCGCCTCTTCAACAGGGCTACTACGATAACGGCATGGGTGGTCAAGCATTAAACCACTACAACTGGGACATGGCTGCCTTTGGCGATTTCGATTTCTCCAGCATGGGTATGGGCGTGGATCTGGCCAGCCTTTTCGGCGGCGACATGGGGGGATACGAGCCGCAGTCGACGCCAACGCAGTATGGACCGCATCAAGGGGCTGCAGCGCCAATGTATCCCGAACCTTCGACTTGGAATACTTGATATCCCCATCTTCTCCTTTTCAAGGTCAAGAGCGTATGGAATCGGGTGGGCTCTGAGCTCATCGGCTTACTGAGTAGCTTTCGGGCATTAGACGTTTAGGGAGATTGCGATCTTAAAACCATCATGATTCTCGATTATGGCCAGCGCCTGTTGTGTCAGTGCCATGTTGAAATAACCATGTGTGACAGGCATGGGCTGAGTCACTGGGAAACTGGTCATGCGCATTCATACACCACGTACGTACACTACCACTCACAGCTTAGCATCACACAAGACCCGAAAAACCGCGAAGCTCCTTCTCTTTCTATCTCTGAATCTAATGATAACTGAAGCTGCCCGGTCTGCGCACGCTAGACGCGCCGGCCTCCCCTTTGGCAAGCCTGCTCGCGCCTTCGGGATCGACCTTGCGCAGCGGTCGGTAGACGGGATCCCACATCTGCTCCCTGATCCACTCCTCCAGGTCGGCATCGTCGCCGGGGATCTTCTTCTCCTCGTTCAGGCCTTCCTCGACAGCCTTCTTGATGACGGCCTTTGCGATGTGCACGCTGATCTCGCGCACGTCGGTGACGTCGGGCAGCAGGGCGAGTTCGCGCGGGGTGCCCTTATTTTCGTGCTTCAAGGCGGGTGCCTGCTGGGCGAGGGCGCCAACGGCGGCAACGAGGAGTGAGGGCGTCATCAACCGGGTGCGGCTGAGGACGGCGCCGAGGCCGATGCCAGGGAAGGTGGTGGAGTTGTTGCATTCGGCTGGCGGGTGGCGTTAATAGTGCCAGCAAGGTAGGTGACAACGAATTCTGACGGGCCGAAAAAAAATACGAAGGGTTGCACGACTTACCTATCTCGTATTCCTTACCGCCGTATTCCACAGGATCGAAAGGGCTTCCTGTTGCAACGAGGCATTTGCCCTTGGTCCACTCGAACAAGTCGGCAGGCTTAGCTTCGTGCAGCTTGGTGGGGTTGCTGAGAGGAAAGATGATGGGCCTCTCGACGTGCTTCGCCATCTCCTCGACGACTTCCTTGGTGAAGGCGCCCGGCTTAGTGGACGTGCCGATCAAGACGTGGGGCTTGACCTCTTTGATCAGGCTCTGAAGGTTGCTGTGGTCCTTGCCCTCCCATTCGGAATCGTCGCGAGCGTAACCGACTTGGGCAGGAGTAAGGTCGTCCTTGTTGGATTTCAGGAGGAGTCCTGACTTGTCAACGCACCTAAGCAATGTCAGACAGATTTGAAGGCCGCCGATGCGCGGACTGCTTACCAGATCTGTGTTGCCGCCTCCTCGACGGATTTCTCGGAGGATTCGGCGATGGCATCTTTGATCTGGTCTGCTATCCCTGTGCCAGCCGTGCCGCTGCCAAACATGACGACTCTCAAATCCTTGTAGTCGATATTGGCAATGTGCATGGCGGACATGATAGCAGCGAGAGTTACGCAGCCAGTGCCTTGAACATCGTCATTGAAGCAAGGGATCTTTGGTGTGTATTTATCAAGGATACGTCTGGCGTTGGGGAGTCCGAAGTCCTCCTGCAGCGGGCCAATTAGGAATTGCAGCAAGGCCGTACTGCAGAGAGACTTACAAAGTGGATGTAAGCTTTAGGGTACCTCTTCCTGGCCGAGGTGATGAACTTGTCGACGAAAGCATCATACCTCTGCCCACGTGTTCTTGGCTTTCGGAGACCAAGGTAGAGGTCGTCGTTGAGCAATTCCTCATTCTGGGCACAGTGTCAGCGACAGCGGATGGAGGGCAGGTATCAGCGAGGCTCACGTCGGTTCCGCAGTCCAGGACTACGGGCAGAACGCGGGCAGGGTGAATACCGGCACACAGCGTGTAGATGACCAGCTTTGCGACAGAGATCAGGATTCCGCCCACGCCTTGGTCACCGATTCCCAGAATCTAGTTTCGGTCAGATCAAGGCTCAGCTCATGGGTCACGTGAAGGAAGGTACTTGTTCGCCGTCGCTGACGACGATGAGGTCTATCTCGTCCGAGGGGCCGAACTGATCCAAGTCGTCAGGAATCCTGTCGGCGTCGTCGATGTTGAGAAAACAGCCTTCCGGGCGGCGGAAGAGGCGTGAGTAGTTTGCAATTGCTTCGCCTTCGGTGGGGGTGTAGATGACGCTGAACATCTCTTTCAAGTGGTCGTGAATGAGCTGCGAGTTGGTGGATGAGCATGGGGAGGAGAGAGCGGGGGGCGAAGTCGGGGGCGTACGCGGTAGTAAAGCACCTCGTTCTGCTCCTTCATGCTCGTCATGAAGGTGTTTTTGGCCAAGGGGTTGGGGCGGCTGCTGTACTGTTCATAGGCGCGTTTGACCTGGTCTTCAAGAGTCTGGATGTTCTGTGGCAGGAGGCCATGGAGCTTGAATTCATCGCGCTCTCGCTTAGTGAAGGCGGTGCCCTTGTTCAGATACGGCGTGTTGAGCAGTGCGGAGCCCTGGCGGGTCAGCAGGCAGCGTGGGCGAAGATGGATTGCGGCAACTTGCAGTGAGGGCGCAGTCGAGAGGTCCGGACGTCGACAACGGAAGGCCGCCGAACTTGGGGTGTTTCGTGTCTTGCTTGGACGCCATGATTGAGGTGGAGTGGAAAGAGCGGGGAGCTCGGACGATGGCGGGGGGGACCTTGGGTCCGATAAGCTTCAGGCGAGCGAGAGGTGCAACAAAGGGCGCTTGGGCTGAGACGCGTGGATGCGGCATCAGAAAGAAAGCTTTCGCGAGCAATTCGTCGGCCTGCGCCGAGCTTATAGCTTTGGTGTTGCGCAGCCTGTTGTCTGCTATGACGTCGTTGCAGCCCCATCTCGGCCCTCTAGCTCGCGCGACTCAGCGACGACAGCCCATCAGTCAGCAGGGATGAAGATGCAATCCGACGATAAATCTACAGAGGGGTGCTGCAGCCGTAACTATGCCCCAGCTCTTCCTTAGAAAAAAGAGCATATGTAGGTAGCTGAAGCTATCGGCCGGACCGGTATGTAGAATTTTTAATTAGACATTCTCGTCCGGACGATAGCTTCGACTACCCATGGCATGAGCAAAAAACAAATCCACGCTAGAGGGGACCGTAATCGCTGAGCCGCCAATCTGACAAACAAGCTCTACCCCGCCGTGGCCGTCTAAAAGCTTAGCGAGCAGTCCCAAATCGGTCTCGCGCCTTCCTGCCTTGCACCGCCTCGGTAGTGAGTCACCTGCATCTATACATACCGCATCTATCTCGCCGTCAAGCTTCGGTCCGCACACTCTCTCTGTCAAAATGTCCCGCGAAACCTCTCCTCAGAGCGATATGCCTCGCTACACCCTCTGTCTGGTGTCGCACTCAAGGACCCCGCCGTTACACCCTGAGCCACGCCTCAAGTTTGATCTTCGCTCTGTCCCGAACCCCTCCCGCGCATTACGTCAAAGCATGACAGGCAAGCATCGCGCTCTTCAGAAAGAACTCTTGCAGGACTCGGTCTTTTGCTCTGAGTTGGACCGCGCGCATGGCATCATCAAATCCGCTATGGCAGAGTTTGAGCTCCATCGACGTCAGCCTCCAAAGAACAACCCAGAAGAAGAAATAACTGAGCCACCAACTCACGACGACGAGGAGCAGAGCGACGTCCTGTTGGTCGGCTGCTTTTGTGCCAAGGGGAAACACCGCAGCCCGGCCTTTGTCGAATCCTTGATGGCAACCGGAGAATGGCCCGATACTTGGGATGTCAAGGCCATCCACCGCGAGCTTGAAGATGTGGATTCGAATCAGGCCTTGATCAGCAAAAACAAGAAAAGCCGCAAGCCCAGAGATCGAACGGCAAAACGATCCGCTCATTTTCACTCAACCGAACAAGAGCAGGAAGGACTATGGGAAGACTGATATTGAATTCCGACCGCATGTTTCTGGTAAGCGTTGGCCTAATCTCATGCGGAGCTATCGGTCACTGACCATGGCACAGCCAACGTCTTACCGCATCTATACCCCGTGCTACCATGTTGCACAAAGACTGCACCAGGAGACTCGACCAAGCTTGTACTATATGACGACTTTGTCATGTACTATCAAACGGCATAAAGAAGTCTTGCATCTCATCGCTCGACAGCCCCACTACTTACATGGAACAATCAGCTGACGATACGTTCGTAACTGCATGTCACGACAGGCAGCAAGAAGCAAAATCACGAGGTGATTTCCGAAATGGTGTCACAGGAATTTGACTTTCCGTCCACATTCGGCTTACTGTCTCAAGTGTTGCTCCTCTGCCGCATATCGTAAAAGAATAAATAAAAAATAAGAATGGTAAGCACGCCTACTGCTGAGCCGGAAAGAGAAATCAACTACTCCTTAGTCGATCCACCTTTTTTTTTTTTTGTCCTACTCGGACTCTTTCACACTTCCTGCACAGATATGAAGGCCGTGGCTAGCTAACCGTGCGTGTTTATCAGGCGTAAAGCTATGTGTTATCATGAATCTCAATATATTTTCAAAGAATTAGACGCGTCTAAGATTCTTTTCTATTTATTGTTTTTGGTCTCGCCGTCGGTCGGAGGGGCTGTAAATGGATTTCCTGCTTCTGTCCCACTGAGACACACAAGACCTTTGCCCTCCCGCGACCATTATTTCGAACTATTCCTCAAGGATCGTGGCCGCATCCATTCTTCCACCGCCGCTGCACTTAGTTCCATAGGGTCTGGCAGGCAATTTGCCTCACCGCCTGCAAGCCTACGTGGAATGTTTGCTGCAAGTTACACCATTCAAATCACGCATGGGAAATGTCATCATCATGCTTCGTGATGCCATTGCCTCCGCAGAAGAGACGGTCGACGTGGCCGTGAGGGACGCCTTTTTTGCCAAACGTATAATGGATGTTGTAATCAATATCTACCGCCGTCGTAGGAATGACCTTTTCTCCGTAACCCCACCGTTGTCTTTTTTTTTCATTTATTTTTTTTAACGCATCGAGAGAGTTACCATGGATTTGGACTGTCCTCAAGGCACATTCCTTCCTTAGCGAGCTAGCCAATATCAAGACACCTCGGCAGTGGGGGCCGCTTGATTAACGACAAGGATTTCGGCGCCTAATATTCCCCGCAGACAGTCAACCCAATCGTCAAATTGACCTCACATCCGAGGAGTTGAGATCATCATGGACATCTTCGTGTCTCATCGCCATGCTGCCTGGATAGCAGTGTCCATCCTCTATGGCATTATCACCCACATCCGCTGGTTTAAGCGGTTCGAGCTCGACAGGTACCCGCTGCAGGTAGCGGGCGTATTCGTGGCCTCTTCGGTCGTTCTCGTGAAGTCATTGCAGTCCTACTCTGCTTCCTTTGCTCTCATCGCTACCTACCTTCTTGGGCTTTGTCTCAGTACCTTGGTGCATCGCGCGCTATTTCAACCTCTGAAGCGATTCCCCGGGCCTTTCGCTGCGCGGTTATCTAAGTTCTGGGCCATGCGTCAAGCGGCAAAGACGCAGGGCCAATGGTACAAGTTCAACCTACAGCTCCATGCAGAGTACGGAGATTACGTCAGAATCGGTATGTGTCCAGCAGCTCTTGACAGGCGCAGCGGCTCACGCAGTCTTAGGCCCTCGTGATCTTTCGATCACTGATCCGAACGCGATAATCCCAATTTTGGGTCCGTCAGCCAAGACAAGCAAAGGCCCCTTCTACGGGTCACTGGAAGAGTCGGTTCATACAACACTGAACAAGGAGTTCCACCGCCAGAGACGTCGCGTATGGGACAACGGCTTCAAGGTGAGAGTGGTCCGAATTACAAGCGCAGCGGTTTACTCAACATCACGTAGGCTGCGCTCGAAGACTTTGCACCTCGAGTTGAGGCGGCTACCGATGAGCTTCTCTTGGTGTTGGCGCAGCACAGCCAAAGCGGTACGCCAGTCATGTTCAACCAGATGATCCAGCGGTACAGCTTTGATATCATGTGCACACTGGCGTTTGGAGATGCAAGGGGCTACCTGACTGGAAAAACTACGGTCGAGGACGAGGTAATCTTCAAGAGCCTTCACGACAGTCTAGACGTCATTGGCCTGTTCGTGCACGCGCCTTGGATGATCAAGATCCTTGAGGTCTGCTCCATGATTCCAGGACCAATGAAAAGACTAAATGATTGGTCTGCGAGAAAGGTCGAGCTGCGGAGGCAGGTAAGTGATACGCCTCGCACAAAGCCAGCTGCTCTTAGCCACTGACGCATGGTCCTATCAGATGAAGAACCCCCAGCCGGACATTATGGGCCACCTCATGGCTCACACGCCTGACAATGCGGCAGGCCGAACGCTCCTCAATGCAGAGTCTCGCCTTATCATCGGTGCCGGAAGGTAGGAAGCAGCACTTCAGTCCGACACTTCCACCAAGCTAACAACATGTCCCAGCGACACGGCGTCGGGCGCCCTCGCCATCATCTTCGCCTATCTGGCCGCCCACCCGGCGCACCTCTCGCGGCTGCGCGAAGAAGTCGCGCCCGCCCTTGCCACGGGAGCCTACACGTGCGTGCGTCCAGCCCTGCCGCTCCTCGACGCCACCATCAACGAGTGCCTGCGCCTGCACCCGCCCGTCACCTGGGCCTCATCGCGCGTCACGGGGCCGGCCGGCCTGCACATTCCCAGGGATGATGGCCAAGGCACGACAACGACGACGTACATCCCGCCCGACACGATCGTCTCGATCCCGCCGTGCGCCGTGGCGCGCGACCCGCGCAACTTCGTCGACCCGGACGCCTTCCGCCCGGAGCGCTGGACGACGGAGCCGCACCTGGTGCGCCGCCGCGAGGCCTTCATGCCCTTCCTGATCGGGCCCTACCAGTGCCCCGGCAAGGGCTTGGCCATGATGGAGCTGCGCAGCGCGGTCGCGCGGACGGTGGCGCGGTTCGACGTCGTGTGGATGGAGGAGGAGAGTTTGGCGCAGTGGGCGGACGGCATCAAGGATCACTTTACGATGGGGGTGCCGAGGTTGAGGTTGGGGTTCAAGGAGAGGAAAGGATGATGGGAGGAGTGAGTGCACCTTTCTGAGAGTCTAAAATCAACTAGGGTCTCGAGCAAATAGCAACTGCATTCTACTACCTTGGCCAATGCAGATTCCGCTGGGGTGCTCTGCTGGCCAACCCTTCGCGGGTTATGTAAAGCCAAAGGGCCCCCCCCCCTGGACGGTGCGGCATATTGTAGTCGTTCCGCCCTAGGTGGACTGAGCAAATGCCATTTTAGGAAAGAAGCAAAGACGCCTGCTTCGGTCCGAGCAAGACCCCGGCATTTTTTTTGCTTGTTTGGCTGAGCCACATCAGACTTTGCCCTGGCGCTCTGTCCACTCAGGCACTTAAGCTTCTCACACCCGTCCCACGTGCTCTGGCGATTGTACTGGTGTAGTGACATCAGGAGTTCATTCCGACGTCCCGCAAAAGTGGAGGGAACCATTGGGCTCAGAGGTATTGGCCTTCGACATTGCAACCCTACAATAAATAATAACGCACAGGGGATGTCGCTGTACGAAACACATCTGTTTGATTAATTGTGCATAGATGATGCCAGAACGATTCCCCACGGCGACAGCCCAGAGAGGAGATACACAACTGGGCCCGGGAGAATTCGAGCATCTGCTATTGTATTCTACGAGCACACTGATTCAAGAGCCATCGGCGATCCCGGACCAGTGCGTCACACCCAAGCCCTTTCACTTATTCAGAAGTCCCGAACTACACGACGCGAACCGATGCATACATGACAAGCCACATCCCTACAACCCAAGGATCAGCAAACGGCTGACTAGACCAAGCATGGTCAAGGGCCGATCGGCGGGATCCATCTCGAAACGAAAGAGCCCCCGGTGCCGAGGGCTGCGGCCCGCGGAAAGTGTGCCGGCAGAGGACATGTAAATTTCGCGCTGCCTTCCTCTTGGCTGCGTTAGACATGCCCCGGTTGGGAAGGTGTAGGTCTGACTTAGGGTTTGGCCTTGGAACGCCTCTGTTTCTGCGGGGCCTTGATGCCGCAGGGGTGCCAGCGCGGCTGGACGTCGATTCTTCGAAGTGATTGGTGTCGAGAGGGCTGCGCTAGCCCCGTGAGCTGCGAAGCTGGTGGTCCATCTCGACGATGCCATAGGCAGCAATTCGACTACGCTTATGATTAAGAGAAGAGCCGTGGTGGGTGAGCTGCTGCTTGGCCCCCATTGTGCAACAACGCTGCTTTCCCTGACGAAATGGTCTTCATAGCGGTCCAACACAAAGCACAACAAAGGCGCCATGGTCACCCAGGGCCCAAAAGAGGAAATGAAGGCTGGCAAGCCCTCATTCTCGCAGCTAAACCCAAAATACGCAGGCGCAGGGCGACAGAGAACAAGTTCAAACGTCTGAAAGCTCCATTATCCCGATTGAGAAACGACGCGCGAGGCCATGGAGAGCAAGCCAGTGCGTGTACGCCGGTGGGGGCCCCATGACTGCGGCCGCAGATGCGCCGCAGCAACCAAGTGCGGTACGCGCGTATTGGCCATTGTCATGGGCTCGTTCTGGGCCGCACCGTGGCGCAGAGAGCAGCAACAGGTGAGGCTACCCCACAGCAGCACTCTGCTGACATCAGTAGAGATCACCATTACGAAAGCTGGGGGTGCGGGAAGTGACGAGAGATCACGCGGCTCCGAATGCTGGCGCCGTATCAGCCTCTGCCGCCCAATCTGACATGCGTGGGGGAAGGAGGAGGATTGCCGATGTCGGGTCCTCAGCATCCATTCTGTGTCTCGTCAACCGCGCGGCAACGACTTCTCCAAGCACGAGCCGCAGAGATAGGGCTCGACGGAGATCCTTTGGCAGGGCCATTGCCCTGAAGCGTCCGTACCCACATTCCAGAGCACTCTTCACCGCCTCAAGAAGCCGTGTCGCGTTTCAAGCCACAAGCCTGCCTCGTCTGCGCTAAACCCCAACCGGCCGCCATCCAGCCGATCCGCCCCCAGCCCCACGTCGCTCGCTCCGCGACCACCACCATTTCCTCAATCCGGAAGTCTGCCCAGCGTCTTAACATAGTTATCCAAACGCTACCATGGCCGACCACCCAACATCCCGCCTCGTTCCCAAACGCCCCTTGACCAAGCCCGCGACGTCATTCGGCAGCAGCGTCGACGAGAAGCCCTCGGAAGCCCGCGGCACGCTTGTACTTGCGCCACCGCCTCAGCCTGCTACCAAGAAGAGAAACAGTAAGTAATAATACTCCTACGTCGGTCCATTGTTCCCTACCAGCACATCAGACACACACAAAAAAAAGTCAAATTGTGATGGGGCTCCCTTGAAAATAATCGGCACCAGAACAAGATTCCGGCTCCGTCGTGCGGCAGTTCAACTCGCGCCAAGAGCCCTCGCCATTCCTTGACTCCACCTACATGGAGCGGAGGGCGAAGGCATTGAGCGTCATGCGCCAGCCTGCATCGGAATAACGCCAATACAAACACACGAGAGAAAATTCAAACCCACCCGCTGAGCGATAGATAAGAGAGCTGCTGGACGTTTCCCGAAACTCTATTACCTACCGCAAATAGCACGATACTTACGTGGCGAGTGGATTCCCCTGTTTTCTGCGTGCATTTTGTGCCGGGTTTATACTCCAAATACCAGCATCACCTGCCCATGATCCTCTGCATCCCACTGTTAAACCATCAATCAAAGTGTGCAGATAACCAAAGGTCACAAGGAAGAAGGACATTGGAACAAATTCCTTATCATCATTATGCTACAAGACCCCACCAGCCAAACGGCTAGCTCCTTTTGTGCTGTGTCGTCTCCAAAAACGAGAATTTTATGCTGGCTGAAAGAGAAACAACCCACTGCCATCCTCCCGACCGGAAACTAGCCATTCCCCAAAAGTGAAAAAACGCCATAGACGCACGTACGCGCGTGTAACTCAGCCCGCAAATCCATCACTCGCTCACGAAAAACTCTTCCCTCCCCCCAATCTTACATCACCACCCACCCCTGGAAAAGCATACTCTCTTACTCGAACTGATTCTCCCGATCCACCCAAATGTCCTCCAGCTCCGCGAAGCTCATGAAGTGCAGCGGCCGGTGGATGTCGTCGTAAAAGGCCTTGGGCGTGTCGAGCTTGACGTCGAACGGCTTCTTCTCGACGGTGCCGAAGCCGCTGCCCATGAAGCTGTAGTTCCACACGCCCGTCTCGGGCACCAGGAAGTAGCCCCGGATCTTGTCCGACAGCAGCAGCTGGCACTTCTCGCCCATGCTGGTCGAGAAGCCCGCCGGCTGGTCGCTCTGCGTGTCCTTGTTCTCGGCGCCCCACTTGTACCCGTTGGGCGTGAGCGCCCACGCCGCCAGCGACACGGAGCCGGGGGTGAACGAGACCGTCATCGTGACCGTCTTCTTGTCCCACGACGAGTGCGCGTTCATCAGCCGCGCGTGCTGCGTCACGTCCATCGGGCTCATGTACGGCAGCTCGTTGCCCGACACCGTGTGGATGATTCCCAGCGGCTCCATGCTGGAGAGGTACTCATGCTGCGGCAGCTGGTGCGGCAGTTGCACATCGCGCGTGTTGCCCACCTGCGGGATCATCACGATCGTCTTGATCTCCTTCACCTGATCGTTGTCTGGCGGAGAAGTGCCGTAGAGATAGCCCGCAACCTGCACGCGCAGATCCGCAATGGTGATGAAGCGCTTGAGGATATTCTTGGGCATAATGTAGGTGTAGTGATCATCTTCCCGGATGTCGTCGGAGCTGATGTAGATGTTGTTCGACCTCGTCCTCAAGTTGCTGGTCGCAATGGCACGCGTACGCCACTCGGTCTTCGAGGCGAAAGTAGCCTGTTCGTACTGAGATGTCGTCGTGACAACAATGTCTTCGCCGTGCACGTTCTGAGTCTTGGTCGTGACAGCCGTAAGCTGCTGCTGCTCTTGTTGCTGCTTCTCAATCTCGGCAGCTTGCTGACGCTGAAGCGACGGCGCACTGATCTCCATACCCAGGATAATATCACGGACTTCGCTGCTCGTCAAACTGGATGTGTTGACGTTGTTCTTCTTGCCATAGTCATTCAAGATCAGATCGCGAAGCTGCACTTCCACCTTGATCCAATCCTCGTCAGAGAGCGTGGGCCAAATGTGGTGCTCCTGCGTAATGACTGTCTTGTCGGGTCGGAGGATGAGCTTGGTCTTGTCCTGGTTGACATGCAGGGCGCGCAGAATCAGGATCAGACGCGAGAAAGCCGTGTACGAGGAGATAGTCTTCAACCACTCGTCGTACAAGTTGAAAAGCACCATCTGCGGTTCCGTCGCCCTGAGAATCATGTCACCAAGCTTCTCAACCTTCATCGCGGCCTGGAAAGGAAGTTGCAGCTCCGAGGCACGGATGGAGATGTTGGGGAAGTCGAGCAGATGGACTTCGAGGGGATCGAGAAGACCCTTGCGAGTGACGATCAGCTGCTTGGGTTGCTCTTCGACAGGAAGCGAGCGGATCAAAGCAGCCACTTCTTCTGCCGTCTTCCACTTGGCCAGCTGTCCAAGACGTTTCTGACCAGCCCAGACACTTGTGTGAATGATCTTCAGGAACAGCTGGCCAGTGCGAGGGTTGAAAATGAAGATGGCGCCGTTGATTGGCTTGGTTGTCAAGTTACCCTCGAACGTCTTGTGGATGGTAACACGGTAGACGTTGGTGTCATCGATGAAGAGCTGCACTTGGTTGCTGAAGAGCTCCGAGTAGTTCTGAGAGTTGAGGAACTCCTGGTTGCTCTCAGAAGCATACAACTGCAGACCCTTGCGGATACGCTCGCGCAAAACGTATAAAGCAGGGTTGGCCTTCATGATCTTCGCCATGGCCTGCTGGACGAGCTGCTTGAGACCAGGGAAATACTGTCCGTATGCAGAGTAGAGGTTGTAGGCCAGATCGATACCGATCATGAGACCGGTGGCGGACGGGTAGATGGACATGCTGTCAGTCGTGTAGTCGAGGTACTTGGCACGCACGTAGCGCTCAATGTCGTGCGAGTCGTAGTCGCCGTAGCGCAACTGCACGTCGATCCAGAACTTGTTCGTCGTCGTGGCGGTCATGGTGTCCTTGGTATCGTAGAGGAGCGATGGGGGTGAAACGCTCCACTTGTGGCTGGCAAAAAGAAGGATATCGGCGCAAGAACTGTTCATCTTGTACGACTTTCTAGGATGAATCGTCTCCTTCTGTACCGTTTCGATGCCAAGCGCCTCGAGTTCCTGGTCAAAGACTTGACACAAGTCCATCACAACAGACTCGTGAATCTTCTGCCACAAGTGGGCACGGAAGATCTGAATGAGGGAAATCTTCAAGGTCGGGATCTTGCCGTGCAGGAAAATACCCGTCAAGTCAAGCTGGACCTGGAAACCAACATAGACGTTGGCACGGTTGATGGTAGGCGACCACCAAAGGGTGAAACGACGGTTAGGAATTTGATTCAAACCGGAACGTTGAGCGTTGGTGAGCTTCTTGAACTTCATGCTCTCTTCGAAACCGCTAGCCTTCTCCCAAAAGAGACCCTCCCAGGACGGGAAAGCAGTGGCCTTGAACAAGGTGTGCTCCAAGATGGTTTCGACACCACCAAGGGCCTGGATGACATCGGTACGGTAGGCGTTGAGGTTCCACAGCTTACCATCGTGGCGCTGGCTCGTCCACCAGAACGGGTTGCTCTTCATGTGCTGGTAGATCTTGAACTCGGTACGAGCGCGGAATCCCTTGTCGAAGCTAAGGGTGCTGCGGTCCTTCTGGAACAGAGTGTTGATACGAGGCAAACCACGATCCCAGCTATCCTCAAGATCCTCGAGCGTCAGACGGCGGTTCTGCTGGTTGGCCTCCATGCGCTTCTGGGAGTACTCCGTCCACACACGCTGGGAATCAATGAACTCGGCCTCCCACGGAATGATATAACGGAAGATGTTCGGGATCAGAGTCTCCTCATCGTGAGACATACCAGCACGGTAATGGGTGACTCCAGTATCCGTCTGCTTGGACCAGCGCTTGTCACTGGCGGGGATGAGAATGTGCGATCCAGAGATCATACCAAGACCACCCAACTCCTTTGGTGTGTAGAAAACAGCCGGCGGGAAACGCGAAGGCATCTTGGAGTTAAGGCCGATCTTGACACGAGTCTGAATCTTCGTCTCGCACTTCACAATCGTGTCCAGCAAGTTGACAGTCGACGCAGCAGCTTCACGGTAGTAGGTGAAGAGAGCAATCAAAGCCGTGTTCCACTTGTTGGCGATCTTCGTGAAAGTGGTCGAACCAGAGGACATCAGAATCTGTCTGATGCGGTTGTTGAACTTCTGAATGTCCTCCTCAGTCACCTGCAAGAACGCGTGGGCTGTTCTTTCCTTGGTGGTGTTGTCAACCAGTGACCAAACACTATCCTTGACAGGGAACTCGTCGTTCTGGTTGCGAATCTTCGGCAGGATGCGGACCTCGAAACCACACATAGAGAAAAGGAGGTTAGGGTTGTCCCTGCTGTACACGCTTGCGAACGTGTCATCCCAATCGATAGTCGTCACGGAACGAGGCAGGCGGTTCTTCAAGTCCCAGAACACAGCGCGACCGAGATTGACATCATGACGCATCAGACGCATGCGAGAGTCTCGGGGCCAGCACTTCTTGTTCTTGTAACCAATGACGTTCTCGAAATTGGGATCCGGTTGCTCCGTGAGGAAGCGCTGGATCAGGTCACGCGATTCGTCAGCATCGAACCTGAAGAACACCCAGATCTTGTCAATGTAGCGGGTGTACAGCCTGATGGGATGCTTGCTCTCGGTGGCCCTGTCCCGGAATTGCAGGAAGTCGTTGGGAGCGCCAGGAGGACCGGCAAGCTCACTTGCCCTCTGCAGACCGAGCAATAGCAGATCAAGCATGAGACCGTAGTACTGGAAGACGAAAGCCGAGAATTGAAGACCCCGAATCATGCCGTAGCTATTGGTATGATTCATATCCTTGTAGTTGAGCTGGACGTTGTTCTTGGAGGTGATGTAGTCTGCCAAGTTGTGGTCCATGATGAGGCGAAGGAGGCGGTTAAGCAGGGTAAGATCAATCTTCTCGTAGACCTTCGACAGTTTGGTCTCAATCATGACATTGCATTCGCCCTCCTGGTATTCCCAGACTTTATCAAGGTTGTTGATACCTTGAGCCCACTTGTATACAAGCAAAGGAGGGACTTCCGAATCAGAGGGTTTGATCCACGACGGGAACAGGTGGCGCTGGTCAGCCTGGTACCAGAGATATTGGTCGAGATAAGCATCGGTGATCTTCTCGATAGGCTCGATGTCGTAGACCGGATTGATGTCGCTGTAGTTGTCGTTCATATCAATACCAACCTCCTTGAAAGCACGCTGGGTTAGCAAGAAACGCTTGATTCTTGCGAGCGTGGTACCAGGAGAGTCGTAGGCTTGCTCAATGAGCGCCAGCTCCTCTCTCTGGCTCTGATTCAGACGACCTTTGACGGAGTATGCCTCACGTAAACGCTCGAGCGCTAAAATGAGGATCTTTGTGTCATGCTTGTAAGACACACTGGGGAATGGTATTGGCTGGAACTTTCTTGACTCGAGCCAGTGGACCATGGTCGTGTAGATGGCGACGGCCTCTTCGGATGAAACGTAAGGACCGTCTTTCATGTAGTTGTGCTGCCTTTCCTGCTCCGCCTTGAGCCACAGACGAGTGAGGCGGCCCAAGTTCTTCTTCGCAACTGTCTTGTCTACCGTAGCACCTCTCCGAATTCTCTCACGGTTGTAGTGCGCCACCGAGACCCACCAGTCAGCCTTGCTCTTGACGTAACGCAGAATGATGTTCTCGATAGGAGCGGGCAGACCAGGCACCTTCCAGGGGATGTTACTCTTCCAGCATCTCCAGGCTTCAGATAAGTGCTGCAAGACGGTGTTGACCTTGTTCTGCTTGATACCCTCGGGCATCATGTCCATGAGATCAGCCATGACGGAGGCGCGCAGCTCCAGATCGAAGTGAGATTCGACGCGCTGCTTCGTGACAGTCTTTGCAACACCCTTGCTGTGGCGACCTTCGAATTGACGAGACAACAAGTTACCAAGCCAGCGCTCGAGAAGAGGAATGATACCCCTCATGAAGAAAAGCCAGACGCGCCATGCAGGGGCCCAGAAACCGCAACCAGGACCCTTACCAACCGGGCCAGAGTTGAACCTGTAGTAGATCAAGTGCTTGAGATCCTTGCAGGTACGGATCTGGTGCATGAGCTTGTACTTGTATCTGTACATACCCGTCAGCTGGCCGACATGGTTGAACGCGTACAAGATACCATCCGCCAGTTGAAAAGCATCGATGTTTCCGAGACGGTATTGCACCTGAGCATCGACGATGAGTTTGGTCAAGCGGAGGATTTCACGCATCAGATGGAACGCGTTTCCGAAGCGAGACTTCTTGCGCTCCTTGGTTGTCAGAGTCTTGATGGGCTTGAGGTTGAAGTTATAGTCGAGATGGAGGTAAGTGAGGTTCTTGCGATGAATGAGAAGGTTCAACATGTTGAAACCTTGCCTGCAGACCTGAAGACCAGCTTCAACCCAGTCAATGGTGGTCTGCTGGAAGAACTTGGTCGTCTTTAGTGATTTCATGAGATTCTGACTGTTCAAAGCCTTCGGCGGCTTCTTGTGGAGCTCGTTCAAGACGTATGTCTTGAGCAGCTTCTGGTAAGAAACGCGGACCTTGACCGGCTGCCCTTGCGGAACATGTTCAAGATACCACTGCTTTACCAGAGGCACATCTTGAGCGCGAACCATACGTCCAGACCGACGGTCGAAGGGGAAAGGCGCCCACCACAGTGCAATGGCAGACGCAGTGTCCTCTGTGTACAGCTCCTGGTCGCCCAAAAACGGCTCGACCTCGCCAGGGAGCTCAAAATCGTCCTCATCGTCGTCTCCGAAGATTTCGTCCTCATGCGGAACGTCGATGTTCTTGGGTGCCACGGCGCGGGAAGAAATGGGGTTAATTACAGGATCGAAGTAGAAGGCAGGTAGACTGGGATCCTCGGCGCGGACGTAAACGGCCTGAGGATAGGAATACCAAGAAACTTTCACGCTCCTTGGTAGAGAGTTATAAAGGAAAGGGAAGGCGACGCGGTATTCGGTGCGGATGGGGGCGCGGAAAATGATACGATCAATGGCGTTGAACTCCCCAAAGTCCTCGTCATTGGGGTCAATGTCCTTGTAGAGCGGCTCGAACCTAGGACCGCCAGGAATCGCCACATTCAGGGCTTTGGCGGTCAGGAAACTGTTCTGGTCGAACAGGTAGAAGTAGTTCTTGTCGACGACATCGCTCAATAGCTGATGGCTGAGACGATAAAGGGTAGCCATCTGAGGAAGACTCAAGTTCCATGTTTTGTAGCTCGGTCCGTTCACATGCGGGGTATCCAGGAGTGGCCTGTGATCGTAAAACCATTCGTAAACGGGAGCATCCTCACTCTCATCAAGTTCCATCTGGATGGGCTCCAGGGGCTCGACATCCTCGATGTTCTCGGACCACGAAAGCGGGGGCTCCTCATCATCAAAGGGCGGGAACCTCATTCTCTTGAAATGTCTCCGATCGCTCTTCTCTCGACGCATGCTCACCCACATCGTTGCCCACTGCGCATGGAACACGGGCTCGATGACCCGCGGAATCTCGTTGACCAGGGTCAGGCAGCCGTTGACGTGGTAGAGCACCTTCACCTCGCGTGTGCTTTCCCACGGCATGGGCATGTTCTCTAGCAGCTTCAGCACGGCGTGCGGCATGAACTTGAGGGCACCCAAGTAACTCCGCTTGTCACTGCTGAACTTCTTCTGGGAGACATCGCCGATGTCCTTGACGATCTTTCGCAAGTGCTCCGGTGGCATATCCGCCTTCTGCGTTTCCACGAAGCCACCCTTCCGCTTCTCCCCAAATCTTTGCCTCTGCATCCGAAGCCATTCCTTCTTCTTCTGTGCGAACTTCGCCACTTGCGGGTCGGCAGGCGGGCGATAACCTGGGGGTGGCGGCGCGGACATGCCTGGGGGTGCGCCAGGCGGGGGAGGAGCCGACCAACCCGGCGGCGGCGGCGGCGGAGGAATCGACATGGCGATTGTGGAGCTCGATGCGCGCAGGATGTAAAAGTGGTGGTGCGGAGTTCGACGACGGATGTGGAGGTGGGTAGTAGGCACCCCAAGCTCGGTCGCCCGAGGCGGTCGTCGACGCCGCAGACGCGGTCCTCAAATAGCGCGTGATTGGCTCTGGGGAGGGCGATGCACGTGTGTTGGGGTTGCACGCGACCCTCACACACCGGTGATGGGGTTTGAATTGAGATGCGGCGACGCGTCTGGGGTGGCGTGGGCGTGTAGCTGCGCTGCGACTTGGAGATTTTCCGCCGATGATGCGTGCACGGCCCACGTAAAGTCTTGGCGCCGGCGTCGGAAAAACTAGGCGAGGCTCGCACGCAGCGTCCTGGCGTTTTGGAAAACCACGCGAAAGCCGGCACACCGCGACAACGACGACTAACGACACCCCCGCGCATCACAGCCCGCAATACCGACAAGATGCCGTCCAACAGGTTGACCTACGTATGTGCACCCCTTCGCACTCGAGTTTCCTTTTCGCCTAGATGTGATGCTGACAATTTTTCTGCTTGCAGCGCCGCCGCACCCCGTAAGTCCTCTGCGCATCCATCACGACCGAAAATTCCTCGCTTCGCCCTACCACCACCGTTCGAACGACCGCGACTGACGGAATTGATGCAGCTACAACACCCGGTCCAACAAGGTCCGCGTTGTTAAGACCCCCGGCGGTCAGCTCCGCTACCTTCACCTCAAGAAGAAGGGCACTGCTCCCAAGTGCGGTGACTGCGGCTCCAAGCTCGCGGGTGTAAGTCGAGCGCCCATCCCTACCTGCACATGGGAGTTCCGGGCGATTTGATGCAAAAGACGGACGATGGCGGTTATTTGCGATGGGATGGCCACGGATATGCTTTTCAAGGCGACCGGAGATGACATCGCCCGCCTCAGCGCACAGAATCGCCCGGCCCCGGTGCTTGGAACAAGTCTGTTCGACGCGGATACTAATTGTCCCAACAGGTCCCTGCTCTCCGCCCCCACGAGTACGCTACCGTGTCTCGCCCCAAGAAGACCGTCCAGCGTGCCTACGGTGGCTCGCGGTGCGCCAACTGCGTCAAGGACCGCGTTGTCCGTGCCTTCCTGATCGAGGAGCAGAAGATCGTCAAGAAGGTCCTCAAGGAGTCCCAGCAGAAGAAGCGTTAAATGGGCAGCCTGAAGGGTTGAGGGGGGAACTATACATTAGCGGTCGGAGTCAGCGGATGCGTATTCAAAACCGGGATGGGCTTCTACGGCTTTTTGGCGCAAGAACATTGTGCCTGACATCGGTTCGTCGCTCAATGGGAGGTAACGATCGGACTGGTTGCACGAATAAAAAAGAAATCTCCCAAAGGTTTTCCGCTTGTACTCCGACTCTCGCGGCACTTCTACGATACCTTTTGTTGTCAATCATGGTGTTTCAGGTGGTCACCAACTCTTTCACTTGGTCCTTTTGCCACCAATTACAGCAACCATCTTCTGGAAGCCCGCAACGAAACTATGCAGCTCAGGTGCCAAGTGCTGAGAATGCCTGAATCGCTAACCTAAGACAACATCTCTCAGCTCTGCGAGTTTGTCCCACTGCAACATCAAGCCACTTTCCAATGTGCATGCAAGTTTTCAAATGCAGTCCTCGCTTTTGCCATGTTTTCCATGTGAGAAACATGATTAGTCAGACCAGCAGTGTGCCTAATTGTCAGCTTCAGAATACTCTTGGAGCTTTATGTCTTTGCAAATCTGACGTGCATGGGATAAGCTTGGCAATAGTGCAAAACGAGCAGGATGGGCAGGCTCGGATGGGACGCAACCACCTGCTTCAGCCCGCCCAGTATCCACCAGATTTAGATGCATGCACTTAGCCGCGCTGCGCTCGTTTGAAGTGCTTGTGAGACATACAAACAACATATTGTGCAATCCTAGCTGTTCCATCGGATGGCGAAACACTGGGAAGCGCCGCGGCAGCAACAATCACCTGTGCCGCAAAGCAGCGCGCGCCTCCTGCTACGCGCATCTGGGGGCCAATTGGGGCTGATCGGACAATCGGGCGACTACCGCGCTTATTCTTCACGGACGAAAGACCAGCAACAAACGCCTGGTCTTTCAGCCTTGCGCCAGGCAGAAATGGATGCAACATGGTGCATATCCACATGCGAATCAGCATAAAGCCGGCAGCCCGTCCGTAGCCGGTATCAGCCTCGCAAGGCTGGGCGTTTTTTTAAAAACCCAAAAACCTGCCTTGGCCCCTCCCAGTGGTAGCCTCACTTCAGCCTGATCCTTCCTCGTTTATGCGTGCCGCCGCTCGATGGCGGCGTTTCACGGTTCCAGTAAGGTCGTTGACCATCTGAAGGGTGTTCGTGATTTGTCTTGGAAGCAATCGCAGGCTTGTGAGTCTCCGCCAATGTCTGGAGATGGCCATCAGCTAACCACACGTTGATAGGCGGTAGTGCGGGGCCCCGCTTCAATGACATACGGACCGATCGTAGGTCAATCAAATCCTATAGCTCGTTCCGTTAGTGACCCGAATTGTACTAACCCACTTCGTGTAGTTCGCGGCCTGTACTGCGACCTCCAAGACCTCGAGGAAGAGCTTACCGATCCAAAGACCTTCTTCAAACGCTGCGACCATCATACTGAAGTCGAACTTCGCGAGTTGCTCGAAGAGTGTGTGGAAGACCTCCGTGAAATCGAGGACTTCATCAATGCTCTCCCATCACAGAAGCGTACTTCGATCCAAACCTTGGATGGGGAAGTGTCGGAACTGCAGAAGAAGATATGCGATCGTAGGAACTCCTTCCAGGACTTTCAGGAGCAGGCAACCACGACAGCGTTGGAGACCATGAAGGCCCAGCTTTACACACTGGTGGACGATATCCTTTCTAAGCGAAGGCCGCCGTTCATTCTGACCAAAGTTGTCGACTGGGACGCTCTCGCTGATGAACTTCAACATCCCGTCCTTGTGGGGCGGGATATGCTAGAGTTCGATGATGGCGATGCTCACTCTGATGATTACGGGGTCATTGAACTCCCAGACTCTCCCGCAGCAGGGTCTCCAGATCCTCCTGACGATGTCACCAACAACGACGAAACACCACGCTCCAGAAAGACTCGCAACCTTCAGCCTACAGTGGAGGACTACGTGGAAGGTGAAGACGATGTCTTTTACTCGCCGGCCACCATCCACACGTCCCCTCGTAGCTCGGTCGCTGGGGTGGACATGGATACACTTTCGACGTCCATAGATCTTCCAGAGAACACACATGGACAGAATCCAGATGGCGCAACAGAATATGATCCTCTGGCTGATCCCAAGAGAAAGCCCCGGAGGGTTGACACGGAGATGGTACTGATGCAGGAACAAAAGAGCACTATCCAAGAAGAGATTCGAAAACTGAAGGAGGAAGCTGAGATTCTCGAAGAGCAAAAGCGGATCTGGGAAGCGGAGCAGAAAAGGCGAGAGGAGATTCAGAAATTGTGAGTATCTCGCAAAACCCTTCGTATCCCGCATCTGCTTACTTCAGCCAATAAGCCGTGAGTTCTGCTCTGGTTTTCCCAAAGAGGCGGAAGAGGATATTCTGGCCGAATGTTGGCGCATTCCATCCAGTAGCTTCAAGAAGGTAACCTACTTTGCCATGCCGAGCGGCACGTTATACAGCGCTGGCACGGTGCAACGCCGCAGCTCAGTTCCACCTACGCCGCCTCTTCAGAACGCATTCCGCCGTGACTCATACGCGGCGAATGGGGGAAGTGGCAGGGGCTCGATAAGCGAAAATGCTACCATGGCGTCTCCAGATCGAAGAAGTTCTATCTTTGGGGGCTTTGGGGGCTTTTCAAGAGGGGATGCCTCGCTCGATCCTTACTCGAGGCAGAAGCCAGTAGAAAGCGGCCTTGGGATCGGGACCGTAGGAAGCCGCCCCACAAGGTGGGACGAGGATATTTCAGCCAGCCCGAGGGAGATGTCACCACTTTCCGGCGAACGAACACCGACCCCTTCACAACCACGGCCGCCGCCAATCTCAACATCGGGTTCTCCGCCGGTGACTCCGAGACGAGCAGACATTGTTCGACAGCCAATTGAAGTCTCGCTGGAGGAAGTGTTCAATGGTACGCAACGCAGAGTCAGCATCGAGAGAGAAATATTTGACCGGCGGACCGGTACCACCAGGATGGAAGTGAAGGACCTCACCATTCCTATTAAAAAAGGTCTTAAAGCCGGGAGTAAAATCAAGTTCTTTGGTGTGGGTAACCAAGGGCCTGACGGCGTGCCCCAGGATATATGGTTCATTATTCAAGATGTGAGTGATCTATCACTATTCACAGACCTAATAATTTATTAAAATGCGTTGCTGACCCAATCAACATTCAGAAAGCCCATCATCTATTCCAACGTGATGGCTCGAACTTGCATACCACGATTGCAATCTCTCTTGCTGAGTCTATTGTCGGGTGGCGCAAGGAAGTCAGAACCATATGCGGTAGGGTCTTTAAGGTGAAGGGCCCGAAGAACACACCAGACGGATGGAAGAAGATCTTCCATGATTTCGGTCTGCCGAGATCAATTGATCCATCCACAAGAGGCGATCTCATCGTCGAAGTTGAGATTCAAGGAGCGGATCATCCCGGAGTAGCTTAAAGCGACATCCTCCACTGGTTGTTCTCCTTATTCTTCTTCTTTTTTGTATTGCTTAGTACATTGGCCGAGGTTACATACAACAATGTTCTAATGGTTTACCAATCCTTCCAGCAGCCACATACCGCACTGTAAGGGGCCAGAGCATCAAGGGATTGCCTAATGACTGTGTGATTATACGCAAGCTTATACATATGACGTAATACAAAACGTAGACACGCCTTTAGCAGAAGCAAGCCATGAAGGTTTTATGACGTACGTGCGTAGCTAGCCCCACATCTTCGCTTACTGATATGCCGCTTCAGGAAAGCCTGAGACAACAACATCTTACGTTCCCTTGGCACCACAACCTTTCCAACGATCTCTTCTACACGAGCTGTTAGCACCAGTCAGGGGTGCCGGTGCAAACACCGAAGTTATGAAATAAGGCAACGGGTGTAAACCTAGTTTATATCCGTTCGGCTAGCGTAGTTACCGCGTTCCGAGTTCTACTACTCTCTAAAGATATTTAGCCCCACTACTCTATTAATAATCGTCGGGAGTGCAAGCGGTCTGGATAATATATAGTCGCCTAAGTGGCTGTCATAGAGTATTCGAGGACTGATCATGAACCACCATAATCCAGCCATCATGAAGGAAGTATTTGTACACCCTGGAACTAAGGTTGAGATCGTCGACTCTCCCATCCCTACACCCAATGACGACCAAGTCCTCATCAAAGTCATCGTTTCAGGGAGTAACCCTAAAGATTGGAAATTACCTGAGTGGACGAAGCAGCCCCGAAATGAAGGTGATGACATTGCGGGCATCGTCGAGAAGGTCGGCGCCAATGTGACCGAGTTCAAGCCCGGAGACCGCGTAGCTGCTTTCCACGAAATGATGCAGCCGCACGGCAGCTACGCTGAATACGCCATTGCCTGGGCTCATACAACTTTTCATATTCCTAAAAGCACAACTTTTGAAGGTAAGCAAAGAAAAAATGACTTTGAAGCAGACGCACCAAAGACACCATTGTCCCCGCTACTCCAGGCATTGCCACCGCTTACACTGAGCACCACAGAGGCCGCCGCAATCCCGCTCGCCGCAATGACGGCCGCAGTCGGACTGTACCTGCGCCTAGGACTCCCCGAGCCATGGCAGCAGCCCGCAACGCCTCCGCCGACGCCCCTGGTCATCTACGGCGCCGCATCGGCCGTGGGATCGTACGCGGTGCAGCTGGCGTCGCGGTCGAACATCCACCCGCTCATCTGCGTCGCGGGGCGGGGCGCGGCGCACGTCGAGGCGCTGATCGACCGGTCCAAGGGCGACACCATCGTCGACTACCGGCAGGGCGGCGACGCCGTGGTCGAGGGCATCAAGGCCGCGCTGCCCGCGGGTGGTGCGCAGCAGCTGCTGCACGCGTACGACGCCGTGTCCGACCACGGCAGCTACATCCAGCTCGGCAATGTGCTTGCGCCGGGCGGGAAGATTACTCTCGTGCTGCCCGGCAAGCAGCACGACGCCAATATGCCTGCACACGTCGTGCAGACCACCACCAGTGTTGGCGCCGTGCACGACGATGCCAAGGACTTCGGCTTCGTGTGGTTCAGGCTGTTCGCGAGGGGCCTAAAGGAGGGCTGGTTCAAGCCCCAGCCGCAGGAGGTCGTGCCTGGTGGCTTAGCCGGCGTGCAGACGGCTTTGGAGAACTTGAGGGATGGGAAGGCAAGTGCGGTCAAGTATGTCTTCAGGATTGCAGACACGGTGGGAGCTGGAGAATCATAAGTGAAACTATCAATGGCAAGAGACTGCCCATCATGCAAGCACAAGAATGCACACGAGAAAACGTCCATTATATCACCACCCAAAAGAGTTATTTGAAATGCCCCACACCTGTTTAGAATGGTTTTTGCGTGACTTCATCAACCCATACAACTCAGCACTATGTCGTTCAGATCCGATATCTGAATCGAGCCGGCGAGTTATCTTTTAATATTACAAATGTATAAATATGTCGTATCCATCATCTTCATCGACGTAAATGAGCGTAAACATCCATGTTGTGAAGGTCTTCCGGCATCAAGACCTGGCCCACAAAACCGCGTGAACGCCAAAACATGTGAAGTTCGCTGCCATGAGAATCGGTACCGACAAGGACAGTAGGTGCCATCGATCTGACCGGTTCAATTGCGCAGCTTTCGGTACCGTGGCCGTATCGAGGATAAGGCGCGGTGAGTTAGGACACAAAGGCGGCCTCGCGAGGATCGACGGGGAGTTTCTTTGATTCGCAGGTGAAGTAATTGTTCATCTGATGTGACGGCCTTTGTCAACAGACAATTGACAAAGCGGGCTATGGAGATGAACACTTACCACCGAAATGAATCATCGACGACTGACCCGAAGGCTCGCGGTTCAGTTTCTCGAGTGAATGGTTTAGATGGAAACCGTATCCCATCTGCAGGTCTGTTGCCTGAGCCTGCGAGTGTCTGATATGGCGCAGGCGCTTTATGAGCCACATTGTCCAATTTCTTGGTGAAAGAAAATGTGAATTGTTGATATCCGAATGATGTGTATCAAGTTCACCGCTGATCCGATGCCGATGCGAACGATTAGGGAAATAAATACAGCAATGTATTATTAACATGCCACATGAAGATATTGCAGTGGACAATGGGCTGAATGTGTCCTTGCTGAACTGGTCGGCTCACTTGCGTTTGAGAGGAAAGCATAGAAATGTTGAGCCGCAGTCCACCGGTCGAGAAGTGGCGCCATCTCGAGAATCGAGTTGCCCATAGCTTAACGACGAATGACAAAAAGTGGCGACATCAAGTGGCTCACTTGGGACACTCAAAACCAAAAGAGGACAAAGCAGCATTAGGGGCTAAAAGTATACGTAAACAGTACAAAGCATCGAGGCATTCGGCCGGTCTCTACAGGGCGCTTTATTTTGCACGGCAATTGCAACACCAATGAACTAACAAAAATGCACGTTTCAGTGTGTGCATTTGACTTTAGAGATGGCCAGTCTAATGACGGCAAGGGGCTCATTTCATGCCTTGCGTTAGCGCGAGCGACGAGAAGTTAGCTTTGCGGAGTCGAGAACACGCAGATCGAACGCTGGACATTGAAAGCTCTAAGCGCTTGTTGTTGACGCGTGTCGTCCAAGGCTGCGGCGGTTCGACACGGGAGCAATATTTCGTTTCAGGTATGGCGCTAAGCAGGCAGACATGATGATGGCGAGACGGCGACACAGGAACTTGTGATGGGGCGGACTGGAGGGTAGAAGTCGTATGTCCACGCCACGACACTTGGCCGCAGAGGCCAAGCTGACAAAGACCGAAGCTAAGAAGGCGGTGAACACGTGTCTCGGTGCAGCAGTGGCCAGCAGCACCTCTCGAAACAGCGACGACGCATCTCGTGAGAAAATATTCGCCGGTGAGGACGCCAAGGTAGCGGATGTTTTGCGACTAGACACCAAGAGTTCTTTGGTAGCACATAACGACCAGTCGGCAGCATCGCGACATTAGTGCCCGAAGCGGGCCGTTTCGAGCCATGATAGGCCAAAGCGGCGCGTGGTGTTTCCCGGCGGATGCAGTTGTAGCCGGAGAACAGAAACGCGGGATGCTGCGCCGGGACGTGGCTGAATCCCTCGGGCGCGGGAAGGCTTCGCGGACCGATTTGGAGTATTTCGAGAAAGCCGCCGGTCAGTTCTGCCTAACATCCTGGGAGCGTGCGATTATAGGTCGTACCAGCGCTTGTTGTGTCCGGATCTCTTCTCCATCAGGATCGGAGAGCATCACGAAAACCCGTTAGTGGGGAGCTTCATCTCCGTAGGCGCTCACACGGAAGCCGGGGTACGCCAGATATGTATTTTCGAAGACGGCGGCTCTCAACTCAAAATTTGAATGAAAAGGGCGGCGTCACGTCTCGCGTGACACGATCGCCACCGGGGATGCTGGTACTGGCGCGTAGGTATATTGAGGCGGACTGTGCCGCAGCGAGACGCTCGCGCAACGTGGGACAGGCTCTTTGCGAAGCATCTGTGTCAATCGGACGCGAGTAGATGGCGGCCTGAGGCGCGCTGGATCGGCGGCGGTAGCAACGGCGACGATGACGTTTCGAGGATGCGTGAAGCACGGCCCGTCGCAGTGCTTGCTGATCTGCGACGATGCCAGAAGAAGTGTGGTGGGCGTTGGCGCACGGCGGGTTTGACAGGCGGCGAAGGGAGGAAGAAGAGTTGGAGATAGATAGGCCTCGGCTGCGATCCACCGTGGGTGCCGACTGCGGCCCGCGGCGCTGACAGCCAATCGAGCCCGCAGCCGCGCCGGCCAACTGAAACACCGAAGCGCTGGCTTCTCTCGACGACATGGCAGAATCCCATTCCCACGCGTGCCCGAGCCTTCTCACACACCTGACACACACTCCCCGAGGTCTCGAGTCTTGCCGTGTCCGTGACCCACCGCCGCATGCGTTGGGCGAGCGACGAGAGCCACTCGCCGCCCGCGCCGCGCTGCTTCCCGCGGCCCTCGAGAAAACACCGCCTCGCTTCGCGCAGAAACGCCATCGTTTTGTGTCGCCTGTGCATGTCGTGCAGCCAACGGCGATCCACCACCGTGCTCACCACCATGATTTCCACTGGCTGGCGATCCGGGGTGATCCTGTGCGCAGCCCAAGCTTCATCGGGGCCTCCTAGGCTTGCTGGGGGAACTTCCCGAGAGCGCGCGCGTGGCTGTTGTGAGCCAACCGGGCGCATGCGAGTCCCGGCCAGCCCTATTGCGGCTGTCTCATCTTGTGTGGAGAATAAAGACGCCTTCTCAGATCTCGGTTACGGTTTCGTGGTTGGGCCGCTGCCCTAATCTATTGGCTGTCGTGTGCTACCCTCTCCTGTTCCAGCCACGGCGCGGGTCTACTGTGTTTGTTTAGGCGGTCTGTCTTTGTTCACTCTTAAGTCGTGCTCGTCTTTCCCATTGTTCGTGCCTCCAGCCCTTGCTCGATTTCACAAGCGACCATTCCAAAGAGCCGCAACAATGGCTGCTTAATCCTGACAATGGTCTTCTTTAACTTTCCTATTGTCCTATTTCACTAAGTCGTGCCGGCCTCGACCCTACTTAACCCATTTCTACTTCACATTTTTGGGCCTGTTTCCTTTCTTCCAAATTTTTCCTAACGAACCAACGCTGTCACGCATTCGACCCACGCCCGAATCTTGCAGGTACAAGATTTCAACACCAACACCGTTCCGAGTATCGCATACATATCATATCCTACGACTCAACACCGCGCTCCGACCACGATGAACAACATCTTCGGCGTCCTCATCGCCGCGCTCCTGCTCACGCAGGCCGCGGCTCACACCTGGATTGAGCAGCTCTCGGTCATCAAGAACGGCACCTTCACCGGCAACTATGGCTACCCCCGTAGCTACCTAGCTCGCACTGACCCCGGCTTCAACGGCGGCGCCAGCTCTCAGTGGCTGCTCCCTCCCCTCGACTCCGGCAGGATCCGCGTCAACTCCGACGACAACCTCTGCCGCAAGGAGCAGCAAACTCAGACCCAATCCGAGAAGTGGCCTCGCCTCAGCGTCGCGCCCGGTAACTTTGTTGCCATGAAGTACGCCGAGAATGGCCATGTCACCCTGCCGGACAACCAGAAGGGTAAGCCCGAGAAGGGTGGTACCGTCTTCGTCTACGGAACTACTGAGCCCAAGGAGGACGAGAAGCTCATGACTGTGATCGAGTGGACCAAGGACGGCACCGGCGGCGATAAGCGCGGAAAGTTGCTTGCGACCAACAACTACGACGATGGCCGCTGCTACCAGATCAACTCGAGCCCCATCTCCACAAAGCGCCAGAAGGAGTTTCCCGACCCAACCCCCGGCCAACCTGACTCCGTCAACGAGCAGTACTGCGAAACCGACGTGCAGATTCCCGAGGATGAGGAGGCCGGCAAGGTTTACACTCTCTACTGGGTGTGGCAATGGCCTACTGCCGCGGGCGAGGACCCGACATACCCTGACGGCAAGGATGAGTGGTATACTACTTGCTCTGACGTCGAGCTCACCAGCCCCAATAGTCTTCAGAGCTTCGCCGCCGGGAGCGCGCAGCAACAGTACAAGCTGGAACAGCAGGATCCTCAGAGCAAAGCTGTCTCTGATTACAGTGACCGCTCTGCGCTGACCACCGATCCTGCCCAGGGAATGGCTTCTGCCTCGAGCGCCTCTAGTGCTGCCTCGGGCGCTGCGACCACTCCTGCCTTGACTCCAAGCTCGTCGGCTACCAGCGCTGCCACGCCTCCCGCCGGCGGTAGCATTGATTCCGATCTCGAGACCGTCTACGTGACCATCACTGCTACGCCTTCCACTAAGAGCATGGTTACTCAGATGGTCACGGTGACGGGACCTGTTCCACTCGTCACCCAGTACATAACCAGCACCATCTCGCTTGATGCTCGTGGTGCTTCTCGCCGGTCCAAGCTCCAGGCTGGGCCCGAGCGCCGCTCTGTCCACCACCGCCGAGGCGCTGTCAAGGCTGCCAGCGACGAGAAAGAGGAGGAGCAGACAGCGCCGATTGGCTTCATAGGCACCGAGGGAATCGTCACCCGCCAGGCTGCCACCGGTGCTGCCCCTTCAATGATGGCTGCGCCGTCGCTGATGATGACAATGATGATGCTCTTCACGATTGCCTACGCCTTTGCGTAGATGCCGGAACGATTCACGACTGATTGCATAGCGATGGAGTACATGACCATTCTCTTCTCTTCTTCTTCTCTTCTTCTGTAACTTGTTTTTTTCATCGTCACTCGTTTTCAGAGGGGCCTACCACTGGCCTGGGCGTCGCCCTTCTGACCACCCTTTCGCTGGCGACATTTTATTGGGTGGCTAGCTGCATTCGGCTTCTTTTCGCTGCAAATCACTATAGAAACGAGTCACCGCAAGGCAACATTGGAGGGTAATGTACACGCGAAGGTACATACGGCGCCCTGGACGGGCCGGAGATACCCTGGACATAGGTATGGCTACGGTCTAGAAATAGAAAATGAAATTCATTGATGAAGAAAACGAAGTGTGCTGTGCGACGTGGGCAGGGGGGCAACGCGTTGCGATGACGCTGGCGGCTCCACGGCTGCAGCCCGACGTGTTCAGGGTCCGGGCGATAGGGCGGTGAACGCAGGCGCCTCACACTACAGCCAATCAGGACCGGAGCCGGCTTATGTCAGCCGCGCTAGTCCTGAAGAAGCGCAAAAGTAAACACACAACAGCCGGTCCGGCAGCAAGAGCGACTCCCGGGGCTGCGTCAAATCCGGGGCTCAACCTGACGACTGCGAGCGACCTCCGGACAGCGCCTGCGCCTGCGAGCTGCACACCACCACGCCGCTCCAGCACCCCACACTATGGCCGACGGCGAATCCTCCATCTCTGTCGCCGTCCGCGTGCGGCCCTTCACCATCCGCGAGGCCGCACAGCTTGTGAAGAACGACGATGGCCCCATTTTCCTCGGCGACGGCTCCCTAGCTGCTGCGCCCACCCCCAAGCTCCATGCCAAAGGCCTACGTTCCGTCATTAGAGTCATTGACGACCGCTGCCTGTAAGTTGCCGCAACCCCTGTGCCCGCTCGTTTATGGCGCGATCTGCAATCGCTCACCACCAGCTGCACAGAGTCTTCGACCCGCCCGAGAGCAACCCGATATCCCGCTTCTCCCGCAGCGTTGTGCCGAACAGCAAGAAGACAAAGGACCAGACGTTCGCCTTCGACAAAGTCTTCGACGACAACACCACCCAAGGCGACGTCTACGAAGGCACCACCAAGCCTCTTCTTGACAATGTGCTGGAGGGTTACAATGCCACCGTTTTCGCATACGGTGCCACTGGCTGCGGAAAGACGCACACGATTACGTACGTGTGGCAGGCATTGTTGTGTCGAGGATACCACGAGCTAACCCAGCTGCAGGGGCACACCCCAACAACCGGGCATCATCTTCCTCACGATGCAGGAGCTCTTCGAACGCCTTACGGAGCTCCAAGAGACAAAGGCATCGGACGTTTCTCTCTCTTACCTTGAGATATACAACGAGACCATTAGAGATTTGCTGGTCCCTGGGGGCAGCAAGGCTGGCTTGACGCTGAGAGAGGATGCCAACCAGGCAGTCTCAGTCTCCGGCCTCTCGAGCCATAGGCCGACCAATGTATGGGAAACTTGCCTGGAGCTAAAGTAATAGCTAACCCATCGCAGGTTGAACAAGTCATGGAAATGCTTGTCCGAGGAAACCAGAACCGTACCATGTCACCTACTGCAGCTAACGCTACCTCCTCCCGCTCTCACGCTGTTCTCCAAATCAACGTATCTACGAAGGACCGCAACGCCTCTGTAAATGAGCCTCATACTATGGCTACCCTAAGCATCATCGATTTGGCTGGAAGCGAGCGTGCCAGCGCCACCAAGAACCGTGGTGAGCGTCTGGTTGAAGGTGCCAACATCAACAAATCACTCCTCGCTCTAGGAAGTTGCATCAACGCCCTGTGCGATCCTCGCAAGAAGCACCACGTTCCCTACCGCAACTCGAAGCTTACGCGACTGTTGAAATTCTCCCTCGGCGGAAACTGCAAGACAGTCATGATCGTCTGCGTCAGTCCATCCAGTGCTCACTACGATGAGTCTCAGAATACGCTCCGCTATGCGAACCGCGCGAAGAACATCCAGACCAAGATCACCAAGAATATCTACAATGTCGATCGTCACGTCAAGGATTACCTGAAGAAGATTGATGAGCAGAGGCAGCTGATCGAGGAGCTGCAAGCAAAGATGAAGGATCTCGAAGGAGGCGCATTCGTCAAATTCAAGAAGCAGAGTGAGAAGAGGGAAAGCATCGCGAAGGAAGGCATCATGAGGATTCGCTCAGCTTATGAAAATGCTGCAGCCGAACGGCAGGACCGTGTGAATACGATGAGAAAGCTCAAGCAGGTCGAGAGGCGCATTTCGATGATATCCGCATGGATCGCCGGATTCGACACCGTGTGCGAGCAAAGGGAGGAGGAGGATGCGCCCCAGAGCTTTGTAGCCATGCGCAAGACTGCTCTGGGCATACAAGCGGAGCTGGAGACCACTCGTCAACACTTCCATCAGCGGCTGGCGAAGAACAATTGGGATCGTGCCGTTGACTCGGCTCTCCAAACCGGCATTCGCCAACTGAAGGAAACCGACGCAGCCAATTGCAGCGGTGATGTTGCAAACCTGATGAGAGAGGCGGAGCTTCTCAGAGCCAACGCTGATAGGGAGACTTACGCCGCCGTGTTGGAGCAGGAGAAGGGCGGAGATGCAGCAGTGGTTCAGCTGCTGCTCCAAGCTCACTTCGAAGTCGTGACCATCCTCGGCCAAATCATGGTTATGGACGAGGAGGAGGCTATACGTACAGCTAAGGAGATGCTGGGAAAGCTAGTTTCTTCCTGCTCCGAGGCTGCTTCTCAGGTCATCAAGCCTGACGGTGGCCTCCCGGTCACCGAGGCATTTCCACCCACCAGTCGTGGGACGCCAAAGAGGAGGAATCCCGTCAAGCTAATGGCACCATCGCCGATGAAGTTGCCTGTCCCCGTGTGGGAGAATGCGTACTCTTCTCCCGCCAGGTCTTTGGCTTCTCCCCGTAGGCGCAAGTACAACGCGCCGCGCAAGGGGCTGAAGGTCACACCAAAGAAGTCTCCCAGCAAGCACGCAAAGCGTGGCGTTCGCTGGAGGGATGACACTGATGATGGCGCTCTCGTGGAGTTCCAGGCTACGCCGCAGGCTCTTGACTACACTCCTCCTCCCGGGTCATCGGCGGAGAAGGCGCCGCCAATGAGTGGAATCCCTTCTTTGGTCGAAAGCCTCGACTCCTCCCCCATCCCTGCGCCACCAAATGTGGCTTCTCTCGAGGTCAAGCCGGTACGGCCCAACAGCCGTTTCCAAACCGGTTTTCTTTCCAAGAAGCCGTCATCGCCCTCGCTTCTGCCCGCATTTTCGTCGGATTCGGAACGCGAAGGTTCTCCGCTGCGGGAATTGGAGATCAACAAGGCACGCGGCCGTTCGCCTTTGCACGTCTCGTCGTCCGGCATCCCCTCGTCATCCGAGGCGACTCCCAACGATTCGGACAAAGCTAGCGCCACTTCGTCTGATGACGAGCGGTCCTGGCTCAAGGCTGTCAGCAAGGGCGATGACCAGAACGCGGCGCGCACGATTCGTACAGCTATCAAGCGCAACTCAGTTGGTGACAGGACCGCCATGCTTGGCCACCACAAGGTGCACAGCAGCACCGGATCTGCACGTCTCAACACTCGCAACATTAAGAGCCCTCCCAGCGGCCACCATGCTCGCCGGACTTCGATTACCAAAGGAGGTGCACCAATTGCTGGCGCTCGTCGTGTCACGTTGAGCGAGGACAGAGGCCGTGTTGGTGGTCTCGCTGCTGGCCAGGCTATCAGGCTGGGTGGTGCTCGCCCGGCAGCTGGCGGCAGCCTGAGGGCAGACACGAAGGGTGCTTGGCGCTAAGAAGTCTGCCATAATAAGTAGTGAACCCTGGCACTGAGTCGGGGATCATTCAACCCGCGGCGAGCTTGAGAATTTACCGGGGTTTCTTTTGATCATGCTACGCAGTACCAGACTGAGCAGGACACCTTAAGTCCGGGAATTTTCTTGTTTTTTCCTTGATTGTCTATTATCTCGGCGAACAGGGCCTGGCAGTTTTTTTCACGGCGTCTACAGGTGGAAGGAATGGCTGGTGGCGGTTCGAGGTACGGAATATGGCGTCAGGGCAGATCTGCTTTTTCTGCTTTGTATCGGAGATCTTCTTGTCCAGCGCGGACAAGATCTCTTGTGCACCTGCACATGTTTTTTATCGCATCGGGACTAGATACAGGGAGGGTTTTCCCTGACTAGTTCATCTACCTTTTGGTAGGATCAGAACGTTTTCCTGGATAGGAATTGGAGGCTTCTTTTGTGGGTTTTCCTAGTTCTAAGTTGTACAATACACTTTATTAGCGCACTTTCGGATTGCTTCACAAATAGCCTTCCAAGTGCTAAATGGTTAATGGTGTCTCTGAGAACATGCATGAAAATTGCTCTTGAGTGTTATAACGGTCCGCCTGATACCAGCTCAACCAACACTCAATACGACTCAATGAGAACCCGTTGACCCCAGGGAGCCCCTGTTGAGAGCTAGTTCACTATTGCGACCCACGTTATATAGCAGAGTTAGATATGTTAAAAATGTATTGCGATTCGTTCTGGATATCTATTGTACTCATTATTGTTTCTTGACCTTCTACTATTACATGTGTTGCTTTGGTGAATAGGTCATTGCCTCGTTCCGGCAGTGGCCCCCATGACATAAGTGGTGTTGCTACAAAGGCTTCTTTGAATTTGACCCCCCTATTTCGAGAATTCAACTCCTCTAAATCTAGATTTTGACTCACTGGTGATGTTATCTATGAAAATAGCATTTTCGCGCTGCTACCATCGTGCTTACACTTACGCTATTAGTAGTAATTACGCTTGTCGCGGGTAGTTATTGCGTAAGTAGTAATAGCGCGGGTGGTAATGGTGGTGGTGATGAATACGTTGATGGTGATAAATACGCTGCTGGTGGTGGTAAATCCGTTATTGGTTGGTGATTTCGTTAGTGGTGATCTTGTTGGTAGTGATTTTATAGTGGTGACTGAGTAGTTAAGGTTGCTTAGCGGGTTGATAGTACTTTTAGATAAGGCTTAGGATCTCTGTAATTTAGGCGTGAAAAGATAGGTAAGTGGGTTCTCGAGGGAAGTTAAATTCTAGATTTGGGGGAGTTAAATTCTGAGGTATGTAAGTACACGTTCACCGAACCAAGGAGTACCTACTACATACAACGGTACCGAGCGATTACTTCGTAGTAGCTCATCACCCATCATTGGTCAAGTTGGTCAACCACCAGTAGCCCACTATTTAGACAACACGAGAAAGGGTTCCAGCAGAAACATAAGCATGCTTTCAATTGACCAGAGGGGCTGACTGAAGTTCACTTCTATAGATTTCATGACACGGCCGAGGAACTTTCGTGAAAGAAAGAGCTCTTGAAAGGATACAATTGAAAGTATATCATTGAAAGTATATCGAACGGACATTGTTGGATGACGTCATTTGTAGAACCGATGTCTGCCCCGCACCCCTCTCAAATATTCTCGAATGCTTCTCGAAGACCTCAAGCCACTCACAGAATCTATCAGTTCTGATCAGCTGCTTCAACAGAGGCCAGAAGCCATACACGGATTCGGACACAGTTCAAGCAGACGTCCTTGTGGTTGCCATGCAATCTACTTCTGACGCGAGCGCTGGATTCCCTCATGTACGTCGCTGCTTCTACGTCCATGGGAAGCCAGCTGTTAATGATGGCACCGTCGACCCCGCCGCGACGAGTTGCACTCTGTACGTCGAGCATCTCACTCCCTACACTTCGACACCACCGACAGCCGGGAGCAAGAGCAAACCACCACCCATCATCTTCATCCCCGGCGCGGCCCACACCAGCGCATGCTGGGTGACGACGCCAGACGGCCGGCCGGGCTGGTCGTCATACTTCCTCGCCCGCGGCCACGACGTCTACCTCGTCGACCCGCCCTTCACGGGGCGCAGCCCTTGGGCGCCGCATTTCTCTCACTCGGCTTCGTCTTCCGATGTGCTCACCACGATTCCGGCGCAAGTCATCGCGGGCCGCTGGACAGCGCTCGCGCAGCAGGCGCCGTGGCCGCAGGCGCGGCTGCACACGCAGTGGCCCGGCACGGGGCGGCCGGGCGATGCGGCATTCGAGGCGCTCGCCGCGTCGCTCGTGGCGCTGCCGCACGACGTGCCCGAGGCGGCGACACAGCGGGCGATGCGGGCGGCGGGCGCGGCGCTGGTGGACCGGATCGTCGGCGAGGCCAGAAGAAGAGGCCGGGGGGATGATCATCGGGCGGACATAGGCGAAGAGGAAGAAGAAGAAGAGGTGGTTGTGCTCGTCGCGCACAGTTTAGGCGCGCCGCGAGCCCTGTTGATCGCTGACGCGCGCCCGTCGCACGTGTCCGGGTTGGTGCTGCTCGAGCCAAACGGCCCGCCGTGGAGCGAGCAGGCGCTGGGCGGCATGCTTCTGAAGAGGCCGTGGGGGTTGACCGAGGCGGAGATTACGTGGAGCCCTCCTCGTGGTCTTTCAGCGATTGCTGGTGGACATGATGAGGCTGGGGTGGTGGCTGTTGGGGATGATCGTGATGATGATGATGTGCGCGGTGGCGATCATACCGTTATCACCCCTCAGGAGGCCCACTTCAACTTGAAGACGGAGAAATCGACCGATCCGGCAAGGAATGACTGTACGCTGCAAGTCGAGGATGAGAGCAGCGGTATCGCACCCCGGGTGTTGAGTAATCTCGTGGACGTGCCTGTCGCAGTCATCACCGGCGAGGCCAGCCATCACGCAATGTACGACTGGTGTACCGTCCGGTTCTTGCGCCAGGCAGGCGTCAAGAGAGTCGATCACATCGAGCTTTGGAAGAAGGGCATCCGGGGTAACGGGCACCTGTTCATCTCCGAGAAGAACAGCGACGAGATTGCTGAAGTGACGAGGGTGTGGATCGACAGCCTAGGTGCACGTTGACGATGAGTCGGAACCATTCGGAACCGGCCCGATACGGCAGTGCTGACTCTGTTTTGGATTTGAAGCCGCTAAGAGAGGAAGGAATCGGCGGGGGAGTCGCGTGCCTTGCATTTCCTCGTCGGAAAGGATGATGGGCGTAGCTTGGGTGACTCTTGCTTTTGCACGCTGAGCATCCCGTCTTGCGTGGCAGAGGGAATGGGATCGAGGTTGATTTTCATGAAAGGATTGGCCTGCATCCCCGCGGAACCCTTCGTAAAGCCAGGCATCATCATCCTTTAGCGCCATGCTCCAAGCACTGTGCTCGGGAGCTTGATTGAATGCGCCGTAGCATTGTACTGTAGCAGCCTCCACGTATGCGATACCACCATATAACAGCCAGAGCTACAACACTCGAGCAACTAGGTGAACACATGGGCGTGCTTGATGCTGAAGACACGGACTAATCGAAGACGTTGCGAAATTACCAGTGTTTGGCCATATCAGCTCTCATGGCTCTGTTGGATGAAGATAGTCGAATATGGTCAAGCTTCCCGTTGCTCTACATGCTTCTCTTCCCCAACGCCAAGATGATATGGACGTGGATCTTTTGGATATGCCAACCTTATATCCTTTTTTTTAGTTTTCCGCGCAAGCCACAGTCTCGCGGAATGTTAGAGTCATATCAAGTCTTTTAACCATATCTGCTATATCCATCAACCGATAACCAAAGCGAAACTCCGTAGGCAGCAAGCTCTGTCTTGGTTTAGTCTGTCACCGGTTGACCGCTATAATGAGATCAGGGCATCCTGAACAGCTCAGTTGCATCCACAACGAAGGTTGGGTAAAAAAAAAGATACTTGCATCCGGCCTTCAAACCCAAGCCCCTCATCTTCTCCGCAGGTATATTATCGACCAGGACAGCGATAGCTACAACTACGCCGGAATTTGTGTCATCACAAATATCCAAGCGAAGCAGTTCCTGCCAGTGACGCCAAGGCGGACCAAGATTTCGGCCTGAGCTCCTTTCACTGCCTCATTCCCACAATGCAGCGCTTCTCATTTCCGTTTCAGATATCCGCTTGTCATCCGTAGCGGCGGCAAGGATCCAAGCACGTGAGCTATGACCAAAGCAGAGGCCCCTTCCCGATTGGTACCCACACGCTCCAAAAAGGGTCCCGGGTCTCGATAGTGCCATTATGCTCGTCTTTGATACATGACAAACGTTGACTGTGTCCCCGTTGTCAGATCGGCGGCCGCCGAGCACATCATGACGCGCAAAGCCGCAGAATGTCAAGGATGCGCAGCAGATGCGGAACCTTTTCTTCGACCAAGATTCCAAAAAGAGTGGGCTATAGCAGGTCAATCATATGGCCCCTTTCGGAAGCAGATGATCTACGTCGAAACACTTTATGCTGGATGTCATGTCTCATGTTACCCGCCGCCAAGAGCACGAAGGATCCAGGCGGCGGGACCCTGACGTTCTGGCGGCGAGGGGAAGCAGGATTCGCTGCGTCTTCGATCTCTCGAGAGCAGAAAGCGGCATATACAGCGGCTATCTTATAGCACCATCTGAAAACAACTCACCGTCTCAGATATCCGCCAGGGCAAGCAATGAGCGGCCGGCGCCCAGACCCGACCCACGAACCAAGATTCGCCCACACGCGCCGTTGAGCGTGCCTTCGAGGAAACGGCGAAGCAGCGCCGGAAAGTCCCCCTCTTGCTAGGACCGGAAACGGATCCGCGAGGTGCAGGATCCCTCTTACAAGAATGTTTCAGGCGGGGCTGAAGAATGGGGACACTTGCAAGAGCATTGCTTTCGTCATCAATATCGTGTGCGTCTCCATAGGCGGTCCATTCTGATATGCAAACATTTTCATGCATCTTCATGCTGACCGAGGAAGACTTGCCCAGACTGTCGATATTGTTCAAGTCGCTTCGACAAACGCAAGATGGGGATTTTGGCCTTACTTGAAACCCCAAGGCATTGAGCAGGCAGGCACGTGGCGTATCACGTTTATTTCGCCCATAACGGCCATGTCGCCGCGACGTTACCCACCGCGCTGCCCCCACTGCTGGCTAAAGGGCCGTCCTGAAGTCTCGAACGAGTGGAGCGCGCATCCGCCACGAACGCCACGGGCCTTTTCGGCCTGAGGCCCGTGGGGCAATCTGCGCATCGGGAGGTGAGCCCCGATGGACCAGATAAGCAATGGAGATGGCGCTTCGCTACCGTTGGCCGACTCCAGCCTTAATCCCTTCCCCGGCGCAAAGCTCGTCATTCCCCTGCCTGGGCCCTTTGGGGACCCCCGCCGCATTCTGAGACGCTCGGTGTGTGAGATGTGCCTGTCATCAGCCCATTTTCATCGATGCTAGGTTCGCCGATGCGCTTTAGCGAGAGAGCCAAGATCTGTCAAAGGGGGTTTTGCGGATGCGCGGGTAGCGAGGCCATGGTGCTGGTCGGATGCGGAGTGCCGAAGGGGTGTTGGTCAGTGGTGGGGCGCCTGTGGCGTTTTGGGCAAGCGCCCGTGCTCGGGGCAACGGTGTTGCTTGGCAAAAGCTTCGGCCTTGCCATCACTTCCAAAACAACCACCCAAGATGCCACTGGCCGACACTTTGACGCCGTGCGTCAGTTGCCGCGCCGGCCGCTCTCGGCCATTCAGCAGTCGGCATCTCTTTCTCCCCCCGGCCGCCGCCGGAAACACACCGCGTGCAAGTGACCAGGAAGGCTCTTATGCGACGCTTAGCAGAGAGAAAAGCCTCTCGTTACTTGCAACTGCAGCACGCGAGACTCATCTCAAATTAACACGAGCCTGGCTGGAGTAGGCACTCCGCTCCGCAAGCCACCCGGCGCTAACACCCACATCCCACGTGCGCTTTGATACTCGAGTTGTGTATGCTTTATTGCAGACCTTGGATTACTACTTTCTCTATCGACCGTTATCATCGAGTCCTTGTCTATACATGGCCCATGATTCGCGCACTGGCTACACTATGTCCAGCGTCATGCCTGATCGAGACTGCTCCCATTTCCACTTCCAGAGCATAATTTCCCGTATCGGCCATTATTGACCCCATAGAGAGCGAGGGTGAAACAAGATACAAAAGAAATGAATAAAGCGTGCCAGAAAGAGCGAATGCGGGGGTATCTAGTGTCACCCTCAAACGCCTTGGTACGAAACGAATGGAACGGAGAGCTGAGCTCCTCAAAATTGTGGCAAAAAGACAAACCCTAGCAAAACGCCTTGTCTCCAGTGACCCGGTCCAATCAGAAAGCCGCCGTGCAAGCCCCACCCGGCGAGTCTATCCACCAACATAGGAAAAGGATTGCTCGTTAGAAACGCTCACGGCCTCGGATCCCGCTCCTCGGTGAGCAGTGCGGAGATCGCCGTCCGGCTTTCTCTTCTCTCGCTGCTGCCCACCGGCTCTTGCTTGTTCACCGCCGCCCAACCGCTGGTCTTGAAACTCGGCAGCGGGAGCTGCGCCTGCAGGGACCCCATACCTAGCGTCGTTCCCTTCGGGCTCTCGCCCGGAGGCGTTGGCGGCCGCGGGATGTGCAGACCGAGACCCTTGTCGCTCTTGTTGAAGAAGCTGGGGCACAGGGGGCTGCCGCTGCCACCCTGGCGCCAAACGTCCTCGAGCTGCGCGGCGCTGGCATCCGGACCGTAGTCCGCGGCAACGGCGGCCCAGAAGGCGGTGCGGTGGGCCTCGTAGATGTTGCGCAGGCGAGCAGTGTCGACGGGGCCGAGAGAAGAGGCGCGCGAGTGGTGGCGGCTGTGGCCATCAGAAGGGTTGGTCAGAGTCGACGGCAGCCGCTGGCTTTCTTGCTGGTAGCCATGGTGGTGGAAAGGCATCATCATGCCAGAAGCAGCGCTCATGGTGGAGGCCGAGTTGGCGTTGCTGTGAACGGTGCCAGGGTTGGTGTCGATGCGCAGGTCCATGCGCGGCTCCGGCGAAGACTGAGGAGTGATGATGCGCGGGTGCAGGCGAGGGAGAAGGATCTTCTGCTGATGCGCCTCAATGGTCATCATAGGCGACTCCTGGCGCGGAGGCGTCATGGTCTGCGTGTACTCCTCGGCAATCTCGGTGGGGAGCTCGAATTGCGAGGGGGTCGTGTTGGTGGAGCCAGAGACAATTGAGGAGGTGGTCGAGGAGATGGAGGCATTGCGCTTGCGGCGATGCGAGCCATGGCTGAGTTGGTGGTAGTGCAGGCGGCAGGCGAGTTCGGTCTTCTTCAGGTGCTGCGCAATGTGCTTGTAAGGCATCTTCTGCATGCGGGTCTGAAGGAGGTAGGCTTCCTGCAGGGGATGTCAGTGAGTGGAACAGGGGGCTGTTGGGCTGGGGGGCGCACCTCTTCTTCAGACCACGAGCGGTTGCCGCCAGTCGACATCTTGCGGGCGCGGAGGGGCGAAGCTCCGTGGGGATCCATGTCGCCAAAGGAGGAGATGGAAGAAGTTCTGCGGTGGTGTGCTGCCATTGTGACGGGCGATGTTCGTCTTTTGTGTCGGGTGGTTGACCGGTGGTGCAGTTGGTGATACCTCGCTTGTGTCGGGTAAAGACGCTATTGCCGCTTCGAGCAAGGGAGTGTCCAGCCTCGTCTTTGGAGTGGGTTATGTACGGTAGACGGAGGGATTAAAGAGGACGTATGTACCAAATCAATTGGCCAGCAATGTCGATTAAGGAACGGAAGCGCAGCCCAGCCAGTGGGAAGTGAATGAGAGCCCTAAAGAGCTGCTGGAATAAAACAACAAAGCCGGCACTCTCGGGTTGGAGGTGATGGAGGAGAGGGCGATGGACTGAGGAAACCTCGGGGTCATATATAGATATTAGTGGCGGCCGGTTGCGAGTTCATCCGGGGGCATGGTGATTGGAGTGGTGGGTCTTGAGGTGGGTTGGGTTTCCAAACCAGCCATGCGGCAAGGAGTTGCAACAAACCTAAGGTTTTGTCAAACCCAAGATCGGCGCTTTGGCGCAGAGCCCGGATCTCAGACGCTTCCGGTTGAGGGCGCTGGCGAGGTGTGGCCATGCCGCTTTGGGGCGAGGGGAGCTGCGAGATGCAGATCCAGCCAGTCAGGGCGCCGCCAACGGAGCACGGATGCATGAAGTCTGCCACCCTTCTGAGGTGGGGTGGAAGCAGTTTCAAAACTCGACTGGTAAGAGAGCCCCGTGTTGGCATGCACGCGAGCGCGCTGGCGAGGCAGATCAAGCCTTGATGCGCGCTGCTAAGGCGTCGGGCGCTAGCAGAATGGAGAAACAGACGCGGCCGTGTGCTGCCAGAATATAACCATAATCCCAATCTTAATCGCCGGACTCGCCTGTGGCCCGTCCAGCAGCGCCGTGAAGAACGGCCGCCGTTCGGAGGAGGCAATATAGCCGCACCGCGAGCTCTGGCCGGCGAGCTTTGGCCGGCCAGAGTGCGCCGGCCAGACACGCACGACGCCTTCTCGGAAGCGGCGCATCCGCTCTGGCTGAGCGCAATGCATCTGGGGCCTGCGATTTGAGATGACAATCGCCTTGGCTGGCGCGGGAAGCTCAAACACGGTCGTGGTTGAGGTCTGGCACGAGCGCCGTCTCAAAGGCCTGCTGGCGCGGACCCCGTTCTTGGCGGCGAGAAACACGACGTTGTGCGTTCGAGATGGGCGTCACTCCGCAGCCCAGCGCTCACTAGCAGCAGCGTGGCGCTGCCCTGCGGCGCTGAGAACACCTGCTGCGAGGCCTCTTTCATGTGAAAAAAAAAACCGCGCGCACTGTGCCGAATCAGCGCTGTGCCCGGCATCCCGGCACCGTAAACGCCTCCGGCCCGCGCACATAATTCAAGACCCGCAGGCTCCACGCAAAATTGGCCTCGCATCGAGGCGAGCGTGCGGTTTGATTTGGAGCGGCAGCACTGCCACGGCTCGCCTGGGTAGGTACGAGCCAGAAGCCGTCGGTGCGTTCGTTCTCTCGGAGAGGCGGCGAGCAGGCGCGGCCGCTAAGGGAGCTGCTGGTAGCGGAGACGCGTGTGGGGAAGCGGGCGGCGATCCTGCCAGTCGCCGGTCCAGCCCGCAGCACCACCACCATCGTCTGCGAGACGTCAAATCGACGAGAGCGCCCCCGCCCTCACCATGCATCGCGATCCCACGCCTGTCGCGCTCCTGCTGCCCACGCCGCAACGCACCAGCTCGGCCCCCATCACACGCCTGCCAGGAGCTCTCTCCGCCGCCGTCGCACCGGCGTCGTCATGGCAAGCGCAGTCAGCGTCATTGCCCACAACCGCGCGTGCATGAAGAAAGCGGCCGCCGCGTATCGCCGTGCGCGTGACGACACTGCTGCACGCTGCCGCTTGAGGGGGCTGACTGCCTGCGTGCTGCATGCCATGGCTGCGCAGCACATAGAGCTACCCCGCTTTGCCATGACAAGACCGAAGGAAGCAACGACGTCCCCTCTACCACGCGCGTCCGCCACACGGCTCGGCGGCTCTTGTACCCGCTACGCGCGCTCCCAATTGTCGTGATTGCATGATGCTGGAACTTGCCTCTCCGCATTGCCCCCGCCTACCACCGAGCTTGCCCCTCCCCCGCAACCCTACCAGAGAGCTCTCTCTCGCCAATCTTCGCCGTCCGCCGCGCCTGTCATTCGTCGTCGCCCGCCCACTGGGGCGCTCGGTAGCGTTGCTTGCAGGCCTGGAGCCGGTAGACCCATGTACTGGATCATCGCCTGCTACCGCGGCGGCGATCTGCCTTCGAGTCCCGGCCTTGGTTGCTCGATAGTGATCGACCGCCACCGTCATCTGTGAATCTACAATCGCTACTTCCCGCGCTCCTCTCTACACCTCCATCATGTGGCTGGTGTGAGAGCAAGAAACGCGGAGAAACCATAGTGCTTCTGCTGAGCGCGCGCCCGCCCCTCTTTCCGCGCGCTGAGATTATTACTCCGCAGCGCACGCTGCAGCCTCATCATCTTCCGTGGAACGCGACGGCTGCCGAAGTATCGAGAGGTGTCGCCCGAGACAAGCCTGGCGCATCCAACCCGCTCCCAGGAAGCCTTTCTCAGCAGCATGCTCGGCCGGCACGCGCCGCTCAACATCTAGACCTCTGACTCTCGCATCCCGCCGTGGAGCCGCTCGAATTCGAGAACCCGACCTCGCCGTTCGGACGGGGGCCGCTTTCAACAACCATGTCGTAAGTCTACCTCCACTCGCCAGCCCGCAGAGTCGCCGTGACCGATTAAGTCCACCCCAAACCATATCCTTCCTCCTGCTGCGCGTGTACAGGCACACTAGCTCCTACTCTGCTCCTATCTGCAGCTAGCTGCGCCTACTACATCCTGTATACATCACCCGCGCGTCAGCCTTGTCGTCCTGCCCAAGTACCCTCTACCCGAACAAAACGCGTCTAGCTGCCTCTCTAGCCTACCTCCAACACTGACACGCGACATCGTCGCGCACGACACAGGACCTCGCCGCACCACACCAAGCGCAGCCTGAAGCCCAATCCCATGTCGGCGTCGCCCTCACAGCTCACCGTGTCGGGCGGCCCGGCCGCCGGCCACTTCAACCCGTCGTCAGCAACGACGGCAGACCCCTTTAGTGGCACTCCATACGCCGTGGCTCCGCCCGTGGGAGGCACCTCGTCGGCGTCAACCACGTCGCCCACGTCGCCCACCAACCCGCGCAAGCGTCGCGCGTCTGGCACTGCCCAACACCAGCAGATAGCCCCTAACGCGACGATAGCTCCCTCGAGCGTGACTGCCGGGACGGGCAGCACGTCGTCTGCCTATCCACCAGACCCGTCCGGCTTGGGCGGCGCTGAGAGCGAGCCTCAGCAGCCCGTACAGCCGCCGCCGCCCAAAAAGGGGAGAACCAACACTCCGTGGACGGCAGCCGAGGAACAGCGCTTGAAGATCATGAGGGATGCGGGGAACAGTTGGAGTGAGATTGCAAAGGTACGGTGAAGTTGACTTGATTTCTTTCCCTGTCTTTTGCTTTTGAACCTTTTGCAATGCCGGTGCGTTTTTCATCGCTATTGATGAGAGGCCGAGGAGGCGTGACGTTGAAAATTTTGGTCAACTCTTCCGGACGGCCTTGTCCTGGGACATCTGTTCAAGAGCAATGTTCATTGCAGCTTCTTCAGGTGTTGTTCCAGCTGCCACCAGCGCGAGGGCTCCGTCCGCTTGGTAAGAGTGACACATGCCAACGGCTGTTCGATGGCTTCCAAGGCTTGGCGAAGAAAGGGCACAAGCTAGAAACAGAACACTGGAAAGGCCATGGCCATTCAGGATCCCTTTTACGAGGGCCAGGGACATATTGATAAGGGTGAAGGGCGTGAAAGCAGGAGGAGGAAGGAATGAGCAAGGAGGAGGAATCCAGTGCAGAGGATTTACTAACTTGCCTGCGAATCACCCAGACTTTTCCGACGCGGACCGAAGGTAGCGTGAAGAAACACTGGTACAAGGTCAGTATGCCTCAGGGCATCTGAAACCCCCAACTGGGCAGCCCTCATTCCACCTTACCCCTCACCACTCTCTTTCAACCATCCACACCAACCCACAATTGCAAGCCACTGCGTCACGTCGTACTCAACTGACTGTACGATGTTACGTGTACCAGGACATGCACTACGCAGAATTCGCGGAAGACGAGGTAAGCCGCATGAACTCCTGTTCGTCATACCGTGTGGACAGGGCTTTGGCTGATGAGAGGGTGCTCTTCCTTCATGTGGACGTACAGAGCGCTGCGCTGCTCGCTGCCATCAAGGAGTACGAGGCTAGCAAGTGGAAGGTTATCGGCGCAAAAGTTGGGAAACCTGCAAAGGTAGGTAAAAGACGCGATGGTGTGCCCGCTACAACGCCACCGTTTCTCCTCCAACATCTTCCTATTGCCCTTTATACCCTTTCTCGCCGCGGAGGATGAAACAAGACCGGTTGCAGATGGTGGCTGGGCGAGACGCACTTTAGTGTGAATAGGCAGTAGTCGCGGCTTGCGGCCCAGACGTTCGGATCCAAGTGCTGGAGAAGATCTGAACAAGCAGGTGTAGGTCTGGCTAAGCCTGCCAGACGACCGGGTCCATCTGTCTTGTATTGTTTGTCGGAGATACTCGGAACCAAGGAGCAGCAGCTGCGGGAGCGGCTGAAGTGCTGAAGAAACGGACGCTAACCAAAGCCGTCATGGTCAGGCTTGTGAGCAGTACGCAAAGGAACACTTCGGCGGAAAAGTCTGATGACGAGCGCGTCCTTCTCCCGCAAGGACGACGGCGACGACCATCAGAGGCGATGCTCTCGACGGCTTGAGTGCACGACAAAGCAGAGAAGAAAAAAAAAGTAATATTCACGAGGACGCTTTTCACGACGGCAGTACCGAAGAGCTGCGTCTTCTTACCGGCACTACGGAACGCACCTGGGCTTACTATTCCCAGCCCTCTTCGCCCACCCAAAACGGGCGCCCACATTTCACAAGCTTTGCCTGTCTCGGGGATACTGGGCTCTTCTGCACCAATCAATCGTTGGCGAGTATGATACCAGTGGTTTCTCCTTTGTCATGGAGTTCTTTTCTTCATTCTCCCAGGTCTGTCAGCGAATTGTCTGTTTTCCATAATGCGCGGGACACACACACGCACACACACACACACGAGGGCAGGAGCGTCGCGGAGCGTCTTTTCAGGTGACGGTTTGACAGGAGCTATTGCATGCACGGCAGCAACTAAAACTTGGATTCTCACTTCTTCCCACTTCAGTCCTTTGCTTTTTGTTTTTTCCCTGGCAACGCTTGGGTTGGGTTGGGTTGTACCTCGCAGCTGCACGCGCTCGTCGCCGGCAGCCCCTCTCGAACCGGGCTGGCGGAGCGGCATGGCGGTACCAAGATGACGCGGTACGCGCACAGCACGACGAGGTTGCATTCGGTTGGACGATGTTTCTTTCTCTAGCTGGGTCTGTGCCAGTTCACACTCATCTCCGGCAGCTTCAGCCTGCTTGGCCGGCTGGTCGTGGCAGCGTCGCGCTCTGCTGGACAGCTGTCGGCGGGTGGGTGTTGGCGGTTGGCCTTCGCGGGCCATTCAGCGGGCCATGCGGGAAGCATAGTATTATGCATACGCCCTGTGGAAATTGGATGTTCATTTCGAGGAATTTTGGCAGAAGCAGCTTGGTCAAGGGTGTGGCGCGCCCATTGGTGACGGCGGAGCATTTCGGCAAAAGGCGAGGCGGGCGGGCGGCGTGCGTATGCGCGCTGGCACTGCCGGCGGCGTGATCTGAGATGGCTCAGGATGCGGGCTGGCGGCGCACAAGGCGCGGCAGCGGGCCGGCGCTGGTGAGGGCGCGCAGACGGGGGCGCGCAGCAGGCTGGTGGTGGTTTGGATGTTGACGGCCGGGCGCGGCCAATGGGCTCGGGGCGGGCGGTTTCAGGCGGCGCCGTTGGAGCTAGTGCGAACAGGCTAAAGGCTCGCGCTGGGCCTGGTGATCCCGGACTGTGCGCCTCACGTGCGCGCTGGCAACTGCACCTCGCCCAACACCATCGCCACAGCATCGTCACGGCCGTCAATGCGAGCGCCCCTGCCCGCTCCTGATCGACCCGTCGGCGCTGCCCCTTCACCTGCCGGATGAGGCCGCCGGCGCTGCTATGTATAGGTAGCGGGCAGATCTTGCGGCCGTGGGCAGTCGCGCCACCAAGGGGCGCGGTCGCGTCGCATATAGGCCGGGGTCACGCATATAGTGCCGCCTGAAACGGCATCCGTCTGGGCGACTCACCACGCCTCGTCCGCTCTTTGCGTCAGAGCGACCGCTGCCGGCTGCGCACATCGCGGCCTGGCGCTGCCGTCACGACGAGCGCGATGCTCTGCGCAGGGTTGCTTCGATGCCCGCGCGCCGCTCATTTCGGCGCCCACGCATAGAGACTCATCTCCAGCCGACGAGGCCGCCGTCAATGCAGCCTCCGTGCGGAAGATCCTTCGGCGGGCATTCTGGAAATGCCCGCGGCCAGCCAAGTTGTTGCGTCAGCGCAGTTATCTCGTCCAATTTGTGCGCCCAGCCACTCAGGCGCGGGCAGGGCCCGCCGCATTGCAACCGCGATGGCCGTAGAGATCTGTGCCCATCCCGGCAAATGATCACCGCATTATGCTCCCAGCAGAATGCGTCGCCTGCCTTGCCCGACTCAGCGCGCCCGCTACTCTTCAGGAACCAAGGCCGTCAGAACTGCTGTGTCCGTGGGTTCATTGCACAGGGCTGCGTGGAGAACCGCCCCGAGCCTCTCCATGGCCTCTATTTTTTTTCCTACCGCCTCCTGAGGACTGACACCACCACGCCTGCGCCACGGCCATGATATAACGGCGCCGCCGCTCCCCCAGCCAGCGTCTGCCGTATAGCTGTGCACCGCTATTGGACCCCCTCCCGTCGCCCTCGCAAGAGCAAAGGCAACCCCAAACACGTGCGATACACGGCCACCACCACCTGCCCTCATCGCGACCACACGCGTCGCGGCCCTCGACCAGGATCCAAGCCCAACCAAAACAGAGTCTGGCTCAGGTCTTACACGGGCGGCCTGCCAGAGCTAGTCCGCTCTGGCAGTCTCCATGCATAGTTGCAACGCTGGCGAGATCCTACCGCGACTTCTCCCTCGACTACGGCCAAGTGCAGGACCACCCGGGAGAAGAAGGACATTCCTCAAACGTCGACATCCAACATGGCCTCCACCAGTACGCCCTGCCGCAGCAGCCCGCTGCGAACCCGTTTCTGCAGCACGCCCCTCCCCACCACCACCAGCTGCACCACCAGCATGGCGCCCATCACCACCTCGTCCAGGTCTCGTCCACGCCCGAAGCGCACCCCAATCTGTACCAGGCCTATCCAATCCGCCCCATGCCGCCCCAGCCGCAGCAGCCTCCCTCGCCCTACGGCCAGCCGTCCCTAGACCCCTACGCCCCGCGCGGCCGCAAGCGCAGCCGCCCGCGCGACGATCTGCAGCTGGATCTCCAAGGCCTCCACGCGCTGCACCCCGAGGACGCGCCCCAAGACGTGCCAATGTCGGCCCTCACGCCCCACGGCCATCACGCCCACTACTACACGCCGCAGCAGCAGCCCCCGGCCCAGCACCATCACCACCGCCTGCCCAACACCGCCCCGCCGCACAAGCTGCACCGCGGCAGCTACGGCAGCGACCAGTCGCCGCCCTCGACCTCGCACGGCCCGCCCAGCGTCGTCGGACAGGAGGGCATGCCTCCGCCCGCCCCGCGACCGCGCGGGCCCAAGCTGAAGTTCACTCCGGAGGACGATTCGCTTCTAGTCGAGCTGAAGGAGAAGAAGAACCTCACCTGGAAGCAGATTGCCGAATTCTTCCCGGGCAGGAGCTCGGGAACCCTGCAGGTGCGGTACTGCACCAAGCTCAAGGCCAAAACAACCGTCTGGACCGACGATATGGTACGTACTTCTATGCTCCGACCTGCACCCGGTCGTTACCCGCGTCTCAGCAAAGAAACCCTTGGTGAAGAATTGTTGCTTTTTCTTTGAATCAAAGCTGCTAACGCGAAATGCCCCGCTCCACAGGTCCAGAAACTCCGCAATGCCATGCAGGAGTACGAGAACGACAAATGGCGCATCATCTCTGCGAAGGTCGGCAGTGGCTTTTCGCCAGCAGCATGTCGCGATAAAGCGGCAGAACTAGACGGCACGATTCCCGCTTCTGAAGAGGATCCCGAGCCGTTGCCGCAAGACACGGAGGAGGGCGGCGCCAGCAGCAGTTTTGCCCAAGAGATGGTCAGCATGGCCGGCGGGAGCGACCCTACCGTAGCGTTCCAGTAGGAAGGAGAGGGCGAGAAAGAGAAAGAGTAGGAGTGGACCACTCCTGAGTTCTATACATACCCCACCGCTTTCTTATGTCCTTTCCTTTGTTTCCTGGACCCTGCATCACCAAGCCTCTCGCTCATCTGCACCCTTCGATGTCTGTATTTTTGCATGTCAGCTTCACCCTCATGGCTTTTCATTCCTCTTCGCAGATATATATTTCTCCCACTTCTACGATACCCTTTCAGTCAGCACATTACTCGGCGGGGCACAGGCGGCGTCATCTGTCTAACACATTTTTCTTTTTTCCTTTTGCCCAGCGGCACACATCATCACTAATCGCATAGCGTGGGGATTCGGAGTTGGAAGCACACAAATTGGCGGACCTCACGGAGACACACGCAGTTTCTCTACGGGGACAGGACATGATGAAGATAGATTGGACATCTCTGACATTTTTTTTCCTTGGATGACAACGAGTAGATGACGGGGTAGAAACATTTTTAATTCCTCTTTTCCTTTCTTTGCGTCCACTCACATTCTTTTTTTTTTTTCGTTTACTCCTTCACCATAGCTAGCACCGACAGAAAACAAACGAAAACCCATACCCACAAGGCTCGTCATTTCCTCGATACTAGGCACGCTATAGCACCTCGCTTTTCGCATGGGCCGGAGCGGAAGAGAAAACAAAATAGAATGGAAGCCGAGTCAGACGTTTTCCTATTCTCCAAGCATTCCCTTTCTCAGCGCGGCGCGGCTATTCAAACGAGCAAGCGAGCACTCGCCTTCGCCTGTCGCGTACATCTCGCTCGGGAGGAACCGAATTCGATCCTAAGATAGGAGAGGTGGCTTTGGAGAAGCGAGTACGGGAGTAAGCAGGCGAAAAGGGAGCGAGCTCGCAGAGAGAGCTTGCGATTTGCGCTGAGAGGGGTGGTCAGGGCATTGGCCCGGGATTTCCCAATACTTTTTTTGGTCTAGGGGAGGCCGCTCCCCCTCGGAGGCGGGCAAAGGGCCGGTGCGCGCCCGCTCGCATGAAATCGCCCACGTCAATCGAGCAACCATCATCATCCTAACGTCTTCGCAAGCGAACAAACAAAAGAGCGTTGCGTGTGTGGCGCTTGGGCGCAGCCGTATCTTGAATCATGTGCAGCTCTAAACTTGGGTTCTCTGCTCTGCAATTGACGTGTCGGAAAGTTCCCCAGATCTCTTCATATAGGCACGGCGCTGGCTACCCCCTTTAGACCTATTATCAATATTGTTAGCCGGGTCGCACGCAGGTCGCTATAGACAGGCGAGCTTATTTTGGATCGCCATAGCATATCAGTCTATCGGATTCACATTAGGCGGGCAACATTGAAGACTGGAAAAGCGGGTTCGGCAACTTCCAGGAGCACCGTGATCTTCCACATACGATATCGATATGTACACAATCTAATTTTTGGAGGCGACTGTTGCCCGTTCTGGGGCAGCCATTCGGTCCGCCGAATCGCCGCGGCCGCCGCTTTTGCCGTTTCGCAGTCGTCATGATTCCGGAGCGCTGCAGTCGGCGTGTGTGGCGTCAGGCCGCCCTTGGTCAGGGGCGCGGCAAAAGTGGGCCAGCCATCTCACATTGCCGCTTTCGGTGCGGCCGGTAGGAGGGCGGCCCCAGGCAAGCCACTCTAAATGGCTCCGTAGACGCGCGCCATCAACGGACCCTTCGCTCTTCTTCATCAACGGTTTCTATTTTCTTCGACGGCACGGCTTCGGCAGCGACTCGTCGTCGACACCGGCCGGCGGCCGGCCGGTACCCAATCTGGAGGATCCACACTCGATGCTCCACAGCCATAGCGCCAGGAACGCGTTCTGCAAGCCCCGCAGCAGCATCGATGTATAAGAAAGATGTATATACATGCAAAAAGAAAAGACAGTCGGACGCGACTGCAGCAAAGACGCGCAATTTGCGTGCTGGTCCCTTCTGGCGCGTATACGATGGACGATGTCACGGTGAATCGTGCGCCTCATGCAACATGCTCCCTCGCGTTTGCCTATACAGGATAAACAGACGAGCGGCGGGGCGGCGGGGATCATTGGAGACAATCACGGAGAGGAGCAACAAAGAGTGGCTTGACCTGCGCCCGCGCGCACGGGGAAACCAGCACCCACGGCAGAACACGTAAGATAGCGCCGGACGACGGGTCAGCTCTACACGTACGCACGGCGGAGCTCCGAATAATTGCATTCTTATGCGCCGGCCGAGTTTAGCAGACGAAGAGACAAGAGAGAGCACGAGCAAGGCTGGCAAAAAAACGAAAGCGTAAAGACGCGGGCAACGAACGTGATGGCCCAGCAGCCCCCGCGCCCCCTGCCTCAGGGAAAGAAGGCCTGACTGCCTGACGGGCTGGCCGATGGCTGTTTCCCCGACGGACAGATGCAACACCATCACCTCGCGTCCCCAAGGACGAGACCAGTCTTGTCGGCTCTTTTATGTATTTATTTTTTTCCTCTCCCCTCTCATTCGCCAGGCGCGCAGGCGCGCATCTTGGTTTCCTGCTCGACTACCCACTTCTAGCCACCATAAGCCTAACGCCAGCTGACTCGTCGCCCTGTCATGCTCGAGACGTTGACTTGCTTTGGCTCGGTGCATCAGCAAGCAAGCAAGCAAGCAAGCACCTGCGCTCACCTGCATATGCGCCGACGCCTCCCCCGACTCGCGGAAGGGGGAAGGACCGGGGGCGTTCCTGTGGCTGTGGGAGCTTCTGCTGCAGTGTGCTGGCGGTCCGCCGGCGCCAGGAGCCGTTGGATGGAGAAGCCGGATTGACGGGCGGCCGCCCAGCAAGCCCAAAATGAGGCCCCCCTCCCGCCCAAGCGTGTGGAGCACGGCATTCGCGTCGAACTGCCGCGCACATGGGTCGAACGGCCGCTGAGATATAACACAGAGCAGAAGAGACAGACGGAGAGAGAAGGACAGTAGTAGTAGGGATGGACGCAGCTCGCTTCCCCGGCCTGCATGCGCGGCTGCAAGCACACTTGGTTCCTGTCCGTCTCTTTGCTACGCCGTCCCCTTTTGGCTTGCTTCGGCCCAACCGTCCTGCTGGCTCCAGCAGCATGGGACAAGTCAATCGCCGCAACTGAGCCAGAAAGAGCCCATGAGACCCAAATGAGGAAAACAGAGGTCGCTTAGGCCTGGTGATCCTCCGCTGCTCGGACCCGGAATGTTGATATGATGGGGCCTATCCCTGCTCGGCCGGCAATCGTGCGAGAAAACGCACGGCACGATTAGCGCCGGCGACGGGCTTGTCGTTTACGCCCGGGCTCCCGTCCTACGTGCGAAGGCAAGATGGCAACGACGAGCGGCCTCTTTTCTCTGTAGGTAAGTCCTTGCCGCCCTTTCGAGCAAACGACCGCGTCCTTTTGCTCGTCCCCGGTCCTTTCGGGATGCTCCCGATCCCAGCACCGCTCGCTAAGGTTATTCTGGTCCATCACCGTTCGGCACCGCTAAATCCTCCGCACTATTGAAATTACCGTAGACGGAAGGAAGAGACGCAAGCGAGGGGAGCAGAGGACTTTCTTCCGCCGCCGCAGGGACGTGATGCTTCTTCTTGGTACGATAAACTATCATCACGACCGCATAGCCGTCCTCGAAGCTTGTTTCCCGTGTAGCACCGCCCGCGTCTTGACGACGGATGATGCTTTATTGGAACTTGTTGAAGCCTTTCGCCGGAACCCTGCCCAATGAGGCTGCTATGACGCTCCTATGCTTGTAGCCCAAATATCTTGGCCGTGGTAGTCGACAGACTGGGCCGCCAGAGGCCGGGTCAGACTTGGTGCGAAAAAAAAAAAAAACGGTTAGGGTGCGGGCTAAAAGATAGGTTGGAAGTAAGGATAGGGAAAGCGGGGGGTGGTACGACTATGATGGAATGTGTTTCGGGCTCTGACACAGCCAACCACGGCGGTGCCAATGAAGTGAGTCGAGGCAAAGCAAACGAAACAACAAGAATAATGCTAGCGGGCAGGTCGGATGAGCTGAGCTGAGCACATGAGGGCAGGCTGGAGCGATGGTTGTTTGAAAGGTCTCGCCAACGCTTTTGGCATAATGGTGGTTCAAACACTGGATGAAACAGGGTTTGGGGGTGTATGGGGTTTGCGTTTGCGGATGGCCCCTGCGCTATAGACGTGGATCTACACGCGACCCCTGCTTCCTGTGGCTGTCAGAACTGCAGCGGCGGACAAGCCCGATGGAGGCGGTATGGCTGCCGTTGAGCTGGCCGGTTGGGGCAAGCGAGCTCTGGCACGACCGAAGAAGGCAGGGGGTATTGGCAGGGAGTGCATAGTATGAGCAATACCAGTGTCAGGGCATGTGAAGGGCTGTGGAGGCTTAAGATGCGATCATAGCAACTTAAGGGGGACGTTGGCCGGGGCGCGGTCTGCGCGCAGGAACAGCGCCGTCCATTGCCCGCCGCCACGACACGGGCCCTCGAAGCTTCGGAGCGAGTACGACGTGCGAGCGCGCGTCCGACCTGGATGCCCGTCGGCGCAGAGAGTGTTGCGTCATTACCCGTCGTCGGCGTCGAGTCGTCGGCGGCGTCGTCGTCGTCGTCGCTGCCCCAATATAGCAACGGCGTCCATTTCCCGCGCCGACGGAGCGCGTTCGTCAGGACTGGCTGCATGATGGCCGGCGGGCCGACTCCAATTGCCTCCCCCAAGTTGCGCGCGATCAGCCGTCCCCACCCGGTGCCTATCTCAACGTCCCGCGGTGCTCCCGGGCTCAGGGGCTGCAGAGCAGACCTTCGAGACCGGTCGCCCCACCTGTCAACGGCAAGCGAGCGAACGAGCGTCGAGGTGCAACAGGCGCGTTGGTCAGCTGGCCACGGGCGTTGAAGCTTCGTCCCCACAGCTATTCGTTTGAAACTCGGTCGACGCCAAGGCACAGCGCTGCCCTAGCGCCATGCCAAAGCTGATTATGCCGAAAGCCCTACTGATATTTGCCGTGATTGACACAGGCTCTGGCCCATGGGCTGATGATTGTTAATGCCATTTGACCGGTTCTGCAAGGCCTGCCCCATTGGGCTGTGATGGGCCGGTCACGCTGCTGCCACTTCATGCGCGCCTGGCCCTGTCGATATTGTCTTCTCCACCAGAAGCCTTATTGATATTGGATCCACGGCCAAGCTCGCATCATGCGGCGCAGCGCGGCGGGGCGGCTGGCGGGCCGCCGTCGACGATGCTTTGCCAAGCTCGAGACGGCGGTGGTTGTTTCTGAGACGTCGCGGAGCTGTCATGGCGGGTGCATGTGCGCCGCAGAAGCTGTGTTGATGAGTGACTCATTAGAGTGATCACCGTCATTTCCAGCAGATCGCGGCCGCGAGCATCCAGGTTCACATCCTCCACAGGGCTGTGATCACCCAGGCCTTCATTGGTGTTTAGGGCTGACTCCGCGGCCACCGGGCCATCAGAGCGCGGGAACGTGCGAGTGAGCGGTGAGGGCGAATTTCCAGAGCGGCGGCGCGCTGGAGGCTGGCAGGCTGAGAGCGGAGCAGCATTGGCCGATCGAAATAGCGTCGAAAGAGCTCACCGCCACAGGTCCCAAGAGCCGGGAACAGGTGTGCTGGTGGAGAGGGCAGCTGCCTTGGCGTCGGAGATTTTGAGGTGTTGCACCACCGAACGAACCGCCGAACCCTCTCAACATCATCACTGAGCTCGCCCGACAATCCCCGACCGTGGCATCGAAACCTCTGCTGCGAGCAGTCGCCGCAACCCTGCAATCTCACGTCGCATGTGACGTCGTCGATACGGCGCGCACGAGCTCACACCGGTGAAGCTGGCGGAGGCTGGACGACGGCGATGGCAGGACCAGAAGAGCAGCCGCCTTGGATGTCAGCAATGGGAATGGATTCGCAGCGCCAGTGGACGCACCTTATCGCATCGTAATCACCCGCTATCTCTGCTCCGAGTTCGACTGCGCAACTTCGTCCCACGGCGTATGTATGTACTCTCGCCAGAGTCGACGACACGCGGGCAGGCCTCCGTCTATTTGAACTCTCCGCGGCTGCTGGCTCCCTTATACCATCCCGAACGTATATTCAAGCCAGCTAACTCCAGTCGCGAACCGGTCAGCCCTCGCCGTCGAGTCGTGCGGGCCAACCACACTGGCACATAACAGCCCTTTTAAGACCGCTCCTCGCCTGGACAAGCCTCCGGGCCCGCGGGATTGGTGTTGCGCGTCGTCAGCCTGCGCAACATCATACCTCTGGACCTCTGTTAAGACTGCGCGATAAGATAATTTCACATGCCATATACACGTGCTTCTCTCCTCCACCGCCACTATCTTGTGTTGTGGTGTCGTACTTCGACTTCTTGTTCGTAAACGCACAGACAGCTTCCTGGAGTTTGCTTCTAGACAATCCTTGACCGGTAACGGTAGTGGAATACTATTAGTCTACTATATGCAAATCCCTTTTAGAGCGGTAAACTACTTGAGGTGAATATTTGAGTACCTCTGATCATCACTGCATGTTGACGCATCTTGGGTTGCCACCACTGACGGAAACTTCAAAGTCGCCGGCCTTCAGCAGGCATATCCAGACTTGCAAGCTACAGTGGTCATGTACATGCATACTGCTCCAGGAGGCTACCGCCGGCTATTCGCATATCTCTACCAGGAAGCCCCGCGCCGCTACTTCCTGTCTTCCTAAAGACTTGCACCGGCTGCCCAGCTGTACCCTCCGTGTGGCAGGTGTCCGCTCATGCCTTGGTCTTCTCCACGCCCGGTGCTTCTGCGAAATTGTGACCAACTATGATATGGCGAGGCTCAATCCGCGGCGGTAGAGGCGACGGCCCAGGAGATGACTCGAGAGAAGGCTGGATACGCAGACGTCTGAAATTATCTGTGGATCGTCAGGTGTTTGGGAATATCGAGGGCTCTCGACGTGCTGTGGGACTTGCGGGAAGTGGGGTCACCAACCAGGAGGCGCGTGTTTGATGGATTGCCGGTCCCAGCGCAAGCGCTCCGCAGTCGACCAGCCGGCCCCTTCACTGAACCGGCGAGGTGTGGGCACTGTCTGTTCGAGCAACATGTTTCCGCACGCCGTCCGCAACGGTGGACAACCCAGCCCGTCTGACACCTGCCCTTGGCATCCGTGGCATCCCGACTCGTGGGACCGCACAAGAACGTCACGCTCACAAAGGACCGTTGTCGGCCAATACTTTCAGCGTGAATGACGAGTCGCCACCGATGGAATCCGTGCCCGATCTTAATGAGGGTATTATTGCATGATTACGACTAAGCTAGGCCTCCTGGCTTGGAAATCAACAGCGCGGCAGAGTTTTCCTGCCCCTCCATCACGCGCCATGTGGAGTTCTCCCCGGCCCTCCCATTCTCGTGTGGACGTTCCGGTGCAGCGGTTTGGAACGTTGGCGCAGTGGAGCCATGCAACCTCGCCCTCATTGTCTCTTATAGCAGCAGGGATCGAAGGGCATCACATTCACTTCCCATGGCCGTAACCAGACAGATCCCTTGCAGCAACGACGCTGCCAAGCTTGCTTCATCTCCTCGCTCACGAAACACCGGGCGGGACCCAGCGCCGTGGTCTGGCGAGGCAGTGATGGCTTCTTCCTGAGCCAAAAAATACCTCACTGAATAGCTGGCGCTCGCTCAACGTTTGAAGATCGATGCCCATCACCAGGTGGCCGTGACTGTGCCGTGCGTCTGGCGATCCGCTTGAGACCACAGCTGCCTCGCCCCGTGGGCTCGATCTTTCCCTCCGGATCCCGTTTTGTCTCCACACCCACACACAGAGTGCTTCTCATCACATGGATCAGAGTCAAGTACTCTGCCATATCCGCCTGAATCGCTCACCCCTGCGTCAGACTTCCCGAGAGACCTGTCACTTGCAACCCTGACGTGATGCAGCGGGATTGGAGCGGATGCCCTTCCCCTCAAGCAGCAAACTTTTGCCACATTTGAACGGCTGCCAACACCGTGATATGAAGCTTAATCAGGAATGGTATATCTGGACGCCTTCTCGTACGCCATTTTACTTTGCAGATGTGACCAGGAACGAATAATAACAAAGACTGGTGGAAGGTGGGGTTGAGAGAAAGAAAAACCGGTTTGCGATGAGGCATTTGATCATCGAAGCGGGAGATGAGACTGTTGTCCCACAATCAACATATTGGCCACATTCTGGATGAATTAACGCGTGCTTCGGTTCAACATCAACCACGTAGAATGTCTTTTTCGAAGTGCAGCTAGAGTGCTTAAATGCTGAAGTGTTTCGCTGGCTACAAGGAGTTGTTCATGCTTTGCTGAGCCCAGTCAACCGGAACCAAAGAACACTCCTCAACGCATTCGCTAATCGAACGGGAAAGGCGTAACTACTAAGAATGACCGTGCCCAACAGTTGTCAATTATCAGCTGCATGAACTGTATACACTGGCTGGATCCACAATGCTTCTTTGCCAACTTAGGATATATCTTAGCGTACTCAACTAGCATGCCATCTAGTAGAGCACTTCGATAACGAAAATCCACACGTTGTACTCATATTGTCCCGCTGAATATTCTTATCAAGCGCCTAGCTTACTCCTTAAGATGCGAAAAATATATATGGGCCATACGTGAGAAACTATGACCGGGGAACCAAGCGTCCCAGACCGGTTCTCGTCATAGAAACTGGGGTAGACTAAGACGCGAGAGACATAATAAAACTTTTGTTATTAGATATTTAGTCAGATCTTTGGATCAAATATACTTCAGGTATTTAGGATAACAAGCAGGGTTGACACTGTATCTACTCATACAATCCAAACACGCAGAACATGGTCTATTTAAAATAATACTTCGTGCCTGTAGAGTAAAACATATGTTTAGTGGTCTACTTGACCAGCCTTTACGGTAAGAGATATATCAGAGCTCCGAGTTAAAAAGGTAATATATATATTTAAGTGCTACTAGTTATCTCTATTTTTTGTAGAAGGCATACACAACGTAGAACATTCTTAAATATAATATATATCTCCTCCGCGACGAAGATTTACTTCTACCTCGACTCCCACCTTCTTAGACGCTTGTTGGAGTTTATTTATTGGTTAAGAGATCAATAGTATCGGTGGTTGGATGTTAGTAAGGGATGATAGATGGCTAATTCCCTAATAAGGAATGCGCTAAGCTAAGTAGTAGTAGAGGTTGGAGTGGATCTGCGTTGCGGAGAAGATACTGTAATGGAAACAAAAATATATCTATCCTACTTTCCGATTTTGCAATTGCCAGCTTCGAGTACCTTAACAACAGCCATTGTGGCTGATAATGATGGTTTCTATCAAGACCGATAGAGAACGGTCGTAGGAAATCTCAGTCCTACGTTTAGGTATCGCTTTAGAGAGTTTTTCATCGGACACGTGTGTCACACCTGATAGCCCCCGATAGAAGGCTGAGTAGTGAACTTCGGAGCCATTGCGCGCCAAGACAGCATCACAGCTTGCTGACTCTAGGAGTATAGAGGATTGTTTACCGGATTACACGAGTTATTCTTTCGAAGAATAAGGTGCTGGAGAAGGGGGGATGCTCAAAAGGATAGAAAGAAGAGTGTATTCGATAGGAGAGAGCAGATACTCTTTGTCTGGATTATACAACACTTATAACACACTTGCATGCTTTAGATGATTGCAATGAAATGACAAACAGGAATGGCCCGAGTTCTAAGTAAAAAAGAAAAAAAGAGGAGAGAGAATTTAAGTTCTGCAGGAGAGAAAATAGTAATCACGAATCTCCGTATCATGCATTCCTAATGGAAGATATCTATACAGTAAATCGCAGGAAAGCAAAGGATATAATACGAATGGCCAAACAATGCTACTGGCTACCCAATTTGTACTCAATCTTTTTATGTACTAATAATGAATCCCCTCAGCTTTCCCTATCATGTACAAACTGTACCTCGACTCGCTTCACTTCCCTCAAAGTCCTCATACGCCTCTGTCCAAGGTTCCATAGCCGGTTCTCCCTAGGCGAGGACTTCCTCCATCTCCATTCTGGATATCGTTTGCATGATCGATGTTCTCAAAACCCATTTCAGCTCCAGGCATGAGGACCTCGCGTGCGTCTTCGGCATCCTCTTCGACACGCTCGCGGTGTATAACCTTGCTCTTCCAGGTGACAAATGCCACGAGAGATAGACCGATCACGAATGCGACACTCATTAGAATGATGTTCACGGGAATGGGGTTATTGTGGAAGACGCGGTGCGTGAGGGCATCAAGGCCGGACTGGAGAAAGTTAAGGAGGCCGGCTAGGCAAATGATCAAGCCATACACTTTTCCGAAAGTGGCGAAACCAAAGACTTTGGCGGCATAATCTCTGTGAAGATCAAGTCAGTTTTCGAAGGACAAAGCTGCTGAGGGCAAATACGAGTTATGGCCGGGAAGGGAAGACACTTACGACACTGCGGTGTAATAGAATGGACGATACACCACGAAGAGACAAATATTGGCATATGCTGCCCATAGCTCAGGAATTACACCGAGAACGCCAATGGTGGTGGCAAAGACGACCAGCAGCGCCAGCACGAACGGGGTGCTGGTGTTGTCAAGCACGAGTCCAATGAAGGGCACGCTGATGACACCGCCAAGGGGTAATGCGACATCAAAAAAGGAATTGACCCTGACCGCCTTGTGGTAGTCCCCTAAGAGATACTCGTACTGCGATCGAATGGTTGCGACAAAGTAGTTGATGCGGGTCATCTGGATGACGGTGAAGAGGGTGATAAGAATAAACCAGGGAGTCAGGATCTGCTGGGCAGCCGTCTTTCCGTGGAGGGCTCCCCAAACACCGCTGTTTTCCTTCTTCTTCTCTTCCTCTTCGGCGCGTGTTGAGGTGTCCTTTCCATCCAACAGTGCGGTGATCTCGCTAGCAAGGCTCTCTCGACGAGCACGACGATCGTTGCGCAGCCTTTGCACAATTGACTCCTCGAGGATGTCGTCGTCCGAGTCGTGGTAGTCAGCGGCAGCGTCATCGGCGCGGCTAGCAAGTTCTCCCACGGTCTCATAAGATTTGCTGGGCATGAGGGTGATCTGTACAATAAGGATATATACAGGCACGACCAGGTAAATGAGGAAAAACTTCTTGGGGGTGAGGTCGCCGCCAGTGGCTTGGTAAAGCAGCCTGTAGAAGAGGAAAAGGGCCGACGAAGTATCGAATGCGCCGGTGAGCAGGGCCAAAATGAGGCCCGAGTAGCGGGGAAAGGTGTTGCTCAGCTGAAAGGAAGAGATGAAGACGAAGGGGCCGCCCAAAGCCATGAAGAGATAGCCGGGGATGTACCCATCGAAGGAAAGATCAGCAGCAAAGGCGAAGAAAAGGGCACCGATGGTTAGGAATAAGACTCCAATCAGGCCGCTGGCGCGGGGACCGAAGCGGTCGAGGATGGTGCCGACGGGCAGAGCGCAGACGTTGGTGGAGACGGCGGCCACGGTGAACATGAAGTTAAGCCTGTTGGAGGTTAGCATTGCACGACGTTGGCGGGTGGTACTTGTGCGAGAGGGCTGGCGTACCTCAGCTCCTGTTCATAGCACACTCTTACGCCCTTGTCCAGCTCCGCATCGGTACAGCGATCTCTGTATACACCCTGAGCGATCAGGACAGGCTTGATTGCGGCATACCCGAAGACAATGCCAGCAGCTAGCAAGCAGTAGACGACGGCGGCGAAAACCTGCACTGCGGAAACAGTCAGCAGCGTTGCAGCAAGAGTTTGGGCGAGCGGACCTACACATGCGGCGGGTCTTGGACACCTCAAAGGCGGGGACCAGCTCCTCCTGGGCAGCGGGGCCCCATGCGCCTGCTTGGACCGGATTGAAGCTGAGTTTGCGGCGCTCGCTGGCAGCAGGCGAGACAGACCGGCTTCTCCAGGTGTTTATGGCGTCCATGGACGAGACGCGCTGTATCATAGCCATGGCGGGCGAGTTGGCGGTGGTGACGGTGTCGCTCAGTCTGGGGCGGGGAAGAAGGCAGCGACGAGGGAGATGCACGACGTCAGACGGAGCGGCTTCGGGCGGGAGCTAGAGGTCTGGTGACGAAGTGGAGCCGGCGCACAAAGCTGGGGTAGATTGGTGATGCGGAGAGCGATTGGCAAATGACGACAGCGATCGTGGCTGAAGGGCGGCGGGCGAGCGGCGGCGCAGCGAGGCTGGGAGGGGCGAGACATATAGGCGGCGGATTGCAGGCCAGACGGGTGAAAAATTGATGCTGGCCATGCGCCTCTTCACGCAGGACGCATCCGATGGAGGGGCGCGGCTGAAGGCTGGGGTGCTGCTCTGCAGCCGCCTGATTTGCAGCCAAGCCCGACGCCCATGCCCGTTGCGGCAAGGAGCTTGGACCGCGGACGGCAAGGTGGAGAATTTTCCCTGCATAGATCGCACGCTCAAAATTTTCGTACCTGCACCGTCGGCGGACACCACCGTCGAGTGGTAAGAGGCGCCGGCCGCGTCGTCTGCCGCTGCTCGACGCCGTCGCCGAAGCCCGCGGGTCGAGACCGGTGTCAGGCCATGACGCATGACGCAGACCTTACTCACATTCACGTGTTTATCGATAGCCCGAGCATGGTCAACAAGGCGCCTCAACCATTGTTTGCGAGTCTTCTCAACACCCGTTATCGCCCAGCTGCCACGCCTTTGCATTAGAAGCGTTCTTGTGCCAAGCGCGTTCCGCACACGACCATGGCCGAACTCTATACCCGGACCAACCAGAGACTGCCGTTGCAGCGCGCAGCGACTGGCAGGGGACAGTGCTGCAGTGTGAGGGAAGTCGCCTTTCAAGAGCCTGCTGATGTGCTCATCTTGTGCCGTCGCTGTCGATGAGCCCAAGTGGGGTCTCGATGATGCGATTCGAGATCCCACCTACCCTCGACGATGAATCCGCGGCAATGCAGCCAATGTGCCGAAGAGTGAGGAATCTATAAGACCTGCAATGGGTGCGGTGCCTTGAAGTCTGGTCACGCCAAAAAATGACGGTTGATGCGGAGAAGCATGCGCCCCACGCCGTGGTGGAAGATTCAGCCCTAGCTTCCGGCTCAGAGAGTGAGCAGTTCGTCGATGATGAAAGAGAAGGGACATGGATTCGTTTTATGACTTGGATTCATTGGTATTCCAAGGACACGCCGAGCCTGGAGAAAAAGCTTGTGCTGAAGCTCGACTTGATGATTCTCGTTTTCGGCTGCTTGTCCTTCTTCACAAAGTACCTGGACCAGCAATCCATCACCAATGCCTACGTCTCGTGAGTTTCATTTACAGCTCCCACGTCCAAAGTGCTGATGATGCGACTCGCAGCGGAATGAAAGAGGACCTCCACCTTCACGGCAACCAGCTCAACTACATCACCATTGTGTTCTGGGCTTCTTACTGCACCTCTATGATTCCCGCTTGTTACTACCTTACTCGCCGTCCAATCAATCTTATCTTGCCCACTCTCGAGATCGGATGGGGCCTCGCAACATTCGGCTTGGCTTGGGCCCAAAACGTCGACACGGTATACGCCATGCGCTTTCTCGTCGGCCTGTTTGAGAGTTGCAGTTTCACCGGCGTCATTTACGTTATCGGATCATGGTACAAGCCTCGGGAAATTGGCCGACGAGTAGCTCTGTTCTTCATCGCCAGCCCCTTGGGCACCATGTTCGCTGGATATCTGCAAGCAGCAGCGTACACCAACCTCAACGGTGCCCATGGCCTGTCCGGCTGGCGCTGGCTCTTCATAGTCGATGCCATCATCACCCTTCCAATCTCCCTGCTGTAAGTTCTTGCCTCTCCCAAGCTCCGTTCATGTCCAATAACACTGACGACCCTTCTCCCCATCCTTAGCGGCTTTTTCATCTTCCCTGATGTCCCCTCGCGCGCAAAACCTCGCTTTCTTACACAGCGGGAACACGCCTTTTCTCAACGACGCCTCGCTGGTCTGACTGCACCCTCGCAGCTGCACGTTTCGCGTGACATCTTTGCGCGCGTCTTTGGTCGATGGCACTGGTATCTCTTTGTATTGCAGTGGACGCTCATGGACCAAAACTTCCAGCCCTACTCCACACCTTTCAGCCTCTACCTCAAAGCCAAATCCCCCTCCATTTACTCCGTCTCCCGCGTCAACACGCTCCCCACCATCGCGACAGCTCTCTCCGTCGTTGCGGCGTTCGCCGCCGGCGCCGCGGCGGATCGGCTGGGCGGCCGCTTCTGGATCCCGACTCTGGCCGTGACGGTTCCTGTCATCATCGGCGTCGCGCTGCTGGTAGCATGGGACGTGGGCGAAACCGGCCGGGTCGCGGCCTTCGTCATATGCGGCTTTGAGGGCGCCGTCAGCCCGCTGACCATGGGCTGGGCCACCGTCACCATGGCCGACGACGCCGAGGAGCGCGCCATCGTGACGGCGAGCATGAACGCCATCGGCCAGGCCATCGCCGCCTGGAGCCAGCTGCTGCAGTTCCCCGCTGTTGAGGCCCCCCGCTTCGCCAAGGGGTTCGTGTCGGTGCTGGTGACGGCCGTGGCCCAGTTTTTGCTGGTGCCCGTCATCGCTTTCCTGTCTGCGCGGGATAAGAGGAGGAATCGGAAGAAAGAAGTAGGTGCTTGAGCTCGAACTGGGTGATTTTGTCGTCAGTACCCTCTTGCACCAAGGCATAAACAAGTCTCAGATGAAGTGAATGTACAACGACCAAAAACTCCTTGTTTCCATTTTTTTATAGTAGTCATTACATTACAACCTTCAATGTCGATCAATGCGTGCTAAAAAGATCAAGTCGGCGGAACGGAACATGAGAAAGAGAGAAAAGCAGACGGAAAAGAAAAGGAGAAACAAAAGGATGGAGAAAGCATGCGCTCGACTCCTGAAAATGCAGAGCTGAGACAATCTTGTTAAACGAGACAAGCGTTTCAGAGGCGCATTGTTACGCCGCGACAACAGGGTCGCTATGAGTAGTTCGAGTGTGACATTAGTCATAAGTCGTTTACGGCTCATCCTTGGGAGGAGCAGCGTTGGCCTTCTTGTTCTTCATGAAAAGCGTGGGAAGCAAAACGGAGGAGGTCGTGAAAAGGACGCTACAAGCAAATTGTCAGCCACTGTTCTGGTGTAGGATGGGAAAGTGACTGAGACTCACCAAAGTGCGATGCTCAGGCCCCAGAGAGCCTTGGTCTCGAAGCAGTTGGCCTTGGTGGCGCCCGCAAAGGCAGCCAAGTTCAAGCCGGCGCCACTGATGTTCAGGTTCGCCTTCACCGACTGGTAGTAGGTGTAGGCATTCGAAGCCGTCACAGACTCGGAAGTGCTTTGAACGGCATAGCAGTTGAGGAATGAGATGGGCTTGCCCAGGCAGACGGCGACGACGATGAATGCAATGAGCAAAAGGAAGTCGGCGGCGGTCATGACCAAGAGACCAAGGTGGGCCTCGGACCAGAAGAAGGCAATGCTGATAAGACAGTAAAGAGTGGCGATGCAGGTCTGGAGAAGTCAGTATGGCGAAGTGGTGGAGCTGCGCAGGAAGTGGACTTACGACACTGAGAGTGCCAACAACCTCCTTTGGCGGCTCGATGCCGCTTGACACAATGTCATTGACAAAGTTGGCAGCAATGCCGACTATGATGATCATGCTGATGACCTCCAGGACGCGGACCAGAGCAAAGGTCTTGCTGAGAGGAGCGGCACCGTAGGCAGGGACAGGCATTTTGGTTGAAGTGTTGGGTTTGGGATTAAGAAAAAAAAAAAAAAAAAACTACAGGAAATCGATTCCTGGACAAGAGCGGACTGCTTTCAAAGCAATTATGGATGGAGGGAATGTGGTATGCTTGTGCCGAGTGCAAGCAAAAGGACCGACTTAAGGAAACAGTGAAGTAGAGAGGAAAAGTAGGAAAGTGATGATTGTTGGTTGCTGGACTTCAGTTAGCGGCGAAGTGCCAACATCTTTTATACATACTAGGAGGTTGCATCCAGAGCTCAACACGCACGGGCCGGTTCTATTCTTGCAGAGGTAGACAGTATAGATGGCGGGCGAATTGCAGGGCTGCCCGGGCGGGCGGCTAATCTGCATGGAGCTCTGGCCACCCAGCGCCAGCGACAATCAACGACAGCCACTCGAGCGCGTGCGGCTCTGTCGCATCTGCCGCTGCTCAGCCACCTTCTTCAGAAACATGATTCTGCACCCGCCGAGGCGTCCTGGCGGATGTATCACCGCAGCTTCCGCTGGCGCGCTGATGGAAATCGCGCGGGGGATCGGACCAGACAGACATGGGGTCTCGCATCACGACCCACAGCGGCTGGTCTGGACGCTGCAAGGTAGCCGCTGGCCGAGTGCTGCGCCGCCCCCGAGCGCCATGCCGCCGGGCCGAGCTGAGGCTTCCGTCGGCAGAGAGGCCGAGATGGGTCAGCTGCCTGCTGCATGCCTCAGGAACGCGCGAGGATGAACACGCGACTGCCTAGTCCGCAAAGGGAGAGTGTAGCCGACAAAGCCGACGATAAGCTGCTGATAGCTATGCCGCAAACTCTCCCGCCTGTCCCTCCACTTTTCACGCCCCTTCCTCATTTTTTGCGTGCTTCTCGACGTGCTCTGTTAAACTGTGCGTGCAAAAATGGTGTACCCCCTCGATTACTTCCAGCACAGGCGCGATTGGTACGTAAGAGCTGCTCTCGAGCTTCCCCAGAGCTTTCCCCGCATTTCCGTAGACCCTGGCTTCTCACAACAACCAGCCGCCGCAAGCAGGCCGAACGCGCCTCGAAGATTGCGAATCTGCCGGCAGAGTACCAGTCCCCGCTGCTGCCCTCGGAACGGACCCTGCTACGCAAACCCATCCAGGAACTCGTGCAGGAAGTCCAGGGCCATGTCACCAGCCCCGTTGACGTTTTGCGCGCCTACGCCAAGGTCGCCGTTGCTGCTCAGCATAAAACGAATTGCCTGACCGAGATCCTGTTCCCCGAGGCCGAGCAGTGGGTGGAGAGGGGCGAGATCAACCTTCAAGGGCCACTTGCCGGCATCCCCGTCTCACTAAAAGATTCCATCGCCGTCGGCGGCTTTGATGTCAGTGTCGGCTACTCTTCCAACACCGGCAAACCCTACGAGAAGGACGGCACCATGGTCCGCATCCTCAAGGATGCCGGAGCCATTCCATTTGTCAAGACCAACCTCCCCGTTACCCTTCTTTCCTTCGAGTCTACTAATGACGTCTGGGGCCGTACCACGAACCCCCATAACGACAAGTACTCTCCCGGCGGCTCGACCGGCGGAGAATCTGCTCTGCTTGCCTTCGGTGGCAGTCGCATCGGCATTGGCTCCGATGTTGCTGGCTCAGTAAGAGCTCCAGCGCACTTCTCAGGGTGCTACTCGCTGCGTTGTTCGACCGGTCGTTGGCCGAAGATGGGCATGAACACTAGCATGCCGGGCCAGGAGGGCATTGCTAGCGTCTTCAGCCCCATGGCTCGCACCCTCAATGACCTGCATTACTTCACTGCCAGCTTCATTCGCATGAAGCCATGGAACTACGACCACACCGTGCACCCTATGGAGTGGCGCCAAAACGTCACCGAAGAGTACTTGGAGAAGAAGAAATACCGAGTTGGCGTCATGAGGACTGATGGTAGGTGACCCTTGACTACTCCTACCGCCCCACATCTGACACTTCGCAAGGCGTTGTCGATCCTAGTCCCGCCTGCGCTCGCGCCTTGCAGCAGACCGCTGCAGCACTCAGCGCCGAAGGCCATGAAGTCTTCGACGTCACGCCGCCGTCGCCTTATGAAGCACTGAAGATCGCCTCGCACCTACTCAACTCCGACGGCTGCCGCACTTTCCTGTCTTTCTTCCGCACCGGGGAGTGGAACGACCCCGGCGCTGCCCAAATGGTCTTTTATGCAAAGCTGCCCCGCCCACTCAAGTACCTGCACTACTTGTGGGTCAAGTACGTCAAGCGCGACCCCACGTGGGCCGATCTTCTTTACGGCTGGCATGAGAAGAGCGCATTTGAGCACTGGAAGCTGGTGTCAAAGCGAGAGGCTTACAAGGCCAAGTGGCATGACTGGTGGGAGCAAGAAGCAAAGATGGATTTCCTGCTGACTGTCCCGAATGCCACGCCTGCTGTCCCTCATGATGGAATGAAGGAGGCAGTGAGTAGTTGCGGATACACTTTCTTGTTCAATCTGGTAAGTTGAGAACAATCCTAGGCAGTGGTTCTCTCGCTGACTGTCGCGTGATAAAGCTTGACTACACCTGCGGCATCATGCCCGTCACACATGTTGACCGCGTCCTTGATGCCCTGCCTGCTTCTTTCAACTTCAAAAAACTCAATGGCATCGCGAAGGGTGCGTACACTCACTATGACGCTGTCAAGATGGAAGGTCTGCCCGTCGGCGTGCAAGTCGTTGGCCAAAGACTTGAAGAGGAGAAGGTCCTCGCTGTCATGGAGAGAATAGAAGATGCCCTGGAAAAGAACGGACAGAAGTACCACTTGTTAGAAGTTGAGTAGAACCGTAGTGCCAAGAATGTAGCATCGACAATAGATCACAACCAAGAAGTTTGACTTGTACCCCTCGGTTCTATTACGCCAATAGCCAACTGTGGCCCGTGAGCTAGACTGACTTACTTGAGCAGTCCGGAGAGTGAATCCACGCAAACCCATTAGGGCACCTGTCGTATAATCGGCATATATGACGTCTGTTCGAACGTAATTTTGGCGGTTACAAAAGTGTTGGGGGAAGCAAGAGGGAGTGGATGTTCTTCGTCTGCTTCCCGGTCGAATGGAGAAGTGGATATCACTATGACAGAGGAAGGACTCCGAGGAGGCGAACCGGAACCGAATTGCTGTTGAGCGACAATTTGGAATCTCGCACCACCCCGGAAAGCAGCTAACTTGCGTGCTTTAGATTGACATGGGTTTGTTATCCAGCGACCCATCCTTATCATTACCTCTTGAAGGAGGTACCAACGAATAAGCGAGAGTGGCCGCAAGCGCTAGACGTGTTTGGGCGGAAGAGATGGGTGCAGATGTGACGTTCGCCGAGAAATGCTTATTCGAAGTATATGGTCTGGACAGGTCTTGCGGCCTCTCTAGTCACGCGAGCATTTCGAACCCCTACAATACCCACATAAGCGGCCGCTCGGGACCATCTCCGATGTGCTCCGGCCGGCAACGCCGGGCTATAAGCTTGCGGCTTCTTCTATCCCGAGGATAGCAGTGAGTGGTAGAGCAGTAAAGCCAAAGGCTTATAGTTTGGAATTGGCTCGTTCCTCAAGACCGCAAACAGCATAGCCGAGCTTTCGTGTATGCGGGCTGGAGGGTCGGATGTGGAGCCATTATCGCGGCGTTCGCTTCTTGGTGGATCATTTGCTTGATTGAGTAGACGGGGCGGATGCAGGGGCAATGGCAAGAAAGGTAGGTACGGCCATCACGGCGCCGAAGGGTCTGGGAGTGTAAAACTGCGAAGTTGGGCGCCGTGTTCCTTTGGTGCAGTGTCAGACGCAGCCGAAGTACCCTTGATTTGCAATTGGCGATAAAGATCTACCAGTGTGAACAGGAATCGACTTCACCGCCGTGGGTCGGGCGACATTCCTATGACCTCAGCTTAACTCGTTCGAGCCGCGCTAGCAAAGAGGGGCACATGCCGCACGGACCAGAAGGCGCGGGGTTGGCTTGTTATTTGGAAGCGTCGAAGCGTGGCCGCTGCTCCCCGCCGCCTGCCACGTTGGCTCCGGCCATGTTTTGCTCCATCCCGGTCGCCAGATCGACGCCCGGCTGCGGGTCGATGGATCCAGAAGCTATGACAATTTCCCGCCCTGACGCTTGAAATGCTGCTGCCAAAGCAACGCCTGCATCTGCTGAGTGGCTCCTGCTGCCGCTACATATTTAAGCACTGTCTCAGGCCCAAGTTCTAGCTCATCATCCTCAATTCCTCTCTTCCATTGACTTCCACCCGACTACCAATTGCGCCAAAATGACTACCTACCACGGCCACTGTGCTTGCGGTCAGACCAAGTGGGAGGTCACCCTCGAGGCTGACCAGGCCTCGCACATCCTCTGGTACGTACATGCCACCCTCGGCCCCGACTGTCGACTGACCCAGCCGCAGCCACTGCGACACCTGCAAGTACCTGTCCGGCAGCGCCTTCACCCTCAACCAGATCGTCCCCAAGAGCGCTCTGAAGTTCACCGCCGGCGGCGACAACCTCAAGGCCTACACCTACACGGGCGAATCGGGCAAGCCGGTGCACTGCTACTACTGCCCCAACTGCACCACCCACCCTTACCACCACCAGACCGCTCTCGGCGACGACAAGATCATCCTCCGCACCGGCCTGTTGGACGAGAGCAAGAGCTTCAAGCCCGCCGCCGAGATCTTCGGCAAGGCGAAGTTGGCTTGGGAGAAGGAGGTTGCTCAGACCTTTGAGACCCTGCCGCCCCAGTAAATCCGAGATTTTTTGTTGGAAGGGTAATTGGCGCACGACACGATCGACGATGATGATATGTAAATGATGAATTGAGTTACAATCAAACATTCGGCTGCTGGCAGTATTCGTGACCTCCAAACGCAATGCAATCGTGTGCCGTTAGATACATTTTCAACCATGATATTGAGATCTATTTACATCATCATTGCTCGCTCACGAGCTCTCCGGCTGGCTCAATGGCGGAAGCTTTCGGATGAAGTGCGTGGGACACTCGTAACCGCTGGGGTTCTTGTCAAGATAGAGTTGGTGATACGTCTCAGCGTCCCACCATTCACCTGCAGGCACAATTTGTGTGACGATCTTACCGTCCCACCACTCCTTGTTGGCACGTTCGGTGACGTCCTTGGCAATAGCCTCCTGCTCGGGAGAATGGAAAAAGATGGCGGTGCGGTATTGAGTCCCCCTGTCGGGGCCTTGGTGGTTCAGCTGCGTGGGGTCGTGGATGGTGTAGAAGTACTCGATGAGCTGTCTGTACGAGACCTGCTCCGGGTCAAAGGTGACCTGCAGAGCTTCCGCATCTGTCCACATGTCAGCAATCGCTGGCAAAACGTCCTAGCGGTTACTTACGGCCAGTATCGCCTCCGCAGACCTGCCTGTAGCTGGGGTTCTTCGAATCGCCACCGATGTATCCAACGCGTGCGTCGATGAGGCCCTTGTTCGCGAAGGACCTGCGGTACGTGTGCTCAACTCCCCAGAAGCAGCCTGCCGCGATCGTTGCCTTCTGGTAGCTGCCGTTAGCGATGCCGGTGGCACCGTTCTCGACCGCGCGCAACGGGCCGGAAGAGAATGGGCGCATGAAGCGCGTGAAAAGACTGCTCACGGTTGTCATGGTTGTGTGAGCGCCTAGCGTAGCGAGGGCGAGGACGATGGCGGAAAAAATGAGACGGCGTCGCAGTTTGACAGGTTCGCAAAGGCCGGTATAGTCAGGACGAAAGTGCTGTTGCGCGGGGTCGTAGCACGGTGGACGCGCGGGAGCTTTTTATCACCACAAGCTGACGCGAGTCAGTCACCTCCGATGAGCGCACTACGCTCGGGATTGCGTCATTGATTATGGACCCTGATGTCTGGACTCTTACCTCCTTCCCCAGTCTCCTGTAAGGCTTCAGAATACACAAATGCGTTGTACCCGCTTTCGCTAAGACGAGGCGGGGCCGCCTTGCTTGCAGCTGCATGCGGTTCAGCCACCCTCATGATTCATGCGACCTTCCTAATCCAGCCGCAGCCATCTACACGCGCCACACGCGGCTGCATGTTAACCTTCTCTTCGGGCTCGCAAGTGCTCGACGCTCTGCGAAAATAGCTAGTGTAACTCTCCCGCTAGCTTCTGGTTTATTGCGGATTGCATTCTACTTCCGCTTTTTGTGAAAGCCAAGTCTATAGAGCGGCGTTTACACCCGCCGTGTGAAGACTGACATGTTTTCATGAATCGCGTACTCAAATCATGTTTAGACGTTATTCAAATCACTGCTAGGCAGCAGCTGGCGCGCCCTTTCTGACACCGCCGCACTCAGCCGCCCCCGCCTACCACCGAGCTGACTCCACAGCCCCCGCCCCCCGACACCATGGAGCTCGGGATCTTCATGGATAGATATCAAATAATAAGTGTATCAAGCCACTCTGTCATCCATCAGCAAGTAAAAGGCCCAGTGGGTAAGTGATCGATTCCCCTTCCCTCTTCAGCACCATGTCCATAACTGATACCCAATCCAGTCTAGTGGTTACGATTCTCGCTTTGGGAGGTTTCTTCTAAACTGCGAGAGGTCCCGCGTTCGACTCGCGGCTGGGCCCTCTTTTTTTTTTGCTCCCCCCTCTTGCCCAAATGTTTGATACGCTTGTTGCCTTAGTATGTGGATGCAAGTTAAATTGGCTGAGTTACACGAAAACTGAGAACAGCAACTAGCGTTGTGTGACGCCAGCAACGCTCGGTTGGTTGTAAACTCATATGGACGAATTGGTTTGCCATGGTGGACACTGCTGATGTCCGAAACAAACTTAGCCGGCAGCCGTTGTCTCTTTTGCGCATCTGTCCACTCTTCAGGAAGGGCTACTGCGGCATCTTCCACCAGGTCAAGCGATGCTCTAAGATGGGAATGTGCCCCATAATGGGTTGCAACGCACGAGTATATACAAGCTGCAAGGTAGAGGCGGCTTTCTTACTGTTCTTGCATGACAAATAACAGGCCATAGTACCAAGCTTTGGTCACCTACAGGGAATTTTCCACTACTTCTCTTGCACTTCATGGAGGTTCTGCAGCAGAGACGTCCAGCCAGCCCGATCAAACCGATGCTAATTGCTTGGATCTTTCACTGGCAATCTCGCTTCTCGAAAGCTCCAGTCGCCACGTATAGCTTCAACGTCCTTTGAGTAGGCAAGAACTCTCTGGATGAGGGTATGCAAGAAGATAGGCGAGGTGGAAAGGAGAAGTGTCGTGTATCTCGTCTCGAACCGAAACTTGCTCCGCTACTACCGTGGCAGGGTTTTCTTTTTGTAGTTGTCGATAACGAAAGACTGACATCTCCGTTAATCACCTATAGTGCCGAAGACGTGTCGCAGAAGCTGTCCAGTGGGGATGATGAGAGCTACCGTTGCGACAATGAGGGTGACAGTAACCTCAGAGTCCCTCGTGAGTATGTTTATTCGAAGAAGACCCGTATATTTTGACCAATGGTGGAGGTCCGTTTGTAGTGGTGTGAGGCTGAAACCTGGCCGCTGGAAATAGACTGTATCACACTTACCGCGCGTGCAAATTACAGAGCCGCAGTTGATTCGATCGGAATTACACACGCAAAGCGGTGTGCATCCAGATCAGAAAAGCAGACAAAAAAAGGTGAAAGTGATGCAACTGACAACATTTTTGACGACTTGTGACCCCTTCGCATCCGTAATGAAAGATGAGAAGAAGCTTCAGCATGTGGTAATCAGGTCGTCCGACATTGGAAAGACTAGAGGATGGGGTGATGCAAACTTGACATCTACATTCGTTCAAGTCTAAATTTTGAAAGAACCGTCGGATAGCCATGCGACTTGGATCTATCCTGTGCACTCCGGACCCTCAGCACCTCATAATGGTGTATATTACAGAAGCAGACTAGTCATCGATCATAGCTCATCATCGACCTCCATCTCACCGTTGACGGCCCCGTTTGCACCAGCGTTCTTGGGTAAGCAGGCCTCCTTGTCAATCATCTGCCTGGAGACTGCAACAATGTTGTCCTCGATAAGCTGCTGACCAACGTCCTCGATGTCTGTAGGAATAGTTAGAAAATTTCGAAATATCACTAGCGGAAGGAGTATCTTACGCTTCTTCGGATCCACCTTGCCGACATATCTCGTCTTCAGTTGGTCCTTTGTGAGCTCCGTCTCCTCCTTGACTCTCTTCTCGTAACCTTCAGCCAGGCTGACCAACCGCTGAAGCTTGTCCACGTTCTTCTCGCCATCCAGCTTGAAATCATCCATCTCCAATGCTTCGGTCCAGACGTGCTTGTGCAGGTTCATCAACATGTTCTCCTCCAGACCCGTCTTCCTGTAATTGATGCCTATGCTGTAGTAGTGTCTGTTCAGACCGTGAATGAGTGCCTGGATGGATGGCTTGTTGAGGTGACCCAGGTTCGACGTGGTTTGACGCGGCTCGTGGCCCATCATAAGCGTCTGCGGGTTGATAAGGCGGAAAGCATCAATGACGACCTTGCCCTTCACGGACTGGATGGGGTCCACCACAACGGCGACGGCGCGAGGCGTCAGCTGCTCGAAAGACTGCTGCGTGTTGATATCGACGCTGGAGAGCCAGCAGCCGAAGCCAGGATGCGAGTGGTACCAGCCAACGACAGTCTCGGGCCTAGTAATTGCACCACATCAGAACATTGTATAGGCGTGCGATGGCAAATGGATTCTTACCGGCCCGTTTGTCTCAGCATGTCCATCATCTTGGTCTGGAAGACGGGGTCCACGGCCTCGACACTGACACCGGTACCGCTCTGGGGCATGGCGAAGACGTCGACTACTCGCACGGTGTAGTCATCCACGAACTCTCCCAGCATCAGACCCATGACTTCCATCGGCACGCCGGCGCGGCCGTGCCGCAGCATCTTGAGAAGGGCAAGGGACGAAATGTAGACGGTTTCCGAGTTGTCGATGAGGTTCGTGTCCTGTAGAAGCGCGCGATTAGCTTGTTGGGTCGGCCGAGCAGCGCGCGCATGTTGAAGGCATGCTGCGGTGGCATACAAAGTACCAGTCCGCGTACCACCCGTCGGGGTACGGGAAAGGGTCCATCTTGCCAGAGTAGCAGAGGGAGGAGGGGTGTAGCAGCAGGAAGCGGACGTACTTGAGCTGGGCCGGCATCTCTCATGCCCTGCGCGGCGGCGAGCATGCGGTTTAGGCGGTCCATGCTGGGTGACGACGGATGTGGGGCGAGTTTGCGGGAACAGGAAGGTCGGACGGGCGGTGGGGAGGTTGCGGGCAGGAATCGGGGGCTGGCAGCACGATGGATGATGGACCAGCGTGGTGGGAGGTGCTGCTGCTGTGAGGCGCTGGAGCTCCCGGCGGAGCTGACGCTACCGACGGCGACGCGCGCGTCGGAGCTCCGGCGAAACTTGGCCGCCGCCGCCGCTCACCGCTCACCGTGTCATTGGCTGGGCCCGCGCTCTCTGCTCGCTCGCTCTCTGCGCATACAGAGCTGCCACCGGCGCCGTTGCCGTTCCCGCACCTAGACTCGTTGCCCTGTCGTCCCTCTCTGATTCCGTCTGCCCAACCCACTGCCCAGCCAGCCGCAAAGATGGTGGGCGCCGGTGCTCCTCCGCTCGATGACTTCAACATCAACGGCAGCTCCCAGCCGAAGAAGGTGGCGTACTTCTACGACTCGGATGTGGGCAATTACGCATATGTCGCCGGCCATCCCATGAAGCCGCACCGCATAAGGATGGCCCACAGCTTGATCATGAACTATGGTCTCTACAAGAAGCTTGAAATCTACGTACGTATCCGTTCTCCACAGTGCGCCTCGGCGTGTCTCTCAGCGCGCCCCGAGCGTTTGCTAGCTGCAGCTGCGCCAATACACGATGGACACCTCACTGACGGCCGCTGTAGCGTGCGAAGCCCGCGTCCAAGTTCGAGATGACGCAGTTCCACACCGATGAGTACGTCGACTTTCTGCAGAAGGTCACCCCGGACAACATGGACAACTTTGCCAAGGAGCAGAGCAAATTCAACGTCGGCGACGACTGCCCTGTGTTTGATGGCTTGTTTGAGTACTGTGGCATCAGTGCGGGTGGCAGTATGGAGGGTGCCGCGCGCCTCAACCGAGGAAAGTGTGACGTCGCTGTCAATTGGGCCGGCGGCCTCCATCACGCTAAGAAGAGCGAGGCCAGTGGATTCTGCTACGTCAACGGTATACATTCCCATTGTGGACCGCTAGCGAAACCGGCCGATAGGATGCGCTAACGCTGTTGCCCTACAGACATTGTGCTCGGTATCATTGAGCTCCTCCGTTTCAAACAGCGCGTTCTGTACATCGACATCGACGTCCACCATGGCGACGGTGTCGAAGAAGCTTTCTACACCACTGACCGCGTCATGACCGTGTCCTTCCACAAGTATGGCGAATATTTCCCGGGCACAGGAGAGTTGCGTGACATTGGCGTTGGAAACGGCAAGCATTACGCCGTCAACTTCCCACTGCGTGATGGTATTACGGACGAGACGTATAAGGGCATATTCGAGCCTGTCATCAAGGCTGTCATGGACTGGTACAGGCCGGAAGCCGTTGTCCTGCAATGCGGAGGGGACAGCTTGTCTGGCGACAGGCTCGGCGCCTTCAATCTCAGCATGAGAGGGCACGCAAATTGTGTCAGATTCGTGAAGAGCTTCAATCTACCAACCCTTGTACTCGGCGGAGGCGGCTATACTATGCGCAATGTCGCACGCACTTGGGCGTACGAGACAGGCCAACTTGTTGGGTCCGAGTTGGGGCCTCAGCTTCCGTACAACGACTATTTCGACGTAAGTTACCCCCAGTGGCCGCCTTGCCCTTTGCTGCTAACAGTTGTGTAGTATTTCGCTCCTGATTTCGAGCTTGACGTCCGCCCTTCGAACATGGATAACGCAAATTCGCCTGAATACCTTGATAAAATCCGCGTCCAAGTCATTGAGAACATCAAGCGCACCGCATTTGCTCCGTCGGTGCAGATGACCGACGTCCCGCGGTCGCCGCTCATGCCTGGCATGGATGAGGAGGCAGAAGACGAGATGAACGACATGGACGAGGATGAGAATCCGGATTCTAGGTTCACTCAGCACCGTTGGGACAAGCGGGTGGAAAAGGATGGAGAACTCAGCGAAAGCGAGGACGAGGGTGAGAATGAAAAGCAAGGCGTGCGAAAGCAACCGGGCAAGAAGCGCAGGATGAACATCATGGATTATCAAAACGCGAACGCCATCGACAGTGACGATACTCCCAGGCCCAGCAGCGCCAACGGTGCAGCTGCAGCAAGCAACACCAGCGCTCCTGACACAGGGAAATCCTCAAGGCGCGCGAGCCCTACAACGGCGGCTGAAGCGAGTACTAGCCAGCCCGCCTCGACTGCTCAGTCTCCGACCCCTGTGGTCACTGAAACAAGAGCGGCGCAGGAAACGGATGTTGATGGCGACGTTGCTATGTCCAGCGCTCCCGAAGCCCCCGCCGCGGCCACGGAGGAAACTGAGGCAAATGCTTCTGCGACGGCAGCAGCAGCAGCAGAAGAGCCCCCCACTGCCCTCACGCCTCCCGATTCTCCTGCGGCTGTGCCAGCAGCAGCTGCTGCACCAGCAGATGAAGCGACTCCCGCAGCCGCCGAGCCCGAAGAAGCACAGCCAGAGCCCAAGGTTGAATCCGAGGCTGAGCAGCCAGCTACTGCTCCAATCGGGGACAGCCCAGCTCCGCAACCCGGTACAACGGCCACTGCAGACACCACGGCCGAGGATGTCGAGATGAACGATGCTGAGCCGGGCGTGCAAAAGGAGGAGGGTCTCAAGGAGAGGCAAGAAGAGGAGACCAAGGGCGAAGCTGCAATGAAGACTGAAGCGGAGGCTGAGGCCTCCTGATTTCTCATATGTAGAGCTATTAAGTCTTGCGGGAAACGGGAAGGGAGTATGGGCTTGGGAGGATATGTGCTAGCGAAAGTAAGCCGGAGTTCAGATGTTGAGGTTGCCACTCGGCATATCGAAAACATTCCGGCGGCGGCGTCTCTCTTATTTGGCATATTTCGGGTTAGGGTTTGAGAACGATACCATAATGGCGTTGGAAGGGGGGCAAGCAGTCATGCTAGACACATTCCCCTGACCGGGCGTAGTGGACCACAGTGCTCTTGCTTCTGCAATAGCATCCATTCAACTCGTTTACTCATGATATTTATAGCCTATGGTTGACAGAAAAAACATGGTATTTGACGCCCAAGCTGGTATGAACGGCGCCTTCTGGCAGCAGTGACTGGTACATAGATATACATGGATGTCTCACACGTTCGCATACCTTCCGGCCCAGAGATGCAGCCGGGCAATGCCACTCTCCAACTCAGCAACTTTGTCGGCCCAGCCGCGCTCCGGGCCGTATGTAACGCGCTTCCCATTGCCCCTGACCTGGTACAGCAGCTCCGTCATGAGGGGGCTGTCCTTCTTGACGCTGGGGAAGCCGTCGAACTGCACCTCCTCAATGCTGGGCACGCAAGGAAAGAGGTTGCGCAGCAGTCCGCTGCAAAACGCGGTGAAGAAGTCATCGCTCCGGCGGAATCCGCGAAATATCTCGTCGCTGGCCGGGTCGCACTCGACGAAGACCTTGAGCGAGCGGGCGTCGCGCAGGTCGGCCAACCCCAGGCGCTCGGCGCCCTCGGGCGACAGGTCCCAGCATTTCGGCAGCGGGCCTTGCCAGCCGGGCCCGAGGCGCAGCTCCAGGCGGGTGATGCAGTTCCGGTAGCGTGGCGAGAGGCGGGCGAGGAGCGGCTTCTTGGTGTGGAAGAAGCGGCCGTGTAGGGGGAAGATGCGGAAGACATTGGTGCCGTAGAAGACGCGGTAGGCCTCCTCGTGCATGCGGTGCGAGGTCAGGAACAGGGGCAGCATCCGCCGCAGTATGGTTCGGTAGTTCATGGGGTCGAGGTCGACGACGCCCGGCACGGCGAGGAGCAGCTCGTACACGCGCAGGCGGATCTCGGCGGGCAGCGCGAAGAAGGGAAAGGGCTCGGCTTCGCTGTCGGTTGTCTCATACGTCTCGTCGTCATGGTCAATGTGCTGCGGAGGGGGCGGCTGGACAGCCTTCGCAGTGGCTTTGGCGCGGCGGCGGGCGGCGACAGTCGTGCTGGACGAGCATGTCTCGGTGGACGCGCGCGCGAGCATGGCGCGCCGGGTCGCCATTGTGGATGGATTGAGTGTAAGGGGATGTAGAGATGAGGGCGCGGAGGGACGGCCGGCTCGCGCAATCGCTTGCCGACCTGAGTTCATGCATCCATCTTGACGACGGGTGGTGTGGAAGCGATGGGGAGAGGCAATATAGCCGGATGCGGGGTACTGGTGTCGCAATGAAACACGGTGTCGCGTGGACGAGGATGCGGCTTAAGGCGGACGGGCAGGGAAGGTGTAGTCAGCAGGCGGTGGCGTGCGCGTGGACCACGGAGTTAAGAATGTACCGCTTCAACGGGAGTCAACGGCTCACGGAAGATCAGAGCTGCTGCTTCTTGACAGCGGGAGGCATCTCTCTTCCCAGCTAATACAACCCCAGGCTCACGCTTGAGCAAGACACCGGCTAGGGCGCGTGCAAGCGAGCAAGGCGTCAAATTTCCTGGGTTTCAAATTTCAACTTTCATGGAGAAAAAAGAAGAGAGGTGGCGGAGAGGGCGACAGAGTTTTGAGGCCGGGCCGACGCTCGCTTAGGCGCGTCACGTGCCGAATCGGCGTCTGGGCTTGGCGTCGGCTTTTGGTTGGCGGGGGCGCGCGGTTTGGGGAATGTCGGAGCGCATTGCCCGAGGCGATCTGAACCCGGGCAGGCTGGGGATGCGGGCCAGGGCGTCGTGTGGAGGTGCAGCCCGTGGGGAAAGTGAACATCATAGAAGGAATACGGATTCCGCCGCCGCTTTATATTCACCAGGACTGACGCAGTTGCCAGTCCATCCTCCGTCCTTGCCATTGCCTTTGCAAACCACCGACATCTCCCCCGCACTTATCCCATACCACTTCAGCAGCCAGCACCATGGGCAAGCCGATCGTGCTCCACCTCGGCGATGACATCAAGTGGAACCATGAGCTCTACAAGCAGCTGCAAGACAAGTTTGAGATCCGCCGCAGCTACAGCATGAACCGCGCCGAGTTCAAGCAAGCGTTGAAGGACAAGAAGTTCGGTGACTTTGTCGCCATGTACCGCCCCTTCTGGAACACTGGCGGCGAGATGGGCAACTGGGACGACGAGCTTATGTGAGTTGCACTTTCCCCTTCGTTAGTCCTGATAGTTGGACGACAGCCGAATCGGGAAAATATTCCCGCTGCGCTGCCGAACATCAGGCAAGATGCCGGCCCAATTGCGAGAAGATGTCCATGAGCCTTTTCGCTGCAGTTGTCTGGGCATATTTATTGACTTTGATCGCAGCTCCCTGCTCCCCTCTTCCTGCAAGATCTACGCCTCGGCTGGTGCTGGCTTCGACTGGGTTGACACGCAACGCCTTGCTAAGTCCGGCATCATCTACTGCAATGCCGCCGCAGCATGCACCGAGTCGGTCGCCGACGCCGCCATCTGGCTTATTCTTTCCACCTTCCGCAAGTTCACCTGGTCGGCGCTCAGCGCGCGTTCATGTGACCCGGAGCGCTTCAAGGACGCCAACCGCAACATTGCCGCCATCACTCACAACCCCAACGGCTACTCGCTCGGCATCATCGGCCTGGGCAAGATCGGCTACCGCATCGCCCAGAAGGCCCATGGCGCCTTCGACATGAAGATCCTCTACAACGACATCCGCCAGCTGCCTTCGGATGTCGAGAGGAGCGTCGACGCCAAGTTCTACCCCAAGCTGGAGGACATGTTGGCCGTTGCCGACGCCGTCCTCGTCGCCACCCCCTTTGGCGGCGACAAGATCCTGAACGCCGCCCAGTTCCGTGCCATGAAGAAGGGCGCCAGGCTGATCAACATCGCCCGCGGCAAGTTGATCGATGAGGAGGCCCTTGTCCAGGCCCTCGAGAGCGGCCACCTTGAGGCTGCTGGCCTGGACGTCCACTACGACGAGCCCAACGTCCATCCCAAGCTCGCCAAGGCCGAAAACGTCGAGGTACTCAGCCACACCGCCGGTGCGAGCGTCGAGAGCCACATCGGCTTCGAGAGGCTGGGAATTGAGAACATCCTCGGCTTCTTCCAGACCGGCAAGGCGGTGACGCCGGTCAACCTGCACTTTTTCGACAACAAGGCGAAGCTGTAAGCAGGCGTTATGGTCCTTTCTGTATCGATACCAAGCGGGTTACCCTCAAAACGGCGAAGTATAGCATTCGGTTTACATGTTCTGGAAATACATTCTATTCCCGTGCTCGGTGCCAACCACGTGATGTGCAAAGTTGCCATGATAACCTGTCTTTATTCGTCTCGATTCTACGCATAGCACAGCGACGATCCTTTTTATTTGTGCATAAAGGGCATTTTTCTCTACGTTAAACAACCATATCGTTGAAGCTGCCTTTACCTCGCCATCCGGCCGAATCTAGTTCTTGTCCAGACGTACCGCAGCATTGCTCTCAATGAAGTTCAGATCGACCTTGTGGCCGAGCAAATCTCGGATGTTGCTGACACCATACTTGATCATGGTAGGACGCTCCAGGCTCAGACCAAAACCATAGACGCGGAGATCCTCGGGCAAGCCCATGGGCAACAACATTTCAGGCCTGAACATACCCGAGTTGCCAATCTCGACCCACTTGCCGAGGCCTTGGTGGTAGCCAAAGATTTCCATCGACGGCTCTGTGTAGGGGTTGTAGGCAGGCTTGAAGCGCAGACCGGTGATACCAATCTGCGCGAAGAAAGTCTCGAGGAACTTCTGCAGACCGCCAAGCGTCAGGCCGAAGTCGGCGATGACACCCTCGATCTGGTGGAACTCGGCCAAGTGGGTGGCATCGACGGATTCGTTCCGGAAGACACGATCGATGGAGAAGTAGCGTGCGGGGCGTGGGTCCTCGGCCAGCCTGTGCAGCACCCACGTCGAAATGGCCGTCGTGTGCGTGCGGAGGACAAGCTTCAGGCACTCGTCCTTGGACCAGGGGTAGCGGTAGCCCACAGAGCCGAAGGCACCGTCCTGGTGCACGGCCTTGATGTCGTTCCAGTACTTTTCGTAGTCGCGCGGCTTGATCTTCTTCTCCGAGTCAGCCGTCGCGTAGAGGTGGCGGCCACCCTCTTCCATCTCGTTCATCTGCTGCTCCGCCACAGGGTCATCGCGAGGAGGGTCGGCAGATGCGGGGTCAGAAATGAAGAAAGTGTCCTGCATATCACGGGCAGGATGCTGCTGAGGGACGAAAAGGGCATCGAAGTTCCAGAAGCCCGAGTCGACGAAGCTGGAAAACACGTCAGTAAATCTTGAATGGGGGTCCACTGTCGCAGTTGGACGAACCGAGAGGTGGGCATCTCGACGAAGCCCTGGTTGAAGAAGATGTTTCTGAACTCAGCGCGCACCTTCATCAAGGGATGTAATGCGCCGGCGTTCTGAGGAGCGCCAAGAGCGTTGAAGTTGTAAGGCTTGAAGGTTGCGGTCTGCCATGAGCCATCAAGAAGCATGTCGGCAGTCAAGTCAGTGTGCTCGACAGGCAGCTCACGAGCATACTTGGGGCCCTTCTCGACGGTGTAGGTGAAAACCTTGGTGGTGGTAACGAGCTTCCTCTTCCTCAAGTCGGCCAGCACCTTATTGTCGGCGGCGGATCCAGTCTCGGCAATCTTCTGGAGGGTTGCGCGCGTGGCGTCCTGCACCTCGTCGACGAGCGGAACCAGCGCGTCGCCATCCTTCTTGATCCACTTGTTGCGGAAGGCGTTGCCTTGGCCAACCTTGACATCGGCGTTGGCTGCCAGGCCCTGTTTGCGCTTCTCAGTACTCAGTTGGCTCCAGCCGAACCCTCAGTCTTCACGTACGGGAAGATCCTTGATGGAAACTCTGCCATTCCGCTTCACCACGTCCCACACCTTCCACTCGTGGCTGCCCTCGTCGACTATGGTTTGGGCCTCCTTCGTGAGCACGGCCACCTCCGAGTCGGCCGTCTGATAGGTGACCATGGAACGCGAGGCCAGGCGGTCCAGAGCGGCTTTCACGTCGACCTGCGAAAAGCCGGACAGGTCTTTGTTCGAGTGCAGCGTGGGCTTCTCGTGCAGCAGGTCAAGAACCACCTGGGTGGCATCGCTGTGCTGCGGCACCGGCACGGGGCCGCGTTGGCCGACCATTTTCGCTCGGCGGGAGACTGGGGTGTACGAGGAGGCGGAGCGTGCGAGAGCGGGAGCAATTGGGGTGGGTACGGTGGCGGGCGTGGGAGAGATGTGTGTCTGGGTGGGCGATGAGTCGTCGCTGCGACAGCCCACTTCGGGCGCCGCAGTCAGAATTTCTGCCACCGCCTTGGAGAGCTCCGTCCGGGCTCGCCGCACTGCACTGCATCTCCAACTCCACTACTATGTAACCTCATCCACGCCACAATGGGCTTTTGGAAGAACCCGTTTCTCGCCTCCTCTTCACAGCCACAAGAGGACGCCGCCGAACTTACACCATCGTCGTCGCCCCTGCCCACCCCGTCTGCTGTATCAGCAACCTCGCCGCCAATCAAGACGGCATCCGCACCCCCTTCTGTTCACGAAAATGCGCGCTTGTCCACGGTTTTTGAGGTTCGCGTCGCTCTTGCGGGAACCATCGCCCTCCTCTCCGGCCTGACCCTAGGAATGGCCCATGGCAGCCAATCTGCTGCCTTGCGGTACCGCGCCGAGAATGCGCACCGCCTACCCACAGACGCCACAGGCTGGTACCTGTATCACAAAAGCAAAAACTACCACGCCATGCTGGGGGGCGTACGTGAGGGCCTGCGTATGGGCGTCAAGCTTTCCATCTGGGTCAGCGGCTTCTTCATGTGCGAGGAGGCCATTGATCGCATCCGCGGACTGGGTGACAGCAGAGGTGATTTTGGCAGCACTGTTGTCGCCGGCTTGGGCACAGCCGGTGCGTGGAGTGTATGGAGTAAGTCGCCGATGGCTCTCCTGAGCAAACAGGGTATTATGGATTGTCTCTGACTGGTCTCTCAGATCGTTTCCCACCAATTACAATTGCTCGTACTGCGAAAATGGGCCTGGCAGTCGGACTAGGCTATGGCCTTCTGCAAGACGCCGTGTCACTTCTCAGAGGCCAGCGCCTCGGTTACATTGAGTATTTCCGTAACATACCGACGCGCGTTGAGGATCGTCGGCAGCGCAAGATCGAGCAAGCTTTGGCAAGGCGTGGTCGTGATGGAGAGACGCGCCAACAAACATGAAATATAACTGAATTCAATGGCAACAGAAGGAAGGTTCCGGGGGGCGCCCACAACTCCGTTGCACACTCAGAACAGCACTCGCTTAGTTGCCGCCACGACCATGTCTGTCAACACTTTGCGCCCAAGACACCGCGCGGTACAGGGCGAGAATGGCTGGCCATGGCCCTGCATCAGTAGAGCAACCACCAGCAGAGTCGCTTCTGCCCATCCCCTGTCATGATAGGACGGGAAGAAGCCCTTGGGCGTGCTCTATTCTCCAACAGGCGGGAATTCGGCGAAACCACAACGCTGATAACTCTCCCAAGATCTCTTTTCGCGCTGTGACGCAAGCGAAACAACACCTGACCAGAATACTTAACAGTACATAAAAACGCCTGTTCGTTAGGAAACACGGGTCTAGATATCGTAGTGTAGCTCCAAACTCCATGAGCATCGAGTCTGTCCCCTGGTGGTGTCACATGCGTGCGCTGCTGTAGAATCTCACATTTGGTGTATCAGCGTCGTAATGCTCACGCTAAAGCTTCTTCTTACGATTTCTGTCTGCTGTTGATCTTTGTGGATCTATTATGCAGCTCGCCATCCCAGTGTCTTTGTCGGGTCCGCAAATTCAGCAAGCGTTCAGTCCGACTAACCAGACCAAGACTCCACCGCAGTCGACCAAGTGATGCCACGAAACATGCTCGCATGGGGAAAAGACAGCCAGAGTACAAAAAAATTCGAACACTGTGTATGTACAGGGAAGGTTGGTTAAAATAAACCCCTCCATCCAGATTCCAGGCCTTTTGAGAACAGTGTAGTTACTGTATACATACCACCCAATTTTGGTAATTGCACTACGAGGTATTCGTCGGTGGTAATAGTAGAAAAAAAGAGAACCCTTTCTGTATTTCCTTCATCCATTGAGTGGTCTCCCGCTGTTTCCTTCCCGGTCGTTTTCTTCATTACATCCGCCTCCACAAACCCTACCCCAGTCAGTTCCCAACTCATCACACAGCAGCGGCCCAGCCAGCTCAAAAATGCTTGAGTGTTGCCGCTGTCTTCGCATCCAATACATCTAGATGTCTGAACAACGGAAAGGAATGGCCCCTTTAGTCGCCGCTATCCCGTGCCCGTCCATTTCGAGCGGAGAGAAGAGGAATTTCCAACTCTAACGGTAAGCAAGCGGGTATGTCGAGAAACACTCTATAAGGAGAGACTGAGCCAAACGCAGAAGGAAAAGAAAAGAAAGAGGAAAAAAAACCCAAGATGTTTGACTCCCATGCGTTGAAGGAAGGCGAGGGTCAGTCAATTAGAAAAACAAACTGTGACCTCCATCCGAGAGCCGAGCTAGAAAAGGCGGAAAAATATAAATGGGGAATCGAGAAGCGGAAGAAGAAATGAGGCCTTGTTCCCTTAACTCTGCATTGGATCCGAAATACAAGCGCGTGTTTCCTAGCCAACCTTTGAGTGTGCGGATGTCGCAAAATGCAAGCAGGTGTTTGCCAAGACCCGTTCCCCCTCTCAGCCAATGTTGGCATAATATTTGGAACTTCGAAACCAAGGAGACGCCGTCCAACTCCGGCCCGATGGTGCGGTTGTAAAAGGAAGAAACCTAATCGACTGAGGATTCGAGTCGCTCAAACTTCGAAGCAGTGCGGCACATGATCTATAAAGATTCGTTGAAAAGTCGAGAGGACAAGGAGCATGAAAGACGGTTTCAGCTGTCTTATTCTCCTCTCTCGAACTTGATGGGGTGGAACAGGATGCCCCTCAAGCACATGCGGCCGCTGCCGTTCTCTTCTTCGTAGCGTCCACCCTCTTCATTCTCGGAGGCGCCTAGCCACCGTCTCCAGAGAGCGCCGGAGAAACCAGAGTTGTAGTAGAAAGAACTGCCGAGGAGGTTATGCTCACCCCAGCCAAAGGGGCTGTCAATCTCCTTCTTCGGGTAGTTGAAAATCTGGTTCATGTAATCGAGATCCCAGTTGCGGTCGAAGTAAACAGGGTGCGGGGCGTAGACGGACTTCAGACCATGGTGATACGCAACAGTCGGCGGCCACATCTCCGGGAACATGGTGTGACGAAGGCGGAAAGTCTCTTCATGCATGAGGTTGAGGAGGCGCTTGGAAAGACGCGCAACGGTAATGATGGCTACGCGACGGGGAGGCGGAGGAAGCGAAAGATCGTATCCAGTGATGTCATGGCGGAACACCCAGTTGGTCTTCTCAGGGTCAAAGAAGGGGTTGAAGGTGATAAGGTCAGCATCCTCGCCCACGCCCCATTGGTAGTTGTCCTGCTCATAGGAAGTGGGAGGCGTGGTGCCCGGGGGCGAAGGGATCTTTTCCTTGGCCTCGTAGTTCGGGGGTCCCCAGACCGGAGGCGTGTCAGAAGCGGCGATCTCCGCCTCAACCATCTCAGTGAAGTTCTGCCAAGTGCCGTGGACGTCAGGCATATAGAACTTGGAACTGCGCTCCCAGGCGCCCTTGCGCGGCTGGCGCTTTCCCCACTGGCCAAGCTTCTCATGGAACTCGTAGTAGTGGCCGGTGTATCGCAAATCCATTTCCCAGTTCCAGAAAAAGTCATACTCGGGATGCTGCTGGGCGAACCACTGAAGAGCAAAGTGGGCACCACGGTAAACGCTGTGGACAGGAAGACCTGAGTCGTTCTCGAGGTTGTCGGTGAAGGGCTCGGGGTAGTATGTACGCATTTGCTGCTCTGACCAGAGAGTAGCAATGCCCCAGAACTCCTTTGGCACGTTCTCCTCAAGCGTGCGTTGGTAGATGGCATCGGAAGCCCAGATAGGAATGCTATCATCCTTGACGTGAACGAGCAGATGAACGTCGTACTCACCACCCGATTTCAGCGACAGCTCGTTGATCATGGCCCGCAAGCTGAGCAGCTGCCATTCCGAATACTGGTAACCGGTCCAGGTGCGCAGAACATAGGCAGTGCGTTGCCTCAGCTTCTTTCCAGGAGCGGGCTTTTGGCCATCCTTGGTTGTGGCGTCCTTCTCGAAGCGGACTCTGTTCTTCTCGTAGCAGGCACTCTGGGCACGGCCCCAGTCGACGTTTCTCCAATCCACCTTCTTCTGGTTGAGCATGTCCCAGACTCTCTCGGCGCCAACGTTCTCCGAGTTATCGGCCAGGCCAACGCCACCCTCTTCGTGGGGATAGCCGTAGCCGTAGGGGCTCAGGCGACCAAAACGCTCGTAGCACATATCCTGGGAGATGCCAAGCTGCTCGTAGGAGCCGAAGAATGGCTTGGTCGTATTCTGGGGGATACCAGGGTACGCGTAGATGTCGGGGGTCTGGGTCTTCAAGCCCTCGTCCAGGTAGCACTCTTCCACAGGGTGATACTCCTTCAGGTATTCGGGAGACGTCCACTCAGGATAAGGGTTGAAGGGGAAGGGCCGGGCAGAGGGCGATGGTTCGGGACCGGTGTGGGCCTTGGCTTTCTGCGTGGTGGACGCAAAGGTGTCCAGAGGAGCCTCGGATTCGGCTCTCACGTAGGCCTGCTCGGGGACGTAGTCCTTGTAAGAGACGAGGGTGCGCAGGCCGTTGTAGTAGCCATTTAATCTGTCGAGCGTCAGCAGAGGTATTCGAGAGGGAAACGGGGCGGCAGGAGTCGCACCTGGGGAAGTGCTCCCAGGCGAAGAGCTCGCGTGGGGGTGGTTGCTGGTGTATCATGCGCTGATGCCGCCTGTAGCCGCCGGTTGCGAGCAGGCCGATGCAAAAGACGGCGGTGATGGCGAACAGGATGGCTCGCGAGAAGCTCAGCTTGGGCAAGATGAAGCGGTCGCCGCCCGGGCTCGGCGAGCGCCAGCGATACTTCTTGAGCGGCGTGCCATTGTCGTAGCCAGGCAGCTGCTCATAGGAGAAGCTGGTCTTGAGCGGTAGCAGCTTCATGGGGTTCATGTTCTGGAAGCGAGAGGACAGAGGCGATTTCATGGCTCCGGGTTGAGCATGAGGCTCGCCAGCTTCCCCTCGCACCGAGTTCTTGCGGAACTAGAAAAGCGGGAGTCAGCGGGCTGTGGGTGGAGGATGACGGAGCGATGCGCGCGGCGCGGCGTACCCGAATCTTGAAGGCTGAAACGCGAGACGGTGAGAGGTGATCGGTGGGCCTTGCGGGCGACTAGATCCGCAGGCGGTAGTCGCTTGGTGAGCGGACGGCGTGAAACGGAGGAGGGGGCGCGCGGGCTGGGTTGGGCGGCGGCGTCGTAATGGCAATCTGCTGTCGGGGGCGGCAGACGGTCGAGGAGGGTGACGGAGGAGTGTGGTGCGTGGAAGCTTTCGGGGGTGCGGTGCTAGGGCGCCGGGGCCGCACGCGGTTGCAGTGCGTAGGGAAGGGATCAAGCGCGCGCAAAACGAATGACGATTGGACGGCGGTGGCGGCGGCCGCTCAGGCGCTCCGCATTGGCAGGCTGACGATTAATTGCCGCAGAGACGATGAGCAGCGAGAGCACGGCGGTCGAGCTGGACGGAGAGCAGCAGCGCAGCAGCGAAAAGGAGAGATCGTCGGCTGTTATCTGGGCCGCGCAGGCCTGCCCGCCGCTTTGGGCGAGCCAATTGCGCGCCCGCCCGCGTCCGGCGCACGCAGCGAGCACGGCTGTGGCCCTGCGCCGCTGCCTCTTGGGGATGCGCCGGATTGCGTGCGCACCGGCCGCGCTGCCCCAGGCCTCTCCTCGCTGTCTATCTTGCACGGCCAGCCGGCACTGCAATCTCGACTGTCGCGTCCGGCCAACTTGGCGGCGGCGCCTTGCTGGAAGCCGCGCATCGCAAGGCCTGCCGGCCCACCCCGTGCCGGCCTGCCAGGCCTCCCAAAATAGCGCCCTCTGCCCTTGCCACACCCCACGCCGTGGCCAATTTCAACCTCCTCTCCATGCAGAGGGCCGGCGGCTCCTGGCGCTGCTGCTGCTGCTGCTGCTCCTGCTCCTCCCCAGCCCGCGCGCCGTCCGCGCTTCCTTCGCGTGTGCCGCAATAGGGCGACGCGCCTCCCGTGAGCCTCGCGGCCCACGCGGCCTGTCATGCAACGGCAGCGTCGAGCCTGTTGAGCCTCCGACCTTGGCTGTGCTAGGCCCGAATCATCCAGCCCGCCCCGCCACCAGCCCAACGCCAACCTGTCACGATCGCCTGCAGCCGCGATGGAAGACGCAAATCGTCATGTGTGCGCGGCAGGTTTGCCGCAGCGTGGAAATGACGATCATCTCGTTTCGCATCCCTGGGCCTGAGCTCCCTATGCGCAACCTCTGCTGCCAGCCTGCTGAAACAGCTGCTGACGACAGCTCTCTACTCGTTGCCAGACAATAAACACGCTACAGCGCCCTGGCTCCACCGGCGTGGCTGTGACCCGGGATTCCAGCAAATGCTTGACTAAAGCTTACGGGCAAGAATTTTCATTATTATTGCTGAGAAAAAGAACTACTCTCACAAGCTCCTATTTTTAACGATCATCATCATATCCGTTCCGTCGTATCTCATAACCTTATTGCTGGCGCCTTGGCTGCCGCGTTGCTTATTGCATCTGCTCACGCACCTCGCCCATAGGGGCGATCCTCGCCGCATCGACGGCTTCGTCGTCCAGCCCAGCGGTCTTCGCAATCGTCTCGCCGTGCTTGCCCTCCAGCGGCGCGACCTTGGCACCGGCCAAGACGTCGTCGCGGCCCACGACGCCCTGGCTGTTGGCGTGAGGAGCTGGGTGCTGGTATTGACCTTTGGTACGCCTGTCAGCCTCCTTGCCGCCGCATCTAACGAGTGGCTGGTGCCCTGCTCTCGCTCGAAGCTACCAGCAAACCGCCCCTCGGATGCAGAGCTGCTTACCGTGGCCGCCCAAGGGATCGATGCGCGCCCGGTCGATGCTATGGTTTGTGCCCACCGCACCACGGTCCGTCAGTTCGTGCGCGACGTTGGACTTGATCGGAGATTCCAGCGGCTCGATCTTGGCTCCGGCAATGGTGTCGTCCCTGCCACTTATGGATCGTCAGTGCATGCCGAAGACGGAAGCAGCGGCGGCCTACATAGACATATTCGCGATTTGTTGAGGAATGGTCGTCCCAAGTGGATGTGAGAATGTCAACCTGACGCACCAAACGCCCTTGAGCCAAGCTGCCTCTTTATCAGGAACCGCTTACCATGCTGCGCTGCAGTGTCTCGTGTCGTGTGAAAACACCATGACGTAGAAGTGCCGTCTCGAAGGGCTTCCCCGCTCTATCACCTACCTCAAAGGCATAGGGGCCGCCGTTGTGCACCGCACCTCCGACGTCAAGGTGCATCATCGTTTGCGGGAAGCCGCAGCCATCCGCCCACGGTAGGAGTCGTTGATTCGCTCAACCACATTCCTCGCTGGAAGTAAGATATGATCGACGTTCATCGAGACACACAAACGCTCACGGGTGTGATCGTGCCACAAGTACAGGGCCTCCAACAATCCGTCCACGCTGCGGTTGGTGGGTTGTTGGCACTTGTTTTGATGATTCCTCATATTTTTCGTAGCGCAGATCGCAGCTGAACGCGGACCTGCGGTAGACAACAGACTCTGGATTCAGCTCTAGTTCGAAGGATTAGCTCTAATACCCCGCAACATGGACGTTGGCAACGATGGTCCCCCATCGGTCATTCTTCCCACCTAACTCAAAGGCCAGCAGTGCACTTGTCGCAAACGCACTTGAACCCCCATGAATTCATCAGTAGCCTCCTCCGAGCATCCGTGTTCAGCGCTCTTTCCTCCCCGCTCAAATAAGTGATGCACAGCTCCTCGCCTTTGCAGATGTCCCTACCCGCTGTGAAGTGCCAAGCTAGCCCCACCCTCTTCTTCTCCACGTTCGGCGAGCAGCTATGGTTAAAGTAGCTAGCGCTGGTCCATACGCCGTACCCAAAGAACTCAGCACCATCGTCGTCCAATGATCGGATGCCGAAACTGTTCATGCTGTCACGTGTGGCGAGCATGTGGCAGGTTTCTGCCGTCGCGAATGGGAGTAGAGTCGGCGGCAGGACCGCGACTAGCTGGAGAAAGGAGCTGACATGCTCTTTGAGGTCATCTGCTGACTTGTACGGCTGGTGGTTTGGCCAGAGCGCGAGGATCGAAGCCCATGCATCCGGGTCACGTGATCGTGCCAAAATGCCGGAGAGCAGCATGGAGAGGACGTCCGGGACGACTGGGGCTTGTAGAGCGAAGGCTAATGCTCGCCTCGCCGGTTTGTTTGGCCGTGGTATACTCGATCGTGCGGCGAGAATAAGGGGCGTCATCGCGGATGCAACATTCCAAGCAAGCTTTATGTCGTCCTCAGTAGGGATCGATGAAACTGTATGTACTGCGTAAGCAATTCGCATGGATGGATTTACACTCGCAGGCGATGAAAAGCTATAGGACAAACATAGAAAGAGAAAGCACTGCTCAAGTGTCAGGTGGGGAAATTTGAAGAGGAAACATTTGCTGTACTCGACGAGTGGACGGAAAATTAGCGTCCTCTATGTGAAGACTGCAAGAGAGTTCGGGTCAAGTGGTCTCGAGCGACCTCCGAAGGGAAAGGTGGGACCGGGCTAAGCGGGAAAAGGAAATGAATATAATCGAAGAGCAGTACTTACTGGCATCCACCATTTCCCTTTCCCTTGAGCAACCCTTGTTGAGCTTTTCCACCTCTTTCCAGGCTTGAACGCCCTCTTGGCCTAATGTGTCGGTCCATTCCTGCTGGCAAGAGATGGAGCAGAATGCAAAGCCTACAGAATTATCACGAATCTTCCATTCGCGGCCACGGTTATACGTGAAGCACTGGGCACACAGTTCTCTGCGATACTCACGCAAGATGACATTGGCGCTTGGGGTGTCTGCTACCCACAACGGCGTACCCTTTGCGATGTCCGAGGTTGCAAATACGGCCCGGCCAGCAGAAGGCGTCTCCTGCACAGCGAACACAGGGGAAACCGGTGCGCCGTGAGGAATGCCCTCGACTCCATTCATGGTGGCTTTCTCCTAGCTGGGGATAGATGCAAGGGCGTCGGGCGTGAGGACGAGCTAAACCGGACTGCGGTCAGGAGCACCAGCAGGGAGGGTCAATCGGGCGGATAGAGGCTTCCGCAGGTCCGCTGGGGCAAGTCTCGACGGCGGCTTCGAAGGGGAACGCTCAAGGGGTTATACGTCCCTTGAGACGGCACTAGTGTAGAGAAGAATGCATGGCAGCACGATGTGGCAGACAAAAGCTGCGGCAAGCGGGTCCAGGCTGACCAAGCGCAGCCTGGCTGAATTAAACGCAGTAAGTGGTCATGAAGTCGAAGATAAGTGAGCAAAAAAATTCGACACTAAGCTCAATTGGTAAATGGCGAATGGAGGACTCGGTCATGACTGTCGCGGACTGCAGAAAGCAGCAAATGAGAGAGAAGAAAGGGGGAGCGGTGCGCGGGAAAACAAAGGCTTCGTGACGCTAGATCCGCCTGAAAGTCCGCTGGCGAACCGCTCGGCGCTTCTCACAAACGTGCCAGCGTATCCGCCACCCATCTCGGAGCGGAAGAGACCGCGTTCCAGCCCTCTCCCAAGCGAGCCTCTGATATGGGCGAGTGTCGGTGACGACACCTCGTGTCGACAGACGTCTGTGTGACCGACAACCCCTTGGAGGTATTGTCCAACCAGACGGGTCGATTTCAAGGTTCAAGAAAGACGAGGCAGTCTCTGAAAAGACACGCAGGACGACCAGACGAAGTTGGGGGAAAGGAGTATTTTGAGACTGAAGAAGGGGGGGAGAGAGAGAAAAAAAAAAAAACACGTGCGTCAGGCGTGATCCCGTCCGCCTCTCGACAGTGTCCTGCAATAGGCAATCTTAGACTGCACTGCGGTCAGCCCGACTTCATTGGAGAATGGCGCAGGGACGGTACTGCCAGAGACGCAGGCTCTTGTGGATGCTAAGTATGGAGTCGTTCGCTGGCCGCGGGGCGTGCCGATCAACCCTGCAACAGAAACACGTTGCCGCACGCGCGCTTGCTGGGAACTGTGGCCTCGACCCCCATCCAAGGGAACTAGCAACATGTGAAGGATCACCTCGGCCGCGGCCAATGGGCGGATGAAATGCAGCTCAAGAGCACACAAGGATTTCTTTCTCCTTTTTCCCCTTGCCCTTCTGGCGGCCTCAATAACCTTGCACCGAAGAAAAGTAACGCTCTGATCAGACCCATCCAATGGTCGGCTCACACGTGCAGAAAGGAATCGATAACACATTAGACTACGCCAAGCAATTCTTGATCGCCGTAAATAACGATAAGAGATACGCTCAACGGTTGACTGAACATTTGGCCAGATGGGAAAAGTCGACAGAAAGTCATGGCAAGGAGACGATAAGCAATGACGACGGCGAGGGCTGTCCCAGCCGCCCGTCTTTTGCAGCTATGCTTAGAGCTCGTGAGAGACTCCACCCCGAACAAATGAACTTTGAGTTGCTGGCCGGTCTGGCCAGATCCCCACTTTTTTGGTAGTTCGAAGGAGCACAGTGATTGACTATGTAGGATTTGCGAGGCTGCGCCAAAAAGAAATGCTGCAGGTCTGCTCTGCACCGTGCATCGAACGTGCGTTTTTGGGCAGTTTGTCTGTGCGTTGCCTAATTTGCATTCATTTTCATGCGTTCCACATTGGTTCTCCAAGCCGATGTAGACTGCAGAGTGCTGCAAACCGCGTGTATGGAAGCGAAAGAGCGGAGACAGTTTGCGGTTGTGAAGACCGTTGCTTCGATGATCATGGTCAAAGGAGAGTGTTGACCGGTCATTTCTGATGTTATTTCTGGGTTGGTACTGGAGGAGCCGGAGGAGCCGTGGCTGTATCCTAATGCGGCACTAAGACGTGTCGAGGCTCCAGTCACGAGGGCTACGTCTCACCAAACTATCAAGAGTAAGCCCCTAAACCACGTTCGATGGCATCCGGTTCTCCTAGTCTGGGGAAGCATACTACCACTCGTGCTCCAAATTTGGGCTATTCACACGCCAAGATCATCGGCCTTCCCTTTTGCTCGCCAAGCCCTGTATATCGCACCTGTTCGCGTTAGTGCAGGATGTTCAAAGTTATTCCAGAAGCCCGATAGTTGGAAGAATTACGGACAGTTCGACACCATGCATGCAACCAGCTCGAGGATCGACACATGTTCTACCTCAGACGGACATAGGGCAATCGACAGTCGGCGGACGGGGGTTTCGATGCAAAGACGTCGAGATGGTTTGAAGGATATAAAAGAGCAAGCGGCAGCATCAGGAAGCAACCATCACTCACTCGATCGCTCCAGTCTCTCATTCCGACAATCACTCACTTGTCCTTCCGACCATTCTCATTCGCACTCCTGCACCATTATTCAAGATGAGGTTCTCCATCGCCACCGCTGCCTTCGCTCTCTCCAGCCTTTTCATGGGCGCCGTCGCTGCTCCTACCAACAGCGACCTCATCACCCGCACTGATGTGCAGGCCGACGTCGACGTCACTGTGCTGAGTGTCCTGACCGACCTCAAGGCGCAGGTCGAGGTGCACACGGGCAACATCAACAGCACCTGTGGCGGCCTTGGCCTCGGACTGGACGTCGAGGTCGACCTGAGCACTCCGGCCATTGTCTCGATCAAGGCCGAGATCACTGCCATCATCGACGTCATTACCACCGCTACCGCCAAGATCCAGGGCTGCGAGGCCGGCGCTGATGTCTCGGTCATTGTCGACCTGGCCCTCAAGATCGTCCTCGAGATCCTCTTCACGCTCAACGCTTCGGTCAAGATCGTCGGAGTCGGTAAGTTACAAGCATTGTTCATCTCGCTGGTTCCCGCGGCTTACCAATCGTGCAGTCTCCCTTTCCCTGCTCAACCTCAGCATCAACCTCGTCATCAACGTCATCGCCAACCTGCTGGTCGCCATCGAGGCCGTTGTCGGCGGTGTCCTCGAGAGCGTCTGGGTCTCCGTCCACGTCTGCTTGGACCTCGTCCTTCCCGGCCTCGTCAAGGTCTTCGTCGGACTCGGTGTCACTCTCAACGGCGAGTGTGGCTGCCTGAGCCTGTAAATGCATACACTGGTCTCTGATCAGTGTCGCACACAGACCATTGTACATAGTTGCTAATAGTGGATAATGTGGGGAGGAGGGGGTGGACTTGGCGGTTAATACAGTAATATGGAGATGTAATTAGAATAGAGTCATATCATCACTCTTCAACTTCAAAGGCAGCACTCGTCGCATTCTTCCTCGTAGCGGATCCGCAACCTCTGGACCACTGTCTGCTTCCTTCGGACGCCCAGGCCTGCGCCAACCCAGGCTACCGATCTCTTGAAGTACACGCTGGACAAGCTGACGTCGACATGGTGCTTCTCGAACGGCTCCATCTCGACTTCGCAGCTATGGTGGTTCCTCGGGTCCGAGTGCCTGGCCAAATAGCAACGATAGCTGCACAGCTCCACCCGGGACTCGATGTGGCTGCAGGGGAATTGGTAGTCGGTCCTTCGGCACATGTCTCTTCGCAGTCAGCGTTGCATACATACAGCGTCAAGCACCGCAACATAAGACGTGGCCGCCGCGATTACCTGACTGCGCATTCGAATAAGGAGGTCGATGCCGGATTGGGAGATCCGCGACAGCAGGGATGTGCATCGTTCCAGGGGCTTAGCTTTATACCTACACTGTCGCGGCGGTGAGCAGGCGGACTCCTGCAGGGGCGGCATAGTAGCTCCCGAGTGTGACCAGCGGGGGGTGGGTCCTATGATGCCTCCGCGTGGCCGCCAAGCAGGGATCGACGGAGCTCAACTGCAACAGCTTGATCACTCGCTCCCTCCATTCCTCCACACTCCCGTCCTCTCCGCCAGCCCCAGACAGAACCCCCCGCACACGTAACCACCCACCATGGCGCGTCCGCTGCTGTCGCAGCGCCCGTCGTCGGAGCACTCCAACGACCGCGACCTTGCCGAAGAGGACGCCCTGCTCACTGGCCAGCGCACCGGAAAGCACACCGAACACCCGCGGACCGGATGGAAGAGATGGAGGGAGTTCGGCTTGTTTGCCTGGGCCCTGGTCGCGACGGCCGTGGTCATCGTGCTGGCCGTCGTGTACCAGAAGCAGGCCACCACAAAGGAGCCGAGTGCGAAGCCGTCGGGCAAGCGCAACCTGGTCTTCATGGTCTCGGATGGCATGGGCCCGACGTCGCTGTCACTTGCGCGTAGCTTCAAGCAGTACCAGAACGCCGAGCCCTGGGACGACACGCTGGTCATCGACCAGCACTTGATCGGCCAGTCGCGCACCCGCTCGTCCAGCAGCTTGGTGACCGACTCGGCCGCCGGCGCAACCGCCTTCTCCTGCGGCTTCAAGAGTTATAATGGAGCCATCTCTGTCCTGCCCGATCACTCGGCCTGCGGCACCGTGCTGGAGGCCGCGAAGCGCGCCGGCTACATGACCGGCCTGGTTGTCACCACCCGCATCACTGACGCCACCCCCGCCTGCTTCGCTGCTCACGTCAACATGCGCTCAGAAGAAGACCGCATCGCCGAGCAGATGGTCGGCGACTACCCGCTCGGCCGCGTCGTAGACCTCATGTTCGGTGGTGGCCGCTGCCACTTCCTACCCAACTCGACCGAGGGCTCGTGCCGCGCCGATGACAGGGACATTGTTGCCTTGGCTAAGGAGAAGTACGGTTTCAACTACATTGACAGTCGCAAGGATTTCGATGGCCTCCGTTTGGGCAGCGCCGTCGAGCTCCCTCTGCTTGGCCTCTTTGCCGATACCGACATTCCCTACGAAATCGACCGGAGGAACGAGGGCGACATCTATCCTTCCCTTGACGAGATGGCGCGGACCGCTTTGAAGGCGCTGAGTGCCGCTACACAGGATAGCGAGAAGGGTTTCTTCCTCATGATCGAGGGAAGCAGGATTGACCACGCCGGCCACGGCAACGACCCTGCTGCCCAGGTTCACGAGGTTCTGGCATACGACAAGGCCTTTGCCAGTGTCCTTGACTTCCTTGAGAACGACAGCACCCAGGGCGTCATGGTCAGCACCAGCGACCACGAGACCGGCGGTCTCGCTGCCGCAAGACGTATGTCTCATGCCGCCATCACAATTTCACCGCTAACATTCCTCGGCAGAGCTCCACGAATCCTACCCTGACTACCTCTGGTACCCCGGCGTCTTGGCCAACGCCTCTCACTCGGCCGAACGTCTCGGCCAGGACTACCACAGGTTCCTCTCGTCGGAACACACCGCCGACGAGACGGCCGCTTGGGTCCGAAAGGCGCTGAGCAACGGCCTCGGCATCGACGACCCGTCGCGCGAGGAGGTCGACCTGTTGGTCTCGCGCCCGGACGTCTCTCCCTACACCTTCGCCGACATGGTCAGCCGGCGCAGTCAGACGGGCTGGTCCACGCACGGCCACTCGGCTGCCGACGTCAACATCTTCGCCTCCGACCCGCGCGCCGCCGCCCCCTTGGTTGGCAACCACGAGAACACCGAGGTCGGCGAGTTCCTGCGCCACTACCTCGATGTCGACGTCGACGACATCACGAAGGAGCTCAATGCCAAAGGCGCCCTCTACGACTCGGTGAGTGCAACTGGCGAGAAGGTGTCGTGGATGGGCAAGGTGCCCGAGGAGGGCGAGAGACTCGACGGCCAGGACCATTTGGACCATTACCAGGGTGACTTCAAGAAGCACAAGAGATGCGAGATTTGCGGTTTGTGATTTCGAAGCTGTGGAGAAGATAACATCGTAGACTCTGGAGAATATTTCACGATGTAGATTGATTGGGCTTGGCAAATCATTGGTGTGGGTAGCCTGTACCGGCACGGCGTTTTTTCTTTTTCTTTTTTTTATTCGGGGACACATTTTCAAGGCTTTCGTCTCTATCCTGGGTGTGGAGATGGTGTTGTAGAAGTGTCTCAATCGGAACTCGACTTTTCACTTGTTTAGAACTCAGACTAGCACATATATCCTCCATAAGGATGTACCCTGAGTCTTCGCCTTTTACCACCCTGTGTGGTGAACCGCCGTGGTATATGCAAAAGTAAGACCAGAACTCGCCTTGTAAGAACCCCGAGGAAGAGTTTTGATACACGTTTTCCCTCCAAAAACAAACGCCGTCGCTATGCAAGTCGGAGTGACCGCTTATAAAGTAGGCTGAGAACGTTAACCGGATCGAAATATCCAGAAGAAAGAAAGAAAGAGGTCCGTCGCGGACGCGCGACCGGGCCGCTGCTACGAAGCCACCTTGAGCCACTCCTCGAAATACTCGCAGTTGCTGGCACTGACGGGACCACCCTCTTCGCACAAGTTAAAGACAGGGCAGCGGCCGCAGGGGGCCTGGGTAAGGCCGTTGCCGTAGCCCTCGGCCAACTCTGCATCGTTGGCGGCCTCCATGGCGCCGCGCACGCTGCGGTAGCCCATGGCTCCCATGCGCTCGATCTTACCGTCAAAAACCATGTTGTCGAGCAGCGACCGGAGATCCATCTCGCGGATGACGACGCCTTCTATCACGCCGGACTTCTCGATGAACTCGAGGATGGACGAAGCGGTCGGGTAGTTACGGTAGCCAGGGGGGTGTGGAAGCAGGAGGCCACCGCTGCGGCCAAGGGCGGGGCGGTACTTTGGAGCCTCGGGGACAGCATTGCTGGCGCTGCGCTGGGCTTGCTCCTTCTTCCTTTTGATGTCGGCCTTGGAGACATGGTGAGGCTTTTGCTCAACCCAGCTGTTCTGCTCGACGTAGTTGAGGATGACGGTGGAGATCTGTTCTATGAGTTCGATGTCCAGCTCGCCATCAGTGTGCCACGGGCCGCCGCTGACTTCCTCCGAGGGCGTGAGGTGGGCCAGCATGTAGATCTTACGGCCCGGGTGCTTGACCGAGGTGATGGACTTGACCAGGCGCTTACCCTCGAGCGACTTCAAGGCCTTGTTGATTACGGTCTGGTGGAAGTTTGTCTTGGCCTTGATGGTGCGCGTCCACATGCCCTGGTCCTCGGCCGACGAGATGTGCGAGTAGACCAAGCGCTCATTCGGATCCATGCCACGAAGCCTGCAGGCATGTCAGCTCATGGCACGCGGGCCGGACGGCGGGTGACGTACTTTGCGGCATCTTCGCGGGAGCGCAGCCTCCAACACAGCACGCGATCCCAGTTGTTGTGGCCCTTCTCCAGCAGCTCGAAGAGGTGGGAGTCAACGAGCTCCTGGCATATGCGAACCAGCTCCTCGACATCCTTGGCGATGTTGAACAGCGACAGGTCCTCCTGGAAGAAGATGGTGCCGGGCGGGCGCTCGGCGCACTTGTCGTAGAGCTGGTCTTTTTTCGACATTGCGACGGTGGTTTGGTGTGGCGGGTTTTGCGGAGACTTTAGCGTTGGCGAGTGAGCGGCAGGGACTATCTGTCGACCATTGAGGGAGGGAGGCGAGAGGCGTGGGTTGGCGGCGTCGAGGAGTCACAGTGAAGCAGAGGATTACTATGGCTGCTCCCCGCCGCGCTGCGATGGAAATTCGTCGCGCTCGGGCCAGCAAAAGGCGGTCTGTGGCGGCAGATCGGCGCGCGGAATGCCGACAGGATCGCGCGCCTCGGCACTTCCGCACTCCATCCTTCTCTCCAACGTCGCCACTGCCCTGGTCATCGCCACCCAAACCCCTTCTACTTAACGCGGCCGCAGATATCGTTGCCTCTGGAGCCGCGCGTCGACCCCCAGACCATTGTCTTACGGTGGCGTCGGGATAAATCTCAATGCCGTGCATCGGACGGGAACGAATGCAAGATGTGAGCACGACCCGGGTTGTTTCTCCGCAGGGCTGCAGGTGCAACGAGGGGCATTGTTTGCCGTTAACCAGACGGGCGGGACGACGCAAGCTGTGGAGCAGCGGGAACCGGACCACGATCTGGGGAAGACAGGCGGATGCGGCCGGCGTAGGAGAGCGGCGGTCGGCACCTGGTTGGTAGCCCGAGGCCACGACTGCGCGGCCAGCACCGACTATTGTTACGCTTCGCGATTTTAGATAGATAGCGAGCGGCCGACTGGGCTTTGTTCGGCCGATGCCGCCATCCCACGCTCCTGTCGATAAGCGACGCACGACACACACACACACACACACACTCTCTCTCTCTCTCACTCTTTCTCCTCTGCGCACTGCCAGGGCCAAGCCTTGGAACCGCCTTATCAATGAACAAGCCTTCCCTGCAAAGCTTGCCGCCGTTAGACGACAAATTCTGGAACGTCAAACAGGCAGGCTAAGCTTATCGCGTGCGATGCTTTACGAGACCGTTTACGAGGCTGGTCCATCGCTATCTCTCCGGACTCTAACTGCCGGCCCTGCTTCCCCTTCTTGCCATGGCTGCGTCGATTACCAGGGAGCGGGCCACCGACTAGGCCCCGGGCTGGCCCAAACACGAATCTGCGGATCTGCACTGCACCCGGCACTCGGCCTTATCAGCGGTGCGCGAGAAAAGCTCGGCTGAGGGCAGCGCGTCGCGTCTCCATATAGTTCAGTGCCGTTGCCTGACTCTTCAATTCCCTGTCAACCCTTTCCCCTTTTACCAAGGCGCTCGACGAAGATCAAACTCCTTCGCGGAGCTTCGCTAGAGTCGTCGCCTTTCCCCATTTGCAACCATGGACTACGTCGACGTCGAGAAGAAGGCTGCCGATGCCGACGTTTCGTCCGACCCCTCTGGCCACAGGACTGCCGCAGGCGTCTACACCACCGAGGGCGGCGCCGTGCCTGGCGAGAGCTTCGAGTATGGAAACTCTCTGTATGCCAGGATTCAGAGGCTGGCCGGCCGCTTCAACATCGAGCAGAGAGGCATTGAGCGCGTGCCCGAAGACGAGCGCACCGATCATTCGCTTCTGAACGTCGGTACCATGGTAATGCTCCCATCACTCCCCTACATGAGCAGCTGGCTGATGCCCCCCGCAGTGGCTCTCCGCCAACATGGTCGTTAGCTCCTTCGCCATTGGCCTGCTGGCCAAATCTCTCTTCTATCTTGGCGTCGCTGATGCTATGCTCGTCTGCTTGTTCTTCAACCTCCTTGGCATCCTCCCGGTCTGCTGGTTTTCGTCCTTCGGCCCTGTCTTTGGCTTGCGTCAGATGGTCCTCTCCAGGTTCTGGTTTGGCTGGTGGGGCGTGAAACTCAGTAAGCATGCGTGCAACATCGCACAGGCCCCCTCCTGCTAACGCGTGACCCAGTTGCCTGCTTCAATGTCTGCGCCTGCATAGGCTGGTCCGCCGTCAACTCGATCGTGGGCGCCGAGCTGATCCACGCCGTCAACAACGACGTTCCCGGCTGGGCCGGCATCGTCATCATAGCCATTTGCACTTTCTTCGTCACTCTGTTCGGTTACAAGGTTGTACATGCCTACGAGTTCTACAGCTGGATCCCGACTTTCATCATCTTCCTCATCGTTCTCGGCACCTTTGCCCACAGCGGCGCCTTCGTCAACATCCCCTGGGAGACCGGAAAGTCGGAGATGGGTGGCGTTCTGAGCTTTGGTGTGACCGTCTATGGTTTTGCCACTGGCTGGGCAAGTTACGCCGCCGATTACACCGTCTACCATCCCTCCAATCAGAGCCGCCGCAAGGTCTTCTTCTCCACCGCCCTTGGCCTGATCTTCCCGCTTCTGTTTACCGAGATGCTGGGCATTGCTGTCATGTCTGCTACCGCTATCAATGGCGGGGACAACAGATACCAGCTTGGTTACGACAATTCCGGAACCGGCGGTCTGCTTGCCGCCGTGTTGTTCCCTCCGCTCGGCGGCTTTGGCAAGTTCTGCTTAGTCATCCTTGCTCTCTCCATTATTGCGAACAACTGTAAGTCCAGCAACCGCCAGCTATTGCACGTTGTACCCTAACCAACACGTTTTCAAGGCCCCAACATCTATTCAATTGCTCTCACGGTCCAGGTTTTTGGGCGTTGGGCGCAGGCGATCCCTCGTCCTATCTGGACACTGCTTGGAACGGGTGTCTACATAGCAATTGCTATTCCCGGCTACTCACACTTCGAGAGTGTTCTTGAGAACTGTAAGCGCGTCCCTTACGCGGTGCACCGTTGCACCTATTCTCACTTCCTTCCGCGAACCCAACTGACAACCTCATAGTCATGAACTTCATCGGCTACTGGCTCGCCATTTACGAGGGGATAGCGCTGACCGACCACTTCCTCTTCAAGCGCGGCATCGCCGGCTATGTCCCGGAACACTATGATCAGCCTTCAAAGCTGCCGCCGGGCATCGCTGCTGTCGTGGCATTCGGTTTTGGTGTTGCCGGCATGATCACCGGCATGTCGCAGACGTGGTACGTCGGCAAGATCGCCTTGCACGCCGGCGAGGCTCCTTTCGGTGGTGACGTCGGCTTCGAGCTCGGCTTTGCATTCGCTGCCGTGAGTTATGCGGTTCTTAGGACCATTGAGCTGAAGGTGTTCGGGAGATAGAGGCACCAAGGCCAAATGGGTGGTCACTTGGAGAGGAAGAGGAGGGAATGACACAGGCGTTGTACGATTCGGATTGCAAAAATTTGGGGTGGTACTTTGCATTGCTTGAAAATATTATTCAATATACCCAGAAATGCATCTTTTCACGTTTGATCCTCGCACGACACCAGCCGACGCTTCTATCCAGACCTTACTCCTTATTGTTTTCGTGGTGTCACACCTCCCAGCTACCTCGACTATCCTACCTACGATCCCACCGACAGCATGCTCTCCTGTGCTGCTTGATCATTTGAGTACCAAACATTCTAATCTAGAGATGCCGTGTATTTATTACCCATACTAAGCTGGGATGCACATGCACATCCTGTCCAGGCCACGTAATGTTGTTCTGCCATAGTTCCAAAAGAGCACTTCTCCTATTCCCATCTGGCACCAGACCACTCACAAGTTCCATGTGTACAGTTGTGCATTATCCGAACTGTTCTGACACTCGTTGTGTCTTGAAACCTTAAAAGTACGCTTGATCTTGGAGATTAAATGACGTGCTCTGCCTCAAATTCTTGTGATCATGATGTTCTTACAGGCACCTACTTTTTCCCAGTTCTATTGCGAGGCGCAGAAGATATAAGAGACAACGTCTGTTGACACCCATCCTAACGGGGGATGCACCCCTGGTGGCGCCGAGGTGGATTGCGTATGATTATGTGCTCGGTTTCTCGACATTGTTCTTCTTTCGTAATCGTGTCCCGTACAGTCGCGGGTCGTCAAGGTGTCGTTTTTGCAGCCAAAAGTGAGACTCTGGTCGCTTGCTGAAGTTGCGGACGAATCCCCCGTAATTCTCCAACCATGCATGCTCTTGATCAAAAGAAGAAGAGAAACCGGACCGAAGATGTAGCAAATTGCCAAGAATATTGACTTCTTTGTTTCGTGCGCTGTTCACCTCCATTCCTAGAGCGACTGTCAGAGTACGATATTAAGCGAGGAAAAGTAACAAGTAGCGAGTTTAGCTGTTAACGCGGTCACAGTATCTAACGACGGATCCCTCCCATGTCCTCCCCAAGTCCACCCACCGAGACGTGAGCATTATCCCTGATGACCGCTGACAGCAATGAAAAGAAACAATGAAAGCTGCGTGTGTATAATGCGTAAATTCCAATCTTGCATCGCCAGCTTACAATTACTTTGCAAACAGAAAGGGAATCATTCAATGATTCGTGAACCGCACGACGCGCACTGCGATCTGCGTTAATACAGGTGATAAAGAGATACTAAGGCGGCGGTACAGGAGCCCTATACAGAAGATGGCCGGTCCTGTAATCCAACAGAAAAGAGCCGTTGACCCGCGTGAAAGGAATCTTAAAGCAGAATACCTGGAAGCACGACTGAGGCCATGATGACGATAGAAGCGAAGAGGCAAAATGGTATCAAAGTACAGGTCGAAGAGTGCCCCTCCTACGTTAATGGGTTGTAAGGGAGGGGGGGAAAGAAAGGAAAAATGTTCTCCGCAAAGAAAACGGACCCGTCAGAAGGAAATGTCAGTGCCCACCAAGCCCACCAGCGCTGAAAATGCCAGCAAAGCCGCCGTATGTGTATAACAAATGCAGAAAAAAAGAGTACGAGGAAAAAAAAAACCAAAACGGACGTAGCCATTAGGCGTGCCTCTACGCTGATAATAAATTCACGAAGAGTAGGAAATGAAAATCCTCAAGAGGAGGCGCGAGACGGCAAATCAATGAAAGACGGAGGCTCTTAGAGTTCATTCGAAACGGTCATATCAGCCGTCAGCTCGCGATTCTCAATCCTCTCAACACGTAGGACGAGTTCCTATAGTTTCTTGTCAGATACAAACCAAACTGCTGCAAAGCCTATCCATGACAGATACATACCTTGGTCGCTCGTGCGATCTTGAAAGCTAGAGGGGGGATTTTCTCCCTCTTACCAGCTTCATCATCCTGCAGCGCAGACAGGAGCGCTCCACGGCAGTCCTCAAGCAGATCAACGACGGGCGTGGCGTGTTTGGCTAGTGCGCTGTTGCGAGTGTTGTTCACGGCCTCGCGAGTCTTGATGCCAATGTCGTAGACCGTGCGATTGATGTCGTTGATGTGGTGTTCGATGTTTTGCTCAGATTGAGGAGGAAAGGGGGCTCCGGCGGGAGTGCTTCGAATTTCTTGGACAAGAGGTTGGATGCTGTTCACGAGGTCGGTTGTTTGATCTTCCAGGTAATTCTTTATCTCCTCGAGGCCGCTGCTTTCGCGAACAGTGTTAATATTGGAGCCTTTCAAGAGCCCGTTAGGACCTTCAGATCGACGCATCGACCAAGGGCGCGGGGAGCTCGCGGCACTGCGACTGTACCTTGCGGAATCGATGCTGACGCTGCTGCCATTTCTGGTATGCCTGGCGCCATTGCTGTAATAGTTCGCGCTGAGACGACTGGACCTTACGTCGATGTTCTCGTAGTCTTCCTCACCGGGCTGAGTGGGCCTAATTCTGACCACCTTTGCGAGCTCGACAATGGAAGTCGTCAAATGAGACGCCGCGGCATCGAGCAAAGAGACAGGAGAAAGCCCCTGCGCTGCTGCGTGGTTTTTGGAGGCAGTGATGAGGTTGTTCGCAGTAGCAGATACACGAGATTTGAGCTTGTGCTGCTTCTTGACGGAATCCTCACCGTCATCGCTCGTAGGAGACCCGGCAGCATCGACATCTGCGGTGATGCTTCTGACGCAGGAGACAGTGTCCTTCATACAGTCGAGAACGGCGTCAGCCTCTGACTTGCGAGCAGCCTGCAGCAATTGATCGATGCTGAGCTGGAATTTTGTGAGATGGACATCCTTAATCAGACCGTCAGGCTGCACAAGGGTGCCGTCCCGGGCATAAGCCGAGGCGTCCTCCGTGAAATTTGCGAGGCCAGTTGATGAAGCTCGCAGATGGCGAACCTGCGTCTTCGAGCGGGCGTATCGCGTCTTCCATTCTTTGACCTCGGCTTCCAGCCTTGCGATCTCGGCCACAAGCCCTTCTTCCTTCTCCAGAGACGCATTGCTTCGCTCTGAGAGCGCCCGCATTTCTTGCAAGAATTGTGACGCTTCCCTGCGGACTTCGTCGGTGACTTTCTGTTGCTCCTCGAGTTCTCGTTCCAATTGCTTGTATCTTTGCGCCCAGTCGTTGTCTTCGGAGCCGCCAGAATTGCCATTGCGCTCGACTTCCTCAAGCCGGGCGCGGAGTTCGCGTTCAGCTTCTGATGCGTCGTTGCGAGTCTTTTCCAACTCGGATCTCAGAGAATCATTCAAGCTTTGCGCCTCTTCCAATTCCCGTTTCAGGTCTTGATCCGTTTTGTCGCCTTCCGTAGCCTGTACCAAGTCAGTTTTTGTAGTTTCTTCTGTACTTCGAGAGTCACAAACATTTCCCCCACTCCTGAGCTGTTCGACCTCCTCGTCGCGTTCTCTCAATTGATTTTCTAGGTCTTCAGCTTTCTCCTGCAACTCCTCGACTTGGGCTGTAAGGTCCGCTATGAGTTTTTCCTGCAAGCTGTTAGTGCGATCCAAAGCGAGAGAGGGCCGTGTTTCCGGGCCAGCTTACATTGCCCATGCTCTTGTTCGTAGTCCGCTTGCTAGATCTTCTTGCCGCATCTTCGAGGCCAAACGCGTCGTCATCGTCGTCGTCTTCCAACCCGCTGTTGTCATCATCATCCTCAACCATGGTTCCTTTGTTCGGTACGATTGTATTTTGTTGAAACGTCTTTGGCAAGGGACGCCCAAACTCGCCGCCCGGGCCGGGAGGGCCCCGAGGACCAGGAGGGCCCCGAGGGCCGGGAGGACCTCGATAGCCCGGGCCGGGAGGAGGTCCACGGTAACCTGGAGGCGGAGGCCCTCTGCCCATGCTTCCAGTGCTTGGTATTGGGCCCCTCCCGGGACCGCGACTCCGGGTGCTAGCTATGCTACCTGTAGGGCTTGGTGCGCGCTCAATCTCATCACCCCGGAATCGCGGAAAGCGGCGCTCCAATTCGTAGAAGACATCGGTTGCGAGCTGGCGGAAGCGGTCGATGGGAAGTGTTGAGAGTTTTTGACGGGCTTGGTTGCGCTTTGGATGGTAGTTGTCCTTGGGCGGGAGAAATGTGGGGGTGTCATTTCCCGGCGCATTGGGGCCGCCTTGCTTGCGTTCGTCTTCGCGGCGAAGCGATTCATCGTAGACGTCAGTGCTTAGCTCTTGGAACTGGACAGACGAGAGGCGAAGTAGCTTGTCCCTAGCGCGATTCGGCCGCAGGTTACCCTTCTCATCGAGCAGGTAACGACCGAGGTAAATCTTCAAGACGCGGTAGTGTTCTGCCAGCGAGTCCTCGATCATCATAGCCTTGCGGCTACTTATGCTCTCCCGATCCCGGACGCTTGAGGCGTACAGGCCATCGCCGGTGCTGGATCGGGCGATGGAGCTGGGTGGTGAGGGTTGACCGTTCGACGTTGGAGGGCGGCCGAGGCCATTGGGAATCATGCCGTCAGTCGAGCTGGTAACGGAAGTTGGCGGCGTGATGAGCTGATTCCGCGGCGTTGGAGGCACGCTGGGCGAATAGGAGCTATCGGGACCGTTGTATTTCGAAACAGGAGACCAATCGTTGGCGCTGTCGACGGAGATGGGAGAGAGCGTCCCGCTGCGACCAGCCATGGGAGCGAAGCGGGCAACGGACGCGCTGAGCGGCGTTCGAAGCCCTTGGAGACAGACAGGAGACGATTATTCGGAAGGCGAATGCTATCGCAAGCGCGGCGACATGTGTCGGCGGCGGAGAGGCTCGCGTGATACGGCGCGGTTGGGACGGAGGGCGTAGGGAGATGGTTCGGCAGGCGAGACTCGAGATGGCGTTGGCAGGGCGGCGCGGGCCTCGGGGGCGGGTGCGCAAACAAACACGCACTTGCGGGCGCTTGCAGCAGCTTGCGGGATCGCGCTTGGTAACGGCGGATGCGCAGGAATTGCGATGCGATATTCAAGTGCGCAAGGACTGAGCTTCCGCGAAGCTGTCGCTCACGGCCAGAAGGGGGTGCTCCACAGGGTGACAGGCCCCTGTGCACTTTTTTGGCGTTGGCGCAGGCGTCTGGCCGGCGCGCCGGGCGAGCTAGGTGGAAGGGCAGCGGTGCGGCGTCAGGGGCGCTTGACGGTGGCGTAATAGCCAATGGGAGCACGGCGTGCAAGGAAGGAACGAGTCGGCGGTGGGATTATGCTTACTGCACGTCAGTCTTCAGCGGCAGCGGCGCTCCGAATGGTGCAGCAGCGGAACAATGAAGGAGAGGAAAGGGGAGATATGGATGGGCCTGGACAGCTTCCGGCCCAGGGCGGTAAGGCGCGCTAAATGGAAATTGCTGGGGATCCCTGCCGCAATCACCTCGCCAAAGCCGCCCGCTGCACCCAAGCCGCCGGAAGCTAGCGGCACATCAGGTGCGTAATGGTAGTCCGTATTTCTCCACGCTTCGTATTTTCTCGATAAGATAGATCTCTACGTAGCTGTAGCTACCCACCGCCGACGCGCTTGTTGTGCCGCGGGCGTGTTCCCTTGTGTGGCGCCGCCCCGGGCTTTCCAGAAGCATGCCTCCCGCCGCCCTTGCGCTTAAGCGAGCAAGAGCAAAAGCCTCCGCCTCCATCCCGCCAGCCATCCCGCCGATCTGCCCCGCTCTCACCGCAGCTTCTTTTTCTTCTTGTCGTACTTGGAGTTGGGGTCGCAGATTGGGCACAACCACTCGCCCTTTGGCTCCTGCGTCAGCCCCACGCACTCCCAGTGGAACCACTGGATCTCGCACTTGGGGTTGTCGCACGCCACCATGTCCCCGAAGCTGACGCGTTCGCAGATGCAGTACTGCGTATCGTCCGCGTCTTCCTCCAGGTCCATCGGGTCGTCGTCTGCTGCGCCGTCGTGCCCCAGCGCAGACGCGTCCTCGTCTGAAACTTCTGCATCGCTGAGCATGCTTTCGTCATCCCCAGTTGTCGACGGTGACGCTCGGGAGCCACCCATGAGCCTGCGTGCTGACTTCTTCGACATGCCGGCCTTACCAATCTTCTTCCTGTTCGCCTTCCCCGGCAGCACTGTCTTTGTGTTCTTCTTCGTGCTCGGCCTGGGCCCCAGGCTGCCGGCCCGGCTGCCGCCAGGCGTCCCAGCCTTTGGGGTGCCGGGGCCTATCGACGACTGCCGCGCCAGAGAAGAGCTCGCCGATGGGAGCGAGCCCAGAGATGCGTTGAGACGGCGGCGTTTGCTGTCGCTGCCAACAGACATTTCCCGTTGTCTGTTGTTGGCCGACATAGCAGCTATCGCCGACGCGTTGGACATGTGTGTCTGATTAAGAATCGTCGAGCCCGAGCCACCCATTGCAGGAGAGCTCATGCTCCGATTCTGCCCAGCAGCACTTGCCAGGCGCGCGATAGCAGCATTGGCTATTTGCTGTGATCCTGCATGGGCATTGATCGAAAGCGGATTCAGAGGCGTGTTCGTTCCCGTGGCTGTGGAAGACGTTGGTGCAACCAGGTTCCCTGGAGATTCACGCAAGAGCGACGGTAGCTGGGGATCATGCGGTATAGATCCATCGTTGGTTAGATCGCGTATCTTGACATCAAGTCGTTTGACATGACGATCCAGCTTTTCCTGTGTCAGCAGCCCCTCGAGGTTGTCTTTCTCCAGACAAACTTACCAGCTGAGCCGCCTTCTCTGCCAGATGGACCTTTTCATCCTGGAGTGTTTGGGCTTTCTCGTAGTTCTGTAGTATCAACTTGTTGTAAGGCTCTTCCTTGGGATTCTTGACCAAGCTTCCATTGAGCTTCACGAATTTCTGCAAGCTGCCGTCGCGAGCCTCAATAACGTTATTGCATGCTTGAATTTGTTGCTCTTTTGCCTGCATTTCCTCGTATAGATGGGTTATTTCTGCTGGTAAGTTGGCCACTGCAATGGTCAGTTCGAATACCGCGTGTGGTATCGGAAACACGCACCATCATGGATGAAAAGCTCCAACACAGAGGCGGCATCTTCAGCCAAAGCCATGACTGAGGCTAGGGTGTATGAAGCACCGGGAGAAAACCCGGGCTAAAGTCACGTGTGTGCACGCTGCAACGACACAACTATCGGCAGGGAAAGTACTGCAATGCCTGTGGAGTTTGACAGGGCAGAGGTGGAACGTGATGATACGGACTCCCTTGTGGCAAAAACGCGTGTTTGGCGATCTGGTTCAAATGTGGAGTAAGATGGATGTGCACCCGGTAGATTGCGTTGGCTTGTCTGTCGATTTGCGCTTGAGGAGTAGAGTCAAAGGCCGTGGTTGCTGCACTGCGCGGCGGTGGATCGTCGTCGCAGGTGCAAGGCTGGCTGGGCCCGCACCTTAGGAAGGCAACGGGCGGGATCACGTGATGATGAATAAGCTGGGCTTGGCATTTCCTTGGGCTACCGGGGTCCGCCGCCAATCCTGTGGCGCTTCGAATCGATCCCCGGATTCCATCGACCACCGCTGTCGCATCTCTCGAGCCAACCCTCACACGCACTACCAGGACTTATCGTTGCCCACCGCTGTTTCGCTATCGGTGGTCCTCTACCAGCGAATTTTGTCCGGTTGTAGGGGCCATAGTTCACCGAACCAAAGGTCACGCTTTGCCAATATCATCTGCACAACCGCTTGAGAAAGCTTCCGGGAGCTTGAGGGCTTGGAGCGAAGCCACGATATACTGCACCGGCAAATTTTATCCCAAGTTCAGCTTGACCCTTTGTGAAAGAAGGGCGGTCGACCCCAGAGGCAGCAGAGGCCTCTTGCAGGCCCTCGAAGCCACCGATCCCCGCTCAGGCACCATGGCGTTCAACAACAACGAGATCGTCCAAGCTTGGGTGGCGCCAGATCCGTCGCCGCTCTCGACAAGCGTCGAGTACATCACGTACAAGCAACTGACCCCCGAAGAAAAAGAGCGGGTCCACCAGATGGAGGCCGAGCAGAACGGCATCGAGCGGCCGCAAGGCTATACCGTGTCCTTCCACTACAACCCGGAAGTAGAGCAGCACCACTTTGGCAGCAAACATCCAATGAAACCATGGCGGCTGCAACTAACCAAGCAGCTGGTGTTTGGATACGGTCTCCACTATGCCATGGACCTAAACGAATCGCTACCTGCTACCAAAGACGCAATCTCTCGCTTCCATGACAACGACTACCTCGATTTTCTGCAGTACATTAAATCGGATACCGAAACGCAGAAACGGCACGAGGAGGAGCTCAACCGCTACGACTTCACCGACGAGTTTAACGACTGCCCTATTTTCGATGGTATCTGGGATTACGTGACGCTTTACACCGGCGCCACGCTGGAAGCTGCACATGCCGTAAGCAGCAGGCAGAGCGACATTGCCATCAGCTGGTCTGGTGGTCTGCACCATGCGAAAAAACGCCAGGCGTCCGGTTTTTGCTACGTCAACGACATCGTGCTTGCCATCCAGCATCTGCTTGAAAAGCATGTCCGAGTATTATACATCGACATCGACGTACACCACGGTGACGGTGTCGAAGCCGCTTTCTTCAACACGGATCGCGTAATGACCCTGTCCTACCACAAGTATGGCGAGTTTTTCCCCGGCACTGGCGGCCCGGATGATTCGGGTCCTAAGGGCTACACCGAACCAGGGGCGTATTTCTCGCTGAATGTTCCTTTGGATGACGGTATCGACGATCGCGACTACGAGTGGCTCTTCAAGCGCATCACTGGGAGAACAATCGAAATTTTCAAGCCGGAAGCCATCGTGCTGCAATGCGGTGCCGACAGTCTGGGCGGAGATCGTCTGGGCAAGTTCAACCTCAACATCCGTGCGCATGGCAAATGCGTCGAGTATGTCAAATCCTTCCGTCTGCCTCTGTTGATCCTCGGTGGTGGCGGCTACACACCCCGCAACGTCGCCCGCGCATGGTGTCACGAGACGGCATTGAGCGTTGAAGCCGAACTCCACGACGACCTTCCGACTTTTATCCCCTATAGGCAAGCCTTCGAAGGCGTTCAGAATGGCAATGGCCTACTCTACCCCGAGCTGAATAGCAAGAGGCTTTCCCATCCAAAGGGCTACGAGCGCAAGGACCTCGAGAACACGGTGGCCCGCTGCGAGGAACAGTTACGTTGCATACAATCCCATCCGGTCGTCAATATGAAGCGTTACCCGAAGCTCAACGACGTCCTGCGCGCACGAAAGGAGATTGACCAGGAAATCAAAGAGGAGTTAGAGGATCGTGGATACCAAGATGAGGCCAAGAGGAGACGTATGGAGAGAAACACAGGCGCAAGGCGAGAGTACAGGTTCGTGATCCACAGATCTCCAATGTGGTGCATAGACTAACATTACGCGAAGATGATCTCGTTTGTCGGCACTTTCATGCTTTTGGTCTTGGCGAAAACAGCGGGTCAGTGTTAACATACCGTCTGTGAATGAAGTTCATGGGATTACTGAGTGTTCCACAAATTCCTCGGGCGGCATATTCACGGCTTGTACGCTTCCTACGCGTGAGCCAGCTTCTGAATTCGATGAAAACACGCAGTGGATCAGCAGCCCATTGCCCCTGATGTCGTTGTATGGTTTCTGGCAGGCTTTCGTCCCATCAAGGGCACCATGGAGAGCACTGGCTAATAATATCAAAATGCAATGAATTGGCGAATTCCTGCCTGCGAGCGAGCCACGACAGGCATCCACTCGCTATAAACGCGATCGGGGATTGCTGCCCCCACGTAGGGAATATTGAAAGGAAAAAGAAAACTACCGTCACTGGCGGAATGGAATATGCTCCAGAACAAGGAACGCGCAAACTAATCATCGGAACCCCTTCGTTTCACTGCCTCATTGTCCCGTTTCTTCTGCTGCATCAGCCATGAAAAACAAACATGAGTGGAAAATAGATAAGGAAAATGCCAAACGCAGCCAGAATTCGCCCAATGGCAGCACACGAACTCCGAGTACGAAAAACATGTGGCTGAGTGCTCTGTCTATCCATCCTCGAATCTTGCAATGCCCAGCCTGTCCAACCGACGACTGGAAGGTGTCTCGATTCTTCCAGTCCATTGAAAAGTCTATTACCCAGAACTGCCCATTATTGTGTTTGACTGCCTATCGAATGCTGGATTTCGGGAAGCAACGCGAAATCGTGCCAGATGATCAGGGTCCGGTCGCAGCAATCTGTTCGCGCAGACCACTAGGCTCGGGTTTCCTTTGTCTCTTGCTGAGCAAGGTTGCGTTGTCCAAGCTTAGCTCAAACGCGCCCTTATTCCGAACCTGGCGGCGTGCTGCGGCTGCAACTGCAGGAGAATGCTGCCCATAGCCCTTTTGCTGTCCAGCATTCGCGGCCTGCTGTCGGGCTTGAGCCGCTGCGCTTAGGGTAGTGTTCTTCATCTTTTGCTCCATCGCGCTGACGTCAGCAGCTTGGCTCTTGGGTAGTTTGGCCGGCGGATCCGCCTGGTGTGCAGCGTAGGGCGCACTCTGTCCATCTTCGTCGTCATCGTACATGTCCTCCTCGTCAAGCACGTTGAGGCTGGTCATCGCATTTCCGCCGCGGTAGCCCTGCTTGAAGTTCTTCCGTCGCTTGCCTTCTTCTTCTTGGCGGTGTACGGCGTAGCTCACGTCGAACACTTCACGGAGGTTGACAGCACCCGGCGAGCGGAAGTCCATGCGCCTGCCACCAGCACTGGGCACGTCATCCAAATAAGCGTAGTTAGGCTGTATGACTCCCTGGTCCGAAGGCTGCTTCTTGAGGAGAGGCGTTGCAAGTGGCGGTGCGTCGGCGGCCGCTTGCGTCTCCTCTTCCGACTCGCGAATCCATGGGTGGTTGAGGAATTGCTTGATGTCGTAACGTTTCTCAGGGTCCACGGTCAGCAGATGGGATACAAGGTCCTGCGCCGACTTGGAAATCTCATCCCACCAGGGCGACAGAAAAGTGTATTGGCCACGCGCGACTTTTTCTGTCAGAGTTTGGATGCTTTCATCGTAAAAGGGCGGGAACCCGCAGAGTAGGGTGTACAACACGCAGCCAAGAGCCCACATGTCAACACTCTTCGAGTAGCGTTCATCCTTCACGATCTCAGGGGCTGTGTAACCGACGGTACCGCATGGCGTCATAGTTTGGCTATCCCAAATGACCTTGGATAAGCCGAAATCGGCGATCTTGATTGTGCCGATACCACCAGCACCGACGCCCTTGATGAACTCACCCTCATCTACCTTATCCTCTTCATCGGTAGACTTGGGCTTGGGGTTCTTGGTCGGAATGAAGGGGGCGGGGTAGAAGAGGAGATTCTCAGGTTTGATGTCACTGGAGTTATGACGTCAGTTGTCGTGGGGCCAACATGGGAGCAAAGGGACCACAAAGCGACATACCGATGGACAACACCGGCCTCTTCATGCAAATATTCCAATGCTTTGGCAACTTGGATGATGACGTGCCGAGAAAGATTCTCACTGAAGTATGTGAGGCGAACGATCTGATGGAACAATTCGCCACCAGGGCACAGCTCGAGGATGATGTAATAGTACTGTCGGGACTCGGAGAAGTCGATGAGTTTTACGATGTTGGGGTGATCCAGTTGGCGCATGATCTGCACCTCCTTGAGGATGTTGGCTCTCTGCGGCCAGTAGTCAGCACCTGAGACGTAGTACGACATACATACAGAAAGGAAAGATGGAAATGGCAGTGGCGAAGACTTGTGTGGGAGGAATGCGCACCTCCACCGTCTTGGGAGCCTTCTTGAAATCCGGATGAAGGTGTTTGTCGCCCTAGGCATCCACCGCGTTGGCTACGTAATCGTGCAAGAGAGGGACGAAAAGCGCAGCTGGGCAGAAGCGGACGGTACGACGAAACACACGTGATGTGCAGAACAGGAGGGAACAGTCACTCGCAAGGATGCCACTTACCTGACTGGAGTTCATCTCGAATTTCCTGACAACCTTGATGGCGCACTCGGGGTATTGCCCTTGGCTGTCCTTTGCACGGTACACGTTGCTGAATGCACCGTCGCCCATCTTCTCGACCAGGATCCAGCGCTCCAGGCCCGGGTATTGGGGCAGCTTGCCCTTCTGCTCGCGCTCCTCGGCCACAATGCGCTCGAGGACTTCCGGGTCGATCTCCTTCTTGGCCTTGGCGGCGGCTTGTGCCTTGTGGTGGTCGGCAGCTGCGCGGGCGGCGGCATCTCCTGCACGAGCGGCCTGGTTTTGGTTGTTGACGGCGGCGGCGGAGAAATCTGCTGCGGGGACGTTTGCATGCAGCGGCTTGTGGTCCATCACGTTGGGGTCGGTGACTGCATGGTGTTCCGGCGGCGGAGGCGATGTGTAGTTGTTGTAACGCTGGTGCTGGGCGTGGACGGGGGACACGTTGGTGGTCGGCTCAGCATGGGGCGAGTGCGCGGCGCGTGCCTGCTTGCCATGGCGGAGGAAGTTCTTGAAATTCTGTATGGTGGCCATGGTTCAGTATGGTGAGCTCGCCGCAGGACGCGACGTCAATGAGCGGTCGAGGCGGCGGAGAATGTAGCGGAGTGGGCAGCGGAGGGGCGGTTGGGCGGCGTTGAGAAGCGGTGCAGCGGCAGAGCGTATGGGCGGGGAGGCGGACGCTGAGAGCGAATTGCGGGTGCAGCTGGGGGGTAGGTGACAAAGGCGCGAGGGACGAGCTCAAGCTGGGCGGTGGCTATGACGTGCACCGGGAAGGTGCGATTAGGCGCACGAGATGACATCGACAGGGCCGGAGGACAGGCTCGCGGCTGCATTTTGGGCTGTTCAGGCCCAGGCCGGCCAATCGCCCGCGCCTCCAGCGTCAAAGCCTACGCTCACCTCGCGCTGTTCGCCGCTTGGCTCCGTCGCGCGCTGCTGTGCGGGCGGCCCGTAGGATGGGATCGGGACAGGGCATCGGGCAGGAAATCGCACTCACCTCGATCATCGGCATCGTTTCACGTCTCGGCTCGGTGGAATGAGGGCTGCAGACTTGGCCGCTCGAAGGCCAGCGGCTATGACGACGCGCGGGTTTGGGGGTCGCTGACACGGCTGGCGCGGGCGGCAGGGTTGTCGAGCAGGGCTGGCAGAACGGGAGAGAAGACTGCGCGCAGTGAGGCTCCCGGGGGCTGAGAGTATTTGGGTCTACGCCCGGCACAGAGCGGCAATGCAGAGGTCGCAGTCGACGCAGCAGGCGGCCAGGGTCGCGTCCATGGCACGGCCACTAGCAGCGCGCAGCAGGCTGGCCGCGACGCCACGCGTGGGTTAGGAGCGCCGGCCTGACCGCGGCTGGCCGGAGGGCGCTGCCTTCACGCTGCCGCACGCCTGGCAGCGCTCGCTTTCGCGCAGCGCCAGGCCAGCTGACTGTCGTGCCGTGGACGCGACGATGCGCCTCCACAGATCACCGTGGCGGGCTCTGCAGGGTCTGAAGCCCGGTCCGCCCTCGCCGATGACGTAGCGCTACGAAATCGTGCGTCGCCGCGCTCCTTGCTGCGCGCGCATTGCGCCTGCGGTTCCTCCAGACGCGCTGCTGCGACACCCGCTGACGATGGCTCATCTGAAATGTCCCGCCTGGCGGACGCATGCGGAGCGGACACCCACACCACCAAAGCCGTCACGAGCGATGACGCCGAAGGTGGCTGGAGAACACGCTCGGACCGACTTTGCACGCTGCGCGGAACCTGAAATTGGTGCGGACGCGGGACCATCTTCGGCTGCAGCGCCCGAGGCCTGCAGCCTTTCATCATTCTCAGCGTCGCTGCACGCGAGCTTGACGTGCAGTTGGCTGTGACGCACGCCGACCTTTTCTGTCGCAGAGAGGAAGTAATAAGAGCCCGTCTCATCGGCCCACTCAACGCAGATCCCCAGCAGCTGGTAACCAGGCAGCCGGGCGCCACTATTGCCGCTGCAACGCACATGGCCGTTGAAACAGATGAGATCATCCATCCCCGGTGCGGCCCGAGAGCCTGATTGGCCGGAGCTGCGCGCAGAGGGTGTGTGTCGTCAAACTCGCTGCTTTCTCAGGTACACGACATGCGACCTCTGGGATCAACCAAGCTCACTCGCTCCGCACGTCGCCTTGATGCGAGATCCAGGCCAGTTCCTCTGCACGCACGCGGTTGGACGATGCGTCTTCTGAAAGATGCTGGTATGACGCAGTCGAAAACATTACTTGGAGCCAGGGGATTTCCAACTTGATATACCAACATGGGTCGCCACGTACGCCTTTCCAATTATCGAGCCGTTCACCTTTGCTTGGCAGCCCAGCGCAGGAATCCCAGCCCAGATTGGTATGGTGAACAAGCCATCAAGCGGTTGGGATAGCATGTTGCCATGTGCTTGCCGCGTGTCCAAATTTAAGTCGCCAAGAATTCCACCCGGCTATGCACAGGCAATGTAGGCTGCCATTGTCCTCGTTTGCTTCTTGGGCCAGCGAACAACGTTTTGTGCATATCCATCCATGCTGCCACTAGAAGCTGGATGATTTTCTCTTTTGAACGGACACGGAGATGGGCGAAGAAAGGCCGAGCCCCTTTAGGTCAAGACCTGGTATCCCGGTCCATCGAGTCAGCTTGGCCGTGGTACGGATTGTGGATCCTCCACGGGGACCTCAGGCGCTTGCCTGGGATTTCTCCACACGAAAGAGCAAGTCCTGCCAAAACATCAGTGCTGTGCTAGTAAGAGGCAGTTGAACGTTGCCCTGAGGAACTGAGAAGCTAAGGCTTTCCGCTTCAACTCCCATCTTTCATCTGCCCTAGCCACCATCCCTTTTTAGCCGTCGTCGGACGGATCTACGGCCAGCTGAAACTGTGCATTAAAATACGCCCTATCTAGGAGCTTCCGGGCGCTCCATGGCCAAAGTGAATCGCCTCGCCTATTCGCCGGCCAACGCCGTTACGGCCCGCATTCCAGTCACCACATACAGTAGCAGCACCGACAATACGCTCACGGACCGTTACCCGCCACGCAGATAGCCATGCATAAGCAATCTGACACAACACCACTCACCACGCTCTGCATGCTGACTGCAAACTAGCCCCCTACGTCTGCTGCGCAGTGGATTGCCTATCGTTTCCCTCGTAGCCCACAGGTTCTTAACGCATTGTGGCTTGGGAATGATGCTATTCCAAGCCCTCTTACATCAGCTAGTATCAGACATGGTTCCAAGCGTATGGTTGCGTACGCACATGGTCGTTTAAGGTGTAGCCGAAAGTTGCGGGCACACATGCTCCCAGACGTTCTGGAAATTTTGCGGATGTATGGACGCATGTACATACAAGTACTTTCGCCTAAAAAAATAAAATAAAAAAAGAACAATGGAGGAAGCAAGCCGATTTCAATATTTTCCTTGGTGAGCTAAGTCCAAGATGCGAGGCACAATTCTCCTTCCAACCCCATTGCGGAGTTGCGGACAACCATACACTTGATTTTGTGGGATTCCACACGATTTAAACCCTACTAATCAGTATGAAAGCAAGAAGATTGGGGGCGTTAGTTGAATTAGATGGTTCTTTAGAAGCACAAGTTGGCCTCTAGAGAGCTACTCGGTGCGTTGGAAAAGCTTTCGATAATAGCGTATCGATATCTATCCTTGAACAGAACCGGTGAATTGGTTTCAGTGCATATCTTCCGGCCAGGCTCGGATGGGAGCTCGGGGCTCAGTGGCACCGGTGCCTAGGGAATGTGGCCCCTATGTTTGTCTTGGACACCGCAGGTGAGAATTCGGCATCTTACTAACAACGACGGAGGATTTTTGCGCCTGATAGATCTAATTCATCAAGCCAGAGACGGCTCACATCGATCGATTTCGTCTGTCGTGTTCAGCGGTCGATGATAGAAGTATGGGTTTACCGGACTCAGTCTAGCTTCGCCGGATAATTTGTAAGCTAGTCCGACGTGGGCATTGGGCATCGCTGCGAATCTCATGGCGCTATATATCTCATCTAACGCCAACGGGACGTATCGATAGCTTGCTAGGAATCGAATCGTTCAATAAAGATTGCCATTGACCACCTGAAGAACCAGACCAGCTTTGAGGCCCTTTCGAGAAGCATGGTAACCAAGGACAATGTCACCTGGACTATCCCCAGTGCATCCAAATTTGCACAAGCAATTCTTACAAGGCAAACACCGACCCGAACAAGCTCTGATCCGCGTCACGACTGTTTCATACAACTAACACGATCACCAACAGCACAGATTACCTTCCGCAGGTAGTGGCGAGCCTGGTTTCCTGCAGCGATGGCACTGGAACCGTTGTCGCTGCCGGGTCTTCGTCCAAATAGCGCAACCGCATAGGGATAACCGTCATTGTTCACATCAATATCTGGACGAGTGGCGAACGATGTTCTGAGTTGTGGGAAGGAGACAGCACATTGACCCGATACCGAATGGACTGGCTGGTACTGAGGGGTGCTTCCAATGCCCTTTCCGAAAGGCCAGAAAGGCCGGCCAACGGGATCACTGTGTTGACCCAGGGAGCGGGTGCTTGGTGATCCAGGTAAGTCGGCCCTGTCTCTTTCACTCGTGGATTCTTTACCACTTCCTAGTTTCCCCAGTCTGTGGAGGTCGAATCATCCTACACTTGGCCATGCGACCGTGCGGAGCGGCCTTCCGCGCTCTGGCTGTTGATTAAACCTGGCACATGCAAGCTCAGCTAACGGACAGAAAGCTCGAGCTTGCGTCGGCTGCGGGCGCCACGGTAATTGCAACATCTTCGACAGACAAGACGCTGGAAGCTGCCAAGATGCCGGGTGCCGGGTGCTACGCACGCCATCAATTACCGGACAAAGTACTGCGCATCACCAACGCGTGCGATCGAAGCTGGGGGTGCTGGGGCGATCGAGGAGGCGCTGTGAAACAGGCGGACGAACGGGCTGGTGCCGGCGATGGAGTTTCCAAACAAGCGGACTTTTTTCTCCTTGGGGAAAAGATGACTAAGTGGCACGACACGAGCTCTGCTGACAGCCAGGGGCATTGTTGGGGCCATGAGCAAAGCGACGAACGAGCGGTTGGTGGCATTTGTAGAAGAACAGCAGTTTGACCAGGCAGTTGCCAGATTGGAAAAACAAAGCGAAATTGGAAAGATGGTCGTTCAAGTGTAGGTCGGGCGAGGGTCAGGAGAGGGCGGATGAGAAAGGGGATAGATGACGCGGATAAATTCGAGGGCGCGGTGTGCGAGTCATCGATATAATGCATGCCAGAGTTGCTGTGAGGAGACAGGTGGTGCGATGGATGGACGGGAGAGCTGCAGTGAGAGATCGGCGGGCCGCGAACGGCAAGCCACAACTGCCGCTGGGCTGACCTCGGCAGCGCTCCTTCCTGCAGTGCGACACCCTCACTTCATTCTCGCCGCACTCCCTTCGCTGCACTGCCTCCGCTCGGCCTCCCGCCCGTCGCCGAGAAAAAGAAGAAGGAGAAGACGAAGACGAACCGAACCGAACCGAGCCGAACCCACGATGGGGCCCCGCCATGCGCTAATCGGCCGAGCGTCGTGGGGATGTCTCCATCCATCCTCAACTGGCACATGGCCCGCCAACAGCCCCACCCGGCTCCCGCGTTCCGCATCTGGGGCACAAGGAACAGCCACTCATTGGAGCCCGTCCCCGTCATGCCCCTCACCCACCCACCGGCTTCGCCCACCGCCTTGACCGGCGCTTTTCCTTTATAATCCGCCGGCGTTAAGCTCTTCGGCTCGGCGTCTTAATTCCATCCCCAGGCCTTCATTCCACCCTTCGTCTGTTTCATGGCTATGTTTAGCTGCCCGCTGCATGCTCCGCCCAAAAGACTGCAGTCCTTCCCTCTCACTGGTCCCGAGAAGTCGACACTGCCTACAATTAACAGAAAGCAAGAAGCCGCCGCCACATTGTCGCTACCATGGGCGCTGTGCTTCCAGAACAGAGCGACGTGGTGGAACTGGCTGCCGAAGAGGGCCACGACGCAGATATCCCCTCCAATCTAGGCATCTACACCGACTCTGAGAGACACACCACCAACAAAGATGCCGACTTGGAAAAGCAGAGCGAGCCTTCCGCCACCACTTCCATCAACGAGCCCGACGACGATCAGCAGCCCGTTCCAGATCCAAACATTGTCGACTGGGATGGCCCTGATGATCCGGAAAACCCCATGAACTGGTCCAAGTCGAAAAAGTGGGGCGCAATCGCCATCGTGTCTCTCATCACCTTTCTGATCCCGCTGGCCTCATCCATGTTCGCTCCCGGCGTCCCTGAGCTCATGGCCGAGTTCGGCTCGACCAGCGAAATTTTATCTGGCTTCGTTGTGTCAGTCTACGTCCTTGGTTTCGCCGTGGGTCCCTTGATCATTGCACCTCTGTCCGAGATGTATGGAAGGCTGCCGCTGTATCATACATGCAATGTTCTATTTATTATTTTCAACGTAGCATGCGCACGCTCAACCAGTCTCGGCATGCTCATCGCTTTTCGTTTCCTGGCCGGCTGTGTTGGTGCGAGTCCCCTCACCCTCGGCGGAGGCACAATTGCCGACTTGATCCCGCGGGAGCAGAGGGGCACTGCAATGGCAATCTGGGTCGCCGGGCCTTGCATTGGCCCTGTGGTCGGGCCCCTGTCTGGCGGCTTTCTCTCACAAGCTGCCGGATGGCGCTGGACCTTCTATGTCGTTAGCATTGCTGCCGGCGTCATCACTGTTTGTGGCTTCATTTTCATGTCAGAGACATACGCCATCGCCATCCTCAACCGGAAGGTGCGCCGCCTCAAAAAGCTGACCGGCAACTCGTCACTGCGCAGCAAGCTCGATGTCGGCCTCTCGCCCCGCGATCTCTTCTTCTTCAGCATCGTGCGACCCACCAAGATGCTCTTCCGGTCTCCCATTGTCTTTCTCCTCTCCCTCTATGTTGCCATTGCCTACGCCTACCTCTATATTCTTTTCACCACATTCACCCTTGTCTATAAAGAGCAGTACGGCTTCAACACTGGCACTGCTGGTCTGACTTACCTCGGTATTGGAATCGGCAGCGTGATCGGCCAATGGGTATACACCGTCTGGGGTAACCGGAGTGTCCGCAGAGCCCTCGCAAAGGGTAACTTCACCCCCGAAAAGCGTCTTCCACTCATGTTTCCGGGAGCGGCAGCCATGCCGATAGGCCTGTTCTGGTACGGATGGACCGTTGAGAAGCACACCCATTGGATAGTACCTATCATCGGAACTGGTTTTGTTGGATTCGGCTTGATGCTGATCTTTGTGAGTCATCACCCATCTCTCAGGCCCGCCACAAGCTTCATACCGACTCGAGCTTTGGAGGGAGGAGGAAACGCGCTGACGAAATCTCTAGATGGCACCGAACACATACCTTGTAGACGTCTATACCATGCACGCTGCGTCTGCAATGGCCGCAAACACTGTCTTGAGGTCGACTTTTGGCGCTTTTATTCCCCTAGCCGGACAGTCTATGTACGAGGCACTCGGATTGGGCTGGGGTAACTCTCTACTTGGTTTCGTTGCCGTTGCATTAATACCTATCCCAGTTTTATTCGTTAGGTATGGAGAAGCGCTGAGGAGAAAATACCCGGTGAAGTTGTGAGAGCCAGAACTCCAAAGATGAGCTGGAGCTTAGCATCACCCAACAAGCACGACGGATAGCTACTGCATCTTTCTTTCCATCGAGGGGGTAGAATTGGATGGTTGGCGCAAATGCGATTCCCGGGCGCTTGAAAAGAATGCCAACCGTGCCGAAAAGTGCATAGACGGCGTTATTGGTCTCCGGACTTAAAAGAAGGTGATGTCGCCGGACTAAAGGGAGAACTTGCACTGATAGACTATATTTTCCATGTTCAAGTTGGAGTTGCTTGCTTCTTTTCCTAACTGTCTAGCTCAAATATTCGCGGTCGGCCGTAACGATGGTTTGGCGGTTGGAATAGAGTGCTTACATCCATTAACAGCGCCACTTTACCATTGCAGCATCACCACATCCTGACTCTTGCAAACAGCTGCCCTGGTATTGGTGTCCGATGCGTTTTTGTAGGTCGTGACTCGATCTTGGAACATGACCCTTGTCTGTCGAGCCAACTTGGACACCCGCTGTGGTTCTTATGGCATGCACACATGCCAAAGAATGCTTGGCAGTCAGCTTGCGATTGAACGAACCCTTACTCAAGCATTGTCAAGGATCAGGGTGGTGACGAGACCAAAAGTGATGCTCTTAAATTTTTGCGGCTTCTCAACTTTCCTTGCTAAGATCAAAGCTTTGCCGCTACACTGGCTCCAAATGTCATAGCATCGCGGCTAGCCCATTGCTTGAGAATTTTGCGCATAATCTTCCCACTTTGAAGCTTCGGTACCTCGTCAATGAATGATATACCACCAATCAGTCGCTTGTGCTTGGCCACTTTGCCTTTCATCCAATCCTGAATCTGCTTCTCCGTCGTCTTGTCCTTCTTGTTACCCTTCAAGGTAACATACGCGCGTGGCCACTCCTCGCCACGTCTTTCACTCCGGTTAGAATAAGTATAATAACTTAGGCGAGCGAGTAAAACTTACAGGGTAATACCCACGACAGCAGCATCAGCGATATCTTTGTGCTCGAGTAAAACAGCCTCGAGTTCTGCGGGAGCCACTTGTAGTCCATTCACCTTGATGAGCTCCTATTGGATGATGTCGCAATCAGCACCACGGCCCGCGAAGAGTGTCATGCTGCATGGGTGGTTACCTTTTTCCTGTCAACAATCCAAAACCAGCCACCTCTCTCCATGGCGATGTCACCAGTCCTCAGCCAGCCATCAGAGCTCAGGGTCTCTTTGCTGGCTTGGTCATTTCTCCAGTATCCAAGGCAAACCTGTGGTCCACGAATATACATTTCTCCAGGCTTTCCGGGCAAGACTTCGTTTCCGTCATCGTCCCGGAGGATGCACTCAGTGTTGGGGCACAACTGGCCAACAGAGCCGGTGCTGGTTCGCACCGAGTTAGAGTTGTTCAGTAGAGGTGCTCAGGGTACATTGCTCACTTGTCTTTGAGCTCTTCGGCTCCACCGGGCATAACAATGGCCGCACAAGTCAACTCTGTCATGCCATAGCCCTGCTTCAGGGAGACTCTGAAGCGTCTGACGATGTCGTCGGCCAATTCCTTGGAAAGTGGTGCTGCGCCACATGTGATCTCTTCGAGACAGCTGAGATCGTACCTCGCTGTCTCCGGACGTTTGCTCATCATGACCAGAATAGGCGGCGCTACCTGTAAGGAATTGATTTTGTACGTCTCAATGACCCGGAGGAAATGGTCGTAAGCAAACTGCTTCATGATGTATATGGTTGCCTGCAGCTTGAGGGCCAAGATATTCGCGTAGAGCTGGCCATAGGCATGGTATAGAGGCAGGAAACCTGCCCATCTTTCCGGTGTTCGTTTCTTGAATGCATAGCGCATGTATATGGCCTGCTCGGCATTCGCGATGAGACTGTAGTGGGATATGCAGACTCCCTTGGGCAAACCTGTAGTACCGGACGAGTAATTCACGGTAGCCACGGTGTTCTTGGGCTCGGCTCCAGTCATGCGCTTCCACTGATACAGTTCTGCCTCGTCAGATGAGCCAATCATTTCTCTCCAGTCACGCACGGCATGGAGGGGATCGTGCTCCACGTCCGAAAACAGAAATATCCTGTTGGTTGCGAGGCCGGCTTTTTGGCCAGCCGACACGGCGGTTGAGGCAAGAGAAGGATGCGCCAAAAGAACTTGTGCGCCGGTGTCTCTCAATTGGTGCAGCAGCTCTATGTGGCGGGTCAGCCTCCTTTCGACTCGCCGTCGACGATGGAACGTGAGATACCAGGTTCGGTATAGGCGGGGTTTGCTCCGCTGAATATTCTTCCGGAGCCAACAATGGCCATGTAAGCAGCAGGGACAAAGATATGATTGGGAGTGTAGATCAGAACCACCTGACCACGGGCGCAGCCAATTTTGTCAAGACCGACGGCCAGTCTCTTGATCCACTGGAGCATCTGGTTCGGCGACAGGGAGTGGTGGGGATTGGTGGCATCAATCCACAGCGGCTTGTCAGATACATGTTGACCAGGGGGGAAGAGGTAAGTCAACAGGTCTGTTTCTGGGATGCGGAGGGGCGCAAAGGGCGAGGTGACAGGCATGATGGGCGACAGAGGTAGGCAAACGCAGGTGCAGAGGTGAGAGCAGGATATAGGTACGTTGAGAAGTATCCGAGGGTCGACCGCTTACCAGGCGGGGTTGCGGGGGAGCAGTGAGCGGCCCGGCATTGCCGGTCGGATCGCTGACATAGCATCTACGTGCAGTTTTGAATAGCGGATCCGTGGAGCAGCGACTCGCACGCGTGGCCGTTTCTCCCGCAGACGAAGGGAGGACGTTGGTGTATCTACTGCGCGCGTGCCGATGTTTGACGGGCCGGTGGCTGCTGCAGCGCGGCCCGGACTACCAGAGACACGCGTCATCTAGCCGAGATGGGTAGGAGGGTGCCTGAGGCAGAATGCAGATAGCGCGCTCCCGCAAGGTCGGCGGGCACCAGGCCGGCGGCACATGCGGCGCTCTGTGGATCTACACCAGGGCGCTGCCACCTTCTCTCTGCGGCTAGCCACCTGCCCTCTCGGCAAAAGCTTGACACGCACCTTCCATCTTGCTACTAGCAGCAGCCATGTCCATCACCAACATCGAAACCACTACAAAATCCCGCCTCTGCCCGCCGTCGCCAGCACGTCCTCACCCGCCGCCATGTTTCTCACCGGCCTGCTCTGCCTGGCGGCTCAAGCACAGGCCTTGCGCACATCGCTGCCTATCCGCGAATTGCGCAAACAGGTCAGCTGCTCAGCGCCCGCTTCGCCCCACCCATCCGCTTACCGCCCGCCAGATCCGCTCTCTGCCTGACGCTGTCCAGCTCGAGCGCCGTGATGCGTCGGCTCTGTATCCCGCCTACAACATTTCCGTCCCAATTGACCACTTCCACAACGAGTCGTTGTACGAGCCACACACCAACGGCACCTTCCCGCTCCGTTACTGGTTCGACGCCACGTACTACCAACCCGGCGGACCAGTCATTGTGCTTGCAAGCGGCGAAACGAGCGGTGAGGACCGTTTTCCCTATCTGCAAAAGGGCATTGTCGCCCAACTAGCCAACGCCACGGGTGGGCTCGGCGTCATCCTGGAGCACCGTTACTACGGTGAAAGCTGGCCCGTGTCGGATCTGACGACCGAAAGCCTGCGCTTCTTAACCACCGACCAGGCTTTAAAGGATACGCAGTACTTTGCAGAGCACGTCGTGTTCGAAGGCTTGGAGGACTATGACCTGAGCCCTTCCAGCACCCCCTGGATCGCCTACGGCGGCTCTTACGCTGGCGCTTTCGTGGCCTTCCTCCGCAAGCTCTATCCCCAGACCTTCTGGGGTGCCATTTCTTCATCGGGCGTCACTGAGGCCATCTATGACTACTGGCAGTACTATGAAGCCCAGAGGCTGTACGGGCCTCCTGACTGCATCAGCACCCTGCAGAAGCTGACGCACGTTGTTGACAACATCCTGATCGGCCAAGCCGACGCCGGGTACAAGACGCAGCTCAAGGAAGCCTTTGGCCTCGGCAATCTTACCTATGATGATGATTTCGCCAATGTCTTGAGCTACGGCATTGCTGGGTGGCAGAGCCTCAACTGGGACCCCGCCGCGTCGGATCCTTCGGTATTTGAGTACTGCAGCAACCTTACCTCGGACTCGCTACTGTACCCCGACACGGCTGCGCTGCGGCCGGAAGTCGAGGAGTTGATCCGCGTCGGCGGCTACGCCAATGAAGTGTCGAGCCTCAGTAGCAGAATGCTCAACTACATCGGCTACGTCAATCTGACCGAGGTTTCGCAGTGTCGGCAAACGCAAGATGAGTGCTTTACGAACCACAACGCCACTTTCTATGCTCAGGATGACATTTCGCAAACATGGCGCGCTTGGCCGTACCAGTACTGCACGCAGTAAGTGGCTGATGACTCGGCGTGCTTTCCGGTGCTGACAGTAGCGACCACAGGTGGGGTTATCTCCAAACAGGTTAGTCTGCTGATTTTCCGGGCCAGTGATTTATGCTCACACAGGGTCTTTGGCGCATGCAGGGAGCGGAGTGCCAAGCACACAACTACCTCTGATCTCGCGTTTGATTGACATTGACTACAACATGATGATCTGCCGAGACGCGTTCAACATCACGACGGCGGCCGACGTCGAGGCGATCAACAAGTACGGCGGATACGGTATCAGCTACCCACGGCTCGCCATCGTCGACGGAGAGGCGGACCCTTGGCGAGCGGCAACTCCGCACGCGTTTGCCGCGCCGAACCGGACGTCGACAGTCAGTGAGCCGTTCATCCTCATCGCGGGCAAAGCGGTGCACCACTGGGACGAGAACGGACTTTTCCCAAACGAGACGACAGCGGACTTGCCGCCGGCGCCGGTGGCCGAGGCGCAGGCCAGCGAGGCACGTTTCGTGAAGGCATGGGTTGCCGAGTTTGGGCAGCGGGTTCAAGGCATGTTCCAAGCGGGCCCCGTGGCTGGCGCGAGCTGACGGCGTCCAATCTAGGGCAGCAGACGAGGCAGGCGAGGCTGCAGTAACGGGGGGGATGGGACAGGACGTCATGTATTATTTTGCCACGTGGGATAGCATTCTGAAAGCGTTGGCGATCTCTGGCCGGCCAATTGCACGCGAGACCCTGCTGCTTATTTGGATTAAAGTTCAGACGGCGTGAGGTGTGGCGATGGGCGCAGACAGGAGGGATGGTGGGGCGATCAGACACGAGTCGTGCGAGTGGGCTGATTGTAGGTACAAGTCGACGGGGCGGCGAGCGAGCCGAATGGCGAGCGGGCCCCGGGCGGTGGGCGGCGCGGAAGCCAAATGGCAGGCCGTCCTGACTCGGCGCCGGCCAGGGCTGCATCTGCGCTCGCCACCTGCCCGTCAACGCTCCCACGTTGTCTGCCTGGGGAGATCCGGGCTTCGCTGCGCCGATCGCCGGACAGGGCCAATCTGCGTGCGTGCTGCCGCCTGCCTCGCCTGCCTCCCGCACGCCCACGGCTCGACCAACCGCCAGGGCGTCGCCTTTTGCAATGACATCCCCCCATGGGGCCCCGCCGCGTGCGAGCCAGGACGGTCAGCAGATGGTGGCGACGCTCCCTGAGCCGCATCCATTCCGCGAGCCTTGTATAGCTATCCCGCAGCTGCCCCAGCCCGCCGAGCAGCCAGCCCTCCAGTCCCAGGACATGCAACCCTCACAAGCCAACCCCAACACCGCCGCCTTTGCGGCCCCCGCCGACTACCACAGTGCGAACCAGCAGCCCGCCAAGCGCCCGCGCCATCGCGCCTCCATAGCCTGTGCCTCCTGTCGCGACCGCCGCATCCGCGTGCGTGCCTCCCCTGCCTCCCTCGACCGCCCCTTGAATGCTAACGGTTCGCTCCAGTGCGTGGTGCGCCCTGGCGACACGGAATGTTTCAATTGCAAGCGCACCGGCGCCGAATGCATCATCCGGAATGATGACGAACGTCGCAAGTGAGTCTCGAGACCCCGAGAGGCGCAGCTTTTCTGACGCTCAACAGGCCGATTTCGCGCGCCTATGTGGCCTCGTTGACGGAGCGCATCGCCGTGCTGGAGGACCTGCTCAGGAGCAAAGGGGAAGAGCCGCCGCCAGCCATCCACCCTCCGCGCATCAGGCCTGGACTCCCTGGATCCGAGGACCGGCACAGTCGACAGGAGCCTTCCCAGTCCGACAATGCCTCCTTCAGCGAGTCGGACGACGGTGCAGACCAGCCCGGCCATTATCTGTCGGCCGCGCGACCAGGTTCGTCTCCGCGTCTGCTGGACCCGTCGGACGAGAGCCAGAGTCTGGTCAGCCAACTGCTCGCCCCGAGAGGCCACCTGGGAATCGACCAGACCAGTGGAAGCGTGCGCTTCTTTGGCTCGCTCATGAACTGCCACCTCCCGTCGGACAAGGCGGCAGCTTCAAAGACGTCCGACATTGTCGAGCATGCGCGGCGAGCCACCAAGACGATCCGACTGCTCTCGCAGGAGACGCACGATCACCTCATGGACCTGTTTTGGGAGCATTTCAACGCCGTTCTTCACGTCATCCACAAAGAAGCTTTCCTCGACGACTACGAGCACGGTGCATCGCATTTTTACTCTCCTTTCCTGCACATTTGCATCCTTGCCGTTGGTTTCCGCTATGCCGACAAAACTCGGCCCGACATCCAAAGAATCGCGCTTGAGCCAAGAGAGAGTACTTTCCACCGCGAGGCAAAATACATGCTTGATGTTGAGCTAGAACGACCGGGCGGGATTCCCCAAGTCCAAGCTCTCCTCCTGCTTGCGAACTGCGAGTGTAGCGTGGGACGCGATCACACCGGCTGGCTCTACTCTGGCATGGGCGTCAGACTAGCCTTTGATATCGGTCTCCATCTAGAAACGCGCTCGTCGGGACTGTCGGAGCGCGAGGTTGATGTGCGGCACATGACCTTGTGGGCCTGGTACGACCTACTCCCTGCAGCCGTCGCCTCCGCCTCATGCTGACCCTGTGTAGTGTAATATTTGACAAATACTGGTCTCTTTTTTTAGGGAGACCCACAGCAATAAAGAGCTCCGACCTGGAGGTCTACGCTCTGGCCAAGCGATTTGAGCGGCTCGGGACCTGTTTGCCCAACGGACCGGAGCTCTCCCTCGAGACCCAGATCTACGAGGCACTGATCGACTTGATGGAGATTGCGGGCAAGGCAGCAGAAAACAGGGAAGCGACTGCGGTCTCTGGCGGAGGTTTCGACCGTACTTCCTACAAGTCCCTGGTTTCTCTGGACCGGGAACTGAATAGCTGGTACTCTCGCTTGCCCGGCGCGTTGAAATGGGAGCCAACGAATATTCAAACGGCGCCCAGATCCTTCTTCGTCCTGCACCAGCAATACCACTCGGTCCATATCCAGATCCGCCGTTCTTTTACACGCTACGAGGACTCTGTCTCCCCAGATGCCAAGGACCTGTCTGGGGATGCCGTTGTCACGGCAGCTCGTAGAGCGTGCACTGGCCATGCAATAGCCGTTGTCAAGAATTTCTGGCACTACAGGCAGCGGTTCAGCGCCAAGCAGATTTTCTGCGCCGCAATGCAAACTGCGGTAAGTGTGTCGCAGGTCCGACGGCGGGAAGTGCAACAACGCTAACGATCAGCAGGGGACTGCCTGTACGACGCTGGTCGCAGATCTTGCTTTTGTCAAGGATGTCAAGGAACGCAACCACATCCTGAAGTACCTGAAGTGCATGGCGGTATCGCTTCAGGAGATGTCTGGAATCTTTGCGCCAGCCGAACGCATGTGTCTTGTGCTGCAGCATGTCCTGGCCGAGATATCTCAATCAAGCCCACAGCGCGAGGCTTCGGTCGTGCCAGCGTCGCGGCAGAGCACCGAAGATGACACGATTCAGAACGCGCCCAAACGAAGGCAGCGACCCGATCACCGGCCAACGCCGCCGCTGCGGAGATCGGAAGGATCAGGCTCGGTGCCTCAAATGAGACTGAGCGTGGGCAGTATCCCGTCGTTGGCAGACAACCACTCGGAATCAGGTGTCAATGAAGCTAACGGGCTCTTCACTCCGCAAGGCGATCTCAGCGCGTGGCCCTTTCCGAGCCAGGACAACCAGGTGGGTGTGGGCGGCTCGTCATTGCCGGGCTCGGCGCCCGCCATGTACGGGAACATAACGCCGAACGCATGGATGACAGCCACATCGCAAATGCCGGACACGGCTCGAATGAGCTTCTCGCATTTTCCCGGGTTTACCGAGGGCAACACGCATGCTGGGCAGATGGACTTCCTCTCGCCGAATGACGAGGCGTGGGGCCACTGGCGGCTGGAGCAGCCGCAGGGCCCGGTGCGGCCTGACGAGCTCGACGCCGTGCCTCCAGACAAACAGTACAGATGATGCTAGTTGCATAATGCGGTGCCCGCTCATTAAAGTAAGAACAAGGCGGGTGAATGTTGACAGTTCTGTTCGTTCCAATCGTTCCATGACCGAGTTATCAAAATAGACTTCCTTAGCCCTCCTTGGCGGCCAGGACGGATCGCTGGCAAAAGGCATCATGCAGCTTCCGGGGCATTGTCCACTTCCCCCCGCTAGCATGGCCGGAAAAGAAAGGTGCCCCAAGAGAGGACGGAAAAAGCAAGTTTCTCAGCTGGCTGTCGCAATCGGACGAGATGACGCGCGCAGGGAAACGCGCGAGCAGGGCTTGGTGGTAGCAATTCTCAGATGTACGCCTGTCGCATTAGTGGTAATCGCATGTGGTGGATTGTTTGGCGGGTAAGCTAGCGGAGGGATCTATTTGGGCGGTACGAGCCGGGTGGCAGGAGGGGGCACTGCTGGGTCCGGCCGGCACTGGCGCAGAGAACCACGGCAGGGCCTAGTGGGGCGCGATGGCGGTATGAGGCGCGCGTCAGTGGCCTCAACGGCGGGCCAGATGATAAGAAGGGCCGGAGCCACGCCCGGACGCACCGCCCGATCGCTCTGTCGTCGTCTTGAAGAGGAACCGCGAGGCGAAGGCAGCAGTTGCGGGGTTTCGCGCTGCTCTGACGTACTGATCAAGTCCAGCAGTCCGCCCGTCGCGACCTCGGAAGGCCAGCAGCAGTGCCGCGGCACGTCGTCAAGCCGCATTGTTTGATCCCCAGCCTGCCAGCTGGAGGACAGCGTCGACAGCCGCTCTGCCGGGCGGCGCGCCTTCTGTGTATTCCCACGGTAAGTCCCAACCTTCTGCCCGTCTCCCGGGCCTTCCTATTCGCTGCCAGCAGCTGCTTCTGTCGGGGGCAGCGCTGCGACCTACACTTCGTCCGCCAAGTCTCTCGTCCGCTGCATTGCGTACAGCTGACGGACAATGTTCATCCGCAACCGTGCCAAGTGTGGCCATGTGCGATAGCCGGCCGCCCACCGAAACCGTAGGGGCTGGCGATCTTCCATCGCCACTCAAGAAAAATTACAAATTTGAGAGAGCCTTGGATGTGCTCCGGAGGCCGCTCCTGCTCTCGGTGATCCGAATAGAGTGAGGTGTTCCACGCCACAGACTCGCTGCGATCTGCACCCTTTTCGCCTGTAAATACATGTTGGATTTCGCCGCACAGTACCACCGATCCCACTTGTACCACTCGACGGTGGCCGCGGAGATGTGCTGCATCATGCAACAACGAAGCGGTATGTTTGACCCGCTTTGGGCGTCGCAGTTGCCACAGCTCCCTTGACTGGATGAGATCTCATCTCATTGTTTTCCTTCTGCCCGGTCCCCCAACGTTCTGCTGTGGGGCCAGCTCGGTCAGTTGAGATCTGTCGGCCGTGCTCCCGATAGGTTCAGTGGGCAGGCGATCGCGCTGAGAGAGCTGTACGGTCATAGCTTTATTGTCCAGCACCGTTTCTGGACTGCATCCTAAAGTGGCTTTTCCCGCCCTAGGCTGATGATTTGGACTCCACCATCGTGTGCCGACTTTCCTCCAACTTCGGCTCGATGTGCAGAGCCCTGGAGTGCTCTAATCACCCGCATCCGTTCCGGCAGACGAGTAGGTAGCGCTGTTCCTGTGCATATTTCAGGTTCACAGCAGAGACCAAGCGCTACCGCTAATCAGACCCAACGTACGAGGCTCTGTCATCCTAGAATAGCACGGCAGGCTGGAACCCATGCACCCAGGAATCTGATAATGAAAGTGTCTCAAGTGGCAATGTCCGAAACCTTGGCTAAGCATCCAGAGCTTGTTTCACTCAATGCCGGCTATATAGCATAGTTAGCCCTCAACCCTAGCCATCCGTCATTAATTATGCTCGAAGCAACTTTTGATCCGAAAAACGACTGCTGATCGCTTGGGGTTGTCTAAGTAAGAAGTCTAGAATATCAAGCAAGTCTACGATCCTGCGTAACTCGTGATTGCTGCTTTCCCCCTCAAGATCCAACTCCCAGCCACCGAAAGAATCACATGCTTTTCAACGGCTTGAGAAAAGGTCCTGGTTTGGGCCAGCAGATGGTCAATCACTGCTCAAGAAGGAGTTTGTTTGGCTACTCACCACTCGGCAACTGTCGCCCTATCCACCCTTCAATAAAGCCGAACCGCACAGTTTGCAAACAGAAAAGAGGGGTAACACTTGGAGAAGGCGGAAAGATTGGGCAGTGATGCGAAAGCAGCAGACATTCCTTCTCTTGAGCCGTCAGGGAAAAGGTCATGCTTCTCGGGAGAGCATGAGTTTCAAAAGGAGACGGCTTACACTGAGTTCCTCTGTTTTGCGGAACCGTGTCCGGCGGGCACTGGCATACAGGGTATGGGCGGTGGCGAAATACCTTGTCACGGTGTGTTGCACCGTCTCGAGGCCCTGGTCCCACGTCCAAGCGGCGGTCTCCACTCAACGGTTCGGGTATCGCCTTCAAGCAGTTGCCAGAGTGCGTCATACCAGACCCCACCGGAGGAGCTAGCTATCTCCACATCGCTTGCCTGTCAAGCTCCGGCCGTGCGTTGTGAGCGGCAGCGCCAGGCGTGTTGTGTGCGAGCATCCATCCCTGGGAAGACCCACAAAGAGTCGAACGATTCTGGGCATTTTAAGCGGCCGCTGGTCTCAACTGGGGCAGAGACAGGGCCGTTCAAGATGCGTGCACAACCGTCTCGCTGCACTCCCCTATACACGATATTGTACACAGCACCACACGTTGTCCCACAACCGAAGCTGAGTTGACCAGCGGACACGCCCGATCATGCCATCACATCGATCAAATCCCCGCCAGGGACTCAGGCAGCCTTGAGAAGGAGTGAATCGTCGGTTGGGCATTTTCGATCGCTGAGGAAGGCACCACGACGAAGCTGGTCGGACCATCGGCTGCTGGAATGATGGCTACCAGAATTTAATCGACTTTGCGCACAGTGCCACGGTGGCAGATTGCATTAACATGAGGATGCTAATTTGTGGTCCACAGTTATTACATTAAAGACGCCTACAACACCAACACTTCCTGCCAGCCACATAGAACGGCCGTTTCGGTAGCGCAGCGAGATGAAGAGCCCCAGCGAAGACGCCAACTCAGGCTAAACGAACGATGGCACGCTCGACTGTGCAAATACAGGCGCAGAACCACAAATGGAAGGATGGCGCGAATAGCCCAGCGCGCTTACGGCGCGGTCCGTTTCAGTGGGCGAGGCTCTAGCTGCTGAGTTTGCTGTCAAGATGATTGATGGGGGAAGCTTGACAACAGATTTACAGCGAACGCCAGGCTATATGTGGCGAGCGTGGAACACAGACCGTCACTCCAGAGGCTCTTGTGGTCTGGAAGATGGAGAATATTTGTTCAGAGCGCGCTAGGGCGAAAGACGGGCAGCAGCAACAGCTCTGTGTACAACACCGGCACTGTCGGGCAGAGATTCAGGCATCAAAGGCATCAGTCGGGGCGTGCCAACGGGTAGTTGGGGGCTCATCAGCGGGCGCCAATGCCGTCGCAGATGTGTCTGGCCGAGACAGTTCACATACAGCCAGCTATTTCTTCCAGCGAACAGGACAGCGAGGACGTCACAGAGCTGACAACCCTCTCTTAGCGCTTATCTAGGGCTCAGCACCACGCAGGACGAGGTTCAATCGTTCACCGACTTGATTGCACACGTGGCGGTTCAGCGAGGCGTAGGCTGATAGATATTGAAGCGGTTCGTTTTCAGGGTCTGCAGAAACATGATGCAGTGAGCAGATCTCTGCAGGCGGGGCTAGCGTGCTGCGGGTTCCTGTGGGGGATTATTCATGCGGAGCTCTATCTCAGCAGCTATAATTGCAACGCAGTAAGCACCATCGGCAGCTGCCGGGGCCGTGGAAGGTGCTGACGGCCGCAAGTAGATGCTAGCGCATGAGCTCAACTGGCAACACCACGCAGCTGAGCTGGCGGAGCGATTTCTGGAAGCGCATGGGCTGGGTGGTGCCAGATGGTGAGTGCTCCCAAGGCCAATACGAGCCAGCCGTCGTTCTCCGCGCTTTTTTCTGCTCCGGCGGAGGGTAAATTGGCAACGCTCCAATCCGACGGTATGACCTGCAGCGGACCGGCCCAAGTCGGCGAGCTCGCTAGTCAGTTGAAATGATGCGAACCGGCGGGCGGGCGGGATGTTGGTGGTGGACAAACCCATAAGCTTGCGGACCCTTGCGCCCGCTGACAGCCAGCCTCGCGACCTAAGGGCGATCAGCATCGCTATTTTTGGTATGCCGTGAAACTTCCGTCGGACGGGAGGCAGGAGCTGGTACACCATGGGCGCGGGGACCGTCGGCCGAGGAGCAGGCGGGCAGCTCAGCGCTGGGCACGCCAAGTGACGGCCGTTGGAGGAAGCCAGGCACCGTTTGTACAACTGGTGGTTGCGGTGCGACGCGTCCGTCGGCGGCCGGCTGGGGCTGTTTGAGGAGTGCGGAGCCGAAACGAAGCCGATCAGAGCACAGCCTATCCAGAGCAGCCGGCCGTCAGCACTCTGCGCGCTCCTAGCATGGGGAGCCGTGAGTGGCTCAGCACCGCTCGTGCTGACGCTCAACCTCACTCGCGGACTTCACACCAGAACGCCGGACCCGGCAGCTTGGCTCTGCGAACTCAACCCAGCCAGAGCGGCCATATAAATGGCGACGGCGGCGATGGCATTCCAGCAGCAGCACCCCGCCGACAGACATCAGCTAAACAGAATCTCTACAACTTCCCCTCCAAAATGGCCACCACCAGCATCTCCACTCCCCTGCCCGCCGGCGTCAGCGAGCAGCAGGTCATCACCGCTCTCCACAACCACGACCTCATGATCAAGACCCTCTGCCCTGCCCTCGTCTCCTACGAGCTCGACTCGGGCGACGCGTCCACCCAGGCCACCTACAACGTCACCGACAAGAAGCCCATTGGCCAGGTACACGCTCGCGTTCGCATGTGACCACGACATCCGCTAACCGTCGAGCAGACGACCTACAAGCTTACCCTCACCAACGTCGCCGGCGGCGTCGACTCGCTCGTTGACGCGAAGCCGCCGGTCGGCACGCTCAAGATCGCCGGCCAGTGGAGGGTTGCCGACGGCGAGCTGAAGGAGGACGTCGAGATTGACGGCAACATGGTCACCAAGAAGATGGCCAAGGGCAACGTCGAGAAGACGCACCCGGAGCAGCAGACCAAGCTGCTCGAGGAGGCCGCCAAGGCCTAGGCGCGGGGAATAGACACTGGAGTTTCGCTAGCCGGGAGATTTAGTAGAAATACAACGCGCTTTCCACGACGATACTTTGACTTCGAGATGCGGTGCCTGGTCGATCGACGGCGCGTGGGATGGTGACGATCCCGGGCACATCGCAGCCCGTCTGGTGACCTGGGGTGGGGACGCAGCTTGCTTGTGGAGAGAGGCACGTCATCGGACCCTTATGGGCTGACTCGAGCGCCAGCGCCAGCCTGCCACTCCCGCGACCCGTCGCCCATGTCCTGGCGCATGAGCTTGTATTTCTCCGCCTTTCCTGCCTCTCATTTTCCCTTACATCTCCTGTGCCTCGCTGTCCATGCGTCGTCGCTGACGGAGATCCGCCTGCACCACGACGCCGATCAGCGAGCAGCCCTGCAGCCTGTCATCATCTTTCGGGCAGCCATGGCTGCCTTCATATTATAACTGCCGCCTGCTGTCCTTTCACTTCCCGCCTCCGAAACACCGCAAGCTTCCTCCAGCCCGCCGTTCTGCAGCCCTCTGCGGTACCACGCCCGCAACCATGGACCCCGCGCTCGTAGTACGACTCTACCCTTCCCGCCCGCTTGCCCTAGCTAACTCCCAAAAGGACATAGGCGCCGGCGCCATCGCACAATTCGCAAACAGCAAGTATTACGACAAGGTCTACGACAGGATCCCAAACCCCAAGAAACGATGGTCCAAGTACAGGCAAAGGCGCAAATCGGCTGGCCAGGCAGATCAGACGCGGCAACAAGACGACCGGTACAATTACGGCTATGACGGGAACTACGATGAAGATTATGACTACACTCATGGCGACTCGCGCAGGCCAAGAGGGAGATCTAGGCGGGAACAGAACCGTGTGGACCGCTACGACCGCTACAGCACCGATGGTCGCCCGCAAGACTACTATCGAGAGACTCCGCGCAGCTACAGGGATGATCGCCAGGATCGGGAGCTGGTACCGTACCGCCCGCTTCCGCCTCGCACCGAGTACAATCGCCGCGCTCTTTCAGCCAGCGGTCTGCACGGTGGTCGCGCGCCCTTCACCCACACCGATGACTATTCCGAGGATGAGGACGACATAAGCCGCTCCCGCAGGGATTTTACGCGCGCCTACGTCGAAACCGAGGCCTTCAATGACCCAGACGCCGACGGTCCCAGCACGCCTTCCGAGGCTTACAGTGGACGACGTAGCAGCAGTATCCGCAGCCATGCGAGCCGCAGGAGCCATGCCCAAGACACCTACGACATTGTCCGCTTCAGAGACCAGCGGGATACTTATGAATATCCACCAGCCCAAGATCTGCCTGCCGGCGGCCGTATGAAATCCGCTGACGAATACTTTCCACCGCCGTATCCATATCCGCGGACGACACGTGCCATGTCTGTCCGGGAAGGCGCTGCTCCTATCCAGAGAACGCGTGCAGAGGGATATCGCGGCAGTTGCTCTGTTCGGGACACCTATTCAAACGCTCCTCCTTACGAACGTGAAACTCGCCGCCATGATAGCGTTCGCAGCTCGACATCAAGACGCCGCCGGCGTAGCAAATCCCCCTACGGCAGCGGCGTCGCCTCCGCTGCCGTGGGTGCCTTGGCTGGAGGATTCTTAGGAACCGAATTGACCAAGGGAGACACTTTGGCTACCGTCGCAGCTGCTGTGGTTGGTGCGATGGGCGCTCACGAGGCAGAGAGGAAATACGAAAAGTTTGAGCAAAAGAGGCAGGAGAGGAACGAGCGGTCGATCTATGACGATGATGACGATTACTACCACGACCGCAGGCAAAGGAGCCGTTGACCGGACCTCCGCCCTTGACATTGGTCCATCTCGGGGATTTGGATACGATTCATGATCACGTCTTCGCTTTCACCATATTCCTATTGTCTCATATGTTTTTCTTTGCTGTTCGGGTAATAACCTTCCTTGCAAACCACTGGACGATACACCTTTTCTTGGCATATACGGCTTCAATTTTACCCAATCTGTCTTTCACGGTCGAACACAGCCGAGAAATACTTAGGTGGTCATCGTCTTCAAGATGGGGTTTCTTTTGGGATGCAATTTAAAGAAGGTTGCATAACATGGATTTGATGGAGGAAAAGCGATGAAGCCCATCTTATTCTCCCTAAAATTGGACGAGAACTTGGCAGAAGGCTATTGTGTTTTTTTTTTTTTGCTTAATTCTTTTCCGCTCTGCTTTGAATGGCGTTGCGAACGATGGGCCCGTACTTTTGGGTTTTGGGCGGATATCTATCGCTAGGAGCCTGGGGACTGTAAATCACGACGCATATGACGTAAAGACACGAATGCAAATACACCATTAGGTGGAGCAGTAGTGTGAAGAGAGCAGCAGTTCAACCCAAGATGTCACAAGCTGCAAACCATCGGTAAGAAACCTGGTTCTCTCCGACACTATGGATGGATACCCTACTAATGCAATGAGTTGCAGATCGTGTATGAACACCTGCCAGCTCACAGCCTCGTTTCCGCAGCCCCGGGAATCCTTCTCGAAAATGCAGATCGGCGCATCGTATCCCAGGCTAACCCCACCCGGTAACCTGATCCTGGGCGCGTGAGCCGCCGTCTCGACTGCAGCTGTCATCGCGGCCTATCTCCGCTAATGATGGTGTCCGTGCCTGATGGACCCGCTCGAAGAAATGGTGAAAGGTTCACCGCGCCGCCCGTTTAGAGGTCAGCGCGCCATGTACCACCCCGCCTTCTTCTATCCATATTACTATACAGCTGATCTCTGCGCGTTCTCCGCTCATGCATCGACGGAGGCAGGCCAGACGTCAGACAGACATGGTGGCGAGTCACCACATAAGCGTGCTTGTGCTGATGGGATGCTCCCGTTGGCCTTCACTCTACAGTGGCGTCAAGACCAGCGCCGTTTCCGCTGCCAAAGACGTGGTCAACAATCCCCTCACGCCACAAGGCGAATACACCGTCCTGACGGCGCTTGACGTAGTTGATGCAGTGTAACGAGATTCATTCTTCGGCGGTGCTCTTCGCAACCCAGCGTTCAAACAACAGCTCCAGCACGCCGTCAAAATGATCACGGTAGCCAACGACGTAGGCCGCGGCCTCACCCAGACTGTCGACCTAGCGCAAGCGGCCGATGGCGTCCGACCTAGGACGGAGCTTGTCTTTTCATCCCGATGAACCAGCAGCGAAGGAGGCGGACTGCTGCACCGTTGGCTGGAGGGATGGATGCGGGATGATGGCAGGAGCAGTACTTGGCTCAGGCGCGATGCGCAAGGCGGCGGCGATGGCCGATAGTGTTGCTGCCTGACAGTACTAGCGCTGCTGTCGTCTGCAAGGCCAGGCAGCGAATAGGTGACGAGGTCATCGGCTGCACCCACTTCAACTCGAATGACGTAGCGTGCATTGAGCCAGAGACTGGAAGCATTTAATAAAACGGGGTGGGGGCGCAGTCACTTTGGAAAGGCATGGAGCCCGCCCGTGGAGAGCGTAGCATCACCGTCACCCGGCTGAACGTCCTCCTCATCATGCAGTTGGGAATCGGGAGATTGCAGTCGAACAACGGCGATGAGATGGCGCAGCGTTGGGGACTCAGCACTACTACTGCGTCTTCAGGGGCGAGAACCGAAAGATGCTGAGTAAGGCGTAGTTGCGGGAGCGCCCCATGTATTTCTGCACGTGATGGCGATGGCGTTAGCAATGGAAAGGCATACACGCTGACCGGGTTGATGAAGGAAGAAGTTTGGCGTAGATTCGGACCAATCTCCTTGCGAAGCATCGGGACGCCTCGACCAACAGCCAGGAGCTTTGGCAGGCAGGCAAAGTCCAATGGCGGGGGCGTGCTGGCGGTGCTGGACGATGGATGGGGCCAGCGCAGCAAAACCACCGCATCGTGCAGACGGAGAATTCCCCGATACGTAGCCTTCTCACACACGGCCGCCGATGCAGAACGCGAGCCTCACCGTGGCTTCGCGTGCTTCATGTACACTATGGCCATGCACCTGTACTGCCGCTGTTCGCTCGTGTGCAGCAGCGGCGAACGGTGAGAACTGGTGTGAGCACTAGTTCTCTGGTTCCGTGTCCGTCCGCACGTGGATTGCAGAAGATTTCATCCTTTCGTATCCCGCGAAGTCCTCGTCCTCCTACGTGAGCAGCTAAACCAAATGCTAGGCTGTAGATGTAGGGGTTGAACCTCCCAAGAGAGAAAAAAAATTGGACAAAGGCTGTAAGTAGCATGAGTCTCGAATGAGACATGTTTGAGAAGGGTAAAACTTCCACGGCCCGCTACACCTGCACAGGTGAAGAGTGCTCGTCATAGATGGTATAAATGTATAAAGGACGCACCTTGGCAGAGTAAAACGCTATTTTTTCTCAGCCAAGTTAGGAATCCCGTTGAGACGGGGCCGGAGGATGACGAGCTTGGAAGAGTGAGGATGATGAAGTGCTCGTGGCAAAAGACGCGCACAAGCGAGCCGGCAGACGGATAGAAAGATTATCTCTGACCGTGACGGTTGATGAAAGATGCAGGCTGCGAAAGCGACAGGAAACGCGCAGCAAGGACTGTGCAAGCTCTTATGTATCGTGCTTGGCCGTGAGAAGGCAGCGGGTTGGATGAAAGCGGACACCGCCACAAACCTCTGCGTGAGTCATGGCTGCGGGCAGTTGCGTGAGCCTCGATCCTGCAGACAACGGGAAGCATCGAGGGCCACACAAGCGCGGCGGCACGCCACAGCTGGCAGGACGAAGCACAGGCGCCTGAAACAAAGTGCAAACAAAACCACTGCTGCCAGCAGCGAATTTTGGATCTGTGTGGGCGGCAGCGGTCGGCGCTGGGGAGTGGCGACGGTCGGGGCGTCTTGTGCGGCGTGCAGCAGGGTGCAGGCGGGCAGGCGCGTGTGCTGCTGGAGCGCGGATGCAGCGGGCTACTTCTGACAACCGTTACTGCAGGGCCAGTTTCCCCTGCTGATCTCCGGCGGATCGCGAGCCAGCCAACCCGCCAAGCGCTGAAGAACTGCATCGCGGGCGGGCGCGGGCGCGGGCGCAACGGCGTGGCCACCCTCTCCAGACCCTGCAGGGCGTCATCTGAAGAAGCTGTTCAGAGCGAGCCACAATAAGGAAAGACGGCGGGCCGCGACGCTCTGGGAGCAGCGTGCGCCGGCCTTTCGGCGGAGCAGGGAACCCCTAATCAACGGGCCAGCAGCGTAGGGTGCGGCCGGGCAGGCGCTCGAGCGACAGGCGACAGGGCGGCGCAGGGCTGGTTCTTTTCCGCGCAGTGTCGTCTCGTGGTGGCTGCGTCGCCCCCATTCACCAGGGCTAAGTAACACTAGCCGACTTTCTCGAAGCCACAGAAGCCGCCGCGAAGTGCGATCGAAGGGCAGGCCCGCGGCACGAGCCAGCGCGCGGTGGAGCCGGAAAGTGGGCATCCAGAGTCTCACAACTCATCAAAGAAAGCCACGCCCGCCGCGGCGCGCGCATCCAGCAGCTGCTCGCTCGCGCGGAAGCTGCGTCGCTGCCGTCCTGCTGCGCGCCGCTGCCCGCGTGCGCTAGCATCCGCCGCGTCGTGGTGCGCGATTGGCAATTTGCCTCTCGCCGAAGCTCTCCCCACCCGCGAGGCCTGTCCCCCGCGCTCCACCTCGACACGCTCAGACAGTTGACCGCTTCTTGTCAACAAACCCTCACCCACGCCAGTATATAGCGCCCCCCGGAGCCGCACCGCCCAATTCCCTCGCGCTCCGCGAACCATGCGACTCCTCTAGCCTCCCGCCTGCCTTACGTAATTCCCAGCTCCTCCCACCGACAAGACAAAAGGGTGGAAGGCCGCCGACGCGTTTGACCTCTTCTCCCCGTGCACCGTCGCCCACCACCACCATCATTCGACACGCGCGCCGGCGCCGCTCCTCCACCATGCGGCGCCATCACAGGGCCGGAGGCCCGACTGTCCACGCCAGCAAGGTGAACGGCGGCCCTGTTCCCGACCCCTTCGCCTTGATACGCGCCTTCGACTCCGAGACGAATCCAACCAAGCCGGTGCGGCCCTCACCGCTCACGGCCTCGACCATCCAGGGCTTGCCCCTCGACCTCATCGACCGCCTCCGTTCCTTTCCGCTGTTCCTGTCCGCTCCCGATTCGTTCCTCGCCGCCATTGGCACCCACCTGCGGCCCCAGCTGTACTCGCCACACGACACCATCATAGCCGAGGGCGATGAGGCCAAGGCCATGTACTGGCTGGTTCGCGGTGCCGTCCGCGTCACTTCGCGCGACGGCGAGAGCACCTTCGCCGAGCTGCGCCCCGGCGCCTTCTTCGGCGAGATCGGTATCCTGATGGACATCCCACGCACCGCCACCATTGTCGCCAAGATGCGCTCCATGGTGGTCCGCCTGAACAAGGAGGACCTCAAGAAGGAGCTGCCTCGCTTTCCCGAGGTCGAGCAGTCCATCCTGGACGAGGCCAAGGAGCGGTTGGCCATCTTGGAGCGCAAGAAGAAAGAGCTCAAGGACTCCAAGCAGCACGCCCGGGGGCCGTCCCGCAGCGGTAAGCGGTCGCGAGACACGACCGATGGCGACGTGGAGATGGGCGACGCTGGCGAGATCAGGGATGGGGAGGTCTTGGTTAGTAACAAGAAGAGGAAGTCGCCCAGCCCAGGCCTTGCCGAGGCGGCAGCGTCGAGCGCCATCGGCAGCGGGACCGTCAACGTGCGTCAGCTGCTGAAGGAACTGCCCTTGTTCTCCAGCTTGCCCTCGGACATTCTGCATTTCCTGGGCCTTAACGCCCAACCCCGCACCTACCCTCCATTCACCGATGTCATCCAGCAGGGTTCCCACGGGCGCGACGTGTTTTTCATTGTGCGAGGTGAAGTTGAAGTCGTGTCCGAAACGCCCCCGGACGAAGAGACCAGGAAAAAGCAATCCAGCCCCAAAAACATCCAGCACGTGATCGCCCGCCTCAAGGCTGGCCAGTATTTCGGAGAAGTCGTCAGTCTGGACTTGGCTCCACGACGCACCGCGACAGTACGTTCGATCGCCTCGGTCGAGTGTCTGGCAATTGGTGGCGATGTTTTGAACGAGCTGTGGCAACGATGCTCCCCAGAGCTGCGGCAGCAGATAGAAAACACTGCAAGAGCCCGTCTGGATGCTGCTGCCCAGAGGGATACGGAAATGCCCGATATTTGTGACGGTACACCCGCGATCAACGAGCTTGTCATCAATGACCGTACCCCCGAGTCACGCAGAAAAAGCCTTCCCGCCGTTACTTTCACAGACAGTTTTGCCGAAAAGGAGAACGGCTTTCCTCCCAAAGTCAAAGACGAAGGCCTAACCGTTGAACCCTTTGACCCTGACCCATTCCTGAACGTCGATCTCGACAACGCCCGCTCGCGATCAAGGAGAGCTTCGCTTGCTCCGCCCCCGCCGGGTGCTCCCCCGGTGCAAGAGCCAGCTCAGGAGACACCCAAGTCGCAGGATGCGCCAAAGCTTCATCATGAGTCTCCCAAGCCCAACGGACTCCTTCCCTCTCCCATATTCACGCAAGAAGAGCGCCTTACGCCAGAACGTTCGAGTTCCTTCAAGCGCCAGAAGATCGTTCGGCGGCCAAGCCGGAAAGGAAAGGGCATTCTTCCAGATATTATCCTGGTCAAGATCTTTCAGCATCTCGACATTGCAGAGTTGATGCGCCTCCGAACTGTTTCGATGCACTGGCTCAAGATCCTGACCTCTTCGCCCAGCATTCTTTACGACTTGGATCTGGCACCCTACAACCGGCGTATCACAGACCGGGTTCTCACCGATATCATCTGTCCGTTCGTGGGTCAAAGGCCTCGGTATGTCGACATTAGCAACTGCTTCCATCTGACGGACGAAGGGTTCACTGCCTTGGCAACGACATGCGGGGCCAACGTGAAGAAGTGGAGGATGAAGAGTGTATGGGATATCACTGGCCAAGCGGTGCTTGAAATGGTCAACAAAGCCAAGGGTCTGGAAGAGGTTGACCTCAGCAACTGTCGCAAAGTTGGCGATAACCTCTTGGCACGCGTAGTGGGCTGGATTGTGCCCGACTTGCCTCCAGGGTACATGCAAGCACAACAGGCCCAGATGAACGGCCGCTACGGCCGCAAGGCGCAGCAACAACAGGTGCAGCAGCTCCCTCCAGGGACCGTTGTCGGCTGTCCGAAGCTCAGGCGCTTGACGCTGAGCTATTGCAAGCATATCACGGACCGTTCGATGGCACACATTGCGGTTCATGCCTCCACGCGGTTAGAATCGATCGATCTTACGAGATGCACCACCATCACGGATCAAGGGTTCCAGCACTGGAGCGTTTATCCATTCCCGAATCTCACGAGGATCTGTCTTGCCGACTGCACTTATCTCACGGATAACGCAATCGTGTTCCTGACGAATGCTGCCAAAGCCCTTAGAGAGCTTGACCTGGTAAGTTTAATGAGCGCCCTTGGGTTTTAATCACCACTTACGGAGTTCCTAGTCTTTCTGCTGCGCGCTTTCCGACACGGCCACGGAAGTTCTCGCTCTGGGCTGCCCGATGCTCACGCACCTCAACCTCGCATTTTGCGGCTCAGCGGTATCCGACAGCTCTCTCCGCAGCATCAGCCTGCACCTCCTGGAGCTGAAGTATCTTTCCGTCCGTGGCTGCGTTCGCGTCACGGGTACCGGGGTTGAAGCGGTTCTCGAAGGCTGCAGTGATCTCGAGGAATTTGATGTTAGCCAATGCAAGAACCTGAGCCGATGGCTCAATAACGGTGGTGTCCAAAGAAAGGGCCGCGGAGTCAAGTTCGCCACGGTCGCGGACGGCACCTGGAGAGCACCAAGAACATGAGGAGTAACTCCGATCAAAAGAAAACGAATCGAGGTACGAAAGGCCTCATCTCCTGCTATGGGAGCTGGAGAGGGGGACATATGGAAAGAATTGGTAGAGTTATTCTTGGCGGCAGCGCATACGTTATTTCGATCATCACACGGCCATGTATACACACGGATCTGGCGTCTGGCAAGAAAGAGTGGGGTTTGCGTTTGTGGTTTCTGTGTGTTTTCTCTTCACGCGGTCACTCTGTGCTCAGATCATCGGTCCGCATCGGGATTGGCGTTCTTGCTTCCACCTCACTTCCCGAAGTTTTTGCTTTCTCCTTGTTGTCATTTTCTTCTGCCTCTCTCTCCACCATCTACGTTGATGATACCATGAAAGTTTCTGACGCGACAAAGATTTTATATCTGAGCATCTAGCGGGCGCCTTAGTACCTCACTCTGTTGTTCATGCCTCTCTTTTCTCTTTAGTCGCGCTTGAGTAGTCGACAAAGTGTACATCACCGCAACATATTTTGTGCTTCACAGCTAGATGTTTATGTAGTCTAAAGGGTTGCCGAAGGCGAGTGGAACTGGAATGAATACTTGGGGAATATTCACACGTTGGTATTCATATCGTCAGATCTTTCTGCGCTGGCCATATCTTTCGCCGAAATCAGCCTCTGAGTCTGTCTCAGCGTGCTATCGCTTACACATGAAGCTGTGCCGGGAGCGGTGGACATTTTCTTTCCTTTACCGACACACAGTCGATCCAGACCATCTGTTGACCAAGCCATTCGGCCGACAGAATGTGCTAGGCCCGATGAAGAGGTCTTTTTGGGGGTTCCAGCGTTGCAAGCTTGGAAAATCATCTTTGTCTTCCAAGCTAGTAAAGTCTCCTGCTGTGCCATGGCGTAGTTCTCAGCTTGAGGTGGCCTCCAGCATTCGTCTCCCATGCGCCCGCACCACTCCATCCATGATGTCCCGCACGCGTTTGCACCCGTCGACACCGACGGCCAGCATGGCCTCGAGTCTGCTCATCTGCACTTTGGTCTCCATTACTAGCACGCTCACTTCCTCCCGCTGGCCCAAGCAGCCGACCGTCAGAAACGGAAGCTCTTGTTCTTCCAGGTTGTTCAGATCGAGCAACGGGTCGGCTTGCTCGTCGTTGGCGGCATAGGAGGCGGTGGAGCCGGCCGTGCAGGAAACAAGGTAATCGCTCATGGGGATTCCAGCATCGACAAGAGCGAGGGTGGCGGCATTGAGGCAAGCGGCCAGCAGCGAGCCGTCCTGTGAAAGGATATGTAGCGATATGGAGATCGTACTGTGAGGGTAGCGCTGGGTGTGCAGGGTCGACGCGAAAGCTTGGACAAGGGTATGCTGCATTTCGGACGTGCGCCTAGGGGATTGTCAGCGGGGTGGACCTCAAAGGAAGCGGAATGGCTTACTTATCGCCACGACCCCTCCTCTTCCTCTCAATGCCGCTGAAGCCCGCAAAGCCAATCTCGACCTCGATCTTGGCCTCGCCTTCGCGCTGAGCAGCAGCAACGCCTCCTTGGCGACGGCCCTCGGACGGACCGGTCACGGTGCACACGACTTTGGTATTGCCCATTTCCAGGTAAGACGATCCGTCGGCGGCGGCCTGGGTGCTGATCTGGGCATGGATGCGACGCAGCTCGTTCCAGCGGCGGCCGTCAAGACGCAGCAAGGCGAGCGAATATGAGGACGTGTCGAGAGGCATCGTGGCGGTGGCGGGACGGGCCGGGGCGGAGGACAAGGGAGGCAATGAAGAGCTTCTGGTGTCGGTGCAGACGTGTTTTTGGCGGCGGGCGAGACGAGCCGTAGGGCTGAGCAAGATTTGGCGCGCGATACGCGGCTGATCTGCAGCGCTAGTGGCTAGCGCCGTGGAACTGCATCTCGTCTACGAGGTCGGGTTCCTCTACAGTCCCCTCTCGTAGCCGATGGCTAGCGTGGATTTGTTTTTTTTTTTTTGTTACGCTATGTTCCAGAGCCCTACTATTCTTCGCGCTAGCCATCGGCTGCAGTACCCCTCTGTAGCAATGCAGCACAGGACGGGCAAACAAATGCAGCCGGTCAAGGAACCAATTCCCCCGGTCGCAGATTCAAAAGTGGGCTGACAAACACAAGCATTCTTGAATTGAGATGAGAGAGGACGTCAACCCCCTATGGGCGTTGCATTTTTGCAGATTACATCAAATTTAGGCTGCATTCCTTTCCCCGCTGCATCACTGTGCAGTGTAGCCACCGTCGACGAGCATCGCTGAGCCAACCATGAAGGATGATAGCGGACTCGCTAAGAACATGATGGCGTCTCCGACTTCTTCTGCGGTCCCCATCCTCTTCACTGCCGTGTTCTCGTTGACAAGCTTCTCCATCAGGCCGGCTTTCGCCTTTGCCGGCGTCAAAAGCGGCGTGTCGATGTAGCCCGGGCAGATGGCATTGATCCTGATCCCCTTGGATGCGTACAGAGTGGCCTCGGTACGTGTTAGGCCCACGACGGCATGCTTAGCCGACGTGTATGCGCCTGCAGCAATGTACGAAGGTGAAGAGGCGAAGCCATGGACCGAAGAGACGTTGACGACGCTGCCGCGGCCGTATCGCTCGCCACGCGGCTCCTGCTTCAACATCTGCCGGATCTCGGCGCGCTGGCTCAGCCATACTCCTGTCAGGTTGATTGACAAATGCTTGTTCCAGGCCTCCAAGCTCACGTCCGGACTCCCTCCCACGGTGCCAGTCACTCCAGCGCTGTTGACGGCGAAGTCGATACGCCCGAACTTGGCAACCGCCTGGGCAACGCCGCTTTCCACGGCCTCTTCCTGAGAGACGTCCATCTCGATGGCAAGAGCTTCGACCGACGTCCCATGACGGCGGATCAACTCGTCGACTGTAGACTGGAGCGCGGATGCATTGATATCGGTCAAGGCGAACTGCCTAACACCATGCTTCGCAAGCGAGAAGGCCGAGGCTTGTCCAATTCCTGCACTCGTTAGTCCTGTATTCGGATAAGAAGAAGCCCGTCGTACCAGAGCCAGCGCCCGTGATAAAAGCAACACCCTCCAGGATTGTGGTAGCCATGATTTGTTCGGAAATGATGGATAGGAACAAACAACAAGAGCACAGAGACTATATACTTCCCCCAGCCCCTGTGGCATACGGCACAACTAGGCTCACATGGCGCGGTTTAGTGATCTGCCTTCGGCCCAAACGGCTGCAGAACGGCCTCGATTGTAGGGAACTGACTCGCATTTTTCCTAAATTAGGGAATCCCCATGGTGATCGTGTCCCTTTCCCCATCCGATCCGATAAGGACTGGGTGGCATCTTGCGCAATGCTGGCAGTGGCGAGGTGCTTGCAGGAACATATACTCCGGTTGCGTACCCTGTAGTCGGATTGCGAGCAAGACTCGTCGTGGGGTTGCCCCTTCCATCAACGCTCATTCTTCGTACGCCGTGCTCCCTCATCCCTTTCTTGGCGCCCAAGCCGTGCTCCGATTACGCAACACAGAGATGCTCCAAATAGGAAAGGAATATCTTGGCTATTGCCATGCCGTCAGGGGGATTCGCAGTACAGACAGTCACAGATTGCCTTCGGGTTGAATTGGCTCCAACTCAAAATTGCCTCGGAAGAAGGCAATGGGCGTGATGAGCGCCGGCTGCCGTTGCAAAGCGCGGGCGAATCAGAATGGCCAGTTCCCTAGATGACGATGAAGAAGACTTGTTATCTACGGCGCATCGGTGGGCAAACGCTCGTGAGGAAGGACGGAATCGGCAGAGCTGCACGCGGAAAGTAGCTGACAGGAAGCGAGGGCCAGTTCATAGACAGCGGTGCGTCCAGAGGATGCGGCAGTTGGCAATGAAGATTTCCTGGTGCGTGGAAAGGGCTGCGCGACGGGCGGGCGTGGGTGACCGGACGTGCGGCGGGCGCAATCGACGCGTCGCGCAGCACTACCGAATCCGCCGACGCTGGCCGGCCGCATCTTCTTCTGTTGCGCATGCCGTCCCCAAATCACCATGTCTCTCCATGTCAATTCATGACGCCGCCCTCCGCCTTGGCCGCGGCCTCCTCCCCTTTGCCCTTGTGGCCTCTCTCTACTTGTATCTTTATCCTCTCTTCCACCACTGCTACTTTCCACGCCCGCCTCATGTCGACACCACCAAATCCTCCAGCCATCAACTAGCCCCTTTCCGCCTGCTGGCGCTCGGCGACCCGCAGATTGAGGGCGACAGCTCGCTGCCCGATCCCGATGCTCCTGTCTTCCCGAGTCTCCTCGAATTCGGCCCACGGCTCTACGAGCACGGTCTTGTAGAAGCTGTACGCACCGCCGCTGCCGCCCTGCTGCGCAACGACGTGCCGCGCCTGCTGAACGGCTACCGCAAACGCATCGACCTCGTCGGCAACGACTACTACCTCGCCCATATCTACCGCACGCTGTACTGGTGGTCGCGCCCCACACACGTTGCTGTCTTGGGCGATTTGCTGGGCAGCCAGTGGATTTCCGACGACGAGTTTGAGCGCAGGAGCGACCGTTTTTGGTCCAGAGTCTTCCGCCACGGCCATCGCGTCGACGACAATGTCACGGCCACTCCACACGTCGAGGATCTAGGCGCCGACGCTGCCTGGGAGCGTCGCATCATCAACATTGCCGGCAACCATGACATTGGCTACGCTGGCGATATAAACGAGGACCGCATCCGCCGTTTCGAACGCCAATTCGGCCCTGTCAACTGGGAAACAACCTTCCGACTCCCCCACGCCAACGTCACCGGCGAGTCCCCTCCCGAGCTTCGCTTGCTCGTCCTGAACAGCATGAACCTCGACACTCCCGCCATCGACCAGCAGCTTCAGAGCCAGACCTACGACTTCATTAATGACGCCATTGGTCGTTCTCGCCCCGTCGAAGATCGCTCTACTTTCACCCTTCTCCTCACCCACATACCCCTGCACAAGGAGGCTGGTGTGTGTGTTGATGCTCCCTTCTTCGACTTCTTCGCCGATGATGAGGGCGGTGGGGTCAGGGAGCAGAATCACCTGAGCGACTCGGCTTCCGAGGGCATTCTCCAGGGTATATTTGGCATGAGTGGCGATGCTGCCGCCCCGGCCCGTGGAATCGGCCGCAACGGCCTCATCGTCAATGGCCACGACCACGAGGGCTGCGATGTTTACCACCACCGCCCGAGGCAAGGGGATTCCTGGAGCGCTGTGCAGTGGGAGCAGGCCTCTCCTCTAACTCAAGACCCAGATCTTCCTGGTATTCGGGAATTGACCCTCCGGAGCATGATGGGTGAGTACGGCGGGTATGCCGGCCTGGTGAGCGTGTGGTTTGACGAGGGCACTGGTGAATGGCGATCGGATGCCATGATGTGTAGCGCCGGCGTACAGCACATCTGGTGGGCCGTGCATATCTTGGATCTCGTCACTGTAGGCCTCTTGGCCGGTGGCCTTTGTCTTCGTGCCATGCCCAAGCCAAGAGCGAGACTGGTTGGCGAAGTGTCTGGCAGCAAGGGAACCACCAAAAATGACTGAGCGACTCCTGACTGCTTCATTCATCTCAGAGGCCGCTGATTTGTAGATCGTTGGTTACGCTGGTCCAATTGGATTTTAGTACGCCCGCCTCTTTGTGCATTCTCGTGTCTGTCTGATCTCAAGTTCATTACCTGCAGGATACAAGTCTCTCGGTGTTGGCGTTACGGTATACCCAGAGAGTAGGCTGACTTTGCTTTTCATATCTACAGCCCAGAATCCGTCTGGGAATAGATCTGACTACCATCGTAATAGTCCCTCCACGCTGCGCATTCGGAATTGTATGCGTCAACGTCCACGGTGCTCTCGATTTCATCGACCCGCTCCAAAAACTGAAGGGAAAAGCCCTGCCCCACGTGGAAGGGGATATGACAATGCATTAACCACGCGCCCGGATTGTCGGCCGGGAAGGCCAAGATGAGATAACCGCCAGCTGGCAGCATTGCTGTATCTCGACGAGGAGGGTTGTCGAATTGCAGCCCATCAATGTTGCCGTTCCAAACGCCTGGACCTGACCCAAGGATGTAGAAGTCCTGCAACGAGTTAGCAGATGACTTTCTCTCGATTGGGGCGAGCGTGTACGTGTCCGTGAAGGTGGATGGGGTGAGGCAGATTGACCGATGATCCTTGGACGGTCTGCAGAACGAAGTAGTACCACTCGTCTGCCTCATCCAGTTCTACCAGGTTCATCTCCTCGGGCCAGGAAGTATTGCCGTCCAGCACGTACTGCATCGTTGGGTAACTCCAGTCGATCGCCATGGCAGAGCCGTTGATATACCAATGGATCAGTGGGCCGTTCTGTTGAGTAATATTAACGCTCATCTCCAGGCCTTGTACCGCGTCGGCAAATCGATTGGAAGGTACAGTGTTGGCAACGGTTGGGGTAACGGCCATGTCTTCACACGCATCGGGGATATCGCCATGCCGAGTGCTTGTGGGCTCGGCGTTGCCAGGCGCCATGTAGGCGAGGATGGCCTTGATGTTTCCTCTGTTTCTGTTGTTCGAGCAGCTGCCATCCGGATCCGAGCGAATCCAGTACAAGTCGATGTCTTGGTCCGCGTTGATGACAACGTCGTATCGTTGACCTTGCAAGAGTCATCAGACCTGAGGCGTAATCGAAGACAGCATGTGGGGACCTTACCGACACCCAGTGAGATTGAAGACGTCGTAAAAGGTACGACTGGTACAAAGTCGCTTGAAATGACGGTCAGGTTGTGACCATCGATCGAGAAGTGGTAATGGTCGCTGATGCCAACGTTGGCAACACGAAGCCTGTAGCTCCGGCCCTTCTCAACTTGGATTTTATTGTACTCGCCCAGTGTACCGTCAGGGCTTTTCATGGTTCCGTTGATGAGCCCGTTGTCTGCTCTCGGTGGGCCTGTCATGGAATGCGCCGCTGCGTCAGCAAGTGTAAAAGAAGGCGTGTAATACCAATCGTTCAGTAAAAACACGCCAAGGTCCTCGTCGTATCCAGCATCCGCAGGGCCGTTAATTATAATTCCTCCGAGAACACCGTCGCCGTACTGGACGGAGTAGTGCGAGTGGTACCACCTGCGCCAGGTCAGCTCTCCCTTCTCCAACAGATTGGTTAGTAGCCGTACGAGGTACCATGCTGCGTGCAACGGAACATGTAAGTCTTCGTTTGACCGGGAGCGATAGGGCACTCCGTGATGCCGTTGGTCCCGTCCGCTCCGTTCGAGTTCAGCTGTCTCAGGCCGTGGAAGTGTATGCCTGTACCGTTGTTCTCTAGGCTGTTCTTGACGTTGACGACCATAATGTCTCCCCAATCTGCACCGACTCAGTATATGGCATCCCCACCAGAACATAACAGTTTACCTGCGATGAGAGTCGGCCCAGGGTATTGGCCGTTGACAGCCATGATAAGGCGCTTCACTCCGTCGGGAGCCATTGTGGTATTCGTGATCTCAAGATCATACTACGGCAACTGTCAGCTCTTGCATGTGGCGCTATAGCGGAGCGCTGTATTACGGTGACCGTCTTCCCATCATTGGGGAACTGGGCGTCGAAATCGGTCAGGATGCTGAAGTGGTCACGCCAGCAGTTGCGGGCATCCTTTGAGAAGAGGCATCCAAACTTTAGTGCTGGCAGATTCGGATCATCTATTCTCTCTCCAACCTGAGCCAGCGGGTTCGACTCCTCCTTGCCGCCATGGAACAAGTTCCCAGTCCTGGTGCCGAAGTCAGGACTAAGCCTCCGCGGAGCCAGGTGCTGAAATATGTCTCCAAAGAAGCCGGGTATTAGGGATGCTGCAAGAGCTTCTTCGCACAGTGCTAACAGCCATATGCTCAGATGAAAAAGATGCCACATATTTGACCAAATTGAGACACTCCCAAGGGATTCGACCAGGAATGAGAGGCAGAGGAAGGGGAATTAACGAGAGACAGGAAGCGAACGACTGGTTTGAGGATGAGGAAGGGTGAGGGGATATGTTGCATACTTATCTGGATGGCGCCAGCGCCGCCGCCTGAACTACTTTCTCGAGATCACGTCAGGAGACGTTTTGACCTCTCCAAATAATGGGCCATCGTCTACTCAAGGCCATAGTCTGTAACTCGGGCGCCGTGGAGGTAGTCCGCTGCGGGCCTCTGCGTCTTGCCAGGCCCGCAAACCGGCATGGTCTAAGGTTTTCGACCGGGACCCAGGGGAAGAAGAAAACGCAAAAGCGTCACAGAAGCTGTCTAAAACACTTCACGTATGCTCTGCAGATTTAAGCTTGACTGGATTTGGCTTAGGATAGTAGATATTGAAACGGCTATCGGTGTTGGAGAACTAGCAACGCTTTAGCTCGTAATACCTTCGTTTGTAACAAACGTGGAGATAGTATACGCCAAGATGGTCCTACTGAAAGTGGAAGTGGAGGATTTAATTACCCCGGAGTTCCGCCAAGGCCATTAATATACGGTATTAAATTAGTCTTATTAGTATATCTACTAGCATCTACTAGCCGATGCCTCCGATCGAACCTTATCTTAACATATCTTCTACGACTTATAGGCGGGAAAATAAGATAAGATTATCTACTATAAAAAGCTAAGATAGTCTAGTAAATATCGTACGTAGAAATAGATCTAACGTATTAATGTACTTCTATACTTTTAGTACTAACTTCGTCCTACTATTTAGACTTTCGGCTCTCCACCGGACTTTTAAAGTAACTTTATAATAGTAGACGCTTAATATTAAGTTATAATCGCTATATTTTAATATTAAGAAGAGTTTTATTTATCGAAAGTCTAATTAAACTCTAGAGACTAGATAAATCGTACTTTTTAAAAGAAAGACTACTAAAACTAAGAAATTAAGCTTAGGTCTCCTTTAGCGGTAATTTCCCACCATTTCGCTGTAGTATAATAATATTGTTTAACCCGAGGAAGACGTGGCGGAGACGATCGATGGGTTTAAGCTGCTCGAAGAGCTCGTCGTAGAGGTTACCCCAAGACTAAACCCCTGAGAGACGGTCGGCGCCACTGTCGCCATTGTCGTCACACCAGGGCCTCCACAGCAGACCTGCGGTACGGTTGTGACAGAGCAACCATACGAGCTTTTGGATGACAACTTATGTTGGCTGGAACGCTGCGCTTTCGAGCTCTTTTCCCTATGGGGTGAAGATTCAATATGGACTGATATGCCGAGGATATCGAGAACAAGGCTCAGAGCAACCGTCTCAGTGACAGTGGCCACGTGAGTCGAGGCCTTCGCGGTAGCATTCTTCGGAAAGTGCGTGATTGTGCGAACCGCACTGTGCTTGGCATGTTTGGTCGAAGAAGATGTAACCGGACCCGAGGAGCTGGATCCAACAGAGATCTGCCCGACCGCGGAGGCAACAAACAGGCTAACGAGTAAGGCTTCGTTGAACAGCATGATTGAAAAAAAGAGGCAGCTGGAGGCAATGGATAGCGAAGATTTCCGTCTCAACTTCCCAAATGTGTCGTTGGAGCGAAAGTGGCTTGAGCAAGCAACAAGCGACGCTGGTCCTGGGTCCTTGATAAGAGTAGCCCCCAGGCTTCAACACAAGCAGAGTTCTCTGGAAACGGAAGACAAACACTCATTTGTGATGCATGCAGAGCCCATAATTTTCTGTCTGGGTATCTGAAGCGAATAAAAAAAAGACTTGCCTGTTTTAGCTGTTGCGGAACAAAGCCCGCTTGGCTTCGTCTGCTGCATCTTTTCCCGAGCATGTCGCCTTCGGAATGCTGTATCAACAATATCGGGATGCCGAGACTACCGTTTTCAGGCTCCACTTCAATGCTTTGTGCAGCGTCAGCTCATGCTTGCTACCCGGGCCCTGGGTACATTTGAGGACTTGCACAAGTTGACCTCCGGCTTATCTTCATCGTCCGTAGGATTCGATCGCGGCTACTAGGAATAACGCAACGGTCCGTTGATTAGATCTTCCCTTCTTATATCACTGCAATTATGACCTATGTAGCCGCATTTAATCAACCTTAGGGCAGCCACAATACAACGATACCTAATTTTAAGATTTAATCAGCCGACCTTACTCTGGATTTGACTGTTGTTTTCTCACTAGCTGCTCTTGGCGATTCCGAAACGGATCTTGAAAGGCCGAGCCTTCGTTCTAGACGTGCTCGTAGTATTGCTCACGAAACCTTTCAGGGCTCACGCTATCAAGTATTTAGTCGGGTCCAAAGACAGCAATTCCACACCAATGCTCCAGTCAGTTTTGTCAACTTAGTACCTAGGCAACAATAATCATCTTGTGTGAAATCAAGTAGCGCTGATATCTGTCCTTGACGATATGCCGTACACTCATCGTCGTCGGCGCTCCCGTGAGTCTCCTCCGTCGCTTCACCGTGTGGTACCCAACGGAGACTTCGTCGATGTCGAAAAGACCAAGCCCTGCGTATGTGTCGTTGGTGTGGGCTTCGTTGGCGAGTCCCTACTGCGAGAATTCAGCCGCGTTTTCTGTTCCATTGGATTCGACATCTCCGAAAAGCGCATCGACGAGCTCAGGCCGTCGTTCAAGGGCCAGGAGAACGCGACGTTGACCACCGACAAGGCCGTGCTATCCAAGGCGACTCATTACCTCATTTCCGTCCCTACGCTGCTGAAGGAAGACCACTCGGTGGACCTTTCGCACCTCCTTTCGGCTGTCAAGATGGTCCTTTCGTACGCTCGCCCCGGTTGCGTCATCGTCATCGAGTCCAGCGTTTCCATTGGCACGACCCGCCATCTGTTCTCTAGGTACAAGGAAATATTCCAATGTGGGATGTCGCCAGAGCGTGTCGACCCCGGACGTGTCTCGCCAACAGCCAAGGAGATTCCCAAAATCATATCAGGATTGACACCCAGGTCACTGGACGCTATCCAGGCCGTTTACAGCAGAGTCTTCGATACAGTCGTCCCGGTCAGCAAGCCAGAGGTGGCAGAAATGACCAAGCTGTTCGAGAACTGCTACCGCATGGTCAACATAGCATACGTCAACGAGATGGCTGATGCGGCGCGTTCGCATGGTGTTGACCCAGAAGAGATGATCGCGGCGGCGACGTCCAAGCCATATGGCTTCACTCCGTTCCACCCCGGGCTCGGAGTTGGTGGCCACTGCATCCCAGTCAATCCGTTCTACCTCTTCGCCAATAACAAGAATCTCCCTGTCCTCGAAAAGGCAACCACAAAGATGTGGCAGCGTCCCGGCAGGATTGCACGCGGCTTCCATCGTCGCACCAGTCCTGCGCAGATGGGGACTCTTCCACGCATTCTCGTTGTTGGTATGGGTTTCAAGCCTGGTCAATCCGTTCTTTCCTGCTCGCCAGGTGTTGCTTTTGCCGAGAAGCTGCGCAGCCTTGGGTGTGCCCGCCTTTCATTCTACGACCCGCTGGTCTCGAATGAACAGCTAGATTGGATGGACAAGCTCGAAGATGAACAGTGGACGCCGGAGTATATCGATGCGCATTTTGATGCCGTTGCAATATGCAGCCGCCAAACCGGAGTCGATATCGGCGTCATCACAAAGCTCCAGAAAGCAAAGGTGCAAGAGCTGAAGTAGGAGGGCGTCGAGTGTCAGAGAATTGCATCGTGGGGATCGTCCAATCGGTCCTCTATAATCTGGGCTTGCTCCCCCGGTGTTAGAGGCCCTGCTTCTCCCTTTTCGGCAGCCGTGAGATCTGCTGCCTGTTCTGCTTCTGAAGTAGCTGCAGGTGCAGAACTTGCTGTAACGCCACTCATACCCCAAACTAAGAGATTTCATGTCAGCGTAATGTCTCTTTTTTTTCTCTTTTGCTACAAATCATGAAATACGTACCTTGGCTTCCCAAATTTTTGGCTACTTTTGTGAATACTGTGATTGATATAAGCGGCGAGATGCACTTGTTAATACAATATCCAATGAGCAATTTGTGTGATCGCTTCTTCAGCTCGTCCTCGAGGCAGAACACACAGAACATAAACCAAGCGGTAGGTAGCTGACTGACGACCAGCAGAGGGAGGATCTTGATAAAACTGAAGCTCTCTGTAAGGCCTTTGACGAATAGTATCGAGTTTAAGATGCGGTAGTAGACGAAGCTGAGCCGAATGACCTCGATTGACGCCGCGATCCTCGTGATCACAATCATCTTCTCGCCCATCCAGTAGAAGTAGTTGTTGAAGTAGGCGTTTGATCCCCAGCGGCGACGTTGGCTCAAGTAGTGCTGCAGTGACTGGGGAGCAACCGTTTCACTGATGGCTTCGGGAACGAAAAGAGTGTGGAGTTTCTTGCCTTGCGACAACATCGAGTAGGTGAGTCTCCGATCCGTACCCTTGATACTGCTGTCTCAGCACATACGCTTACGCTCCTCCTGAGGATGACTTACAAGGTATTGAACTTGATGATGGATCACGGGATATATTGTGATTGGCTCCGCATACTTTCGAATGGCACCGGCCATCTCTTCGCGAACCGCAATCATTGTGATGCATCCTGGCAAGCAGGTCACCTTTCCAATGAAACCTTCGGCTCTCCGGCGAACGTATTGGCCGAATGTATACTTCGAGTTCATTAGCTATGCGCTGCGCCTGGTCACGCCGTACGTACTTGAAACTGTTGGTAAAGGTTCCAGAATGACCATTCAAACCCGGGTTCCAGTTCAACTAATACAAGGCCGCAGGCGGCGATGGCATCCTGATCTCTCGCAAGTGCGTTGGCTAATGAGGCCACAGCGCCTTTGTAGATTGTACTGTCGGCATCGGTGCAGAAGACCTGCGACCAAGTTTCAGTGCCGTCCGCAAGCCTAAGCTGGCAACGTACCATGTCAAAATTTGTGAAATTTTCTCCTTCTGTCAGGATCGGAAGGACATCTCTCCACAGCTCTTCTCTAAGTAGCCGGGTATATAAGGGTAAGTTGGGGCGTGGATGGTTGAAAAGGTCATGGCAGAGAACCAGCGAGTCCTTCTTGCCGCTGTTCTTGACCTTTTCGATGACGATGACAGGTACATCCTGCATGAAGCCTGCTTTGATTTGCAGGACACCTCTTTTATGCTTTAGAGAGATGTATGGTCTCTCAAACTCTCTGGTGACTCTGGTCATATGGCTCTTGACGTCTCTGTGCCTACCGTCCAGCAACACGACCATGACTTGACGGTGTGGTTCTACGTCGTTGTCTCGTAGGGAAAATATCGTCTTGACGATTTGTTCCTCACTCTCCGAATACGCGGGGATGAGGGTGAGTATCCACTGGCGAGGAACTGGGGCCAACGGTGTGAAATATCTGTAGATCTTCCGGAACAGAATCCCGAGGGCGGAGATGAGGACTGACAGAAAGTCTTTGCTTTTGATGAAAAGGATGAAGACGAAGACAAACATTCCCTCGTTGGCGAAAAGGGCGATAGCAGCGCATCCAAGGTTCAATGACAACACGGTAGCGAAGAAGAAGATGCGTTGGTTTCGCAAGTCCTTGGGTTCCAGAATTCGGGCGGGATCCACAGGGTCCTCGATGTCCGGGTACCCACAGCCAGCAACGGTGTCTTCAAACCGGACAGCTTTTGGTGCTTCCTTCTCGACCTCTGTGACGACATCTTCAGGGCCTGTGCAGTATCCCTCTTGGCTGCTCTGAGTGCACGTGGCGAAAGATGGTGCAGCGGACGTTGAGAGAGTCGAGATTCCAGTTTCGTACGAGTCGTCTGTGCTGGATGGTCTCTGATTAATTTTGAGACAGCCCGGTCGTTGCTGCAGCTGAGCATCGAGGTACTCCAGGGAATAGGCTTGAGTAGGCTGGAGCTCATGGCGTCGATTGCAGCACAAGTTATGCGGGGGTCGGCCCTGCTCGATGGGAACTTCAAGGTGTGTATCGGGGTCAAAGTAGACAGTGGATGCGAGAGATGGTGCTGGGGTAGGCTGGGATGCACGGAGCAGCTCAGGTGTACTCGGTCGGCATTTCTTGTGGCGATTGGAAGGGTCCTGAAAATTACGATCGCACGAGGAGACTCCATCTGGCAAGGCACTCATCAATTCCTCGCGACTGATGGGTTCTGTGTGTCGACTTCAACGAAATCATTTGAGGTTTGGTAGAGTAGCAGTACGGAAGCACTTGATGAGCAAAGAGAGTGGATTAAGAATGCTACACTGAGTGGCTAGGGAGCTTCCAAGACATTCTTCGTGTAGGCGAGGAAGTCGAGCCCGTTCCCGGCAGTGGTGGCCAAGCCGCGCGAGCCATCCCACAATGCCACGCCGCCGAACTTGTTCTGATTGAAGCGCTGCAAGTTGGGTTTGCGGGCCAGTGTGATGGCGTCGGCAAAGTCCTCTGGGCGAACGAAACCGCTGTTGTTGTTGTCAAACGACAAGCCTGACAGGCAGAACTTGGGAAAGGCAGCCTCGGGCTCGGGCATGGAGGTGTACCACTTGTTCAAGCTTGCGGCGAAGCCCTTGGTTCCAATGGAGCAGGCTTTGGAGTTGTAGAAGCGCACGAAGATGAAGTCGACGAGGGCGAGAGTCTTGGGGCCGATGGAGCGGTTAGTAAGGGCACACAGCGGAGCAGCCGAGATCCACATGGGCTTTGAGGCGGTAGCAAGCAGAGAGCGCAGAGCCTTGGCAAAGGTGTCGTAGTTGGAAGGCGAGCCGACTTCGTGGTCTGGAGCAGTGAGCACGAGGCAAGGGGGCAGACGCAGGGCACGTACCGATGTCAAAGCCATCGACGGATACCTTGCCCAAGGGGCGCAGGTCTGAGCTCTCGGATCCTTGCCCAAACAGCTGCCATAGCCGGCGAGCTGCAGCCTGCGCATCTGCATCGTTGTCCAAGGAAGTGTTGGAGGTGGCGCCGCCAATGCTGATGAAGATCTTCTTGCCCCTGTCCTGGCATTTCTGCACCTGGGCGGCGAGCTCTGGGCAGGTTGCTAGGCCGGGAGCCACAGCGGCATCGGGCGGGCGCCTTCCAGGGCAGATCCACGGGCCAAAGTCGACGGTTGGGTAGCCAGCGGTGCCATTGAAGTCACGGATGAAGCCCAGGATGACGGCGTCGACGGCCGGGTGCACGCAAAGGTCGTCAAGGCGTGCGGAGCGACCCGACGCCTGTGCATAGTAGACGAAGAGATTGCTCGTCCCATTTGGGTTGAAATGGGCGCGGGCAAGGACAGGCAGGAGTGCAAGCTGGAGCAGGGACCGCATGGTGGTGACGAGGGCGAGCGAGCGGTGCGGGCCACGGGCGCCATCTGCACGCAACAACGTCTTTGTCAAACCATGGCCGCGTGCAGCTCTGGCGCGCAGCTCTTTGTCGCGACGGGGCGGCGATAAAGTCGGGCGCGGCCGTCGGTTCGCATCGCAACAAGACAGAAGATGAAGCTGCAACGCAAGGAACGAAGAGGGCAACGGCCGAGGCGAAACTCGCTGGAGATGCTCCGCGACGCCGTGGCGCCGTCCATCACCAAGGCAGGGCGGGCGGCGGCGCAGAAGACCAAGGCGCTGTTCGCCATGGCGACTCGGCTGGCGAAGGCAAGCGTGGGCGAGGGCCCGGCGGTGGTGCACCTGCACCCGGAGCGGGCGCGCCGAGGCTCGACGTACAGCGAGGTGGATGCGCTGTACCAGAACGGGTCGTGTTGAGGATCGAGGTGAGGCTCAACGTCGGCTAAGCATGAAACCCGCCACACGGCCGTGGCTGACGCTGCTATAGTTTCAACGCCTATAACGTTTCACTTCTGCGGGCACCTGCCGCATCAAGCACATCCGGGCCTGTTTCAAGCATTGTTTCCGTTTGTTCATTTGCAATGTATGTACAGAGAAAGTTCGAAAGCACCGCCGCGCCTACACGACCGGCCAACCGCTGGAGAAATTGATCTTGTTCCACCCGAACTGCTTCTGGCCGTCGGCGTATCCGATGGTCGTGTCGACTGCTGAGTGTCAGCTGCATTCACCTGCACTTGATGCCGCCGTGACTTACCGTAGTGATAGTAGAGAATCGGCCCGTATGTGGGATCGTCGTAGACTCCTTGGCCTCCGGGTCCTGCGCCCGTTAGTCTGCGTCCCTGGAGCCCCACCCGGCCGACTTACCGTAAACGTTGCCGTGCGATTCCAAAACGACTGTCCCGCCTCCGTTGGTGCACGATGTTCCGCTCTTGTCGACAAATCCGCCCGTGGCCTTGGACGACCGGCAGACCATGATCTTGTACTCCTCTCCCGCCGCCGGCCTGGAGCTGTCGTAGCCGCAGCACTTGCCCTTGGAGTAGAAGAGGTAGTAGTAGCTGCCGTACTTGAAGATGAACGGGCCCTCTTCCGCCGTGCTGACCGGGTCGTACGCCACTTGGTACGCCGACCCGCTTGCAGCCGTCGGCGTGGTCTTCATCGGCACCTGGTACAGGTCCTTCCAGAACGACCCGAAAGTGAGGAGGTACGTGCCGTCGGCGTTGATCAGCGCCGGATCTGCGCCTCGCGTCAGTCACCATTTCCGCAGCATCGCCGCGCCCTCTTACCAATCGCGTTGTACGGCTTCGACGAGTCCGACTTGATGCCCGTGCTTCCCACGTCCGTCCAGCTGCCCACGTCCATCGTCGACGACCGCGCCAGTCCAATTGCCGAGTTCTGCGACCCAAACGTGCTCACCGAGTAGTAAAGGTAGTACAGGCTTCCGATCTGGTGGACGCTGGGTGCCTGTGTCTTCGCTCAGTCATCTGCATCCTCGGCCCTCCCCCCCGCCCAGCACCTACCCAGAGGTCGTCTTTGCCAGCGAGGTCAATGCTCGAGCCGTCCGGCAGAGCAGCTCCCTTGTAAGTCCATGGTCCCGTGATGTCTGGCGCAGTGTGGATGGCGATCTTGCCGCCTTTGTCCGTTGTCAGCACTCGAGACCGAGTGGGAGCGACCAAGTCTTGTCTTACCCGTCGAGAAGCGGAAGTATGTGCCATCGGAGCGGCGAATGATCGAGGGGTCGTGCGTGTTCACGCAAGTCCCTGAGCAGGCCCCGGGATTGGCATATCCGCTCACCAGGGTCGGGAGGAGAGGGAGGAACGAGGTCGCGAGGATCTTCAGATTCAACATGGATGCAACGATCTTGAAACTTTTCGGATTGGCTTGCGGAGAGACACTGCGAGGGAAAGCCGCTTTATCAATGGCAGCGCCCGTGTGACACCAGCCATCTAAACGAAGCGGTGGCGCTGGGCGCAGGAAGCGTCCACAATTGTTGCTAGCACCCTTTCAATTTACTTTCCGTAGAATAGTGAGCTGAGCCGGGGTGGCTTGTGGGCATTCCCAAACAAGCTCCGATACGAGCCCACTAAAGGCCCGTGGTTGGAGCCATGTCCGTTTCGCCTCTTCGTCTGGAGGCCCGGAATATCATGCACTTGGTGGAACATGTTTTACAGCCCGCCCTCAAAAACGGCCGATTGGAGGAATTTACCATCAGATCATGTGGTTGCCGCCGCACCCGACGGTCGCCTCGGCCCGGCGAGCGTCAGCAACCGCCCACGTTTCGAGGCGCAGCCCTTCAGCCCACCCGGTGGGCGTGAAACAGCCCTTTCGATATTGGCTCAGCCGGCCCAGAGCTTGTTCGGTCCGCCGAAGGCCAAGGCAAAAAGATGCCGTTCCGCGTATCAATATCTGTTGATTGATTAACAAGACGGGTAGATAAACAGACCTGTATGTACCCCTTCGTACGCACCAGTGGGTATGCGGGGAAACGTCGTACAGTATATCCGGGTTTTGTCTAGGATTAAGGTTAAATTGTGGCTAAGAACGCCAGCGAGGAAAGCTTTCCCGTTGTTGCGAAGCGAGGCCGACTAACGCGCTTTGGAAGGCCCACACCCTCGAGTCCAGTGACCCCTCCACGGCCTATGCAACCAAGCGGCTTAATCCGATCCGATTGCACCATCGCATATGGAGTCAACGCCATACCTCCATGGATCGCGAACCTTGGCAGTAATGCACTCATTTAACCTCTTCTCATCCGTGTGCGAAAGAAATCCGCGGGATCATCCGGCGTAATAGAGCAGCGAAAAGGCCATGTACAAGGTGGGGCCCGCTGAGCACTAATGGAGCTTCCCGTCGTGCTTCTCTACCCAGGTGCGCACTTTCGTCATTGGCCGCCTCGCCATCCATTCTGCAGACCCGGAAATGTTGGATGGGTACTTTGATGCTGCTATGTTGACCTTATCAGAGCGTGACTGCTTCCACGAATGAACCTTGGCAGTGCGATCCCTGGAATAGGAGGGCGAATGACCTTCGACATTAGATGATGATGATGACTGAGACACCTTGGCTTCGGAAAGGTGCCTTGAGCCTCCTGGAGTAAATTGGAGCCGGGTTCACCAGCAATCTTTCTGTCCTTCTCGATCAGTACTATACTACAAATAGTCGTTGGAATCCCGGCAAAGTCTCGCGGGAACACAAGCGAACGAGCACCAGATCCGCCCTGGACATATTTTTGGAGTGCATGAGACTCGCTTGACTGGAAAACAAAACATGGAACGCCAGGTGATCGGTGGCACAACGCCGGCTACGGCAGGTGCGAAGTAAAACGAGGGTTTTAATTGAAGACAAGTTGAAGAAGGCAACATCGCAAGACAAGATAGAAACTAACCAACCAACAGCATTGCTGTGGAATTGGCCAACACTCCGAAAGCACATACTCCGGCTAATGCAACTCGAAACAAGACCAAAATGCCTGGCAACCTCGGCTGCCTTCTTTGGGTATCACCGTCGTCAACCAGTACCTAGGTGCTTCTAGCAGCCTGGGCCTCCTCACTCTTTTCCTTGTTGCCTTCCTTCTCTTCTGGATCCTCTTTCTTTGGACTGTTCGGTTGAGTTGATGCCTTGCTTCCTCTTCGTGGAAACGTTCCATCTCCTATTGGTGTGTTTGCCTGACTGCCAAGCAGGTGCTGAGGGTATTTTTCCAAGTCCTTGGAGCTCGTGGAGAATGTGCTCACCACCGAAGGGTAGTACTCGGAACTCCCGCTCTGTCCGCTGGCGTCACGGCGGTGATGTTGATTTGAAGTTGGCGTCAACGCCTCCCCCTGCGGGCTCGTAACAGGAGCATGATTCGCCTCGGCTTCGTTGATTTCCGTCATACTCTCCTCCGCAAACTGCGCCCCGTTCATCAAACCATTCCAGCCACCCTCGATATCGCGTAGGAGGCGCACATACTCCTCCGGCACTAGGCCGGACTCTCCGGTGCGTGGATCTTGTGCAACAAGCCAGCCTTGCCCGTGGCGATAGCTGACCAGGATGATTTGTCCTTCTGTAAGCGGCAGTTCATTGTCGTTTTCGCGTTCAAAGTCAAACAGTGCAACGGCCTTGCCGTGCATCTCTTCGTCAGGAGAGGCTATGGTAAACTGGTAATCCCGCGAATACCGGCTCTCGTCTGCATATCCCCCTTGGGACGATGTCTCGGACATCTCGTCCTCCGATCCGTAAACCAACCCCTCTTCATCCGTGTAGCTCGGGCGCCGGCCTTGCATGGATGGAACCGATAGCCCGCCCGGGGTGCCGCCATCGCCAGCTGGGTAAGTAATATATTCACCGCCTGGACCATTTGCTGCCTCGTCGAAGTCGCTAACGTAATAGTTGTGGCTCCCATCGCCGTTTGTCGAGTGATAAGAGCCCCGCCGTGCGCCCCGCTCCACGCTGCGGCCCCGATCACTGTCGAACCCAACAAAATTAGACTTGTGTTTCCGGTGGCGTGCGCTCGTAACCACCGGGCTGTGAAGGTCTTCGTCCTCGCTCCACGGCGGCCCATCGCCAAAGCTGGTCGAGGGCAGTTGTTCGCCTCGAGGCTCCCACGGCGTCAGCGACCAGCCCCCGCGCGAACCATCCCATGAAAGCGATGGATCCGACACGCGTCTGCTTTGCGATTCGCTAACGGGGGTTGATGTTTCCGAGCGTTGTTCGGGCAGCGGGCCGTAGAACAGGGGGCTATAGGGCGGGTATGCGAAGTCGCGGACGAGCGTGTAGCTGAGGCTGGAGTGGAAGATGGGATAGGCGGTCGACTGCGGACGCGATCGAGGAGGGCCGGAGACCTGCGACATGGCGGAGAGGCGGTTTTTGGCGTACGAGGTGGGTCGTGAGCTGGCGGCATTGGGCGGTTGCGAGGGCGGGGACGTTATCAACGGCGGCAGCGCATTGGCCGATTGCGAAGTCGGCGGGGACTGCGGGGCCATCTCCTGCGAGGCCGAGTCCTGGGAAGTCTGAGGGGAGACAACCGCAGCCATGAGAGCGCCGGGAAGGCGCGCCGGGTCGACGCAGCAATGGCGCGTGCGCGCAGCGTGTGTAATGCGAGTGTCCGGGCTGCGCTGCGACTCGTCTCCCCGGGGTAGGCGGGCACGGTGAGGTGTTGGAGGGCAGCGGCAGAGAGCTACGCGGTCGAGGGTCGTCGAGGGTTGGCGCGTGTTGTCGGCGGCGCGAGCTTAGGGTCGGCACAGCGAATAGCGCGAGGGGCGCGGGGCGCGGGGCGGTTCTGGACGGCGTGGCCGTCGCGCAGGCGGGCGGACGGGGCCAATCGAATCGGCGCGGGGGGGTTGGCCGGGGCCTGCGAGGGCAGACGGCAACGCTCGTGTGGGTGTTGAGCAGTGGTGGTGATGGATTTGTGGGCTGTCAGGCCTGAGCGGAGGCGCGGCCAAGGGTCGCTCCAGCCGGGCGCTAGCAGTGACAGCCGCGCGGGCTTGTCGGCGAGGCGAGGCTCGGGGGGTGCGGGCACTGGGGCAGGCTGGACGAGGCCGGGACTCGAGCGGTGGTGCTGAGAAAAGCGCTGAGGGCATGCGATGCGACCAGAGACGCCCCGTGACTTCGAGACGCAGGCGGGCTTGTGTTGTTCGGGGCTAATAATAGATCGGCCGTTTCAGAATGCTGAGCACCGCTGATCAGGAGCCTCCAGCACCGTACCGCCTGACAACCAGCACACCACGAAACCACACAACGAGCCCTGTTGTGCCCGCGCCCGCTCGCGCTCGTCGTCGGCACGGACTCGGGTGCCCGAATGCCCAGGCTCCGCCTTTGTCAGCGAGCGGCCGCCGCCTCCTCCAGCGCCGGCGACGATACAACCACCCTCGCTCAACCTTTTCGTCATTGGTCGGTTCCCGCGCGAACGCGCAGCTGCCTGCCTTAGCCTGGCGTTAGTCTCGAGAGTGAGACTTCTGTAACTGCAGCCGCCTTGTCGGAAGCGAGGCGCCCGGACCTCTCTTCACGTGACTATTCCGCGACAGCTCGACCTCACCACCAACGTCTGCACGTTCCCATTCCTGCGCTTCAACAACTCTGTCCAGGTACGTGTCCCCGCCACCCCGCGCCGCCCTCTGCCCGCCCTTCCATGATGATACCATTTATTGGAGCTGTCCTACCCCCATGAGGAGACAACATTACCGTATACGCAAATTTTCTGAACACGTCAACTCTCAACCCCGCCACCCAACTGCGCAATCTTCACCACGCTGACGCCGTCATACAGACTCGCCACCATGTCTGCCGATCCACGGCTGCGCGGTAAGGCTGCGCCTGTTCCGCCGCCGCCGCCGCCTGATGACTCGCCCGCCGCCTCCGTCGATGGTGCTCAGCCGGTGGCGCAGTCTGCACCCAACAATGATCCTGACGGCAGCTTCAAGCTCAAGTTCTGTACCGTGTGCGCCAGCAACAACAACAGGTATGTCGCTCACTGCCGTCTGAAGGCAGGCTGCCACGACGGATACCGGGGCCGCCTGTCAAAAGAGCCCTCGTGCATTGTAGATATACCACGCCATCAATTCACATCTGTGCATCCGCTGTCGCATGTGCCCTTGCTTCCTGCTGTCCCTGTGTCTCCCGCGCTGCCTCATCTCGCGTGCTCAGAACTAACCCAGCTTGTCTTCCGCAGATCCATGGAAGCCCATCTGCAACTCTCAACCGCTCAATACCCCGTCATCTCCTTCGGCACCGGCTCCCTCGTGCGTCTCCCGGGTCCGAGCATATCCCAGCCGAACGTCTACGCCTTCAATAACACAACCTACGACGCCATGTATCGGGAGCTCGAGTCCAAAGATGCTCGTCTATACCGCGCCAACGGGATCCTCAACATGTTGGACCGCAACCGTAATACCAAGCGCTATCCTGAGCGCTGGCAAGACTGGCGCGTCGGTGTACCGCGCGTGAATCACAAGGAGGACAAGGGTGCCATTGGGGTTGAGGGCGGCGTGGTGGATGTTGTCATCACTTGCGAGGAGCGTTGTTGGGATGCTGTTGTGGATGATTTGCTCAACAGAGGCAGTCCTCTCAATCGTCCGGTCCACGTCTTTAACGTTGATATCAAGGACAACCACGAGGAGGCCCTCGTCGGTGGTAAAGCCATTCTCGATCTAGCCACCAGACTCAATGAGGCCGCGAAGGAGGAAAGAGCATTGAAGGGTCCTCAAGGCTGGGATCGAGGCCATGGCACTGCTAGAGTCGGCTTTGATGAGCGTGTACCGGATATTCTCGGTAGCTGGCAAGAAAAATGGCCCAATCTCCCTGCACTTTGGACTCTAGCCTGGTTCTAGAGTAATTCGTTTTATAGCGAGGCGTTTAGGTGTTTACGTAGAAATACGAAGGTCGGTACTAAAAGTTCTATTACTTTCTCTAGAGTAGAGTACTTCTATTTAAATATAAACTATATAAAAATTACGTATTTATTATAACGGTAAATTACTAAATAAAATAATTACTAAAAAATTATTATTAAATATAATACTTTTTTTACTAAACGGACTAAATTTAACTATTATAATCTAAATTTTATTTTTTTAAGATAGCTATAAATTTAACTTCTTTATCTCGAGAATTTAAGTTTTTTTTATTTATTTTTTAACTTCTTCTTAAAAATTTATTTATCTATTTTATTACTACTATATAATTACTTAGAGCTATTACTAAATATATTTATTTTTAATATAAAAACTCTAAATATATTTATTTAGTTTAAATATATCTTTTTTATTCTTACTATATTTAAAGTTATTATATATATTTAAATATTTTATTTAATAATAGTAAATTACTAGTATAAGCTCTAGTAATATAGTATAAGTTCTAGTAATATACTATTAAATTATATAAGTACTAATTAAAGTAATATATAAATAATTTATAAATAGTTTAAACGTTACTCTAGTTAAATAGAATAATATAATAATTTTAAAGATAGTAAAAGTAAAAAAAAATATATTTAAATTAAATGAATATATTTAAGATTTTTATATTAAAAATAGATATATTTAGTAATAGTCTCTAATATATAATTATAATTAATTTAGTAAATAAACTAGTCTAAATTTACTAAATTATTTAGATTTTTATAAAAATAAATAATTTTTTATTTATTTCTTAACTAAATTATATAAAAATTTTAATTATATTTTTTTATAATATTATAAGCTTAAATTATTAATTTAATAATATTTAAAATACGTAGTAGCGAGAAATTTATTTTATATTTTTTTTAAAATAGACTAATTTAAATATTATTTTTTAGTAAAATTAAATTACTTATTTAAATAATAATATTTAATTATATAAATTTTAAATAGAATAATTATTAAAAGTAATTTATATTTACTATAAAAACTTAAAATATAATTCTTCTAGTTTAAATATAACTCTTTTATACTATATATATTATAAACTATCTTATTTAATAATAATAAATTACTAGTATAAGATTTTAGTAATATAATATAAGTTTAATAACGTAGATAAATCTTTATATAAGTTTTAATAACGTAATATTAAATTATATAAAAGCGTATATATAAAAATAAAATAGTATAAATACTAATAAGTTTTTAGTACTATATTATTAAAACTATTTAGTTAGTAAATAAGATAGCGTAAACGCTATTTAGTTAGTAGTTATACTAGACGTAGCTAAATTAATTAATTAAATATTTAAATAGTAGTAATCTAATTATATAGTATTAATATAAATAGTTATTTATTTATATATTAAAACGCGCTTTAAAAACTCTATTAAAAATTAAAATAAATTATAGCTAATTTTATATATTAGCTTTATTTAAATAAAAATCT